GCTATCCTTTGTCTCCCACATTTGAGTACCTTATATATTCAAGCAGACCTAATGCTATTAGAATCTTGAGTAATTTCCCTCCCTTTTTGTAAACTTCTATACTTAGTTGGGATCTTCAGATAAAAATGGATTAAATTTTTTTTTGCTTAAATTACATGAATTCGTTTGAAATTCTAATCGCACGTAGTGAAGGCACTAGAGCAAAGTTTTTTGGTGCTGTCCTTTTATTAAATTGATCATTGCGTGCACCATCTTGGATAACAAAGATAATGGTTTCGCTGTCAAGAGGCACAACGTCGTGTCTGAGACACTGAACAACTATGTGATCGCCAACGGTAAGGAAAACAGCGTAGTATTCTGCCGAATGAATAGTACTGCCGGACGTGGGATCCTTTGGGGCGTGGACTACTTAAGTGCGTCATATAGATTCCCTGGGATAAACGAAGACACTAGGACTACGCCCACCATTCGCGGATGCGTGCCGACTACTGAGTCTGTCCTGCCAGAGGAGGAGTACGCTGTCTGGCACGTGGTGGTTGGAGGATCTAAGGTGTCGTCGCTCTAACGGATGAGGCCCCCCGGGGCTGTATCACGTTTCGTAACGTAAGACGACGAAACTACTCAGCCAATAATTGCATATTCAGAGAGATAGCGATTCGACAGCTGCGGTAAGACTAAGAAGGAGCGAGATAGAGAAATATAGAGACTTTTCTTTTGAACCTACGTATGGTCTTATGTCTCCTGGACCCACCTGAATCTTATTTCTTGGCGAGGCTAATGAGGGCTAGTTTGACCGCGGGATAAGATGAAGGATCCAAGTACATTCCCTGTACCGGTTGAAGCTTTCCTCCAGACAAATTTCTTCGCTGTTCTTTGCTTTCTCACTCTCGACGTTATCCCATGGAGTTATCCCGTTCGTTTGAGAGTTATCGTGTCGGCGTCATCTTTGACTCTGAGGGATGTCCGCACCCACCCATAGGTTCGTTCTCTTCACCCACAGAACTAGTTAAAATTAATCGAGGAAGACGGCAGCGTGAGATGCGCGAATGTGGCTGCTGCGAGGACGAAGGGGCCTGGAGGGAAGGGGAAGAGGGGTGGGGCGACGGGGGGGTTGGGCTTTCAGGGGCTATGAGCGGGCTGTGCCTTTGGCAAGGTAAGTACTTACTATGTTCCTTGATTCCTTTCGACATGCTGGTAGATGGCGCCTGGGGATACCCTTCGTGAAATGACGTTCGCAAGATGCAACCTACGGCTGACTTTGTCATTCATAAGCGTATTTGAACGCGCGTTCCTCGTGCCATTGTGCTATAGAGAAGACGCCATTGAAATAATTATCGGGCTGCTCCCTATTTTCTTCTCATGTGCCCACCCACCGGATTACATCGCGTCGCTTTCAGCAGAAGATAAGCCATCCAAGATATATTTGTATAATAAAAATAGATAAACAATCTCCGTGCACGCGACTTTAGATGCTCTGGACACAATTGACAATTTATTCGGTGTTAATTTCATGCAATTCAAGTATACACCCTGAGTATACTTGAACCCATATTACAACACGAAACGAAGAGCTACTTAATTAAATCTCATTACTATTCAATGAACAATCATGCAGTGCCACATGAAGGTGGCTTTTAAATATATTGTCCTTTCTGCAACGTAGAACTAATTGTGTGGAATCATATTATATCCGAAATACCATATATGTCATAATCGGTGATCGTTCTGTAGTTAACCTAGTTAAGGATTGTGCGGGGAATGTAGCCCAAGGTGTAAGCGATATTTTAGTGCATTCAAAGCTCGTCAAATCATAGTTTTGTTCCTGGTGATTCAGTCCCTAGATCAAGTGATCTCAACTTTGTAAATGTTGTTCAAATAAGACACAGTTTTCCTTTGTATTTTAGATCCGACAATTATTCTACACATTCTTCCCGAGTTGAAATCTACTACTCTCTTTTCCTTGACAACGAGTTGGAAACCTTACATCTAATTTTCTCTTCCTCTGTATCCAAAGTTTGTAATATCCTAAACTAGATTGAATAGGAACACATCCTTTTTCCATTTAGTATTCAAGCATGAACATTTCATATTCGTCGTTCATATTTACTATCTGGTAAGTGCGGGCATTTGGACAATCCAATTATGGCAAACCAGGAGTATTGGGGCTATGTTTCAATTTAGCATGGCACATTGTACTTGTTGTAAACGAAGTTAGGTAATGGCACGCATGATTCTTTTTCATTAATGAAAAACCTTGTTGTAAGCACTCTCTTTGGCTCTAATGCTCATAAAGTGTTGGCACTTTCAAAAGATCCTCTAGTCACTTTTATTCTCAATTTTAAACCTTCAGGTTCGATTCTCCTTTTATCTTTGTTGTGTTTCAAAAGCGCACTGTTGAACAAGGGTCTATTAACTGCAAAATGTTTAGTTAAGACCCCATAAATTTAGCTTGTCACAAGAGGAAGATGGAGAGTAGAATAGACTGTGGATGATGAATCATTATAAAATTTACTACATCATGTGCACCTAATTTCTGCATATACCGATTCATATCGGAGTCCAGAGTACATCTTTGGATATGAACCGTCCAAGGGTTGTATGTGTACTGGAAATCTATTTCATTTATTTCAAGAAGCGTAGTCTGTGCTTGACCCTTCATTCTTTAATTGTACCAATTTTCCCCACTAGAAGGACGGAATCTCCATACCACTTCACTCAATAGGGTAGTACAAAAGGAACTTGTGTTGTACGAAGGATCTCATATCAAAGACACCACTACCCGAAATTTGGAGTCTAGCATCACTCAAATACTCTACAAATACACAACGCAATTTCCATTTTTTGGTAAAATTTTGGCTCATAATACGTTTCTTAGATAACCATTGATTACTTTTTAACGATAGTGAAGGCCATAGGTGATTTCAAATAGGAATATCAGAATTGAAAAAATGAGGGATTAGTTTCGCCAAAACAAAAATAACTCCCTAAGAAAGGAAGGAGATGATTTTAAGGATGAAATTTATCCTTTCAGAAGCATAAATGTTGGTTCTAGTGCTCATTGCTGGAATTGGTTGATAGAAGAGAGGAAGGGGGTTTGAAATCAAATATGGGAATCAAGTCGGAACTTTTTTGTCAAGGAAACGAAAAGGAACTATCTCCCTATCAGAAAAGAAAATTTCCCAATATGAAATATTTGCTCAAAAGAAGCAAAAGAGGATTTTTGAAAAGTGTTCATTGTCAAATCTCATTTACCTTGCCCAGTCGTGTGGGATGTACAGAAGAAAAGGTAATTTTGAACAGAGATATTCCATTGAAAATAATTTTTAAACCCTTGGAAACAGTGTAGATTCCCAACTTACTGATGAAATATCAAGCGGTGTTTTATAAAGTAGAATCCGTTGTAATAACTTAAGGCAAAATCACATTAAAAGGCAAAATCATTCTTACCATGGTTTCGACAGCAATGATGATGATTTATGGATGTTGTTCCTGGTATCCCATTAACATAAACTTCCGAATTATAATATTTTTATTCAAAATGATTGGATTTTCAGCCTAGGAATGGATGGAATGCTACTAAATTGTACATACCACTTGCCACAATTATGTGATCAATGATTACCAGATCATCTAATTATGTCTTTTCCCATTGTTTCCTTATATCTAGGAGGATTCAGTTTGGCAAACATAATTTAAATTTTATCTCATAGCTTATCATCCCGTTCATCCACTAGGCAAAGTTTTCTTTAGTCTTTGAAATCGCCTTCATGAGGGGAGAGTATCCTCTCCAAGCATGCAGTTGTGATCAGTAACTATTTTTGAGAAAGGAGCCTTTGAATGCAAGTGTCCTCTCATTCGAATGTCTAAGAAGCATGCTTGTATAGAATTTGTGGCCTAAAAAATTAAACCCCAATAATCATTGAACGTAGAAATTTTAGCTAGCAGATTAGACATAATTCTTCAGTTAGATTCAATTTATGTCTCCTTCGCGTAAATTAGGCCTAAAATCTTATAGTTCTGCATTAATGTGACATATATCAGGGTTAAAACATTCTCTCAACTTACCGTCCACTGCATACACTTTCAAGGCTTTGGAAGACAGCCCTCAAACTCCAACAAAGTCAACATCTTGCCTTCTGGAAGAAAGGATGATGACCCACTTTCTGACCCACAGCTCATATTTCCATGGAGAACTCGAAACGAAACGAAGGCTTAGAAGGTCGGTGAAAAAACCCGCAGGCTAAGCTGGTCGCCAGGGAAGGAAGGGGATGGGAGCCGGGTGTCTCCTGTGATCTGTGGGAGGCTGAGATCAGAAGACTCCGGCGGACTCCGAGGAGCGGAGCTCAGAGGACTCCGGCAATCCGGCAATGGGAGAAATGCCATCCCGGGTGAAGTCCGTGAGCTTGCCGGAGTTTAGAGGATTCCGGTGAGAGGAGGCGAGGGGGTTCAACGATGAGAGTAAGTGGAGAGGGGTGGGTGCGGCCAGGTCGCCAAGATCTTTAAAAAAGAAAAAAGAAAATATCCGGGGACGGGCTTGACTTAGCGGGAGAGGCGTGCGCTCCTCTTCTACCGGCGTGGAGATGCCGACGCCGGCCGCCGTTTTAACGGCGTCATCGTCGTCCACGTCACCGCCCGCCCCGACAAGCAACCAGTGCGTGTCGTGGCCTCCCACTCACCGGATTGGGTGGTCCACCCCCCATTTATGCCATTAATTTAATGTCCAAAGGAGTACAGTCACGCGCTGAAGAAGTTACCGCACAGATTGGGGGAGAACGAGTGGACGATGACTGCCCCCGATGTCAGGGATAAGAAGGCATTTTCTAAAACGGTGAGTTCCTGCGATATTTTTCCGGTTAGTTATTGAATAATGGCAGTTAATAGGAGTCCCCCTCATTCCTTCCCCGGACGACCGCTCTATAAAATTTCTACAGCTCCCGCGCCGACGGTGGCCCCTTCGTAGATGCCTCCCCATTCCACCCCCGAGGCCGGAGCAGCGAGAGATGGTTGCTGTCAGGACCCTGCTCTTCTTCTTCCTCTCCGTCGCCCTCCTGGCGGCGCACTCCTCTGCGGAGCGGACGGAGGAGGAGGTGAGGCAGCTGTACGAGGAGTGGCGGGCTAAGCACCGCAAGATCTCCGGCGGGCTCGGGGAGGAGAGCCACCGATTCGAGATCTTCAGGGACAACCTCCGATACATCGACGAGCACAACCGGCCGGAGAACAACCACTCCTATACGCTGGGGCTCACGCGCTTCGCCGACCTGACCAACGAGGAGTATCGATCCTTGTACCTCGGGGTGAAGCCCCCGCAGGCACGGCCCAGGAAGCTGAGTGACCGGTACCAGGTCGCCTACGGCGAGGAGCTGCCCGATGCGGTTGACTGGAGGGAGAAGGGTGCCGTCCCTCCCATCAAGGACCAGGGCAGCTGCGGTACCTCTCTCTACCTTTCTTCGCCCTTCCCTAATCTTACGGTTTTCTCTCCACTTTTCCTCCGTCTGGTCTGAACTGAGCAGACATTCGCTCGGGGCTCCGATGGCCGCCGCCCCGCCGTTGACTTTAGTTAATGACTGTCTTGTTCTCCCTTTTCGCCGTCGATTTTCTATTTAATTATGATACTAAATTTCCAGGAGTCCGAACTTTTTTTGTATAAATGAAATTATAGCGAGGATTAGTCTCTTAGTCTATGACAGCGAGGGATCCTAGAACTTTCTTTCTCCTCCGTTTCATCGCAGCCCTCGAGCTGATGCGACCGACGTCTCTAATTCGTGACCATCTCCAGGTCCTCTCCCTTGAAGAACCGAAGTTGGCAAAAAAAAGGGAACCAAGGATTGTCAGGTTTCTGTGTGCTTGCAGTTTAAATCTGTGTCCCTTCGGGAATTGATCCCCGGTGTTACTGATTCCGTTCCATCTCCTCCCCTCCCATTCCAGAGATGCATGAGACGGATTTCTAATTTGGAAATGGGCAATCTGTAAGGTTCGCTACCCGAGGACAGCTTCGGATCTGGGATTTTAATTCTGAAACTCGGAATGAAACTTTCTTGTGCCCATTCTGAATTATCGACGTATCAGAGCTGCTCTGGGATTATAAGTTTACGATGTTTAAGTTCTGCGTTTTAATCTACGATGATTCTTGGTGCTCAGTATTGTCGCTGCCTTTTGGACCATATGTCGTTAAACTGTGGAGTCTGAACTGGAATTCATGTCTTCCGTTTTCGGATTGAAGGGAGCTGCTGGGCCTTCTCCGCCATCGGAGCAGTCGAAAGCATAAACCAGATCGTGACGGGCAATCTGATCGTCCTGTCCGAACAAGAGCTTGTGGACTGCGACACTACGTACAACGAAGGCTGCAATGGGGGGCTTATGGACTACGCATTCGAGTTCATCATCGACAATGGTGGCATTGACACCGAGGAGGACTACCCCTACAAGGAGCGGGATGGCCGGTGCGACAACGCCAGAGTAATCATCCTCGACCTTCTCATTTCCCAGATATCTGTCTTGTTCTCTCCCTCGTCTCACATCCCGCTTGCCTCCTGCAGAAGAATTCCAAGGTTGTTACGATAGACTCGTACGAGGACGTCTCAGTGAACGACGAAAAAGCTCTTCAGAAGGCTGTTGCTAACCAGCCAGTCAGCGTCGCGATTGAAGCGGGTGGTCGTAGTTTCCAGCTCTATCAATCGGTAAAGCAGTCTTCTTCCCTTCTTCAATGGGTTGCAGACCCAACCATCAATCGCTTAGTATTTTGGCAGTTTTGATGATCGAGAAGGTTATGATCCGCTGGGTTCGAATTCTCTCTCAGCTAGGTTTCAGAACGCATATCTCAGAAGATTGAAACTAAGATGTTTTCAAGCATAGCATTGTCAGTATCATTGGTAGCTTAAACGTCGCTGAAAACTTTTGATAGCGACTATTCAGCAGAGCGGTGGAATCCAAAGCGTGGTGGAGGAAGTATCCAGTGGTTTATCTTAGAATAGCAGCGTTTATTTCATGTATTCGCGGGAAATTTCAACCCTCTTCTTCTTCGTCATCGTCGTCTTCTTCTTCTTCTTCTCCTTTCTCCTTCTCCTTCGTCTGCTCCTGCTTCTTTTCCTTCTTCGTCCACTGCTCCTCCCTCTTCTTATTCCCCGCGGGCCATTTTGAATCAAGATCAACCCCCGCTGATAGTCTCTGCTGCTTCAATTTCAGGGCATCTTTGACGGGAAGTGCGGCACAGACCTCGACCACGGTGTCGTGGCCGTGGGCTACGGCACGGAGAAAGCCAAGGATTTCTGGATTGTAAGGAACTCTTGGGGCGAAAGCTGGGGAGAGGCCGGGTATGTGAGGCTGGAGCGGAATCTCCCCAGCTCCACCACCGGCAAGTGCGGGATCGCGATGGAGGCCTCGTACCCCGTGAAGCTGGGCGCAAATCCTCCCAAACCCCCGCCGTCGCCGCCGTCCCCCGAGCCAGCGCCGCCCAGCCTCTGCGACAACTACTACTCCTGCCCCGCCAGCACCACCTGCTGCTGCATCTACCCGTACGGCACGTACTGCTTCGCCTGGGGCTGCTGCCCCCTGGAGAACGCCGTCTGCTGCGACGACCACTACAGCTGCTGTCCCCACGACTTCCCAGTCTGCAACGTCGAGGAGGGGCTCTGCCTAGCTGTGAGTCCCAAGTCCCCTTCCCTCTCGAAAAGAACCCCCTTCTCGCTCTTTCTAACTGAGACGGCCGCCGCGGCGCACGGTGCAGGGAAAGAACAACCCGCTCGGGGTCAAGATGCTGAAGCGGACGCCGGCGAGGACCACCGCGACAGCTGGAAGCGGGCGGAGCAGCGCGTGATGCAGGCGCCAGAGACGTTGAAGCCCACGCCGGAGTCCGCCGCGGCGGCCCCTCCCAGTGGCTCCGCCGCCTGTACATAAGTATTTGTTAACGTGCTCTCCGCCGACACGCAGATATCACTGTCCCTCTTCTTCCAATTGATCGGAGCTCTTAGTGGTAGAGCTCCTAGGGAAGATGATCCTTCTCCGTTCTCTCTTTTCTTGAATAATACCTGCTTGTTCCATCATCCCAAGGCCTCGGTCTCCTAGCCACCTACCCCCTCCCCGTGCAGGCGGGGGTTGGGGCCCTCGACCTCGCCTTAAACCTAGAAGTTGACGGGAGAAGACCGCCCAAAAAGTGAAGACTGTGGAAAATGGCTCGACTATTCACGACTGGATGGATAGAGAGGATATGGCTGTCCTCGTGGGCGTTTGGTTATCAGCGCTGTACCAATGCTAGCCCCGGTTGACCATTTTGTCCAGTCGGATTGCTCTGCTCGTTGAATGGCATTGCTCTAATCCCAGGCACACTATTTTTATTTGTCCACGGGCAGAGGTAAATGTCAAGCGGCGTACGTAAATACTCAGCAGCCATCCACGTTTTAACTCTCGTCCATTCTCCAAAATAAATCTAGTTGGACTCGTTTTGTACACGTGATTCTCGGTTGGGGAATTTATTCCGGACACAACAGAAAGGGACGGACACGTGAAAATATGAGCCATGTCTTCGCAGTATCAGATGAACATATTAGGATAATTGGTCCACGCCCAATAAGACAACCGAGTTACCAGCTGCTTTGGTATCTTGCCATATTAGTTTAACATTGGTGCCCGAGAGAATAATGAAATCATGCCGATTGAGCAACTATATTCCAAAAGAGTAGGCAGCCTTCCTACAAATGTCAACATATCTACTCATATATCTAGCGAGCCAAAAATTACCTCTAAATTCATGAAGCTGACTTCTCACATATGATGTCATCATGTGCTTGAACCCTACCTTGTTAACCATGACATTACGCCATCCATAAATTTCTATTTCAAGGGGTTCTGCATAGATTGACCTCAATAGTCGAATAATTTCAAAACTTGAAATAATAGTAAAATAATAGAATTTAGATGATTTATTATCCCTTCCTTGTCATGCAATCCTCATTGTACCTACTCATTGTGCTATTTTTGAATCACTAATATCTCATTTAGATGGCATTATGATCGTTTAACTTTTCTCTACTGCTTCATGTAGCAACTTCATATTTTTTACTTTTCGTCATTATCTATGCTTCTTTATGAAAGATTAGTTGAGTCTATGGGTTTACTCTCTTCATAAGTATAAAAAGAGAATAATTTCGAATCAATCTTACATTTCATGAGAGTTTAATCAAGATCTATATTGAATTATGATATCAAAGTAAGTTCAATGCAATCTTCAGATTTAGACTTGTAATTGTAGTACTTAGAAACAGGTATATTTTTATACTATCTTCTATCTTCTATCTTCCTTTGTGTTAGGTACTATTAGGCACTCAAGAGGCATAAAATTGAATGTTATTGTGCAATATTTTCTTGCCATATGAAGATGTTAGCTTCTCCTAAAATGTTTGTGGTCACATTTCCTAATAGATGCACCCCTTAAATTCCTCTAGACAATGATGGGACCAGATGGGACCAAATCAACGATAAGATAAATCTGAAGCTTACTTGAACAATTAAATGAGAGTGGGTGAATAAGGGTCGAGGGTTTTAGAAGCAAAGCAAAGAAGTTACCTCTTATTGGAATCTCTCCTACTCTCGATTTATGATGTCATTTGTTATTTCCCTATCATCATCATCATCATCATCATCTCTCCACTCAATATGGGGAATTATTGCAATAAGTTTTACAGTTCAGTTAATTCTATATTATTATCCATGGAAAAAAGTAAAAAGATGCTATCTTCTCGTTTCAAGTTACCTTCTACTGATTCTCAGATAATACCTTTTTGGTCTGGCACATTGAGATTGAGGCATTGAGCCTCAACCCATCTTTTCTCAGTGATGGTTCAATGAGCATAATATCATGCAAAAGGTCCATGATGATATAAAACAATTTTTAGTAGAGTTGCAAGCAAAATTGGAAAACAGGTGTCAGTTCAATTCCATAAATTTCTTGGGTTTCGATAAATCACTGACACGAAACAAGAGAGGAACTTTCCCTGCTCTCTCTCTTACGTTAGGATTCGTGCCAGCAGGTTTCTCTTCTCGCTGTGGCGCTGTAGTGTACCCAACATCGTCGATCGCAATGGCCACCGACTTCACGCCCATCCCCATGATAGGTAAGTCAATATTCCTCTCGTAGGTCGCTTCAAATTCATCTCTCGCCGTGAAATGGATAAAATTCTCGATCGTGCATTTCTTTCGCCACGTTTTGTCGTGGGCGAGGCAGGGCCTCTGGGTTGGCGACTCTCTAATGGCACTAAGCATCGCATGTGCCTGCTAGCTGCCACGATTTCTCGCAAATGACTTGTTGCAGACAGAAGAATCCATACCAAGAAGTGGATGATCTTCTGGGGCTCTATCTTATGTTTCTTGCACCAATTTTGATGACTCCCTGGACGGTGGGAGATTATTAAGAACGACATCTGAAGGAGTTTTCGACAAATCTTTGGTCAAAATGCATAAGAAGCCGGTAAACTGTGGTGCGAAGGTGGGATATGGAACAAAAAGATTTATCTTCCTCCGGGGAAAGAATTAAGAAGCTCATAATTTATGGGGATCCCATAATTTATCTGGACTTGACTAAGCAATGCGGAGCACTCTATTTAGGGTCCTAGAGACAGGATGGGATGAGTCCAATGAGGAGTAAAATACTTGCAGCAATTGGGAGAACCCAGGTTCAAGAAACTTTGTAATCTGCAGGGGCGGGACCTCCTATGAGGATGTCTTCTTCCTATATGTTGGGAAAGAAATGGAATGATGTTTCCGTCATTGTGATGAGATTATATGCTGATATGACCAAGCACAAATAGAAGAACCTGGTTGCTGACTTTGAAAAGTAAGAAAACTGAAATGATAGTGAAGAAGTTGAATATCAATCTGAAATTTATTTGATATTCACTGGGCAGCAGTAGAAACAATCCATTAAAAATAAAAAGGGTCCAGTTAATGCATATGTTAGAACAGATCTGAAACACATGATTGAAATGAGAGAAAATGGTAACAAAATTCCGACATTGGAAGATGCATCTTGAAAAGGTAGTCAGGTAATATGTTACTACATCATTTTGTACAAAATGTGGCCTTGTCACCTTCACCAATGGATAATGGATTCTAGGGAAGTAAATAGTTTTTACTGTAACTGTGAAACACTGATAATTCTTTAGCAAAATAAGGGTGGTAAGTTTGGCTGAATCAGATGCAGGATATGCATTACCACAGATCAGAGAATTTCTATGGTCGGAGTTGTATGGTTTGTCAATATTTCCTCCGCACAATCTTGCACGAATTAGTGATAGTCTCTTAAAAAGCATCTGTCAAGCGTTGATAGACTTTCAAAAAAAAAAGGGCCCAATATCTTGCAGGTTCCCGTTGGAGGTAACCTAGTCTTGCACAATATATTATATGCTGTGGTCAGTGGAATTCACTTGCCAGAAAAAAAAATTGTGAGTAAAAGATGCATTCTTTAGAAATTGTTACCCGCTAAAAAAGGTTGAAATGATATTTCTTTGAACGTTCTTGTTTCAAGAGAGTCGTGTATTGTGTAGTTGATTCTTAACCATTTGACTGCTTGCATTCCATTTAGTTCACGCCGCCAGATATGAGTAGGGCTATTCTTTATAACATTTTAGTGCAATTTTGGATACGGTGTAAAGTATTGGTGAGCATTACCGTTGTGGGCTCTCCAGCTTTTTCACACCCTCTTTTGGGGCCTCATCAGTTTAGCTTATTGTTCATTTTGATGTCAACATGAAATATATGCTGGTCTTCTTTTACTGAAATTATGGCTCAAAAGTTTTGGCGGTCTATATTATATTGTCTAATTCTCCAAGTACATCTTGGGATTCCTAAATATTGCGGAGATTTGGGGACTGCGGTAATTTTTTCGTTCAGGTTATACTGAGATTGAATTTGACGGATTTAACTTTAAAGGAATAGTAAAGGCTTTTAGTTGTCCAGAAACACATTGAACATTTGGCATGATTTCCATACACAGTTCCAGGGATGGACGGGATTATTTCCTACTGATCAGGTTTCTTGCTGTCATTGTAACTGTATAAATTACTTAACGTGCCTTGAGTGTAAAATTTATATAGGCAAGAAGGATGAAATGGATGCATCATCAATGAGCTCAAGGCAAGAGTTGTTTAATGCCTATGGCTCTTAAATGCGCCACCTGCACGCACACAAACATAAGCATCGTTTTCTAAGAGAGGCCTTGAAAATTGCGTTTGAAATTCATGATTTGCCCTTGATAAATCATCTCTGCAGTAGTTGTATGAAACCACAGAGAATATGATAATTTACATTTCTCTGCTTTTGTTTGTTTTCAAACCCTGAAGTCCGATTGCTTGACTTATTCTTTTGCCCAGCTGAAGGTCCCACTGATATTTGAAACGCCTTCTTTTGATTTCCTTCTTTACCTTTATTCATCTCTCTCCTAGTATTGACTATTTTTTAGACACTCATTTAAAGGTTTCTGCTCACCTACCCTGCAGTTCTGACGGAGAATATGCTTCGTTGTTTGATTCCTCGCTTTAAGTAATTATTTTTCTCTGTATGTCTGTCCTTTTTGTCTTTAGCTTTTGTTAATCTTTATTCTCATTTAAGTCCCTTCTTTAAGATTAATTAACGTTCTCTTCTTTACATAGACATTAGCCCTCTGTTGGACAAGTGTGATGACTTGAACATGGATAAAGATCAGAGAGTACGAGAAGTTGTTACGTTGTTAGATCAAGCTTGCAAAGAGGCAGGATTCTTCTATGTGGTATTTCCATATTGCCCATCTGCTCAATCATAAGTTATTTATCGAATCCAATCCATCCCTCTTAATACTTCGTATTACAAGAATTATAACCCCAGAAATTTATTCCTCTATTTACATATTTTAAAATCAGGATTAAATCAACTTGGTTTTTGTCTGCATATGTTCATACCAATCTATATCAACAGACGTGTAAAATTAATCAGTAATTGTTTTTAAAAATAAATTGGGTGTTTTCCCAGGAAAAATTGAAAAATCCTGTCTAAAACTAACACAGGTCGAGATGAATAAAATAGGAAAATAAAAATCATTTCCTTCTTATGTTTTCTTCCGCTGGTATTTCTGGAGTTTTTCCTTGTGGAGTAGAAGTTTTGACGTACTGCAAGAAAGAGAAGCTAAAAAGAAGAGCTGTGCAGAAAAACGTCATTGTTGTTTTATTTTAACATATCTAAAACCACGGATATTGAAAAATAAAAGCATACAATACCATTAAGCTATCCATCATATTTTCACCAACATTTTCTTGAGTTTTTATGATGTGTTCTTTCACAGGAGCAAAGAGTCCGACTAAGCTGGGTCTATAAACGTTGAATGTCGACATGCCTTTTTAAAATTTAGTTTGTCCCATTCTGAAATTTGAGGTCTTTTTCAGTTCCAATTATGAATTAGCATCTGATGTACCCGATGAAAGTATTTCTCTGCTTTCTTGAGGACGTAATTTATGCCTTATGTGCGCCTCTTACTTACTTACTTACTTTTTGTCTTCTAACAGAAAGGCCACAGAATTTCTGATTCACTAATCAAGAAAGCTAGAGATGTGACACGAAATTTTTTTGACCTGCCTTTTGAGGAGAAAGTTAAGATTAAACTGTCATCAGCTACTGGCTTCAGGTTTTCCAGCTGCAAATATTTTTGCACAACCTCATTGTTCACCTCCAATATTAATCATTATTCACTTCTGACACCATGGTGTAACTCCTTTTAACATCATTCTCCATGCAGAGGATACCAGAGACTTGCAGAGAACATAACAGAGGGCAGACCAGACAACCATGAGGCTATAGATGTATGCCCTTTTTCTGGTTTTAGCGTTATGTACGATTAATAGCATGCCCTTGCGGACCTAAGATCTTCTACACCTTCGTTTGCATCTCTTTCTGTCTACAGTACTATAGAGAAGTGACAGCTGGGATGTATGGAAGCCTTGGGAAAACTATGGAAGGCACTAATCCATGGTATGCTAATCTTTTCTCTCAGTTATGTCTCCTTAGTTGACATGTCCATGGCGACCCTAGGATTTTTGTACAAATTTATTGGACTGATGCTCTCGACAGGCCACTTGTAAAAGTGTATGAAGGCTGTCCCAAAATTAAGGGTTCTGTGGCTTGAGAGATTAACTGCTGTGGATTTTGTAGCAATTAGATTCCCAACAATCCCCATTTGCAAATGTTTTGTAATGAACCGTTTTAAACCTAGTTTCTATGGGGATTTCTCAATCCCCAATTGAATATTGAAGAAAAAAAATATAGCCTTTATTGGTTGATGCTGAAGAAAAGTCTTCAATAAATGTTGTATTATCTGGCTCAAGGACTTCTCAAGGCAAACTTGGGCTTTTGAAAGGCCCCTTTGCTTGACTTGCTTCAGGAAGAGGAACAGGCAAATGGACTGGGAGAAGAGGAAAAGGTGAAGAAGAGGCAGAAAATTAAGATAAGGGGCATTTGTCGAAGCCTAAGAGAAAGAAAATTGGGGGAGTCGCAGGCAGGATTGTAGCAGTAGAGGAAGCTGAAAGAGATGCAGAAGGTGCGGTGGTAGACGAGGAGGATGAAGAAGTGGAGATGTGGAATATCCTTACGAAGAAGCTAGATCACGTTTCAAGAAGTGAATTTTTGGCGTCGAAGTGTTTACTGAATGTGGTTTGCACTTTGTAGTCATCATTAAGTATCTGTAGGAATATCCTTACTATATATAAAGATATCATTTAATTTTTCTAATATTGCTTATCCAGTTAAGCCTTTCAGTTCGGCCAATACAATTCCAGTTTATGTTGAAATCATGCCTACCCAGGTTGGATCGGAATACGCAAGAGTCTTACAATCGTTGGTTTACATGCTACATAACTCCAGTGGATGTGATCATTGCTTAATCTGTCAGACCTCTTAGCTTCACTACGTATAACAGAACTGGATTCTATAATTAAAGATATCGTTTTTCTTTTCTTTTATGACCTATTTTAGATGAATAGTAATGATCTATGATGGCTAACAGTTCCAGTTACTTAGATTGTAGACTGCTTCCGTTTGGACATCCTTGTCTTATGATGTTATATTATTGGATTTAGCTTTGTTGTTATTGTTCTTATTGGATTTGCTGTGAGAAAATTTACTACAATGGCTGATAGGATGGAAGAACCTCGGAATTGTTCTTGAGAATGATTTTGGAATTGTAATTCAAAAATACGAAATGCTAGAATCTATCATAATGCCGATTAGGGGCTGTTTTCATGCCCAAGGCAGTGAGTTTCTTCTTGCAGTCCCTTGAGGGGAGCGTTAAGCAATGATAGGTATATTCTTACAATGAGATCGATGGCTGGTTACCTATCATGGGACTTTTGGAATGCAAGATGATCTATTAGAGAGACATTAACGCCATTGTGCTTGCTGGCAAGCTGTGGGAAAGAGGGAGGGAGCTAAAGTGAGACCTAAAAACGCATGCTTTAAGTCTTGGGTTTCACCTGCACTGATCCCTCTTTCCTTTGTGAGTAATCGCTTTTTTCTGAAAAAAAACCTTAAATACCTACCTATTTTTCTGTGCAAGATTAGTTTGTTGTTGAAGTGTTTAAAACCCTACTGCAGGCCCGAGTACCCTTCAGATTTCAGACAACTGATGGAGGAGTACGTAAGTCAACTCAAAGGTTTGTTCTTTGTTTTCCTCCTCAGTCGTCGCAATCTCTCTGTCATCTGAGTAGAAAAGCTTTGAGGCTGCAATTTTTCTTAGATTCTGGATCTCCGTCGATATCATTCAGATCTTTCAAGAAACATTATGCGGGGGATCGCTCTGGCACTGGGTGGACCTGCTGATGCCTTTGAAGGTGAGAGAGCAGGATATCCGTTTTGGGTTATGCGCTTGATTGGTTATCCGGGGTCTTCTCAAGCTGAGGATGAGATGCAAGATAACGTCATAGGATGGTAACGCCAGAGTTATCTCTCATGATTTCTCTTTGGGGATTTGACTCTCTCGTCTCTACTTTCGAGCAGTTGACTAATTCAGTTTTTTGCATGCGTCCTTGGGTGAATGGACCCATCCAGTGGAGCACACACAGATTATGGTGAGAGAGAAATTTATATGGGTTGCTTCTTTGGAAAGCTCTAGCTCTCTCCTTCCACTTCACTTTTTCAAGGTTATTCAGCTGAAACTAGAATTTTCCTCTGTGACAAATCGCTGAAGAATGTTAGCCTTGGAGCCACTCGCATCCATTGTTTCTTCCTCACACATCGCTGTAGACTACTGTATCAATCCCCTAAATGATTTATTTTGCCTTTTTGGCAAATCTCTGTCGGGGAGCAGTTTGTATTCAAGCCCGTTTTTTGAACTCATCGCACACTCTTTTTGTCCATCTTATTCCACAGGTCTTCTGACGCTGGTCAATCAGGATAGTGAGATCACCGCCCTCCAGGTAGATCTTCATTAAATTGCCACTTCCCCTTTCTATGCCGCGCTAGTTTGGTCTTTCGGCCTGATGGGCTCTGCAGGTCAAGAACAAGTCTGGCGAGTGGATAGATGTGCTCCCTGTGGAAGGCACCTTCGTCTGCAACATCGGTGACATGTTGAAGGTTGTCATGCTCCTCCCCCTTGTCTTCTTCCTATGAGCTTGGTCAAAGCGTTGAGCTCTATAGCGCCGTCTTCTCCTCTCAATTATTTCCAATGCAGATCCTATCCAACGGTATCTACCAGCCCACCCTTCACCGGGTGATAAACACCTCCCCAGAGTACCGGGTCTCTGTCGCATTCTTCTATGAGGTATCCATCCGTCCATCTTCCACAACCCCGTCCGATTTGATTGAGTCCCAACTAATGATCAACCCTGTTGGGGTAGACCAACTTTGATGCTCCAGTCGAGCCGATGCCCTTCTGCGTGGAGAGGACGGGTGGCACAGCAAAGTATGGCGCCGTCATCTATGGGGAGCATCTTGTCAGCAAGGTTCTTACCAACTTCGTGGTGTAGATCTTGCTGCTGCTGCTGCTGCAAGTTGGGCTTAAATTGTATTAAGAGCCACTCTTTCGTCCTCTTTAGTAATAAGGACCCACTCTGCCGCACTGAAAGCATGGAAGGGATCTTGCACTAAAAACATGATGATTTGATTTGTTTTACCGCTTCAGACTAGAAATAGTGCTTTTTTCTGTTATTGTAGTTCTTCCTCTTAAATAGGTGGCACCACATATGATCACAAATAAAAGAGTTTTGCCAGATTATTTGGCACGTTTTCCTGCTTCAGACTAGGCGTTTTTCATTCGTTGTAATTTTTATTTTTTAATTTTTATTCTTAAGTAGGTGGTTGATCGACATTTGGGTGACCTTGATGAGAAAATTTTCAATAATTGGTGCACAAAACTATGATGACTAAGTTTTTCGGGCTGTGATTTCATACACTCAAATTATACGCCGGGGACGCCATCTGCGTAACACACTGGGCCAGAAAGTTATAATAACACGGTTAGACGTCTACTGATGGATGATAAATCAGCTTTTTGCTCGTTGTCCCAAGCAAAGGCAAAACTGAAAGAAGAAAGGGTGGTCATTCCCCAAGCCAAGCACCAAGCACTCCTTGTCGACGAAACCCGCTCCTCCTTCCTCCAGCTGGCGTCATTCGATTGGGCCTGCCAGCCTCTTCATCTTCAACAGATAACAGAGCGTCGTCATGCCACCAGGCGCCCGGCAAATCAGCTAAGCTCGCCTCCTCCTTTGTCTTAGGCAGGTCTGCCTTCTACAAAATCCCACTGAGGGTTCAGAATGGATGGTAACGTTGGTCAGAGATTGGAAGAGGGACGCCTAACCAGAGTTTCAACATAAATATATACCGCTATGTTCAATGGGATCATATGAGAAATTGAGCAGCAGAGAGCTCTGAATGTATCAGGAAGTGGACGTACTTGCCTTTTTTATTTTTGCGGCCTGATTTCAAGCTTGTAGGCATGTATTTCCATGGGGGACATCAACGCGTGCCCCTCTTGGGCGGCATCTTCGACCTGCTCAATGTAACCCAGCATCTCCACACTGTTGTGCATGAGGTTCAGGGAGGTTGCCCTGGCATTCAGCAGCTCCAGATCCTTGAAGATGTCAAGATTGAGGGGATCGTCCCCCAGCGGAATGCACTGCAGGCCACCCTTTCTGCAGTAGGAAGAGTCCCAGCCTCGCCGCTGCAAGATCATTGTGAACCTTGGCTCCCTTGGCAACGCCTGAGAGTAGTTCAACGGCCGTGGCACCTTGAAGCTCACAATGTGCAGGTCACACGGGAAAGAGGAAGTCAGTGGAGAGAATGCCCTTGGGGGAGGGTGTAGAGATGACACTTCCTGCGTTTTCCTGCTGGTGAATGCATGGATTGGGTAGTTCAAGAGAGCCCCGATCTGGTGGGAGAGGAGGGATGGCTGGAGGGGCAGCGGGTCAGAAGGGGCAACCGCAGCTGATATGTTGGACTCTGTGAGTATGTGGAAGACCACATTCATGGGACGATTGTCCATCACGCCTTGTCCGAGCCCGCGGCCGTCATCCTGGACGAGGCGCCGGTCGAGCATGATCTCCAGCCACCCGTCCTGAAGGCTTGCTGCGCCCAAAGCCTGTCTGGAGTGGACCGAGAAGCGGCTGCCATCAGTGCCCTGCAAGAAGGCGAGCAAGGGCATCGGATAGTAGTTCCCCTGCAATGGGATCTTCTCATAGGTCTCTCTTCGGCTCATCTGGAATCCATTCAAGTCAGAGTAGAATACTCCCCTGCTGTCGATGCTAGTCTTGAACCTGCATATCAGCTCCTTATCATTGAAATCGTGGCCAATGAGCTCGACGTGGTATTCTTTCTCAATGTAGAATTCCTGGATGGTGTTTTCTGCACTGTACACGCGGGTGCTGTGAGAGAGGGGGGTCTTCTCCCAGGGCGTCTTAGGATGAGAGAACAATTCGTTGACCAGAAACCCCTCAGAGATGATCACCTGCCCGCCACCTTCCACGATTGGACGGGCCCTCCCAATGGGTTTGAACAAGTAGGCACCGCTGCCAGAGCTGCTGTACATGCCGATCTCCTCCCCAACAACAGTCCGGGTTCCATCTGTACGAGTCACGCTGTTCATAAGGCCACTCTTCACGTCAAAAGTGAGGGTGTAACGACGGTTCTTCAGCTCCACCTTATCTCCTTTGAGTTCTGAACAAGCATATGGAGCTGGGCAGGGCAGTGGGCTGATGCCAGAGGCCAGTTTCAGCACAGCAGGCTTGGCTTTCTCGCAGCCCATGTAGCCAAGAGCAACGTAGTAGGTGTTCAAGCCCAGGGGTGGAACATAGACTCTCCAGTAGAGCCGATGCCTACCGGTGGCTAACTTGCCCAGGTCACCGTGCTTCAGTTCAGGGGAAACTTGGCTCTGAACGCTCGACCAGTTAGACTGCAGAACACACACATCAGGGCTGTCGACGATCACCATGACCACCTCATCCCTTGCTTGCTCCAACGGGTTGAAGAAAACCACTGATTGGGTGTGACCTTGAGGCATATTGAGCACCCGATGGACTGGCTGCACATCGTACTGCGACCTCACCTGTTCTGGCTCAAACTGGGAGGGCGAAAGAGGCTCTGATTTCTCGTGTTGGATGCCCAGCAATAGCTCGACCGCCTTGGACATGAAAATCTGTAGGTCCTGCAAGGAAGTGTGCATCCGAGTCCCATAATCCTCCACCACATGATCCTTGGCGGTGCCAGTCACACCGTCGTGATGCTGGAAAAGAGCAAGGTTTCTTCTGGCGGCTGTCAATTTGTGGGAGAAAGCAATGGGGAGCCTCACACAGGGGGATGTATCACAGTAGCCTAGGACCAAGGCGAGCATCATCTCTGATGCACGTAGCGTTTGCTCCAATATGCGATCAACAGCTTTGAAGAAGGGCCTTGAAACATAATACCCGCTCCAGTAGTCATGCTGCCTATCAGCATATGTGAAGAAATCCCCAGACAGGGAAGGGAAACCTTGGAGTTCCCCAGAGCCCACTTCTGCAGGGCGAGAATAGTTTATCCTCTCTGCTTCATCACGTAGGGTCTGGAAGTACTCATCTAATGTGCCAAATTTCACCTCAGAATTCAAACTTGGATTAGAGTTGATATAATCAAATAACTTCTGATAGTTTGTAAACTGTGCTTCTGCTTCGTCCAAAGACACATAGCGAAAGTCATCCCCGAGGGGCACAAGGAGTGTGTTCGTTCTATATAAGGTTGACTTCTTCTTGTACTGGTCCAAGAGTTTCAACGCTCTCTCCTGTAAATTTTCCTGGGTCGTCTCCACTGGATCTTGCCTCCATGGGCACATCTCGTAACCATATCTGTACATCCGAGCAAAGTCAAACTGGCAGCAGATTGCTGGTTCCGGTCCACATGTGTGTGGAATATCATAAGAATAAAATGGCATCATGTGAACAAAAATGTCAGTTGTTTCTTCCGCGTCCCATGCCTGCCTCCAAATGTACTCCAGGTTCTTGTGCAATGCTAGTTCCTTCTTTAACTCATAGTGAGTTCTCTGGATAAGCATGTTCTGGAAGCCCATTCGCCTTAAGAGGTAAGCCATTGTTGCCGAGTATCCAAATGGATCAATTGACCAAGAATTTTTTGGAACAACTCCAATGGTGTCATACAGCCACATGTTTCCTTCCGTGACCTAATCCAGCCAGTTAACATGTTCATTTACGAAGATAATCAATACACTTATATCATATCATACACTAAGAACATTGTGAGATACAAATCTCACCAACAAAATGCAGCATGATAACAATACTTATGCACTGAGCGATGAAGAGAACCGCAACATACTGACTTCCATGTTAAAAAAATGAGTGTCGAGTTCCCAACCAGTAACAGTGCTCACATGAAGTGAATCAGCAAAGTTTTTTGACAGCTGGGAGAAACCTGCGACCTAATTTTGTTTATTTTTATTTCTCCGGTTGTTCAGGGATTACAGTGGTAATTTTTGGCAGGTGTGAAGAGAACAGCAGTAGCAGCAGGGGAGGGAAAAAGAAACTTCGAGAAATGAGGAGACCACATAACGAAAAAGTCTTCTCAAAGTTGCACCCTTACAACACATCTACTTAGGGCAGAACATCAAATCAACTATTCCCTTTATCAGCATCTCTTCTGACCCTAACACCATGAGCTCTAGTTAAGCTGAGGCAAACCATTGATAGTGCCAAAAACAATAACATGAATCTCAAGTAAATTCCCAAACGAAAAACTATGGCAAACCACTAGTGTCTATAACAACTAATAAAAAGAAGCGCATATAGTTTCCTTAGAAACGGTGCTACAAACATAATGAGATAAAATGCTGCAAATCTGTACACTGATTTCTGGATGACTGTGCCACATTATTTATTCTTCTAGTATACGTACATTCTCTGATTAGAATCATCGTCCCTAATGATAGTTCTTTGCACAAGAATTTAGATATACTAATATTATGCTGTTTAGCATCTGGCATATCTTCCATACTGATACTTCATTCAGAAATGTACTTTCTAATGCACGAAATCTACAAGGACATCCTAGAAAAGAAGATTTTGGTACAGTTTTACACAAAGTTTTGCAAAGAAGGTTAATGGATTTACAGCTGGAACTGCAGGGGTGCTGGAGAGGCAGGCTTCAGAGATGGCATCAGAGGCCACGTGTAACAAGGGAAACCTTGGAGCGGATTGAAAAAGGTTAGGCGGAATAGAAGGTAAGGAGCTTCACTGCTCTTGTAGTTCTACCCGTCTGCCAAATGGCAAGAGAGATCCAAGTAAACCCCCATACAACGTCCATGCAGTGTTTTTCTAAAAGGACATAGGGATGATGCTGCGTATCATTTCTAAGAGGATTAAAATTGATAATACAAGAAGTTAACAAGATATCCATTTGCTTGCCATTTAGGGAGCCAAATAACAAGGGAAAGTATACTCTGTTCACGGTAATTCTCTTGAGTAACCAAAGGGATAAGGCAGCAATTATAAAAAAAAACGACGAGGCAAAATTAATTTCTTAATAATACCTTTATAGCACCAGGAATACAATTGATAAGGAATAATGGACGGTATAAAAACAATTTTGAACAAAAAACACTAGTGATGAACAGGAACATCAACAGCATACCTGCTCTATTATTGCAAAATAATGTGAATTTGCCTGCAAAAGAAACAAACATAAAATGAAATTTTATCACCAGGGAATTCCTTGTAAAGACAAAGAACGTGAAGATGATTCACACGAAATGATTTTCAAATGAAAATATTGTACTCAGGAGTAAACTTTTGTGGTTGTTATCCATTAATAAAAAGATAAAAAAGTTGCCACTCAGTCCTTTTGCACTGGAGACATCATGGCGTTACTCAATATGTCATGTACTTGAACTAATGAATCAATGAAAGCCAAGAAAGCATCCCTTGCTAAAGGTTTTGTAAATGCTTAATAAACACTGGTGGACAATATAAGCTACTAAGTTTACATATATTACTGAACTTCATAAATTGGTTTCGATTATTAAGCAACCCGAATTTCTATTCATTTTTGCGTGGAGATACGATTCTCCTGTTTAGTAGTATAGTTTATAGGGTTCTGACAAATTCTTCCTACTTAGTGCTTGGTTTTTTCATACATGTGTACCATTTAGTGATCAAGTTGGTTTGAGCATGTTTGCTACTTAGCACAGCTTGTCGTATTGTAAAACTTTGGTCAGACCGTTGGAAAGGTAACTTGTAACAGGTTAAGGATACACAATAAATGTACAAGCGAATGCTTAGAGAGCAGAATAGGTATGGGTTGGGCCCAACCACTACATATCATGGTGTTATTGATTAAAGTATCATCGGGAATCATTTTTAGTTCTGTGCTAAGATGACATCAGGAAGTAATTCATCCACCCTCTTGTAGAGACTAATCTTAGGCCTTGTGTGACATAGTTGATTACAAAAGATGGTATGCAAAATCGTAGGTTTTCCAAAAACCTTACCTCATCATTCATCACCCAACCTCCTCCAACGATTTCCAATTGTCCATTCTTCACTAACTTGGTGAAGCTTTCCTTCTTGGTGCTTGATGCTTCTCTCCACCATCTCTCTAGGTATGACATTTCTTCCCAAATAAACCTTCGGCGATCATCCTACCGCAGAAAAACAAGGTTCAAAAGTTCCCTGTAGTCAGCCAACTATTCGTCATCTGAGACCTTCTATTTAAATAAATAAAATTGTAACAATATGATAAACGCATTATACAATGTCTCTTTCATGTCTAATAACAGATTTGGGAGGAAGAGGCCAAAGAATAATAAATTGTCAAAGGGAAAAATAAGAATCACTGTAAGATAACCATAATAAAAAAATATTATAGGAACAAAATAATGTACGGTGACCCAGCCGCTTTTTAAGATGAAAAGCAAACAATTCCTGTGAAAATGTAAAACCGTGGACGCATGGCAGTTACAGTTGGGTCTATCGTTAACGAATCGAAGAAACGTTAATCAAATTCGATTGACATGATAAAAGAAAAAAAGACCTGAACAAGAAAAAAAGAAGGTAGTTTGAAGTTAGATAAGCTTAACGCACACGCATATACAGACCTTGGATAGGGACTCCACGATCGTATCCAGGATTCTGCGAGACTGTCTCTCGTAGTACTCTTCGACCGTCAGCTTCCAGCCGGGATCGTTATGGGAGTGAGGCACCACGAACACTTTCAGCTTCTCACTGTCCCACTCATGGACATCGTATGACACTTCCCACCCTTGTTTCCACGCCCCACCATCCACGTCCCGGAACTTGATCCGGTCGTACAGATCCTTTGTCGTGATGTCTACAACTGCCGCAGCTGGGACACCGGCCTCCCGCAGATTGCCGCCCGATAAGCTGCTGAACCTGCGGCTAGGAGTCTTCCTCGGTACCCTGGGGATCACAGCGTGCCTGGATCTCGAGCTGGGCGAGGTGGACGTCGAGGAGAAATGGCTTGGGATGCCGAATCGGAGGAACACGATGATGAAGAAGAGAGAAACCAACAGGCCAACGCCGAAGAGGGTGGAATTAGCGACGCGGAGGAGGTCCCGGAATTGGCCCCTGCGCCGGGATGAGGACGAGGACGAAGACGAAGATGCGGAGAGCTTCCGCCCGGGCCTAACTGGCCTCGACGATGAGGGGAGGAAGGAGTGCCCCAGGCCGCCCCCCCGCCGGTTCCCGGCGAAGAGCGGCATCTTACCCCGTGTGGAAAGAACACCGTGGACGAAGCCCAGCGTAAGCTGCGGACGGTCGACTTGGATTTGAACTCCTCCCCGTGAAGGGTCGTCCGTTATCTTTCTCCCCTCTTTCTCGTACTGACCCCTTCAGATTGGCGTCGGACACTAGCAGCGAAAGGGTGTGTGCCTGCTAGGACGGAGTGGGTGGGGAGGAATCGGCCGGCCACGGAGTTCGTAGCATCTGGCCGAGGAGCCGGGCTCCGAGTCGGCCGCGGGAGCCGACCGAGTTGGGACGAGTCCTTCGTTGAAATACCTGGCGAGTTGGCAACAGGGGGAGTAGCCTTTTTAATTATTTATATTCCTCTTCCTCTTCCCGCCCCGCGTCCCCTTTTCTCCTGAGCGGTTGTTTTCCTAGCGAGAGAGAGAGAGAGAGAGAATCGATTGACTCAACGAGATTCTCCGTCCTCGCGGAGAGTCGCTGCCGGGGGCAAGATGGAACGTGCCGCCCTGTCCGGATAGGAGCTCGCAAGGGCGGGGGGAAGGATGGAGTGTGCTGCCAAGGGGAGGGTCACCTCACGATGCACCAAGATGCCGGCCACCAGGCGCTGTCCTCGCTGCGGCGCCGTCGCGTACTGCTCCATCTCCCATCAGGTTTGACCGTCGCCTCCTGCTTCTCTCATGACTGTCGCGCATTTTTTTTCTTCAGTTAAACATCCTATGGTGTGAATCAAGGAACAGATGAACGCTTTTCCCTGTGGATGTCAGACTCTGTCAGTGTATGCATTCTCATTAAAAAGATAAATCGTCTTTATTACAAAAGGTCTGTGGCTGTGTTGGTGTACTGGACAATAGTAAAACCCAACAAAATGGCGGCCATCAGCAGCCAACTGATTTCAGATCATGACCAATGTTTCATCAGTTGGCTGCAATGCATACATAGTAAGATAAAACATGTGAAGATTTAAAAACTTTCCAGTTTCGTTAACGTTCGACCAATGAAAATTCATAACTAAGGAGAGTAATATACTTTCTAATGTGATCCCCAATGCAGTAAAGATAAAACTGTCTATGTATACTACATACTCAGAAAATCAGTTTTGGGTTTGCTGAATATTCTATTTGAGAACACGTCAATAAGTCTTTTCTAGTTATTTGATAGCCAGTTTTGTGGATGATGGACCCTTTTTTTCAGTTCACTGACGATTATCTATTGGGTGTGTTGTATGTCCCAAAAGGCATGGAACTCTGGATCAAACTACTGTATTATGCTTTGCTTATCGGTTGTTCTATGATCAAAGCTACACAAACCTAGCACAGAATGCAGAACGGGTTTGTCGGGAATGTCCATCTTTTGAGAAACCATGGCTTCAAATAATTCTAGATAAACAACCTTTAAGTGTTCCTAGAAGAATTTCAGTTAGAACAAAGATTATCCAAAGGGTGGCTTCCGAGATGTTTGACTGTTTTTCAAGAAAGCATCCAGTAATGTCGTGTTATCAGTAAATTTCTATTGCCCGAAACCTCCTTCATCTTAGCCTCCATTCTAAACCTTGCTTTAAACATTGACTTGGATTAAAATAAATATTTTTTTACGATTCTTGACTTTTGCTCTTCTTCAAGTTTCTCCTCTGCATGATATGATATTTAATGTCATTAATTTTATTATCTAAGGTTTCTTGGATGGGTATGGTGAATAGGCATCCGGTGAGGGTATCTAAAACAGACTTTCAAAACATGTTGAAGTAAATTTAATAATTTTGAAAAAAATTATTTGTTGATGACTGATGTTGAAGGTCATAAAATATTCCAATAATTTTCACCAATAATATAGTTTATTAATCGTTTACTCACCAATAAAATATTCTGATATTTAATCGTTTATCGATTACTGATTTATTGAAAAACTTATAGAAATACCAAAGTGATAAAGTTTAAAAAATTCAGATAGAATTTATATAAAATAAAAAATTACTTAATTATGAAATAAAATAATGTCAGCTGCCATACAACATAAATATTAATGCTTTTATACCAGTTTCCTTGGCAGCCTCAATGCTCAAGTGCACTCAGTTGGTTTGTCACCTGGGAAGTAAGATTCTTTTTCTATGTACTTCTTGTGATTATGTTCAATCTTTCCCTTCCTTATAGGTCTCTCACTGGAATTATCATAAAGAAGAATGTGCAAGACTTGCACAACAGATGGTTCATGCAAAGGCCTTGAATGATTTGCCGTTTACTTTCTATGAGAGGATTACACTTTTGGTAATGCATATATTATCACCCTTTCTGATGAAGTTCTGTTCTTTTTCAGGTGTATGTTATGTATTTATTTATTAACAACAGATGCTGTGCTTTCCTTACACTCCAGTTTATTAGTGTCTCAATCATAATTTCTCTAGATTTATGGATTTTCATTTGTGATCTTCAAGATCTTTTTCTTCCTCATGAAGGTTCATGTGAGCCCATGAGTACTTGTATTTTTTTTTGATAGCTCTAGTTATCGCAGAATGCTTTTTCTTAACCATCTTATTAACGAGAGATGAGAAGATGAGGAGAAAACAAGAATTAGTTCAATGGGATGTGAGGAATGGATAACTAGACATATATGTAAGTGAAGATCATATTATATCTTTTTGAGGGCATTCAGACTAATTAAAATCTCTTGAAAAGGATTAAATGTAATAAGTTTTCAAATAAATTTGAATAAGAAAATGCGTTAGGAATTGAATAATCATGTTGATAAAAACCTAGCTATGGGATGATTTCTGACATCTTTTTTAACAGTTGTACTAACTTCATTTCTCTCTGAAAACGTTTTTTGAATTCCATTAGCATTTAACTATGAGATGCCATTCATAGATTTTTCATTTGTCTTTTCTACTTTTCCCGTTTAGAAATGGCTGTTTTTGTCGCCGTTTTTTTTGTGGTTCCTTTTTGATCTGGTGTATTTACTACTTTGAGGTCTTTGGTGTCTAGGTGACAAAGGAATCACTGACAAAATGCCACCTTTTGATGTCAGAAGGTCTTCACCAAAAAGGATTATGGAAATCTGAATGCAGTTGTGGACCATCTGTTACATCATCTCATGTTTCATTGTACTTCCCATAACAATTAGCTTGCATATTTCAGGAATGATGTTATATGCTACGTTTCTTCTTTCCAATCATGGATGGCCAATTTGTTGTTTTAATAAGAAGCATACAGCATAAACTTAGGGTCTTTTGTTAAGTCCATTATGGTCAATATTACATTTTTACTTGGTTAAGTTTATGTCCTTTCCATGTTTTATAAGCAAGATACTTAAGCTGTGCAACTCAATATCAGGTCACATCTTATATCAATTATTGTCTTCTCAATGTAGAGTTTCTTCTTTGATGCACTTTGACACCCATCATATTTTTTTTCGTAATTTGTAGTGATTAATTGCACTTGCATACTCTTGAGATTGACTTGTTTGGATGTTCCATTTATCAATACTATGAAGGGACGTTGTCTTAACTATGCCCTGTTGTCTATCATGTAGATGATATTCAAAGCCTATTTAGTCAATTAGTGCTTCAAATTCCTTCTAAAGTTTTAGTTTCCTCATGATGTTGTTCACCATCCTTAACATGCGCCATATTCAAATTATATAGCCTTCTTTTCTATTAGAGAAAATCATCATCATCTTCATCGTATGCTGGATTGTCCATTCTCGGGTTTTTCTAAATTAAGAACATCATCCAAATATGATTTTTTTCTCCATTTTGACTATCTTAGAATAATCAACTGACGGAGATCTTTCCCATGTTCATTTATTCTCGAAATCATTTCTTCAGTGTATGCTGGAGTTGCCGTTCTCAGGTTTTCTACATGTATTGATGGTTAGTTTTCTAGAATATTTCTAATTAGCGCTGCTTGTATGCTTCCTTTTTCTATTGGTCACACCTACCGATTCCTCAAATGCAGAGAAAGTTCGGAATGCATATGGGTTATTTTTTCTCCTTTCATTACTGTGACTTGAGTTTAGAACAATATACCCAGTGTCGGGCTATCAACCTACCCTTATTATAGAAGTGGGAAGTGGGTTTTTCTTAGGAAAAAACCGTGCCTATGATATATAAGGATTCATAATTTCTCTTCAACAGGCCGGTGTCGTGCAGATCATTTAACTGATTCTTCATATTCCCCAATATTTGCACATTTTGATGATAGTACTTTACTGTAAAGAGGATTACCTACTAAAGGTACCTATTCAACAGTGGATCGTTTAAAATTAATGTTAATGATATCCCAACCTACGTTGGATGAACATGAGAAAAAATTTCATGTGGTGTTGAATTGCTAACTCTTCAATTTCCTTACTCTGCAACCTGGCTTGAAAAAGAGAGACATCCGGTTGCATTGTATTTTGTTATGATACCCCATTTCGCTAGACTTCCTCGTTTTCAAACTGTTGGTTCTTTATTCTGTATTCATCTTTCTCTCTTTCTCTTCGTTGACATGTGTTCCAACCTTTGAAACCCTAGCGGGTATAGTATTTACAGGTTGACGCTTTAAGTTGTAAACATGTTGAAAAATTGGGTTCTTTGCAATTTCTCATCGTTCAGTTATTCATCCGTACTGTAGATTTGAAAAATCTTATCGTACCATGTAATGTTATCACTTGATTTTACTTTTATGATACTTATTATAGCTGATGACTTGTCCCAAATACTTTTTAAATGATTTTGCGGCTCAGCTTGGTCATCTTTGACTATCTAGAAGTAGGCTTTTTGGAGTTGTCGCTTCTAGCTCTTGTTTCATGCAAGTAATGTTATAACCTCATGCAGGATTAATGATGAATGGTATCTCCCAACTTCCTTATGCCCCTGTCTAGGTACATTTTCTTTTCTTTTTCTATGTAATGCCTTGATGGGATTTTTTTCTTCGCTTATTTTTTATGCTTGTGAAAATGATCCGCAGAACCAAAAAATCCATTGTTATCCCACTTGAGGGATTGGAAAGATTACTATCAATGGAGATGCCTCCCCTTCAATTCACCTGTTGCATTGTTACTCCACTCGGTATGTTTTGTGCCCATCATTCGCTGGTCTGGACCATTTTCTTTTTGGAGTTAAGACTGCTTTATTTGGAATATTATTGTCTGACATTTTTTTTTGGCTTGTCAATAATAGTGACCTTTTATCTGTATCCTAAGATCAGGTCTAAAAGTGTTTTCAGTTTATGATTGTCGTGATCGAACTAGCCTAGCCTTCTGATTATGTTTTACTTGGTCCAGTCCAAGTTGAAATGGCATTCCCAAGTATAGTGTTAGCAATCTGTTGTCATTGGTAACTAAAGTCTGGGACACGTATCAACATATCCAGTAGCTCCCCCAGCCACACGTATCAACATCTGCCATGGTTGCCTCAGTGTACGTTGTAGATATACATTTATTTAGCATCTACACTCTGGATATCTTTTGTCAGGTTGTACGATTCTGTCACATTCCTTTACCATGTTACTCTCATGCAGCCCCTTCAGGTTTTATGTTGATAAATTTTTGGCCCTAAATATCTTAAAAGTTTCAATGGTTTCATATCCTAAAGATTTACGTAAAAATTGTTTGTCGTTTTTGCATTTATTATAATGATAGTTATTTTGTTTTAGTTACAGTGAGAAGATTAATTATTATGGCCTAGATCATGATAGCTGAACCCCACCTGTTGACTTAATATCACAAATGCTGATTGATCAAAGGTGCAGCCAGGTTGCGGGGAATAAGGAAGAGGGATGGAAGGAGAGAGGGGAGAAGGGTAGTGGGAAGAGAGGAGAAAGGGAAATAGAAGAGGAGGCTGAAGAAAAGTGCATTACAATTTCATCAAAAATTGTTTTTACCCAGAGGGCTCCATTGTGCTTAAATAGGCAAGTGGAGTCCTAAAAGTAGCTATTATCTTTAAATCTAGAAGAGAGGATAACATTTATTCAAGATTGCAGTTCCCTAACTTCACAGCAGGAATGACACATTAATTATTGGCTCTTTTTGCTGAAAACTGTTCCCATCATTCTTCCGAATGATAGAAAAGCTGTTCTCTGATGTGGTATGGTTTTGGGTACTGTTCCAAGTAAATTGGATTAAGTTGAAGACGCTGGTCTTCATAGGAGAAGAACCACCTGTTGCTCACAATTATGCCTATTATGATGCACTGAAAAAAATACCAAGTAGACTGATGGGTATCTTTCTGTCGAGGATTGTGCTGGTTCACAGGAATGCGTGGAAGCATCAAATGATAGAAAGAGGCTCCTGATGTTCTCTTAACGAGGAAATAAATCCTAAATATCGAGAACATGCTTGTGATGCATATCAGGTGGAAAATTTGCAGTGCTCTCATAATTATCAGTTATGACATTTGTGAAAAGTCAAAGTGTTGTTGAGATGTTGTGCCATAAGAATTTTTAAGGGGCTCTTGTTGGTGGTGTGATTAATTGATCTATGATTGGAAGTTCATCTACTTGTACAAGCAAAACCCAAATATTTAGGCAGCCACCAATGGGACAATGCAGAGGACTATTTAGACTCCTACTGGCAACCTCTATATGGCCATCTCTATTTGATAGCCAAAGCCCTTAACATAGGTCAAGTTGTGTACCACAGAAGTTTCTACAATTTTTGCAAAGCAGGTGATTAGTTTTACATCACAATCAAACATGATGGCCTCAAGTAAACTTTGCAAATTAAGAATATCACAAAATAAGTCGGTGGTGGTATCAGAGGAACCCGACACTTTGTTGATGGAAAAAAAGTGTAGCATCTTACAAAGTTAGTCAACAACAACGATGATGGGGTCATACTCTGGTTTTTTTTGGGAAGGTTTAGAGCGTCGTTTATATTTTTTTAATGAAGAACTATCCTAATGGAGTGTAAGAATTACGCTTTCAAACCTCAGTAATTTGAGATATGCAGCATTGTTAGACGGCTTGTCCTAGGTTGCGACATAAGACCAACAATACCTCTGTAACCACTGTATGAGTCTTGTCATGCCCAAAGTGACTAGTGATGTCACTACGTGCACCTTCCAGGCCACAAAATCTCTATTCGAGCTGTGGAAGGAAAAAATGGGTTGTTTGGGGAAGGAAATCTTGAAGAACAAAACCTAGAATTCCCTTGTTCTTCCAATAATGGAATGGAGAGTAAATAGATCTAAAGTTTGGTGGATATTCATCTTTCAATTACTTGAACACCGCGATTTGTGTGCGTAAGACACTCAAAAGATGGTGGCATCGGTTAAGAATATCGTGAGCCTTGATATCTACCCCAAGTGCCTGAGTAGAAATGTGTACTCTCGGCGGAATTCAGTCCATTTCTCTTGAGGATGGATCACTTGTTTTGGAAATTAAAATTTTTAAAGACCTTGTGATGAATTTCTGTGGGAGCAGGTAATTGGGTTAGCTGCAAAGGACTTGAACGAAAGTGAAGAATTAGATGTCATCGATCGAATTTCTTTGTTTCAATGTCATCAAACTTCTTGCTCAAAAAGTTTATAAGGTGGTCACTCTATTTTGGGACAACCAATCTCCAGCCCAGCTGCATCATGTGCCACCTTAAACAGAGGTCGTCATCTTCCTCTACATAATCTCACTGAAGGCTTTAGTACCAGTTTTAGTTCAGCTATATTCCTTCCCATCTGACTCCATGAGAGGAACCGTGATGAAATTAAAGTCCTTAGTGGATAAATCAAATCAAGGCTCCTTATGTTGTCTAGAAAAATATGATTGACTTAGGGACCTTAAAATGACGTGGGCACATGCCAGGTATTAACTTTACTCAGGTGAGACTGAACTTCAGGGAAATGCTTCAATCAATGACCAGCATGCAGATTTTATCCCCACATTTGAAGAACGTGCATATGTGGGCTTGTGTAAAGCAGTTCGATCAGATCCTCTAGAGCAGTAAAGATTCTTCACATGGCACCAATGAGAGTGTCTGCATCTTGTTTCATGTCATCTAATTGATGGTTGTACTGCCTATCGCCATATAAATGTGAGGCACCGTAATTTTTCATATATCTATATTATGAGGTATTCAGCCATTCTCTTTGTGAGCTGGGAAGTTATCAAATGTGAAGTGATCATGAGAAGGACAAATGACTCTTTGTTTGATTTCCTGTACTCTGGTCTTTGGTTTTCCGGAAAACTTACCTTGACCTTGGACTCGAGTGTGAAAAGGAAGAGCTCGGTTTCTCCCCTAACAAAGAAAGGAAGGTATCAAGGATCAGGTGTCAGAGTACGAGAGTTTCACTTTGGTTACCTTATCTTTTGCTCATTGGTATCATGTAATGTTTAATATGTTGCATCTAACTTTTTACAACTTAAGGTCTTTGTAACCATTCCGTGGATTCTATTTTAAGGGTCACATTGTCTTATGGTTGTTTAAGACGAAGGGAACGCTTATAAGACGTTGTAGGATCAACACCATGATAAAATCCAAGTAGTACAAGGGGTAATCCGTGTTTGTGATGAAAGGAACTGCTATTTTGGCGGGTGAAACGAAAGAAACAATGAAGTGATCTTGGCAACTCAATATTACTGTGAGAATTGCACAAAATATTAAGGCAGCAGTTAGCAACCATGATTCCATAATCCTGGAAGTACTTGTGTATTTTATACCAGCACTATAATGTCCCAAACTTGTTGAATTTCATCTTGAAGCAGAACAGTGATTATGCTGATATGGAAGATCGTTTCAAATAGTCACTTCAGGGGTTTTTCAATGTGAGATTTCATTGTTACTTTTATGATCAAATGCAGATGTGGCATGAGATGCAATTTCAATGTTAGATGTTTTTGAGCTGACTTGAATCGGTTTTATATAATCTTTGAGATTACTGAACTAATTGGATGAATCAGTCCAGATCTAGGAGATAGGTGTGGGTTTGAGTGGTTTAGGACCCTGAGTCTATATATCAGGTCTGGAAAACCAGAGACAGGCATCTTCCCTCTCATTGTGCTGCCTACAACGAAGGCAGGAACAGCCACAATGGTGATGACTATGCAGGCTTAAGCTATGGACAAAGGACAGCAGACTCTTCATACAGGAACAGTTTCCAGCAACACTCAGCCGATTATGAGAACTGCAGTGTCAATGGCAGACAATAGAGACAGCAAACCTTGGATGAGCTCACGCTTAAATAGTGTCAACCTGTAGCTGAAATAGAGCGAATAGGGGAGAGATGGAAGGATGAGAAAGGGTAGAACGGAGAGCAGATGAGTGAGAAAAGCAAGTAGATTTCTGTTAAATCAGAAACCTGTTTACCTCTTGGGGACGACATGGTGCTTATATAGGATCAAATTTAATACCCAATGTCTGCTGCTTAGCAATCCCAATAGCTGATTTACAATAACTCTAGAAATGGAAAATCGTCTAGCAAAGACTAGAAAGAGACTTATCTTGGAATCTCAAAGACCCAACCTGCTATCATTAAGCATAGAAGTAGGAAAGACATTAGTGCGAGATATTCTCTCAAACTTGGGAGGAGGGACAGACCAGCATTTTCACTTAAGTGTGTGCACGGAAATTACAGTTTAATGTTCAGCCTGTATTCATACTGGAAATCACATTCAAGAATTGCTTAATCAATCAAAATCTAGTTCAGAAATACCTTCTGAAGAAATTTGTGGATCCAAGAGTTAAAGATATGCCCACAAATTAGTGAATTGAACAAGTTTCTTTTGCACAGAATGACAAAAAGCTTCCCAGCACTATGTTTGTGATGTTTTGAGAAAAAAGACAAACCCTAATGGTAGTGGCGGAGAAACTTATGCCAGATTTCACGCACAGTTATTGCCTTTCAATCAGTTAGTGTGTTGCTTCGACAGAATAATGCCCCTTTGAATTAATCAATCAATTAGCAAATGTAGCGTACTTTGTTTGTCTAATCGTTATGATTAGTGGATGTTTTCTGTTGTAAACTTCTGCTGTCTAGGTGGAATTGTTTCAGTGTCTTTCATGCGATTCTCAAAGGGATTTATAATATCAAGTTCTGATTGCTAAATTATACAAACTTTCACTAAATGCACATCACTGTGTATTTGCTGTGATTCCTCTGATGTTAAATGCCTCAGTCTCTTTGTGTGATCAATGTATCCTGTCTTTTAAATTTTTTATGATATAAGAAGGATAATTTTTATTTTCAGCCACTTACTGTATACCATTGCTTCCAACTCGTTTCTTCCTCAAATACAATCCCGGAAGTTGGTGAAAACTTGCACATACATTATTTAGGTAATATGTTTCTCATAGTTATGGTACACAGGTGACGTGCTCCTTTAACCACTCAGCATCCTTAATTTTACTCTAATGTACTTGGTTCACAATGTAACTGTGTGCTTTTGAACCGCAGATGATTGAACTGTTTTTCATTAACACCAAGTGTTTTGAGAGCTTTACTCTTTTTAATGATTTTTTGTAACCTGAAAATGTGAACCCATTTTTCAATTTCTTGGAATCTCTGTGTACTAATTGAAAGGAATGGTGGTGCTTATTATTTTGAGCTGTAGAATTTTTCTACAGTAATGTAGACAGTTGGTGGTGGAAATTGCCCATACACTTATTTATGGAAAGGAATGGTGCTCTCTATGTCCTTTCATGTCTTGAAGACCATGTTTGCCTCATCTGTTTATGTACATTTGATACCTTATGCATAAATGTTATTAACATACGGAAATTTGAAGCATTATGAATAACACTGAAAAAAAAACATCTATTCATTGATGTATCCAAGCAGTTCATGATCATATTTTTCATCAAGAACTCCACTTGTATTTACATCATGGATGACAGTTATATACAACTGCCAGGACCACAAAACAGGGAAGCTGCCTAACAATTAGGAAACCAACAACCTAGGAAATAGTCCCAACTGAGAACTGAACTCCTAATTATATGTTCTTTCCCACATTCCCCCTCAGGCTAGTGAATAAGCATTCTTTATTCCCAGCTTGGATGTAAGACTCTAAAATACTAAATTACTTGAACCCTTAGTAAATACATCTGCAAGTTGGCCATGTGTAGACAGATAAGGTGTACAAATCAATCTGCTCTCCAACTTTTTCTTGATGAAGTGTCTGCCAATTTCGATGTATTTTGTTTGATGGTGTTGTTCTAGACTGTGAGCTATGGTAATGGCAGACTTGTTGTCACAATAAATTCTTATTGGGCAACCCCACTGAATCTTTAAGTCTTCTAAGATAGTCAACCAAAGTAGTTCACACAGACCTCAGCCATTGCTTGGAACTCAGCCTCTGCACTTGACCATATTATCACATTCTGTTTTTTCTCCATGTGACAAGATTGTTACCAAGAAAGATGCAATATCTAGAGGTTGATCTCCTCTCAAACACTGACCCTGCATGATGAACATTTGTATATGCCTCAGGTACCAATCATTCATTTCTCTTGAATAGATGTTGATCTCCTCTCAACCAGTGACCCTACATAATCAACGTCTGTATGTTTCAAGTGCCAATCATCCATTTCTCTTGAACATAGTATCCTTTCCTCGTGTCTCTTTTAGATACTACAGCACTTGGTTAGTTGCCTGCAGATGGACTTCTTTTGGATTGTGTATGAATTAATCACACTGTCTACATATGCTATATCTGGTCATATATGAGACAGATGAATGAATCTTCCTATGAGGTGTTGACATATTTCACTATCTACCACCGCATCTTCCTCTGCCTTTCTAAGTTTGAGATCGGATCTATTGAAGTACCTGCTGGTTTGCATGCAGTCTTGCTTGTTTCTCTGAGAAATTTAGTAACATCTATTGGGAGATGAAGATGCCCTGCCTTGAGTGAGCTTCAATCCCAATAAAATATTTCAGCCTCCCTAACGCTTTGATCTCAAACTCAGCGAAACATTTTCTCAAATATTCTCTCTTTATATTTATTCCTCAGGTACTAATCAACATATCAAGAGTGTTGTACTCTGCCTGAGGATGAGTGCTTAATGAAAAGTACATGATCCCCTTGGCTTTATCAGTAACATATGGCAATCATAACTCTTGTGAATCTACCAAATCATATCTGAGGTGATTGCTTAAATTATATAAGGCTTTCTTCAATTTTCACACCATATGAGCAGCCAAATTATTTCCATAACCTGTTGAGATCTCCACATAAATCTCTTCATCTAGTTCGAAACACCTAGGGTACTCCTCTGGTACACTCACTGGCACCGGAGATAGACTAGGGACTTCTGCCATGAGTTAGGGTTCGCGGTCTCAACCAAAAACAGGCGAACCTTCAAACCTTTGCTAACGGAAAAATAGTGTTTGTGGTCTCAACGTATGCAGACCTTCAATGAAGTAAGCTCAGATGGCTTAAGAAGAGGTTTGGAACGTATGCACCTGATGCTCTGATACCATGTCGGAGATTCTCCCACCTTGGGCTAGGGCACAGCCACCATGAGCAGGGGAGCTGTTAGAACATGAGAGAGTGAGAGAAAAAGAAAATACTTCATTCATTTTGAGTTAGGGCTCGTGACCCTTTTAATACATGAGTCATGACTATTGGATCTATCTCGGGTATAAGTGGCCAAATCCGATACCGATAAGTAATTGGACTTATCACGCCCAATACCATTTATTCTAACAATATCCAATAATCTTCCCCATGTCCTTGTCATAAAATGCACAGTGATTATGATGAAAAACTACTTTTCAATGTAAATCTTGAGCAAGCTTTTGGATAGACAGTTTGTGGACGACCTAGGGATGTGAAACTACCAAACTAGGGAACTGAGAAACTGAAAAAGAAACCAACAAAATAGGAAATGATCCAACTAAGAATTGAACTCCTAATTATATGTTTCTTTCCCCCAATTACAAATCTTAAACACAGCTGGCAATTCATCTATCGAAATGGAGAGGACATAAAGTTGGGAATGATAATGCTAGTCAACTCCAATACTCGTATCCAACCAAAATGCAAAAGATGAATTCTATTGGCATGTCTTCCTCCATTCGAAACAAGGGATTGCTCATGGTGGGGGAATTCAAGACACAGATCAAAAGCTGCATTGGATTGTTCCCAGCCCTTATATGCTCAGTTCAGAAAATAGTAAGGATCGTAGAAGTCAAAGGATACTTCCAATGTTAGATAAATGCCTGATAAGACAGTCTTGCTATAGTCGAGATTAGAGTTAAACTTGTTTCTTGGTATAATCCACATTAGGATTTTGTTTATATAAGTCAATCTGCATTTTAAGCATTATAACGTCTGGTTCCTATGTTTGATACAGCTAATGCATTAGGAGTTAGGGTGTTTTACATTAGATTCGTCAGTCTAGTGATTAATGTGCTGAAGCATTTTAGTGTGCTACTGATTTAATTCTCTTACAAACGACAAAAAGTCATGTTTTTTTAGTTGCTTTCCTGTGATTCATTGACTGTTAACCACGTGTGCACCATTCCTATTTCCTCTATCACTATTCATAATGACCCCTTGGTAATATACACCGAAATGAAACTGCTGTATGGATAATGGAACGTACCTAGCATGATAACCAAGCCTTTTTTCATTTGAACTTTAGAATGATATCTTTAACTTAAATGATGTCAACAATGAATAAACTATGGTCACTAATATATCCTTGTGACTAAAAATTGAAAGGTCCTGATAGAGAGCTTCTTCAACTCTCAATGTTTGGGGAGCTACGTGCATTATTTCCTGGTGTTCATTTGCACATTGAATTTATTGGACCAGCGGTTCCAGATTTAAGGTTAGTTTAGAGAATTTACAATGTACTTTCTTGCTTTTCAATAAGATGAAATTTAGGCATCGGTTTGGTGATGGTTAGTTTTTCTTCTTGTTTCTTAGGCAATAAAGTAGTGATCCCTTGCCTTGGCCATCATCTAAACACAGCCAAGTGAACTGTTATGTTATTATGCAGAAATGTATTCGATATGGTCATAGATGATCTGTTGGATTTCTATCCTTAAAACATTTAGTAATGTTCAAAATTTTCATTAGTTCGCTATCTTTCAGCATATGTTTCATTTTTTGTAGGGATAATGAGAGAATAAGCCTTAACAATTATGGTCGTTGCTCAGAGGAAGGTTGTACCTGCAAGACAAGTTTGAACACTAGCCTAGAAGGATCAAGTGATGTGTCTTATTCTGTGACTCTACAGCTTCGGAAGGGTTTCTATCATGACCGATATAGTGATATAATGAAGGTTAAAATCTGATGTCACTAGTTTTATGAAATTTTGGTGACAATTATTTTCCTGTCTTATTTCATGTTGGTGATGAAGAATCATATTTCTTGCTTATATAGCATTCTTACCATGTTGTGCCCATTACTACATGTTTTTGTCTTTTAACCGTAGATATGACAGACATGAAACGGTAATTTATACATTGCGGAGAACTTATCTTTTTTGCCATTTCTAAAGCTCATCAAGTGTCGTTCTCTGTAGAATACCCTGTCTTTTGTGATACTCTGATAGAATATTCCATCTTATCTAAAGCTCAAAAATCACAATGCCTGCCATTCGCATGATCTTTAATGATACAGATTCTAGGATTTTTTTCAATTTGAAGTTTTCTACTGGTAGACATTGCATCCTACATTACCCTATTTCACGGAGAGATGTGGCGGGGATTTCGTTTCCAACTAAGTTTAACTTTCTTTAATTGTCCTTAATTTGCCTGCGCTATTTATCTCCATTTTTAATGTTATTGGTAGGTTTCTTCTCCCCACATCATCATTGCGCCTAATGCTGGTGTTGCTGCTTATTCCAGTTGGCTTCCAACAATTGTATGTACTTTCCATTTGTAAAGATTACCTTTGTTGAGGGGCTTGATAAGGTGCGTTCCTAGAAAGTATGTCTTTCCAAAGTATGAGCGGAAAATTTTGAGTAGGAGTAATAATCCTTTTTCTGTGTACAATTTTAAGGAACTTAACTCTGAATTCACTAGTTTGACAGCAAAAGTAAAGTTACGTGAGAAAATTCGGAATTTAAAGCTTTTATATTATTTCTGTAATTTTCATCTTTTATTTACTTAACTTTCTGCAAATGGCAGCAAAGTACACCAAAATCCTCAATCAATAAAACTACATTTAATAATTCTGGTACTCTCTCCAACTAAATTAGGTGAAATCTGATACTGGTCAATTACTTAGGAGATAATCTTTTAACGAAAAGCAGAAGAAACTATCTTATCTTTTTCATTCAAAATTATGTTATTTTTGATAGAACTAATATCTAGTTAAGATATTTATTCTATCACATATATTCATTTATTTGGTTGAAAACTTCGCCAACATGTATAAAAGAATTTGTATATTCACTCTTATTTCTCAACTCCATATATCGTGCTGATTATGAACGTTGTCTTTTATTAATAAAAAAAATGACAGCTACACACAGACTCTTATTGTTTATTTTTTTCACCGAGCTCAGTTGATTTCTTTTCCGAATTCTTATTGTCGTCTTTTCCATTCTATAAGAAGTTACCTTTGTGGACCGTATGTTATAATCAATTGATGGTTTTATATGCAAAATGAGGAGTCCATGTTAAATTAAAATCACCCAATTTTGAATTAGCTGACTTAATATTAAATGAACAATTTCTTTGGGATTGCTTATTTGACCCTTCTCTAAATGGCAGCTTTGCATCCTTCCGTCTTTTCCAGAAGGCCGTGAACAATCTTGTTAGAAATTTTGTTACCCTAGCATAACTGAAGTGAAGATGTAAGCTTCTTGGCACATGTTTTGCCATAATAGTTTAGTCAGAACGTCTATCATTACTCTTTATTTAACTTCAGCATTGGACTTTCTCCAAGGAGCTGCCTTTTCCTTCTCCTAGTCGCTTGAATGCCCCCCCCCCCCCCAAGTATCTGCAATATGCTGCGACCCAGCCTCTGTCATCATAAAATCTTGCTCCATCATGTATTTTATCACAGGGCACTTCATTTTTCATGCCCTTTCCCTGATTACATATTATGTGCGGTAATTTGATTATGACTCATTGCCTAACTAGTCGCAAGACGGATCATATACAATACTAAAAGTGACAGCCAAATTTAATAGCTTATCGCTGGTCGTTGATATTTCCCTCTATCATTCTTAGATGAGAGCTCCCCTTTTTGTCCATATCTTTAGTTTCTACCAATAACTTATGCACATATTATGAAACTTGGCGACATTTATACCAGCAAGTGCCAGTGACACGATCACCCTTTTCCTTTTTCTAGGAGCTCATTCAGCATATTGGTGTGCCCGCAGTATTTTCTGATTTTTGTGAGGAAGCTGCAAACTTATCTGCTAGCTGCATCGAGAGAGTAACCAAGCAAGCACTCAGCCTACCTGTGAGTTATCGCCTCTCATATTCAGCTGACACTTCTCAGGTAATTGCTCCATCTGCAGTTTTATATTCACCCGTGATTCTCAGGTTCAGGTAAATCCGTTCAGGCAACCAGTGCCGGTGGAGAACTCGGCACTCTGCATTCCCTGCTATTCAAATTGCTTTCTCTTCGGAATGTAAATGTAAACCATCCGAAAAAATAGTTTCACATGGTTCCTGTGGATTCTCCTGGGGTGGCTATCACCAATGGTAGATCCTGTGCAGCTTGTTCCCTTTCATGCTTGGCTTCACGCGATGATATGCTTCTTTTTTCTAGATGGAGGACAAAAGTCAAATCGAGGAAGGATCCTATGGGGCCAAGATCGATCCAAGGCATTTGGCACCATACTTGTCGTTGTTGCCATGATTGTTGTCGGTTGTTCTTGCCAAGGTACGTGACTTCTGCCTGTGGTCTGTTCTTGGGCAGATAACCGAATAGTGAGGACAGATAACCGAAAGAAAGAGTATTGTATTAAAGTAACCCGTTGGCTAAAAGCTTTTAATCCTTGAGGATATTGTACTGTTTTTTTTTTAATTTCTTTCAAATTTTTCTGGCTCGACTTTCTTTTCCTTTAGTTCAAACTAGTTGGTACTCGTCTGTCTAACTTCATTTGGTTTACTGAGAGACCATCGAAAGTTTGGATCTCATTGCCTGGCTTACCATTGGCATAATTTCCCAAAATTTTGGATCACATCCTTGGTGTTGTCATTCTTACATTTTTAGTAACACGTGCAATCCTAGAAAACCAATCAAACAAAGGGGTCAATTCATGCTAAGAAATAGGAATCAATGTGTTAAATAACCAAAGAAGAACAAGTAAGCCAAAATGAAATCAAATTTGTTTGACATTTTTGGCGTCCAACAATGAAATAATTTTTCAATATGAAAGTTACTTTGGAGAAATCAAGGCAAACAACGAAATGATATTTGCAAGGCTCATGTCTTTCTGCATCAACTAAATGTCTTACATTAAATTTATAAGATTTCTTTCTCTTATTTCTTACAAATGTCCTTAGTGATTGAAGATTGCTGCCAGAAATATGCATTAGATAATTTGGTCCTAGAAACAGCAATTGTCATTACTATTTTGGCAGCAGGCCAATTTGGAGATGAGTTTAGCTCATGATTATGCACAATGATTGCAACAGGGAGGATAGAACCAAGGGGAGATACCTTTTTCCAGATGAAAGTAGGCCAAAAGCCATACATCAAGATTTTGATATCCTCTATTTGTCGACTCATATGGTAGTCTCACCTAGCTTGTAAAGGACAAATCAAGTTAAACGTATTTGTGCTTGTCTCACGTAACAAGGATCATCTCATCAACTAAAAAACAAAATTATGGGTTTCTATTATTGTCATGTTACTAGATTTAAGTTTTGCATATAATTTTTTTTTAGCAACCTATGCTATTCAGAAGAAAATTCTCATTGCCTGCAGTTTGACAAGTCCTCTCTCACCTCTCGGGGGATCTCAACAGAATTCAAAAGAGTAAACCAGTGTTGGTCGAAAATTAATTTTTTCTATGTTGAGAAGTAATCAGAAAATCTAAAAGAATATTCATAAATTGATAATTAAAGTTTTTTTTAAATCATTAGATCTAGTCCATTTATTTTTTTTTGGCGAACTAAAAATAGAAAAAAGTCATCAAAGACATATCAGAAGAAAATAAAATATTATTTCAATAAGAACCAAGGAGAAAGTGTTGTCTGCACAGCTAAAGTTGTTGAGAAAGAAGGTATGTTACCCCATGTCTTGACCAAGTTAAAGTCAAACCAAATCTCAAGAGAGAAATCAAGAGATTTTTTCCGAAATAAATAGGGCATTAGATAAGTGAGAAGATCTATAACAAGGGTAACATATCCACACAGTACAACATCAATGAAAGTCAAAAAAATTCAATTTGACACATTTATAGAGTGGCTTGATAAAAAGCTAGTTAAATTGACAACCTAATTGTGTAGATTATTCAATGGCTAAACATAAGTGTAGATAGGCAAACTTTGACCCTTTCAAAATCTTAGTGATGTGAGTTGAGGGCCAAGCTTTTGGGCTCTTTGAACAGCCTATCACAAGAGTATTAAAATCATGTCTCATTAATTCGTCGAACCCTTCTGTACTCTCCAAGAAATCTCTTCAAAGTTTTAGGGTAAGAGTGATGAGTTCAAAGGTTTCACAAACAGTCAACCACCCATAGAATCAACACAACTCATTGAGTCAATGTTAGGATTTTTTTATAAGTTTTTGAGTATCATTTTTATCTGAACCCAGTAGAGAGTTTTGGCAACAATAGGGAAAAAAAGATAACTATTGCTTTAATGTCTACCATAGGGACAGATTAATTAAATATTTAGTGTAAAAAGATTTTTTCTTCCTATGAACATTACTCATAGTTCGTGAAGAAGGAATAGTAGAAACACAAGGGAGATTTTTTCAGATGAGGACATAGGCCTAGACCAAACCACTATATGTATAAGCACCCATTTTTCTTCCCTAAGTGTGTTGACCAAGTGTGTTTACCCAATCAATTTGACTAGCTTTTAAAAACTGTGTCCACTTGCTCATGTTAACTAGCTTGTGTTAGCATAGTCTATTAATCTCAAGTTCAATCAACCCAAACCAACGTTCCTTGACCCAACTAAAGTGTGTCGAGTCACATAATACAAAACTAAGATTAAAAAATCCCTACTCCAGTTTCAATGGCTACACTTGCTTGAAAGCTAAATGAAAAACTTAATGATGTAGTAATATTGATCTCATGGAAAATAATAAAAAATTACACTTATATTTCCTTTGAGGATCATTGTGATATTTCTTTTGAATGGGAAGAAGAGAGACATGGGATTATTTTATTTAAATTCAAAATTTGTAAATATGTTGTTTTCTATCTCAAAATTTAATAGAAATTTGAGTTGTGAGTCTACCAAAGTTAGGTCAAACCAGCTCAAAGTCATATCTAAAGGAAACACTTAAATCAAAGGCATTTAAATCAACCTTTGGAGACATAGGCATCAAAGTCTACTTGAAATGATTTACAACTATAAACATAATTGAATGAACTCAAAGGATTATTACAACTTATGAAAAAGTTTCTCAAGAGAAAATGAAGCATAAAATAAAAATTAAATTATTTATTTCAAAGAAAATAATTGAATGAATTTAGAGTTTATCCTTCAAGAGGGCAAAGAAGAAGATAGCTCTATTATTGAGAAACTCAAAATATTTGAAAAGACAAAAATTTGGATAATTACAAGAGGAAAATCAATGATTCCAAGAAAGTTGAAGAAGAATTGCCCAAGACTTAAGAGAAGAGAACCATCCCTTAGAAGGCAATGAATGTTACTTAAAGTAATGAGGAATAAGTTCAAAAAAGTAACAAGTAAATCACTGCCAAACAACATAGATTGCTATGGCATCTTCCTCATCTTACTTTAAATTGAGTAGACATGTTTGATGAACTATTAATTTCATACAAAAACATAAATTCCTTAGTTAAAATGACAAAAATAAAAACACCATACATGAAAGTAGATTCTCTTAGTTAAATTCCTTATTTGCTATGTCATACTTACTATAACTAAAGTACAACATCTACAAAAGCTCATTGTGTTGAAGCAAAAAGTCGACTCAAGCTTCCAATGTGTTTAATAGAGCTGAAAGTTAAAAACATCTACAAAATAAAGATGGGTTAGTGTGCAACATAATTTTGGTTAAAAGTAATATAAGAATATAAAAAGAATGTCTTAAGAATGTCATATAGTACCCCTAAAGATATTTATTTGCCATAAGTGAACAGTCTAGAAACTTCTATAGTAAACACTGAGATAAGAACTAGTTGAACAATATAAATATCATCTCCCGTTAATAAGAGGGGGTATCATGATTGAAGTGATATGAGAGAAAGGAAGAGTAGTGAATTATCTCCTACTAATTATTATCTATTCACTATTTCCTTTATTTTCTCATAATACATTAGTCTTTTTCCTTTCATTGTCCAAGAGGAGAGGAGGGGATCGTATCATTTGGTATCAAAGCTAAGTTTCAAGCTTTGGACTTGTGGGTTATGAGCCAACAAGTCCATAACCCACAAAAAAACACACTTGTCATCTTCAATGTTTTTGTCACTAGGTTTCACATTCCAAATATTTTCACCTAGCATTAAATGGAAGTGTTTGGTGAATTCTATGCTTGGACAGCAAAGCTTGACTTGTAAACACAACATGGCAATGGTGAAGGATTGAACCTATTTCTAGTTCTTTGCATCTAATTCAGTCTATTGGCACACTTAGTGTCATTCTTGCAGCAAAGATTCCAAGAACAAGATAGTGTCCACTTTCAATTTCTCAAGCGAGCTAACGACCAATATTTAGAAAAGAAAATAAATTATTCTACCCACAGTAACATGATTATAGAAACTTAAGAGGATTGAATATCAAATATTTACACAGATCAATCATTTCAATATGAAAAAATTACATTTATCTCAACAAATGTCGATTAGGATGGTGTTCCCTAGAAACAAGGAATGTTATATGAATTTACAATTCCAAAATGCTTCTCTCAAACATCATCACAAAATAAATCATAGTGCCATTTCATATAATTAGGAAGAAATAAGTCAAGCGGACTCCTAAATGGATTTGTCAATGTCAAACATAGAATAACTATTTGATCACTAAAACATTATGAACCTAAAAGATCAGATTACATATCAATCAATCATAAAGGGAAATTTTCTTGATAAAAAAATAAAAAAACCACTTCATATAGTTACCTAGCGGGCTGAAATTTAAAATCTTCTTCATTCCCTTTTTTATGGGTAGATCAATCTCATAATAATACCATTACAATGTCCTAGAAATCAATCCAATAAATAAAGTCAGCTCTTTCTAGCCAAGAAAGTAATGTGATAGGAACTCTCATGCATGTTTGAAATGTTTGACTTTACACTGAAGACTATAACATAATTTGAGTATTACTCTAAGACAACACAAAGGGTTGTTTTAATCACTCACTACTTAAAAAAATCTGTAGACACTAAAATCCAAGATACTTGGGAGAACACCTTAAAGCATGATAGAAATGATGATGAATAATCTTACCCAGCGAGAAGAGAGTCATTATCTTAGATTGGTAATGGAGATACAAAATGTAAGGTAGTAACACCTGTTTCCATGAGATGCCACTCAAGGGTGAACAGAAGACACATCAAAGTAGAAGGAAAAAACAAGCTAATCTCATGGTGTCTACTTTCACCTGTTATATATAGAGAGGAGGTTGTTAGTGATATTGGGCTTAATAAATTCAATTACTTATCGATATTGGATCTAGCCACTTATACCCGGCATAGATCTAATAGTCAAGACTCATGTATTAAAAGGGTCATGAACCCTAACTCAAAATGTATGAAGTATTTTTCTCTCTCACTCATGCTCTAATGGCTCCCTTGCTCGTGACGGGTGTGCCCTACCCCAAGGTGGGAGAATCTTTGACATGGTATCAAAACAATGAGTGCATACATTCCAAACCTCTTCTTAAGCCATTTGAGCTTACTACATCAAAGGTCTGCCTATATTGAGACCACGAACACTCTATTTTTCTATCAGCTAGGGTTTGAAGTTTTGCCTATTTTTGGTTGAGACTGTGGAACTCTAACTCATGGTAAAAGCCCCTAGTCTATCTTCGGTGCCAATAAGTGTACCAAAGGAGTACCATAGGTGGTTCGAACTCTCAAAAATTCTTGACAAATATAGGTTCAATGGATTGAACCTATTACAATGGGAGGAATACGTGGAAATGATTGTACTTGGCCAAATAAAATTAATCCACCTCAAGAGTGGTAATCCTCGTAGCCCAATAGATCCAAGACACACTACATGGTGAGAGGCAAATGCCATCATTAAAGCGTGGTTGCTAGAAAATATGTCACCATCTATTAGTAACTACTTCCTTCGGACTCAGATAGTGAAAGACATATGAGAGAAAGCTCACCGTATACCCACAAAGCAGAATGATGAGAGAAAAAACTCACACATAACTACCAAAACTATGAACCTTACTCAAGAGAATAAAACAGTGATGGAGTATGCAGCCGAACTAGAAACCATCTAGATGGAGGTTGATCATTATAGACCGACCATCGATTCAAATTCTGTTGAATAAACTTACATCTTGAAGGATCACTTGTATTAGTTCGTATCTGGCTTAAATTTACCTTTTGTACAATTGGCTGGTCAATTGTTAAAAAGGAAAGGGTTCTTGATTTCGAGGAAGTTGTGGGAATTATTAGGAGGGAAGAGAATAGGCTGACACTAATAAATGAAAATCAGCAAGCTGATAACTCAACATTGACAACAAAAAACGTAGCGGGAGTATTAGCCAACACTAGTTGTGGTTGAGAAGGGAAGAGGAGACAAGCTCTTCACATTCCAGCAAAAGAAAACAAGGCCAAAACTTAGAGCAAGTGATAGATCCAAAGGCAAATCTATGGTGCTCATTCAGCCAAAAAAGGAGACATTCGTGATATTTCTAGAAATTAGATGGTAAACCGCCAAGAGTAGGACAAGGGTACATGAGTGTATCTCCTTCCTCTACACATTGGCAAGAAATTAGCTCTACAAGTTCCACTAAGGGAGAGATGAACTTAACACCTATCCCTCAACTAGTAAATTCTAAGAATGAGAAAATTGATAGACTCAGGAAAGAGATTAAGAAGTTGTGGCAACTCATCACCTCAAGTACTATAACATCATTAGCAACCTCTTTGGGTAATTTTCCAATCTCTTACATTTTCCTCTCACTAAGTTTTCATTCTCCCCATCATACAAACATATATCTAAGGGATAAAGGTACATGGATTCTTGACTCAGGGGCCACATATCATGTCTCCACTCAAAAATTATTTCCAAACCTATGAACCATGTTTTAAAGGTAGACAAGTATTGACCGTAGATAGAAAACTTATACTAGTAATTGGTATAAATTTCATAGTGCTTCTAAGAATAGGAAAAATACATCATGTTCTTCATGTGCCTCTATTATTAGCAAACCTAACCTCACTTAGTAAGCTTAGACAATCCATCACTCATGACCTTTTGATTACTCTTAATGGCTGTATCTTATATGATAAGGACACAAGATGGAGGATTGGACTTGCTAAGGAGAGGAGAGGTCTATATTACATAGGAAGTATCAATAGAACACAAAAGACACATCCACGAATAGCACAAATGGCGGCAACAACACCAAGAGTAGCATCAAGGGGGAGTCACAAGTTGATTGAACCACTTATGTTGATCCATCGTCACCTAGGACATCTTTCTATCTTGACTATTAAACATTTATTCCTACAATTGTGTAAGGAACTTGATGACAATAATTTATTATGTGAGGTATACCAATTAGCCAAGCATAAATGATCTAGTTATTCTCCATCTCACTCAAGATCTTTTAAACCTTTTGACTTGGTTCATAGTGATGTGTGGGGACCAGCACTAACATCAACCATGAATGGTGGTAGTTGGTTCATCACCTTTATTGATGATTTCACCCCTATGACATGGGTATGGTTGATGAGTCACAAATTTAAAGTGACTGAAAAATTGAAAACATTCTTCCAAATGGTGAAATAATAATTTAGTATCACCATTAAATGTTTTAGAATTGATAATGCAAAGGACTGCATCAATAAGGATTTAGTCTAATTCTTTCTTACAAATTAAATGATTCATGAGACATCTTGTGTGAACACTCGTCAACAAAATGAGATTATAGAGAGAAAAAATCAACACCTATTAGAACTAGAGCACTTCTTATCCAAGGGAATGACTCAAAATACTTGTGGTGGGAAGCAATACTTACGGCCACTCACCTGATTAATAGATAGCTGTCAAAAATTTTGGACAAAAAAAGTCCTATTAAGGTCTTAGAGTCCCATATTCTAGGGTTAAAACTTAGAACAAACCTCACACCCTAAGTATTTGGATGTGTGGCATACGTACACTTATATCGTATCAGGAAATTAGACCCAAGGGCACTTATGTGTACATTCTTGGAGTACTCAATAACTCAGATGAGTACAAATGTTATGACCCTAAAATTTAAAAAAAAATGTCACTCAAGACTTCATCTTTGATATAGGTGAAAATTATTATAAAACAAATGAGGCCTTATAACCTTCACCTTTAGAGAGGATGGGTGATAAGACCACATCTCAAGGAAGTTATTTACTTGTGATGAGGGGGAGTCAAATTCACAAAAATTAAGTATAGAAAAAAAAAATGGACAAACCTATACAAAGAGAAAAAATGAATAAATCACACACACTACTTCAGTAAATGATATAACTCATCAAACTATGCTAAATCATCTATCAAAATCACAAGAAAATGTAGTAAACTTGTTGGTTCATCAAGACATCAATAAAAATATTACCTATCCATTGCAAAATTATTTCTCCTTGCATCGATTATCTATAGCTCACTCTTCATTTCTTACAAATGTAGACACCGTTCCGATTCCATCAACACTTAATGAAGCTATAAATAATGTAGAATGGAAAAAGGCTATGGAAACAAAAATGAATGCATTGATGAAAAATAACACATTGGAACTAGTTTAAGCTCCCATGCAATAAAAGGACTGTTGGGTGTAAATAGGCATTTACCATTAAGTATAATCCTAATGGAACGATAAAGAGGTATAATGCTAAGTTGGTAGCAAAAAGATATATACCTAGAAATTAAGGATTGATTATGATGAAACGTTTGCTCCAATAGTAAAATTAAACACCATGAGGATTTTAATCTCTATAATAGTATTGAAAGGATGATAGCTTCACCAATTAGATGTGAAGAACGTTTTCTTACATGAGTCCCTAAATGAGGAGATATATATGTATATACCTTCAAATTTTAGGGAAGAAAAAAATCAGCACTGTGTGTAAATTAAAGAAGTCTTTATATGGCCTTAAACAATCCCCGAGAGTATAGTTTGGCGAGCTCTCAACCACTATGCATGAGATGAACTATTGCCAAAATAATAGTGATCATACTTTTTTCTTTAAATATTCTAGAAATGAAATTTCTATTTTATTAGTTTACGTTGATGATATGATACTAACTAGAGATGATTTGTTAGAAATAAAAATGTTAAATGATAAATTATCTACATACCTCGAAATTAAAAGACTAAAAAATTTAAAATATTTTATTGGTATGGAAATTACATATTCTAAACATGATATTTTTTTATCTTAGCTGAAATATACTTTAGATTTACTTAAAAAAACCAGAACTAATGATAGTAAACTGAAAACCACTCCCATTGACCCTGATAGAAAATTAGGTCAAGGTGAAGACAGTTCACTAGTTGATAGAGGAAGATATCAGAGGTTGATTGGTAAATTAATTTATTTATTTCACACTCAATCAGATATTACTTATATGATAAGATTATTGAGTCAATTTACGCATGATCCTAGAGAAGTACATAATGTAGCGTCAAGATGAGTACTTCTTTATTTAAAGGGTACACCAAGTTACAGCATGTTATTTCAACCACAAGGGCATACTAATGTGGAAATATTCATTGATGTTGACTATACAGGTTCTATTGTAGACAGACGATCTATTTTAAGATATTATTCATTCTTTAGGAGGAAACCTTATCACATGGTGTAGCAAGAAGCAACAAGTGATTTCAAAATCTAGTGCAGAATCTGAACTTCAAGTAATGGCACAAAGAGTCTATGAAGTATTATGGATCAAAGAGATTTTAGAAGACCTTAAGATCTAATATGATTCACCTACCAAATTCTTCTATGACAACAAGTCAGCTACAAATATTACTCACAATCCAATATATCACAATTGAACGAAGCACATAGAGATGGATCATCATTTCATCAAAGAGAAGATAGCAAATGGGATTCTTACTAATCAATATGTCAAGTCTGAGAAATAATGTGCAAACATCTTCACCAAAAGATTACATGGACCTATTATGGGAAGATTGTTAGGTAAGTTGGGGATGGAAGATATTCATTCCCCAACTTAAGGGAGAGTGTTAGAATAAGTGATATTGGGCTAACATAAATCTAATACCCAACATAAATCTAATAGTCACTTATACCCAACATAAATCTAATAGTCAAGACTCATGTATTAAAAAGGTCACAAACCCTGACTTAAAATGTATGAAGTATTTTTTCTCTCACTCTCACATGCTCTAACAGCTCCCCTACTCGTGACAGCTATGCCTTAGCCCAAGGTGGGAGACTCTACGACAGAGGCATTTCACCAAAAGACATGACATAGACCTGTTTTATATGGCTAGTCAATAAAATGACATCTGTGTGTTTTTGAGTGAGAGAGAGAGAGAGAGAGAGGAGCGGAGGGGGGCCAATCATATCTATTATATTTATCAGTTTTCTCCCAAAGAATAAAAATGTGAGCAGAATACATTCTCTTCTCAATTTACATTCAGCCGGCACTCAACAGCCACAAGCATGGGAAACTGCTCTCTGCCAACGTACAGCGGACAGGCACATACAGAGAACATCCTCCCAAAGAAAATCAGAAGGAAAAGAGAGAAGGGCAAGAAGCAAAAGAAATAATCTCATCTGTTCATAATACGGAGTGGCTTGATGAGAACATCGGCATCATTTGACAGTGGACCACGCAAGTACAACTCCTTTGAGACTGAGAGGGAACCCAGAGGAACTCCATCATTATCATCATCGTCGCCATCATCATTATCATCTAGACTGATATAATCTGCAAATCGGCCTCCCTGGAAGAAGATGTCTCCTACTCCCTTGGCCTCTGATCCCACACTCAGGGGTAATGATCGAAGTGCATCAACCTCATCGGCAACCCCACCAAAGTAGCGGCCTTGGGTGTGATTGTCAGTCTGGGCCCGCTTCTTCTTCTGCAGACGGCTCGCTTTCTTATTTGCCCAACCCGGATGATGGAGCTTGCACGCAGGTCCCCAGGGGCACCTCCCAGAAACCTCAAACTGAGGGCATACGTAGCTGTGCTTCTTGCGACACTGCACGAAGAAAAGAAAGGGGAGGCAATTCGGTTCCTAAAAAAAAAAGAAACCTTCCACACAACCAAGACCTGATCTCTGAAGATGTGGACTGACTTCAACTATAATAAACTGACTTCAACATAGTGTTTCTGATAAGGATCATCATCTGTCAGTGGCAAGGGATTGGGCTTACTATTTTATGTAAAGGATGCAATTGTGAGGAACAGAAACATGCCATTGTTCAAATAATTACCAAAGTTCAAGGTCATCTCTAATTGACTCTTATAAAGACGTCCTACAACAAAAGCTGGGTACTATGTTCTGGACTAGGATATCATAATCTGAATCTCCAAAGGAAATCAAAACCAATCATATGAAAGAAGAATTCAGGTTTTTAAAAGAAACATGAGCGATGATGTATGATAGTGGAGTCATCCTTTGATGATATAGGATATTCTCTTTTATGACATCAAAAGAAGTCTTAAGCTCCCATCCTGACCAGGAACTCATTACCGAATTCCCTGTCAAACAATTCATTGTGCAGGAAGCCTGAAGAGCTTCATTAAACAGAATGAAGGTTGACATCATTGCAGCACCATAATTGAAGCAGTAACCGGCAGCAATGTTAATTTGGGGAGCTATGCAGAAATGCATGAGGCCATCAGAAGTACTCACATTCAAGAGTATCCTTCACAATGATTTCGAACGCACTTCTCCTTCCGATCAAAGAACGGAATAAAATAAATTCTCAAGATGTCAGGCCACCCTTTCAAGCTTAAGAAAGTAGCTACTTGTCTATGCCATCAGCTTAGACAAAAGTACTTGATGATTGTGCAATCTATTTGAACACTGTTAGTGAATCTGTTAGAAAAAGGACTCAGTAGATCCAGGTTACCTTAAGTCAGTGAGTCATTTAGAATATGGGCCCAATGAGCTCATATTATATTGTGGAGGGCCATGAATTTTACTGTCTACTTTTATTTTACAAATGTTTTTTTATAGAATAGTCTCAAAACAGATAACATTTCCAAGGTATGTTATGTCAGTATAAGGCGCCATTCATGGGTTCAAGAAGAAAGTGATATTCTTTTCAGAAAAAGTAAAAGATTGGAATTACTACAGTTCAGGAACCTACAATAGGAACGCAACAGCATATGAAGAAAGGAAGAAACAAATGTGTTTTAAATCATATTCACTGGGTACAAAGCAAGAATTGCCAAAGCTGAATGAGGACATTAGTTTTGATTTGGCCTTCATTACAGATTCAAGAGAACAACTGCACAATTCAGTTATAAGAGAACTACTCCAGGATTCTTACGTTGCAGTGTCAAAGGCCACTATCCTTCCTTACTTTGAAAGCGAGGATAGGTAGAAAGATAGAACCACCCAACAGTTAATTCAGTCCAGACATATAATCAGAAACGCATAAGGTAAAATTGGCATTAGCATCTCATTGGTATCCAAAAATTCAAAATATTTTAGTCTGACTTGGAATACAGCAGGGTGGTTAAGTATAAACGAAAAGATTTTTCCTTGTCGTGTTTTGTAAAAAAACTATCAGACAGAAGCCTCCTCAGAAGTAGATCTACCACACTAGTCTTTGATTTGCTTCATTTGAAATATTGGCTATAAGATTTTGAAGAGTAGGGCTCCTCCACTCTCTTATTATCCTATAGAACAGCAGTGACCTACGCATTACCCTAGTATACCACATATGATATCGTATCACATAAGATTTTTCCTTGTCATGTTTTGTAAACAAAACAATCCTAAATGTACACGTCCGACTCCAGTCCTTCAAATATGAATCGGATGATAAACAACTGAGAGAAGATGCGTCAAACAAGTCCACCATTATGCTAGATCATCAGATGCTAGAGCAATGAATCCACACCTGTGGAGGTCACATGTTGCAAATAGTCCATGTTAAAGTGGTATGCATGGCCACAGAATATTTATCATGTTCATTTCTCGTGGTTTTAATAAGGCGCTAGGTTCTTTTCTTTTGTTAAAAAGATAAAGACTAGAAGTTCCAGGCTAACTGAGGCTTGAAGCTTCGTATGCTCTGTTGACATGATGTGGATCAGTAGAGAACTATTATTCTTGTAAAACCTGTTGAGGCATTCAACAAGAGTAACCAGCAGATCCATCAGAATAAGATAACTCTTAATTTTCCATTAGAGCGATTATTGTGAAGGTCATATTTTATCTCTTCCTTCTGTTTTTCTGGCTATCCGTTGACCTGGGACACGACAAACAAGAAAAGACAAAGGAAAACATAAAGAAGCTAAGATAATATAGTAGCCAGCTAAGATAACACAATAGCCATGAATCGGATAATAGCCAGGTTTATTCTATCTTCTACAATCCCTACGTCCAACATCAATCATAACACAATCACCGCTGAAGCTGCTCATGGTAACGCCAGATGTTTGATCAAGGTAATAAAAAGAGATTGTTCAGAATGCCTTGATATGGCAACTACATCCAGAGCCATCACGCAACTTTTAAACTATAACTTTGGAAGATTTAATATTTTAATTAGAGGCTCTCACAAACATATTTTCTAGCATTTCTTCTCGTGATTTCTATTATCCGGCACACCACAAACAACAGGATCTAATGCATCAGCCATGAGCTTGGAGCTCCAACTTCGTCTGGCAGCCAGCTTTCAGGCAGCAAAACACAAATATCTCTTGAATTGGTGCAGCATTGGGTCGATTTGATCAATATTGCTATGTTGACTGACAGAATGTGAGCTTCAAGTGATCCAGTTCTTCAGCTTTATATGGGCATGAACAATATCATTTTGCGTTCCATTCAAAAATCAACATTTCCTAAGAGCTACCGTTTGAAAAGTTTATAAAGTCCTTGAATTTCACGTTCTTCCATCTTCTGGCTCCAACTTAAAGCATTTTTCTGAAAACGGCAAATCAAAAAAATGCAGAGATAACACAGTAAGAAACCTACCGGGTTTGAAGGGAACTAGATGTGTAGTTACCCATGAATATTTGTACGTCAAAGGACTCCAGGTCGTCAGTCACATATTCATGTACTTGGAATCATATCTCTACTGCTCCACTGGCCTTATTTCTATGTAGGAAATCATGACTCACAGAGATCTTCTGAAAATGAAGCCATGATCCCGAACTTTTTTGTATATGCAATTAAGTTTTTCACTGAGACAAATACCTGTTTATTCATATCATTTTGGTAAGAGTTGACCTTTGTTCCAGTAAATAGCTCAGTCCGCATTATTCAGCCCACAATTATTTAAACTTTATTTGGACTAGAGGACTCATTGCCAAACATGTAACACTGACAGTATGATACACGGTGTGTATCAACTGCCAAGATTGCCAGAAAACAGCTAATGAACTTGAGACTAAGGATCACATAATCATTCCCCATCTGTAGCATAGAAGAGATCTCCAGGTGGCTCAAAATTTTATATGGAACTTTCCACGACAGCATGTATGGCAGAGGACAAGTAATAGGACAGGCTGAGCTCTGAGAAAAGTGTTTGTAAAATCGTCCAACTCTTTCTGTTATGTTACCAACTCGTATGAACTGAAAGCAACATTCTTTTCGCATTCTGAGATAAAGCAAGAAGCATCATACTGAAAAAAAAAACTTGGCAAAAAAATCACCAAACTTAAACAGACTATCAAAATATTTAAATAACAAAATTATTTCCAGTAAGAAAATATTGCAGAGATGTGAAAAGATGCAAAAAAGATGAAACAAAAGGATAAGTATTCATCTTTATGGTGCCTAAGAAACGACCCAAATGAACAACACACGTAGAATTTATTTAGAGAGCCCTCAAAATCAAAGCATACCTCATCACCATCCCTGCAGTAGCCCCTGAGGAAGCCTTCGCAAACAGAAGCTTTGGAATTCACATTTACATGTCTATATGGACAATTGGTATTGGTACATAGCCCTGTGAACAGTATGGAACGTCTATGGGTCACTACTTTCATTCTCATCAGAAGAAATATATAAAACAGCAATATATGTTGCCAAAACAAATAAGAGAAAGTAACCTTCCAAAAAATAAGAGCAATCCGGCATTCTTTCTGGAATGACCTACAATAAAAAATATAAAATACATACGTCAAAAACTGCATCTATGAGAAGGATAAAAAGAAGAGAGACAAATCAGATGCTATTAACCTTATGAGTTAGTTTGCAGTTGGGGCTCGAGCACAACCCTTTTAAGAACTTCGTGCAAATAGCAACTTTTGTTGGGTCATGGATATATGGGCATTTTCCTTCTTCCTTGTTGCACCTACCAAATCGAGTAAAGAATTGACAATACCGTTGTTTCCTGATGGATCGTAACCTGGCAGTGTGTAAACTCCACCGGATCTTTTCATTTGCCAAAATGCGAACAAGTTTTTTTGGATCTCGGACAAGCTGATTACCATTGCCAACTCGAACATATCTGCCAAGATTATAGCGAATCAAGTACTTAAACAAATGGGAAACGTTGGATGGGGTGTATGGGCTAGTGTCGGCTGGGGGTAAGCAACATACTCGTCATTGCCAATTGACAATCTCCTTGGCACAATAGACATCTTCCTACCAAGTACAGGCTGTCTCTTAGCAGCCACAGGTGTTTGCTCATCTGCTGCAAGCACAATTATAAAATCAAACTAGTCCTGAAGTTTAAAGTGCCAAGGTGGTATTTAATCTACTTCTCAGTTCCCAGATGGATAGATTAGCGAAAAAGTATGGCCTAGGAGCCAATCAAATGTATTTAGTCTGCTTTTCTGCTCACATCTGGGAATTAAATCTGAACTCTCACAGGCAATTCCACAAGTTGTAAGACATTCAAAAAACACAGCACTTTGTATATCGAAAACGAGCACTAGACAATAGATGAGGCAAATTAGCAAAGAAGCAAAAGGTCTGAAGTCTTCCTCGTTGACAGACCAAGAAATTTATGTTCCCCAGGTTTTTTACAACTGTTTACGTTGTAAGCTTCATCTCCAAGCGCAGGAATTGAAATATATATTGATATTAACAATTACTTTTTAATTTTGCCAGTCAACTATCATGAAGATATCTTTTTCATAAAAAAACAAACCATTCTAAATGCAAAGTGTCTGAAAAAATATGACCTGGATAGAGTCACATACATTGATGCTTATTTCTACGAATTTAAATACAAAATGTACTGTTATGGGCACGATTGTAAATAGCCAGACGGAAAAAAGATTGACCAATCAAGGCAATTAGATGTGCATGGTATGTCAATTCTACGAGCCCTTGGTTGTTCTCTTTATCGTACAATTAGACCATATTCAATGAAGATTTACTATATCAACAACATGGTTTGCTCAAAACATAACAACCTCAATCAAAAGTTATGCAGGATAATCCGTTGTGTTATGACAAGTTACACATTCTCTGACAACTTGAAATAAGTTACAATGCCACATTGCGTATACTACAACAGAACCTAGAGATATCGCATTTGTTACAATTACTTATTCAAGATCATCCAAAAAATACTGGCAAGGCACTTGCGAAGGAAGAGGACACCCTTTCAGGCAAGGAAATAGAAATAAATGAATCATCCTCACCCCGTCAAGAGAAAAAAGGAATTCCCGCCCAAAATGTCGAGATCAAAAAAAAAACAATAACAGCTTATTGACAGTGGCAAGTATCCCTAATTAAAATAGCACCAGTAGGGAAGGTCAAGAACATGAAATAAATTCTGCACTTCAAAGCATGATTGTCAAAAAACAAAACAACTACAAGACCTACACATTTACATCAGAACTAGCTGGTTACAATTTGAATGAATACTTTGATCGGTGATGAAAAGCCACCTGGTATTCTAACTAAAGTACGCCTAGATGGATCCATTTTGTAGTGGATGGCACCAACACAAAAAATACGTTCACCTGGCAATGACACAAAATCCCGTCAGTATTCTAGTCGGGGATGTCCTTGGTAGAAAGTCTTACCATTTCAGGTCCTCAAATAAGTTGGAGAACCCACAAGAAAAAAAACTCCAAGATTGCAACAGAAGTTTAAGGGAAAGACAGTTATTACTCATGAAGACAAGGTTATCACTTGCCCTATGTTGGCAGAGCTGAATACCAAAAGCTGACTTACACTGCGAACTATTTTCTTTTTTCACAATAGCATCAGTAAAAGCTGTCCCTTTTTGCTTCCTTTTCTTCCTCTCATGTTCTACGATGGCTGATGCCACTTCCTGAAATAAAGACCTCAGTATTTACCAATACTCGACAAATCAAAGAGAACGTTTAGCTCAAAATAAAAATGCCGTTTCAGATGTTTCATCACAGTAATGACTTATAAGCTACTTGAACATCCCGTCAAGATGAAAAACAGAGTTCATAATGCAAGAGAAATTGGTACATGTGAAAAAAGGTAATAAACGTCAAATAAGAGAAATTGTCCCAAAATTTATTATGGACCCTTAACAGAAAAAATGAGTTTCAATCGTGAGAAGAACAGTTAAATCTCAAAGATAAATGCATAAAGTTTGAACCACACAAAAGGTCAAATAAAGGGATGCAAAATAGTGAGTTCATAGTGAATGTTTCATACTTTGTCTCATTGGACTTGTGGTGAATACTCAAAGAGTACAATCCTGTTTTCTGCCCCAAGGATAAATTTGATCTTTCTTTGCACAAACCCTCATGGTTCCAGAGACAACAAATGTGTTCATAAATTTCTTAATAATATACGCTACTGGAAAAAAGCACGGAATTAAAACATTTCACTAGCTAAAATGAAATTATAGAAACAAAAAAATCATTTTAAAAGATATATTTATAAAAAGTTCTACAAATTTTTCGCAAAAATTATAGAAAATTCTTTGAATTATGGTTGCAACATAATAATTGGTGCAGAGTACGGACCCTAGTATATTATAAAAAATTATGGATAAAGCTACCCACATCTTTCCATTTCAGCTAATAGTACATCCATTAATTCACACACATTTTTTAGTCGAACTATGTTAATCAATTAGCCAGCCGCCTCATCTTGCTGTAAGAAAAGCCCTAACACACCTTCGTACGTCCCAGATGCTCAGAAGAACAAAAAAAGTAAAAATGAAAGAGAAACAAGAGATCATTCAACAGCAGCATATTTGTTGCAGATGGGACCTAAAACAGTTTCTGTTAACAGAACAAGAGAAAGGGAAAATCTATTGAAAAAGTAAGCCACAAAAACCTGCTGACCTCACTGGTCTTCCTTGAGCGCTTCTCCATGGACTTAGACCATTTCAAGCTAGACCCACCAATATTTCGCACCCCAGACATTTTTAGAGAAAATCCATTATTTGATATTGTATAACCGGCATTCTTCTGTCTCAAGAGCCGCAACTTTCTATTGAAAGAGGCACAGCAATATACAGATCACAATAAACTTAAGAAAATAACATACGTAGACTACTGATGGAAGGACCAAAAAAAAAAACTTCTCAAAAAACCACATACCTGACCAATAATGAGGGATGCTTATCCAAATATGAACCCTTAGCAAAAACACTACCACAGTATGCAGTCCTTTTCCATGGAAAAAGGTAGGGCAGAACCTTCCGATGCTTCAAGAGATTAGAACCTCCAGTATTTTCCGACTGTTTCCCATTCAATGTCCAAACAAGAGAAAATCTTGATGATTTATACGTCTTTGCCATCACTACAAGGATATCACCTCATTAGAGATTTAATCGAATATTAGGGAATGTTTTAAGAAGAATTTTTCTATTAAAACTAAATAATTTACAGGATTGTGATAATGTACATCAAGGTACTCAAACATACACAACTAAAGGAAAAAAACATGAAAAAAGTATCAGAAGCCCTCCTATATGAAGAAGGATGAGCCAAAGAAATCGTTAAACCTCAAAGAAGGATGAGGAACAAAACACAAACCTCTTTCAAGTCTAGTTTTACAAGACTCTTTGGCACCAATCTTCAAGGAAGCCATTTTGGAAGATCCATGGAACTTCTGTGCATCACTGTCTGAGGATGACGTGTCCCGAATTAGTTTGTTTCTGTTCCTCCTATAATGGAAGACAAGGGGTCTCAGAGATAATGCTGGATCCTCAGTTGTATGAACGGATGCACTATTGGCATCAGTCCCTGCAGCAAGAGCCAACTGACTTGAGCTATGCTTTATTTGTGCCGTTTCCTTTTCAAATAAAATGCTAGCATTTGCAGCCACAATGTTGGTGCGATTCTCTTCTTTTACTTCAAAATGTTGAGTCTCAGCAGATGAAGAGGCAAGTTCTTCTGTGCCAGGTTCACAAGGAGGATCCTCCATCAGTACACGAGAGCAACTCAAAGAAGGATAGGCTAACTTGCTGTTGAGAGGCAAAGGAGGTGTTTTGGGCCTTTCCAGAAAACTGCTCATGGTCCCTGCACTCTTAATGTTTAATCTATCCATACTGTCAACCTTATCCTCAATGCTGATATTTTTACTTTTTTCAGGCCCAGTTATTTGCTTCAAGGCAGATTGCGCAAAATATGAATGCGATGAAGGGATGACTGATGGTGATTTTCTTATGAGGCTATTGCCTTTGCGTATATAGGAACTGTGAATCTTTGTGAGCTTCTTAGGTGATTGCCGTGGCAAGGAAGGACCACTTGGCCACTTCAGCTTCCCGGGAGCTATTGAGACAGCAAGGTTTTCAGTTCGGTGCCATGTATTGTGTCTTGTACTGTTGGATGGAGGTTTCTTGAAAGACCTTGCACTTTGACTTGTCTGGCGGGGATACATCTTTGACATTCCAGGCTTCTGACCCACTTTCCTACTGGTTAACCTTTCTTTACCTGTTGCACAATGACTAGAACTTAAATGCTTTTCTATCTCCCTTGTAGGCTGAGGCTGTGTCTTCTCAGAAAATAATGCATCTGAGTTCCCCCTGTCTCTAGCTTCTGATTCAGATGCCTTGGGATCAAACAGGGAATCATTTCTTCTCATAGATTCCTCTTCCATTTTTTCAACAGTGCTACCATGGTGATTATTAATGTCATCTAGGGGATCACAAAATGCCTGTCCCAATTCTTTCAGGCACAATTCTTCTCTCATAGGAGAACCATTTTCAGAGGCAGCAAGTGCAAAAGGTTGCACCCCCTCATCAACATGTCCAGCTGTTATACTGTCAACCGAACAATGAACCTGCTGAGCCATTGAATTGGTGGATTGAGGAACTACATCCTCAATTCGCAGATGGAGACCATTAGCTTCACATCCATTCACTACCATCAGCAAGCTGGGATCCAAAATTCTATCCTGAGCTTGAATGGGCAACACATGCACACCTGTGCCCATCTTTTCCATCTCTCCTGTCGCTACACTAGCATTCAGAGAATTTTCTCTGTCATGGAAATTCATAGCTAATTCCTCCACTTTCCTACCATACACGGTATCTGGAGAAGAAATCACACAGGGATCAGATAAATGAATACTACTTTCAGAGCTCTCTCTACAGGTTATGTTGTCTTCTCCCCCAGCATCCTCACATTGGTCCAGGCTTCCCCTGCTCTCAACCGCTCCTACAGCAGAATTTACCTTACTGGTACCTTTTATAATATCAGCTCTTATTGGAACTACGTCATTTGAAGGTGATGTTGCTTTGGTAACTTCAAGGTGTTCTAGTGCCATTGTTCCTTGAGAAGAAAACATTAAACTCGGCCTAACAGCAACGGAAGTTTCTGCTTTCTTCAATAAGACTGGATGAGTTGAACCACAGAGAGGACTGGTCAAAGTAATCACCTCCTGACCTTTCCCCTGAAACATCGCATCCGTGTGAGTGGGAGTCTGCATTGAACCATTACGAGCACCAACTAAATGCCCTTTATCCTCACAATCAGAAGCTGACTCAGGACCAGAGTGGACTTTTGCTTCTTCAAGGCTCTCCTGGTAGACTTCATTTCGTAGGGTATTATCATGCACTTCCATAAAGTTATGACCATTACTTGTGGAATTTGATGATGATCCCCAGTGGAGTTCTTGGGATTGCACTGGATCCTTGAAAGGACTGTTTGCCGAGAGTATTTCACAAATTTGTTGCGTTGGATGAGAATCAAGCAAAGATGGAAAAAGAGTGTCCTCTTCCATATCCCTTCTCCCCATCACTTTCCCGTCTAGTAATCCCACTGATGCAGAGTCCTTCCGATCAGAAGAGTGTGATAGAACGTTTACACGACTATCTTCCAAATTTTTCAAGATTATGCTTGAAGAATCTGGAGCCGACAACACCTTAGTTGTTTCAGAAGATTTGATATTATTTTTCCCATCTTCCAGATGGTTCTGCTTCAAATGGGAACTTGATATTGACTCATGTCCAGTTTCCTTCAAAGGCTCTATTTCCTTAGCAGAATCATGGGATGATGCTTGGCCCTTGCAAATCTCATTCAACTGATCCACACCAACTAAAGGAGCAACAGAAGCAGCGAGTTTCTTTTTCTTATTTCCCTTGGGAACTTTCTTCTTCAGTGTACTTGTTGCACTTGTAGAAATCAACTCATCAGACTTCACCACACTTCTTGATGGATCAAATTCGTCAATTGCTTTTCCATTAGATATTTCCATAACGTTTTCACCCTCAACACACTCAACTACAGAGACTGATGTGTCCAAGATCTTCTCCAACACTTTTTTCTTAGAGGCAGCCTTCTCAGTGACCAAGGTACCCTTTTTCACCTTCTTCATGGTGATTCTTGAGCCAGAAACATTTTCACCAATAGTTAACTCAGCATCAGAGGAATTAATTATGGTAACTGCAGTCATTTTTTCCTCAGGACATTTTTCAGCAATCGTCATCCCTTGGGAACGATTCTTGCAGATTGTTGGAGTAGGTTTTCCAGTGGCCTTGACTTTCCCAACCAGGATTTCCTTTTCCATATTCCTCTGAATGTTACATTTAGACACATCAACATTTTGGGGAGATGCAAGCTTATCACCCATTAGATTAGCAGAGTTCTGTGCAACGTCTGATGGGCTCATCGTCATATTTCCCACTCTGTTTCTAGAGGTTCTCGGGCTGTCGAGCTTTTTATCAAGACTCTTCACTGTGCCGCTCGATGAGAGAGAAACCCTGTTCTTCACATTGTTCTTGGGTCTCCTCTGTTTGTTTGGCTTTATCTCTGGATTCAGGTTTGCAGAGATATTTCCAACATCCTTCAACTTATGAGTTCCTGTGGCAGCAGCTTCACCGTCAAGGTTCCTGGGGGTGGCAGTACCTGAGAAGGCTGATGCATCCCAAGCCACATTTCTCCCAGTGCAGAGAGCTTCTCCAGTTATCAGATTTGGCATGGATGGAAGCGGGGTAGCTGCAATTTCCTTGGCCAGTACCACATTAGATTTGAACGAGACGTCAAGCTCCACGGAGTCATCCATCCTGCTCTGGCTGAACTCAGAAGATGCTGAAGGCTGGTAATCAAGCAAAGGCGAGGCAGCTGACTTCATCTTGTGTCCACGTTTCCTTTTCCAGTTGGGTTTCCCGAATTGAAGTCTGGATAGAATGCTGGGCTTCTGCTGTGGTGATCTCCTCGGAAGAGAATGAACCCCTTCTTCCCACCGAAACCTATCATAATGGCCTCTACTGGTGAAATGATTCTCTTTAATGATGTAATTTCCATTCAAATCTAGATTTCGGGATTCCGTCGTCAAGCTAGTCCTTATCATCTCCATCTTGGAACGAGAATGGCCAGCAGAAGATGTAACCTCTGACAACAGGCGAGGGAGGGAAGGAGCTGCATCTCCTTGCTCCGCTGCAAGAATGTACGAGGATCGAAGAGAAGAATCGGCATCCCCTCGCCGGAGATCATCGCAGGGATCGCGACAACGCCAACTGACAGATGCCCCTGAATCGATTCTTCTCTGTTCCTTATCTTCAATTAGGCCCAAGAAAGAGCCCTTCCCTAGAGCAAATTCTTCCTCCCATCGGGGCCTCTTCCTACCCGAATTTCCAACCTTTCTTGACACGTCTCCAACCTCTCTCAACTCCATGGCATCATATCCCCGCCACCCGTCATGGTGGAACCCTCGTCCCTCCTCGAACACTCCGACTCTCTCCCGCTTGACGTCGTTTTGGATAAACACATCGCCAACGGAGCGGCAGTGGTCCTGATGTAACCGCGGGGCATCCCGGAGATCATTATGGAAGAAGACACGCTCGGAAACCCTAATTGAAGGCATGGGCAGCTGAGGGGCCTTGAAGACCATATGCTCCGAGGGACTGACGGGCGGGATGAAGCGGCTATGGTCGGGGAGATGGCCGGAAGAGGGGGTATAGGAGACGTACAGGAGGCTGCCGTCGTCGGGGCGGCGATGTAGCTGCTGGTGGTGGTGGTGGGCGGTTGGCTGAGGGGGCACTACCGCGGGGAGAGGCTGCGAGGCCAAAGAGACGTGGGACTCACGCCTGGTAGCATCCCGGGCCAGGAAGGTAGGTGCCGGCGGTAGCGGCGGCAGCCGGGGGGGGAGAGGCGTGTACCTGCTGCTTTGCCCATGGATGTGGTAGAGGTGATGCTGTTGACGGCGATCCATCGGCGACTCCTCTCTCTCTCCTCCGAAGATCTCCCCGTCCTCTCCTCTCCACTCTCTCTTTCCCCCTCTGCCCCGTATCTCTGTCGTCGTCCGAAGGGAGGAAGGGAAGAGGGAGAGAGGGAGAGAGACGGAGACGGAGACGGCTTCTCCAGGGCACCACCACCGGGGGAAGTTGATCTGGCCACAAGAGGGAACAAGATTAGGACGCGCCGCCGCATACGCCCGCATGACGTTGGTGCTAACCGCATATTAGGATCCCAGAAGCTGTTGGGATGAAATCATGCATACATCCTTGGGATATTTTTATTTAATTATTTGTCCCCTATCTTTGCTAAATAAAGGACGAGTAACGACTATTTTAAGAGAAATTCTCCAATTAATCTCGTACGACTGTTAATTTGCATCGGTGATTTTGGGGGGGGTAGGACTATTACTGCTGATTTTGCGGGACTCAGCATTATCCATCATCCTCATTATCGTCCTATATATATCCAGTCAAGAATAATTCCTAACACTGGAGAATCAATAATAGAACAATAACATTCTACCGTGCTTATGTTTACAACAAATAGACCAACAACGAGAAAGTCAACTATGTGCCAAATAGTAATAATGTTATGCGCTAAATGAGAAAATAAGAATATAAACATTGCTTTAAAATCAAAGCATGTAGAAGAAGCCTTAGAGGTTGAGAATTTGATTTTTGGCATGATTGAATAGTTTAATCAGCTTGAGAAAGGTAAAACTTGGGCATTAGTTGCTAAGAAGTCTGAAATATCTATGATAGGAATTGTGTATCTTCAAAAATAAATTAAGTAAAATATCTATGAGGAAACTTATAAACCAATAGCTATACTAGATTCAATCAAAATTCTATTAGCTTATCCTTATCATAGAAGTATCATGTTATATCAAATGAATGTAAATAGTGTTAGGTTTTATATCGCATGCATTACCAAGATGAGGAGTGAATTGGTAAGTTTCTATTGTTCCTTTTCTCTCCTAAATTTGCACTTTTATGAGATGCTAAACTTAGGCTAATACTAAGGTATTTCACACAATTTCTATAGTAGTTTGGTTGCTAGACCTACACTTGCATTTTCTGCAGCTCCCTTGGGTTTCACTAATGCCTTTGTAAAATTCTTATTGAGTTATAACCTTCAGTAGCCTTACAAATTAGATTTTAAAGCTCTTGTAAACTCAAGAATCCTCCCTAGAAACATCTTATTTCATAACGAGTTCTAGGGGAATTGACAATATTGAAATATTCAATTTAGTATTATTTTGATGATAGTAAATGTAGATAAGATCAATAATTAAATTGAACTAATTATGGACTGGTCAGGTTGAACTGTTAATTATATTTGACTAATTAAGATCAATAATGAGCACTAACTTATTAGGTGTGATATATGACCAATTATTTCTTATTTATGAGTATGAATTTAGTTGAATATAAATTGAAAACAACCCAAAGTAATAATGTTAAATATCAAAATAAGAATTCAAGGAATCCATTTGGCTCTCATAATCTTGAAATCTAGAATTTGATGATTTTATTGCTTAAAATTATTACATTGTTTATCATTGTGAAAAATATTCATATTTATAGAAAATTACCATTGACAAAAGGGTAATGATCAACACATCAAAATAATAAAAACTTACTAGTTAAGATATGGGTATGAAAGCCTAATTGATATTCTAAATGCCCATCATGCTAAGTCATCATTTTTAGCTATTATTGATATCAATTTAATCCAAGTTGTTTACTCAACTTAGGATTTTTAGCATATTGATAAAAAAAATTAAAAATCAATTATCATAAGTAATTGAAGTTATTAGTGTTCAAATTGGGATCCTGATTGTGTTTATTTAATATTTGTGATTTATTTATTTATTTTGTATTAATTCTAATATGAAAATTTATACTTTATTTTGAAATATATTATTAGTTATCTTTTGATGGTAATGGATTCCTATTAGACTTGCTCAAACCAGTAAACTTCAGATATTTATATTGATGATTAATCGTCATATGTATTGGTTTCTCTCTAATGATATCTGAAGCTTTGTATTGGTTTCTAAAACAACAAAAAATAGAAATATTTTCAAATCGAATTTCTTTATAAATTCAGCACCTCTGCAATGAGTAATGAGCTCCAAATCATCATCTCTTACCCCTCTACCATCTAAAGATCGTCTTGATTTTTTCTACAAAAATATAAATACAAATTTGAGCAATCTTTGAAGCTTGGTCAAACCAAAAGAAAGCAGAAAGCTGAGAAGTGAAAGTACACTCATATAAGTTCTTTGTCAACTTGATTCAAGTACTAAATTCTTCTACATAGATAATTTTTCCCATATGAAGATGAAAAGAATTAAACACTATTCATTATCCTCTATAGCGAATCTCTAAATGCACTCCAAGGGAATGTCATCATCAAAAAATACTGCATAGTGAAAGTTCTCATTATTTTTGTAGGAAAGATGTGCCAAAATGTTTATTGAGTTATTCAGTAGAGTTGGTCCCTATAATCAGCAATGGGACTCCTAAAGGGGTGAATTTAAAAGGAAATTTTGGAGTGAAATTTGACGAGAGCTTAGCCTTGAAGTCAATGGTTGCGATTGTTAAATAATTAATTTAGCAGAACTCAAGAATGAAGTATTCCTACAAGGTTCACATGTATTTTTGGAGTTTAACATATAAGTGTGAGATGTAACATCAATTAAATCACTTGGAATTTTGATATGTGATTCAGTACAATAGACTCTTTTAGACTCTTCTACAAGGTTCACATGTATTTTTGGAGTTTAACATATAAGTGTGAGATGTAACATCAATTAAATCACTTGGAATTTGTAGATGTGCCATCTACAAATACAAAGAATCAATTCTTTAAGTCTCATACATAAATGACTAAAGCCTAGGTAATGACTTTTCTACTACTGAGTAATCACTTTGAGTAGGTCAAACTTCCTAAGTACCTCTTCAGCATAAATTTATCTCTCACATCTGGTAGAGCATTAACTAAATAATAATTTCATGATGATAAACATGCATAAGATTAGCACATCCAAGTTAATATGTTTTATTGAAGTGAAATATGGACATGAGAGCTCACTCAATCTGTTATATATTCATGACATTAGATCATTAATTCTAAATCATTTTAATATTAAACTTATTGATTGAATTAAGACTATTTATTTTGTCAAGTATAATGTTTTAGATATTAAAAAATTTATTTTCTGTGTCCTTAATCATCAAAAATGCTATCAAATATATGGAAATCATGGTTCAAGGTATTCACTTAGAAAATATATAATATATTAAGCAAGCTCATATCAATTTGATCATCAAATTATTACCTCAATTATATATATACTATCGGTTCTATATTTATGATATTGAATCTTTATTGAAATGATTTAAATTGGCACAAAATGTATAAAATATTATGACTTAGTGGCATCAAGCATTGGTTTCATACAAGGATATTTGAAAGAACTTAAATGTCATATCGTATTAGATTTCTAACCATTTTATTTAATGTTTATTCTAAGAAAAATGGACATTGAACATCTTAGAGATTCGAGAAGATTTTCTCAGGTATTCACCTATAAATACCAAGGTTTTGAATAGATGAGAAATACTTTATATGCATTTATCTCTTTACCACAACTCTAAGCTTTTAAATACATCAACCACATTAAAAAAATCAATGAGAAATGACTGAAGTTAGGGCAAATTGTTGAAGTTTAAGAACATGTTAACTCCAACACTGATTGTTAAGCCCTCCGAGCATTTCTAAGTTTATTGTCATCTAGTGTAAACTCCATTGACAACCAACTCTCTTACGTGAAGAACATAAACACATTTAAAAACTACATCCTCCTCTTCAAAACTAGATAACTTCAAGTCAACATTAATATCTAAAAAAAATATACAATGATAAATTTTATTATATATTGTGGTATAAATATGACATTAAAGTCTTCTTTATCATGAATGATAGTTGTGCCCATAAACAACAATCATGTTTCTTAGAATTTGTTTCTAAATGAAAATCTGAGGATGAATTTTCAAGAAACTTATAAGTAAACAATGATGTGACTCCCCAAAGTCATGAATCTACAAGAAAGATTCTGAGTGAATCTTCAAAAGAGTTGAGTCCATTAATCAATAGTTATGATTGGACAATTACGAAAGATAATTACATTTTTAGAGAGTGGACAAGCAATAAGTCTAACAACTATAAAAATATAATGTATTCTAAGTGAACTATAAAAGTCTAATACCCATCATCTTAAGAGAAGATGAATCTTCTAAGATAACTTATTGAACAAACGAAATAAAAATAATAGATTAATTCAACCGCCGTCTTTATCTAGAGTCTTCTATTTAAATCTATGAGGACTTATTATGGGCAACCTTGAACCCACAAGATCAAAATGATCACCTTAAGTCTACAAGAAATACATGAATCCACAAATAAAGATGACGGAGACAATCTAAAATGAGAGAAAATTATTAATACTTCAAGAAATGTCTTAAGGTTGCAATAAAATGCCTTTAAATTGGCTGAATATTTATTAGAATGTCCCTAAAAGGTAGATTAATTTTAATGGCACCATAAAATAGATTTTAAAAATTAATTTAAAAAATATTTTATAAAAAAATTCAAAAGATACCTAAAGAAATAAATTTTCGATATCTATCACGCATTTTACTATAGGTCAAATATAATATTGAGCCGTCGTGTTCTTGTTGATTGTGAATGTGCTACATCGTCTAGGGTTTCTCCTATTTCTCTGCACTAAAGGATACATCAAATAGTGGAAACAAGGGAAAGTTGTGACTCGAATTTCTCTATAAATTCAGTTTCTCACCAACGGCTAATATTTTTCGAAACCAATAGATGTATATAATTTATCATCAGGACAACATAAGAAAGAGAAGTGAATGAGAAAAGTAGCACGACGGCAAAAAGAAGGTGCCGGGGAAGAGGACCTGCTCACCAGAGGAAGGAGCAGCCCGAGGATGGGTTAGAGAGAGAGAGATGCTATACATCGTGTTTTACGAGCTATACAACGTACTCTGACCACTGAGGGAGCTACCCACTGCACTTTTTAAGGCTCCGAGATGTAGTTCCTTACCTCCTTCCTGATCAGCTCCCGCACAAGCGCGCGCAACTCAGCGTCTCGGGGAGACTGCTGCTGAGGTTCCCCATCTCTGGGAACCAGGCAAGGGACTGGCTTCGCTATGTCGCCGCCAGGGGCGGGATCCCCATTTTCGCAAGGAAGCTCTTCCAGGCGTCTCTGGCGGAGGCAGTGGTCGTAGGTCGCGCAGGGGTCCGACCCAGGTGGGGATAGGGAGAGCGTTGTGGCCGGGCAGCTCCTCTTCTTGCCGCCGCCCTCGATTAAGGAGGAGAGGTCAACCAATGTGGGGATGAACCCGGCGCTACCTCTCGGTGTGGGGAAGATCTCAGAATGGTGACAAGCGGTGCTGACGTCGGACGCTGGTGGGCCGGTAGTCGACCGCTTCGGCAGCGGGTCGTAAGCGTTGTTGTAGGAAGCGGCGTTGGAGAGTTTCCACTTCAGCGAGAGGTTCCAGTGGTCCTTGACGGCGTTGCCCGTGCGACCGCTGAGGAGGAGGGCGATGACAGCCCACTCGTTGCCAAACCTGGCACGGGCGTGGAGAATAGTCTCGTCCTCCTCGGCGGTGAACGGGCGGCCGGGCGAGAGCCGATTATCCCACCGAAGGCGGCACGACTTGCCGCTCCTCCCAGGGATCGATCTGCTGATGAGGGACCAGTTGCAGGCCCCCTTTTCCTGAACCATCCCCCGCAGAGCGTCATCCTCTTCCGAGGTCCAGGGGACCTTAACTCGCGCCAAATAGCGCCGCCCCGCTGAGCCCAAGGCCATGAACTTTTCCCGCCCAGACTGGTTCGGCTCTCCTCCTCCGGGGTGGATGACGCGAGCTATGGTGTAAGCCGGGGGAGGCAGTGCAGAAGAAGAAGAATATGAAGAAAGGTGACTGGCTATAGCCGGTTCCGGTCGCAAGGCAGCTGTCGGCAAGTCATGATATCGGACACTCCTGGCGTCGACACGTGGACCAACCACAATGAGCTCTCAACCATTGGTCGGACTAGGCCGACAAATCTGAGACATGGCATTAGTTGATTGGCAGTTTTATTGACTAATCACGGGCATCATTAAGAATCCGAATCCATGACGATATGGGGGTCATGTGAGGGGGAGTTTGTGTCGTGTATGTTTTGGGTATTTATCGTGGAGAATCTTCGAGAAGAAAGCTGACTTTTGGTGCGGCGGCCGCCGGTCTGAAGAAGAGAGGGAGGACCGGAGGTCGCCAGTCAGCCAGCCTCTTAGTCCCAAGGTCAGATTTCTCCCGCGAGCTGCTTCCGTGGGCGGGTTACGCGGCTCTCCTCGTCTCCGCACATCCGGACCCCCCGAGGACAAGGAAACAGAAGAAGCTTCTCGACCGTTGACTGACTGCCGCGCTAACAGGGAGCGCCCACGATCTACGTTGAAACCAAGGGGCGGTGGACTGCTCCAACTTCATGCCGATTATAACCGACTCACCGAATCTTGTTCGTCAACCGTCACTTTCATGGGCATTCCTCTGAAACTCTCAAAGGTGCTATTTCTCTCTCTCTCTCTCTCTCTCTCTCTCTCTCTCTCTCTCTCTCTCTCTCTCTATCTATATATATATATATAACCATCTAGATAGAGAGGAGAGAGAGAGCCCTTGTCTTCCATCTTCCCGTTTTCTTCAAGGAGTGGTCTCCCATTCACCCATTCATAACTGTGATACCATATATATAAATACCGGAGGCAAAAGGGGGAGTGAGCGGGAACGGTCGCCTGCGAGTTCTACGGTGGCCTCAAGTCTCGTCGTCGATGTGGGTGGTCTCCCGGATGTAGTCCCTCATCAACCTGGTGTTGGATTCATCGACCATCTGCGAGGCAACGATCGCGAGGCCTTAGTGCACCAGGGTGAACTGGACGAGACGAGAAAGGGGAGAAGGAAGGGACGAGGAGGGATCGCGGACCTTGAAGGCGAGCTTCTTCAGATTCTCCCACTCAAAATCCTGCTTCTGATACGCAGATCTGACCTGCATTGCACGCCATGGATCACAGCTTCAGATGTAGGCCAAGGAGAGAATGAGGGAAACAGGTGTTGATGAGCGGAGGCCGCCCTCTCCTCGGCCAAGCTCCGGAGAAGACGGCGAGCAACGCACCTCCAAGATTCGCAAAGCTGCCAAGCCAAACGATCGATCGAAATGTCAATGTGATTGTAGGGCTGGAGAAATCCACTTCGTTATGAGAAATCAAATGAGGAGGAAATTAAACAGATTGGCTCTAGTGATCGGGGAGCGAGCCAGCGTGGAGAAATTTATCATCTCATCGATTAAGCAGGCGGCAGAAAAAAATCGAAACAGGAGGACTGCGGGAGGAGAACCTAGGGCTTGGTGTCTCGGAGATTCACGCATCAAGCTCCCACAGAACTTGTCCCCATCGTTCAGAGTGTTCCGGCTGACGAATTCGTTCAGCTCCTCGTACGCTTCAGGGTTATAGCTCTGGCCACCCCGAAGGAAACAGGTAAATGGCCCCTCGAGATCAAGTTATCGAGAAATCAAAATAAGGAAGAGGTGTCGGAGGTGTCGGAGACGACCTGAAGCTGGCCTAGGACAATCCTGACGGCTACGAAGGTGAAGAAATTCTGGAGATTCTTGGCAGCCTTGGATTCCGGCGACGCCTCCCCGAATCCTACAAATCAGGAGAGATGAAACCTTCAGCGAGATAACGGTATTGTTGATCAGAGATCTTCGGGGGACTCAAAAGGAAAAATGACAGAGACTCTTGACAATCCCAACGGCTTTTTCCAAACAGGGAATCAAGAGGACATGAAACAAAAAAGCATCGGGAGCAAGCACCAAGAAGAAGGAATAGACAACCTGGAACAAACATCTTCTGGCAGCGAGCCGGCCGGAACCGCCGGCGTTGCGGCTGCAACCTCCATGTCGCCCGGAAGCCAAAAGAGGATCCTCTGCTGCTGCGGCCGCCTAGCCACCGGTCAGGAACGGCGGCGGCGGCAGGCCCGCGCCACCGCCTCGCCGTCGTGGATGAGAGGTATCGGGCGGACGTGCCGGCCTCCATGCCGAGGACAAGGGCTGCGCCGCCGCCGACTTCCATCTCTACGCCGCTGTGTGGCGGGGGAACTCCTGGTCTCACTTGAGCGAGAGATATTTTGGTCAATTCCGACCGAAGAAGAGCAGCAGGTGGCCGAAGTGGAGGTGCGATTTCTCTGATCGATTGATTTACCACCGTCCGATCGGATTTTGTCGACTGATTGAATTAAAGCCGTCAGATCGTCTAATTGCCTCCTTGGAGATCAAATGATCATGGTCTTTTCACATCCTAAAATGAATGCCCCGCATAAAAACTTTCCCGAATACCCTTCCAAAGCGTGTAATTTTACCTGTAATCAGTAGAGCCACAGGATGGTCCTTTTCTCCATAGAACCGCAGTCCGTTTGATCATGATCTCATGTGATTAGTAACATAGTTATTCACATCTACGTAAAGAAGAATGTGCAAGTTTTTGTTCACCTTCATAACAAATTCATTTTTGCATTTGAAAACTAGCAAATGCCGAAAAATTAATTCGCGATTACCTGCGAGATTAAATTTCTGGACATGCTGAGTATTATTATAGCCAGTCTGTGCTATAATAATGGCATGTTGAGATAAATATGCTATCCAACTATCTAAAAAAGGATTGATGAGCATCTATATCTTCGCCTGTTGTTTTCCAGATGCTGAAGAATCCGATGAAAACATCAATCTAGTGGTAAAAGTGGTGTTTGGATCTTTCAAGATGAAAAAAATTCTACCATCATCATGCACACTACCTCAATGATCCATGTTTGAAATTCAAGCAGTTCTCTTCGACATTCGAGGCATCTCAACATCTACAAAAAGGAATAGGTTAGCCCAACAAACTGAGCACAAGCTGTGCATGATCTGAATGCTGCTATGGTTTTTTACTGTAGATGGGTGTGTAAGAAGAGCATTTATGATGGCAGAAGTCATGGAGACAGAAGAAGGTTTATTGCACACTATACAAAACAGATGGGGAAGATGGCAGGGAAAGAATAAAGGTTTATGATGGGAGTAAATCTGCGCTTAGAATGGCGGGGCGAGAGGGAGAGGATTTCCTTCCTCAAGCTCCCAACCAACCCCGCCGGCACTTGATGAGAGGCTCCTTCAGAAGGTAGCGTCCGCTGGGGCGTCCCGCTCAGGAGTCTTGTACGTGAACCCGAACTCGTCTCCGGAGCGCCTCTTGCTCAGGCTCGTCCTCTGCACCAGCCGGATCAGCGACTGCGCCACTTCCGACATCGGCGGGCGGAACTCCGGCTCAGCCTGTGCGGCAACACAAAGATGGATAGAGAGAGAGAGATCATGAGAGAGAGAGAGAGAGAGGAAGAAGAAGAAGAAGAAGAAGAAGAGCTCAGAGTGTGGAGTTGTCGGCAGGAGTACCTGAACGCAGAGAGCGATTACGTCTGCAAAACGAGAGAGAGATTTGGCCGGGTACATGCCGTTCAGAGCAGGGTCGACCATCTTCGCCAACAAGTCGATGTCGTGGAGCTGCGGCGCCGCCCACCGCACCAGCGACTGCTCCAACCTCGCCTTTGAACTGAAACATACAGTCACATTTAGCGGCTTGCGGCTAAATGTGATTATTGGGAGAGTTTACCTGTCCAGCGGCTTGCGGCCGGTCAACAACTCCAGCATCACGACTCCGAAGCTGTAGACGTCACTCTTCACGGTGTAAATCCCGGACATCGCAGACTCGGGGGCGCTATACCCGAAGGAATCCATCATCCTGGTCGAATTCTGCCGATGAAACGATTGAAGTTTTCATAAAAAATAAAAAAAGGAAAAAATTACGAACGATTTAAGGATAAGCTTGAGCTGACTCCAGCTTTAATCGAGCATCTTAAGTTCCTCACTTTACCTGTCTCTCTGTGCTGGGGATCAATGAAGCCAATCCGCAGTCTGATAAGTAAGGATTGAGCTCTTCGTCAAGCAATATGTTCGCAGATTTCACGTTCTTGTGTACAACCGGCGGCCCGCATACTTCGTGCAGATACCTGAAAAGGGGCCCGCCAGAAATGGTCAACCACAGGCTTCAAAGCATCCGAGGGGAGAGGAACGGAACCAAAGTATCAGACCATCACTTGCGGCGGGGACTTACTCCAGAGCCCTGGCAGTGCCGAGAGCCACCTTCATTCGGGCATTCCAGGAAAACGCCCTGCCGCCGTCATCTGCATAGTGGAGGATCTCCTGGAGGGTTCCATTCCGGATAAACTCGTGGACCAGGAGCCGTTGACCATGCTCCAAGCAGTAGCCCAGCAGTGGAACGATGCTCGAGTGCTGAAGCCTCGAGATATTTGAAACAGCTTCGAGGAAGCTCTCTTCCTCTTGTACCGTATGAGCTGCTGCGCTTTCGAGCGTCTTTACAGCGAAAGCCTGCACGTACCACCCATCATTTCATTCGGAGAATTAGCTCGCAAAACCAGAAGAGATGTGGAGAAGAATGGCGTTTAATAGATGTGGAGAATAAGCTTTTGACTATGATTCGTTTATGATATGGAGAATAATGCCGTATAATTGATGGGCGATTAAACCTTTGAATACCTTCCCGTTAGAAAATTCTGCCAGGTACACGCGGCCAAGAGATCCCTCACCAACCAGACATTCTTGACTGAAGCTGTTCGTCGCATTTTGAAGAGTGGCGACGGTGTAGAAAGTTGCATTTATAGGTGGGACCTTTTTTCTCTTCACTTGTGCATTTCTGTCTTGTGTCTTGTCAGCTGCTCTTTCTTCAGGGGGTAGCGTCGATGGGCTTGCCATAGATATTCCGATTTTTACCTCCTGCACCTCCTTGTTCAGCGCTAGAATGTGACAACGAAGGGATTTTTTGTTAGGATGAAGAACAAATCCGAACGTAACAAACCATCAGGATCAGACAGAGTTTGAATTTTTATTTCCAAAAGGTCTATTTTTCATACATTTTCTATTATCTGTGCACTTTCATAAAATATTTATGGAATATCCCCAAAATGACATATTTCTTAAACGTGGTAGATGACATGGATACAAGAACTTGCCTCCAACATGTATAGGAAAATAAATCAACAAGGAGGAAATAAATACTTCAGCGTGCACAAGTATAGAGAAATAGTGTAGAGGAAAATTAATTACTATAGGACGAATAATTCACTCATGGCAATTAATTTACATCAGAGATCATCTTTCGGTCATTATCTTTTCAGACTTGCTTCAAGCGAGTTCACAGTCCATATACTGAAGAATAACTATCATAGATTATGTTACCGGCAAATGATGTGGTGCCTAAAATGTGAAGAGAAAAAATAAATATTCTGTATTGTTGAACGATGAAGGCGCACCTTAAAACAAATGAGTTCAGGAATGTAGGTTGGACAGCTGAAGTAGAAAGGCATTATATTCAGGAACGTGATGCACATGTTGCAGTTGTAAATTGAAATAAAAAGCGCCTTCTAGAATTCTATGGTTATTGGACCCTATTGAATTGAAGGCAGGGTTTTTTATAGAAACTAAATGGCCTACGACGCTCTAGGAACAAAGTGTGCCAGTTAGCTGAGAAAAACTATATTGACAATGATATACATCAAACCTAAAAGGACCAGTCTGATATCTATTTACATAACACACAGCTCGTACTTTCTTACAACATCTGTTCATATCGCATCCAGGGATTAGAGTCAAAGATTTGTGATATACCATATGAAATGGCGATCAATGGTTTATCAAATAAATATCAGTAATGACAGCAAATACTCGATCAAAGTTAGAAAAACTAGAAACAATATTTCCTTATTCCTTTTTGTACAATAAGATGGTAAAAAAACAAACCATTAGGGGGAGTCAGACAGGATATTGAATGAAAGAGGAAACAAAAGAGAACACGAGAGATTTTGGATAAAGTGAACACATAAAGGAAACCAAAATATGTCCAAATTCTAATTGACTCCATAAAATCAAAATATTCACTTTTACAGTCCACGGGGATCATCATATGTTCATATGCACATTTATGGGAAGAATGGCTCTAAACATCCTGGTGGAGTTAATTAAAACCAAATTTTTTTTCTGTCCAAAAGCAACCTTCTCCACAAAGTAAAATAGAATCCTATCAAAATATTCATTGGTTTTGAGTCCGCATAATTCAAATCCTCATATTAATTAATGAACCCCAAGTTATCATAACCACCCGGACAGTTGAATCCAACTTCAGAAGGTTGAAATAGAACCTTACAGGGAAACATTCAGAGGAGGTTGCAAGCGGACACCTCCCGCAGATGGGGAGAAGAAAAAAAAAAACTGATGTGTATTTTAGTAATGATTTCCAGAGCTGAAGAAAACATTTTATGTTGGTCTTATGGATAAAAACATGAGCTAGCGTACGGATTCTATCTGTTAATTTAACGAGTCATATGAGCATATCTTGACAACAACTATGGAGACAATAGAAAGAATCCCAAAAATACTCCTTTGCTGATGCATAAATTCTTATAAAAACCCCACATCCACTGATGTCATACAATTCAATTTTTTTTCTACAACTCTTTATAAAAACAACAGCTACTTGATCCATTTCCAGCAATTAAATCAGTTTTACGATACGACACTATTTGTCAATCAAAACAGCAGCTCCATCAAAAGGTTTTGATACTCAAATCCCATAATCAGAAGAGCTTCACGTACACTTCTCACAGCCTCTAGTATCAGTCTTAAATTTCCAATTTATTAGACCTTTCCAGAGAGTAATACACTGAACAAACGAACAGGTTTGAATTTTACGATTGCCAACCCAACAATGATACAGGATGTAGTTCAATTCAAATGTGATGAAACCCAAAACCGGTGATAGATGTAAAACATGGTAAATCAAATAATGATACTTTAACTAGCAAAGAAATATAGTTTTTTAGAATAATTCGATCAACTGGGGTTAAAGTTCTTCTCAAGAAGGAGCTTCCCACTGTCAAAGCATCAGCACCTTTATTTTGATGTGGAGAACTGGATTGACTGTTAGAGGACAATGTGTCTTTTACTCGATAACTCCACTCCGTAGGTGCGTGTGATGACATGTAATCTGACAATTGGTTCCATTCTCCTGAAAATACAACCGCCTATCAGTAGGGAACTACAGCTAATTTGCCTCACTTATAAAGCTTGGGTTATTGCATGTAAAAGTACTGATGAACTAAATGGAGACAAATTAACAACCACAAATAGATGATGAAGTCAAACACAATCCAACCCAGGAAATTTTGAATAAAATCCAGCATTAGATGACAAATATAAATGGTTAGCTTCAGCGCACACATACGCGTAACAAAATAGCCTAGAAGAAAAAAAAGAGAAATCCAATTGTGCCGTGATGCAGATATTAAAGCAAATAATAATTTTTAAAATTAAGCAAATGATACGATAAGATAAACATTATACAGATTTGAAAGGTTATGTTTAGTATTGATTAACAGAATAAACAGATATCGGTCAAAACTTCAACAGTGAACAAGAATATTATATTCAATAGAAGCTGAACTGGAGGGTTAAAACGTTACATTAAGAGACTGCTATTGCTACTTGAAGAAGTGTGTGGCTCAACCTCAAATGGGATAAAAGAATTATCGGATTTGATAGAGAGGTAAAATGTCGATTTGTGAATAAAATATAATGAATCTATTACTAAACATTTAGGTTGCATTGTCAAATATTGGAACAGTCTTTCATCATTTTAGATCCCAAGGTTTGTCAAAATAGATGTCCACATCCTAAATATTCCTATTTCCTGGGAGGCAGAGATAGGATGAATAAGGGTCTAGACTTAATTCATATTGTGAGTACAAGATTAAGATTGACGTTGGTGATAAACTAGTTACACTGAACAGTTCAGTAACGGCTGAAAATCTGGTTGGATCTAGGCTTGATGCACTAATGGTACCATTTTATCTTGGCAAGGGAAGAACAGCACGCCTGATCAGATGATGATGAAATTTCTAGGAAAATTAGGATTCAAGTTAAATTCAGAAGAACTTATCTTTGGTTGTAAAGAAAAGGTAAGTTAGTAAATTATCTATAAAAAGGGAAGATGGAAAGGAAATATTCCCTCCTGTGAGAGGATCACACTATTTAAGGCTGCATTAACCGTTTGCTGTTAATCTTATTCAGAGCCACAAAGACCGTCCTATGGCTTACATGTAGAGTTAGCACAAATTGGATTATTCTAATAGACAGTAGAGAAAGGTGTAGGTGATGATATTTATTTGGGAAGACGTATGGGTTAAAAAAGAATAGATCCCATGCTGCTCAATTTTTACATGTAGAGACAATCATTGGAAATCGGTACCAAGAATTGAGGGCTATATAAAGGATAGGATGCAAAAAGATTTTGATTTTTGTCTGCGATGTGATCGGAAAAGTTTACTTTGAAGGAAGAATGGTGAACATCAGCCCTAAACGAGACATTCCCAATACTTTGGAGCACAGCAGAGGTTACTAGTACTTCAATGGTAAATTTACTTTGCTCCAAAGGTAGCAGAAAAAGCCCAATGTCTAAAGTGCAAAAGTAATCAATGACAACAAGAACCTCAAAAGCTTAAATTTCTTCTCGAGCCTGCCTATTTCAGAAAGAACAACGCCAACAGAAGAGGCAGAATCGTGGAGATGAAAATGACTTCCCAACTTCATGCACAAAAGGGAACCTACAAATTACCTCACTTCGTGTATTGATAACGAGCTTAATAAACACCTAGAAACTTGGCGAGCGCAATGGCCAAGAGAAACTAGCCTGGACAAGTTCACCTTTTAAAGTAAAGACTGGCCAGTTTGATCCAAGTCCTTAAATTAGAAAGTAAAAAGTATAAATTACACCTTTCATAATAACTTGTTAAATTTTACAGAGGATGCATGGGTAGCTGTAGAGTCAGTTGGCCACAAAGTACATTATGCTCTGTGGACCATTTCTGTTTTGAATGTACTACAAATAAAAATCCCTCTTATAGAAACTAATCATGGAAAAATCCTATAATAAAAAGCCAGTGTTCACCAGTTTCTCTGAAATTAAACGATAAATACAAGAATGAAATGAAACTATTGAAATTAAGAAGGGAGGAAATTTCACCTTTATCCTTGCCATGGGCAAGAGAACTTGGAGAATTCTTTGAGAATTTTTTCAAATCACCTTTACCACGCTTATTACTACGAAGACAGAAGATAACAACCAGAGCAGCACCTAAGCTGATGCAAAGAGAACCCAAAACAATGCCTATTATTGGACCAACTATCGAGCTTCCCCTATATTTGCTTTTATTTTTACTAGGAGTTGATCCATCAAATCCCCTTGAAGATGACTGTGTACGATTGCTGTTAGAGCTTCTAGCAGGGGTTGGCACGGGAGCAGGAGCAGGAGCAGGAACCTGACTGTAGTCAAAGGAGTTGCCCTCAATCCTGTGAAGGAGTGTCTATTTCGTCAAAAATTGGGCAAAAGCAGACAGCAAAAGTATTAACGTTGAATGGACCACATGAGCCACTGACCTCAAGTCCGGAATTGAACGAATTGTAGGGGGGATACGACCAGAGAAATGATTATTTGCAATATTTCTGTTAGTGTAATATTTTTAGACAAAAATGAGAACAGGGAATCCATAAAATAAAAACTCAGCATAAAAGTGCATGTACTTACAATTTATTTAAGCTAAGATTCGAGATCATATTAATTTCTCCGCTCAACTGATTGTTCTGCACGTAACTGAGAAATGTGTGTCAAAATTCATGAAATAAACAGTGAACAAGCTAGAATATGTATAGTTTTCATTCATGATGAATTCACAGAGGAGAAGAAAGAGCACTAAACTTACAGGCTAGAAAGCTTTGACAAGGAACCAAAAGAATGGGGCAAAACACCAGATAAGCTATTGAAAGAGATGTCCCTGTCATTATAGATGTGCCAATGATTATGAAATTTCAAAATAACTGCTGAGAAAAATACTACAGAAGTCATGGTTTACTTCAGTATCCTGGAATAGGAAGCGGGTTTAAAGAAAAAGAATCAAGAGTTCAATAAACTATAAAGCCAGGCATATCCAACGGTACAATTTATCCCTGTTTCTGATTATGTTCTCTGATAAATAACATTCATAACTCAGCCATGTAACTAAATCAATCTGATCAAATGTTTTGCACAATCTTATGAAATCTGCAGCCAGGGAAGGTATAACCATATATTTCATTCAATTAGATTGCCTGAGTCATCACTTGTTTCCTGATAAGAGATTACCAACATTGAGAAACAAATGAAATGGTAGCGAAATCCAATACTCAAGGCAATTGGATTTTAAAACAGCAAATAACTTGTACAATTAAGCATAATAAGTTTCTACGACTCGTCACAGGGCGATAGGGTAGGAATGCCAAATATCTTACAGAACAGAGAGATCTCGAAGATTTGCAAAGAAGTCCCCAACTGATTGCGACAGTGAGTTGCGGCTGACATTTCTAAGAACAGAACTTCGTCACTTATGATAGTATTATGTTATTACGATGATAAATTCCCTTAATTAACCAGCACTCACAGATAATTGAGAGAGATCATGACAGAAAATGAGTAAGGAAGATTTCCACTGAAGTTATTTCCCCCAAGATTCCTGTGACATTGGAAGTTGTACATTAAAAAAAAAATAATAGGAGTCAAGAACAAACGAGTTATATCTGATAGAAAATTACATGTGTGTAAGATTTGGAGGCAGCTGATATGGGATTGCGTCATGTATGTAATTATTGCTTACATCCCTGTTTGGCAAGGAAAATAAAAAATTAAATAAAAGGAAAATTTATCCTTTTGGAGTTAAAAGAAGATATTTCCTCACAGAATTTTCAAAGATAAGAAGTTCGAGAGCATGTAGCCCAGAGTCCCCTTGAGCTGAAGACCTGGGATTTGACTGACATGCACCAAATAAAATCATAAAAATTATATTAGCGCGCAGGGATAAGAAATCAAAGAAAGTTAGAACCTCCATGCACGAGTTTGCTTCTTTTACATGGAAACAACAGCCGTGCCAGAGCAAGAGACTCCTTTCCAAGATTCTCCACAGGGATCACCACCACTTGGCTTCCATCCGGATAGCTGACGAGGTTTGTTCAGTGAACTATACAAGATATGGAGTGCTTCAACTGCAAGCCACAAGATTCATCAGCACCAGCACCTTGAAACCCTCCAGAAGTTAAAATACATCACACGAAATGAAAATTACGCTCAGTTCACCTAACTTAAAGTGATAAACCAGCTTTGATGACGGAAATTCGGGAGCTAGAGTATTCTTATGAGTTTTTGTAACAGAGAATATAGTGTCATGAGATGAAGACACGGAATAGAAGACGGAAATATGTCAGATGGTTAAAACTTGGAAGTTCTACAACCGGCGACTGTAACTTCTGTCTGCAGAGAGTAATGACAACTTGTCGGTATCTTAGATTTCAAAGGAAGAGAAAGAGAGCAAGAAAAAGAAGAAAAGAGAAAACGAGGAGGAGGAGGAGAAGGTGAAGAAGAAGGTGCATTAGACGGAAAAAGAGAACAAGGGGAAGGGGAAGTACGAGAAACAGGACAACGAGGAGGAGAGGAGAAAGGAGAACGTGGACAGGGAGGCAGAAGAGGAGAACGAGAACGAGGATGAAAAGAAGCTGATGACGATGATGCCATTGCGCGAAACGAAGCAAAAATATACCTCACAATGAAAAGAGGAGGAGAGACAGACATAAAGAAGATCGAACGCACGAACCATCGGTGTTATCGGTGGCCGCAGTGACGAGCGGCAGCCCGTCAAGGGCCATCATCACGGCGACCAGGAGAATCGCCACGTTCGCGTTCATCACCATCGCCGTTCTATTGCTCATTCCCAATGCCGCATCCAAACTCCAGACTCCGCGAGCTTCACACCTGCCCATTCCCACCTTGTTGCATCTTCCCCATCCTAAGAGCCAATGGGAGAATAACAAGGAAAGGAGGGGAGAGAGAGAGAGAGCGGAGAAACGTAGGCGATGCCAGGGAAATGGAAAATATAAGAGGAGCGAGAGAAATGGAGGAATTGGAGAGGGCGGTGGGTTGTAGAAGGCTGTGCAGGTGCCCCGCAAGTACCAGACAAAGAAAGAGACGCACGTTGGAAGAAGAAGAAAGAGGAGGCAGTACCAGAGAAGATGGTGGGGGCATGCACGGCAGCTCTCCCTCCCTCCCTCTCTCTCTCCCCTTCCGGGTCCTCGGCACGTCGGGACTCTTCTGGCTGCCTTCTCGCCTTTATAAAAATCGGCGACAACATGGCAGTAAAAGCACGAGCGAGCTCCGCGCTGGCTCCACACCGCGGCTACTTCACGCCAGTAGAGAGAGAGAGGGTATTAAATAGTGCGTCGGACGCTGTCGTAGGAGCGTTGCATTAGTGGCAAGCAGAAGCTGAGATGCGCCAGTAAGGATGGTGATTTATCAAGCTGGGACATCGCACTCAGCTCCAGAGGCAGCCGAGGTAGAGAGAGAGAGAGAGACGGACAGATGGATATAGAAAGAGAGAAGTGAGAGAGAGGAAAGGAGGTGGTGGGTCGCATTCGTAGAGGAACGGAGAGAGAGAGAGAGAGAGGTCTGAAGCGGTGGGTCGCCAGACGCAGCTACTTCTCCAGGAGAATCAGCAAAGTGAGAGAGAGAGAGAGAGAGAGAGAGAAGAAAGGTGAGTAGAAGTGGCGATAGGACACCAACTGCCCTCGGAATGACAGCGTGGCCTGCGATGACCGGTGACCCTCCTTCCCCCTCCCAGGTTCCAACCGTTGACCTCTCAACGAGAATCGGTCGATGAGCTAACACCATGGCGGCCCCCCACTGCCGTATAAATTTATGCCGTTCACAACGGCATAGATAAATTTAAAAGGCATCTAGTTAGCCTAATAGATAAATTTTAAATGAGATGCGTCCCTGTAGAGCCCACAAATATCGACCAATATCGGTTGCCTATTCATCCATAACGGTTGCCTAGTTGCGTGCTGAGACTTTGGGCCCCTCGCTCCTTAGAAGACGGTGCCATTTTCAGTCATTTCAGTCATTTCAGCGCCGAATAGATGATAAGGCTAATTTTCGGAAATACCCTCAGCGTACAGCCGCGAAACCCAAAGAAGCCCCATACGAAATTCACACGTGTAACGTCGTAACGTGTGGCAGCGCGGGAAACTATAAGCGTCGGAGAGGGGCTGCGAATTGGGAGGCGCGGGCGAGGTGTCTCCGTTTTTCTACAGCTCGTAGTCGAGACCAGATCCATACTTCCAGGCTTCAAGACGCCTCCTCCAGTGGAATCTCTCCTTCTCCGGGAGCCCTTCGATCCATGGCCTAGAGGTAGAAAGCGCGCCACCAGCCAAAAACAGAGCAGAGGAAGCATTTCACGTTTCACGTCAGCAGGAGTTCCTTGTTGATTTGATTTGATCTGATGCTGAGATCGTCGGGGCACCATACCTTATCGCCGGGTCGACGAACTTTGAGAGGAGCGTGTACTGCCCCAGCATGAAGAAATGCACGGACCAATCGAGAATCACACCAAGTCCGATCTGAAATTAAGTAACCGAGGTTGAGAACTTCAGGAACACAGGAAGGAAGTCGATGCTCATCCAAGCTACATCCACCGAGTCCGCCACACGCGTGCTCTTCTCTCAGGTTGAATCATTGCTCAAAGGTAGATGCCATAGCCATATATATGACGTGAAAAAACGATGCAGAGGGGAATATGAGAATGCCTGCTGATCTAAGGTATCTGCATCTTACTGGCACTACAATTTATTTAAAATTACACCCCTTTTGGGTGGCGGTTAGCTTCCATAGATATTTGTCCATTTGTCCAAAGATCCCAGCACCGAGATCCCAGTCTCAATCGGTGTACGCAGAACGCTGCTCTTCAGGGAAGACGAGATTATCCTACGTAGAGAGAGACTGCATCCATAATGATATCTGACGAGTGCCTAGACTGCACTACGAAAATTGGGCGGCATCAAGATCGAACAGCAATGAGTGGTATAGAAAGTCTAATTGGCATGCTGTGAGCGTTATGTATCCAACATTCAAGGCCAGTTGCATGACATCTTCGGCCCTAGAGCTACGAACAGTATGAAAACAACTTTCATGCCATAATTGGATAGAGCTCGGGAGATTAGTACACGAAAAATGATGGATGAGTTGTGTTATACCTGGCTGAAGATCGACGGCAAAATCCCTGGTTGAGTCAGCACGACCAAACCCAATGTCTTCACCAGAGGCCCAAACTGTATCACGTCCTAACAAAGCACCACGAGTACAAGTAAGTTGGGGGAGTTTAACAGTAAGCAGAGGACTTGGAAGAGGGAAATAGCAATAATCGACTCGTGCTTATAGCTGCCAATCCAAAACACGCACATGAATCGGTATCAGTGATTACAATGTACTGACCTGGAGAAACGGTCGGAGCACTGGATCCCCAAGACTCTGAAATTACATGTGACAAGAAGAATGATATAAGGGCGGTGAGAAATGGTGTTTGGAACGAAATGAAATTTAACGTCTACCTGCATAGATATGAAATTGGCATGAAGTAGATCATTAATAAATGTTGATGAGACACTGGAGTGCTTCTGTGCTGACATTGCTCTTTGAAACAACCACGATGCTCGTAAATTTGGCTGCCCAGATATGTGACTTGCAATGAAAAACATGGATCATACTCTTGACTATTAGCGATGAGTTGCCAAAATGCTCACCATGTAAGGATTGAGCAACGATAAGCTGCGTGCATCAAGAAAATCGCCCATAACAGCCTCGTGTATTCCTTGTATCCAAGAAATGATGGCAATGTAAGTCCCGAAAATTTACATGTTGTTTAAACAAAGTTTCAATTAAGCAATATACTTATTTCTCGCTCAGTTTTGTTCGATGGGAGGATTAATATCAACCACAAAGAGGACCAACCAAGCTGGAAAACTTTATGTTGCCCAAGTAGATAAAAATGAATAAATTCGAATGGTATATGAAAAATATACAATATCGTATTATCTGAACAAGGTTCTGACTTTCCCTTCCTTTCATATTGTTGAAAATGGAGAAACGACCTCTAACACAGGATAGAGGAGAGAATAGCAGAAACCACCTCAAGATTCATTCATCTCTAACCCCCATTATATAGGGAGGAACCATACACAATTTTTGCCTCGCCGAAAGGATACTCAACAGAGGCAGAATGCCTCACCAAAATGATACTCAGCAGAGGCAGGATGCCTCGTTAGAAGGATACTTGGCATAGGCAGAATGCATCGTCGGAAGGATACCCGACAAAGACAGAAGGCCTCGCCGGAAGGATACTCAGTAGAGGGGGAATGTCTTGATGGAAGGATACTGTTAGACTCGCAGACATCATCCACATACCCCAAAAGAAGAGGTCAAAGCCCCGAAGGGTTCGACTCAACCTACCTCCGAATTCACAAACTTCTTTGGTGGAATACATGGGTCACATCGTACCACTGCATGGATAACTACCTCTTGTATCACCTACAAATAGAAGAGAAGTGGAGTGAAGAAGAGGTGTGGAAAATGAAAGAAAGAGTGCGAGACTACTCAACATCTCACGGGGGAGGCATCTGCTGTCACCTCTATCTTTCTCTCTATCTCTCATCATTTCTCTCTCCCTTCTATTCTCTGAGTTTTCGTGTGTTTCTCTCTCTTTCTCTTGTTACTATTCACAAGTCCTGTCAAGTTAGGAAGTCATGTGAGTTATCTGCTTCTTCTAAGTCCAACAATCACTCTCTCCGTTGAGCCACGGAAAAGGAACAATGAGCATCGTCACTAGTCGTTGTCTTCTACTATAGCAAGTACTGTTCATCTATTATTTAATTATAGTCAGCTGCATTTCATGTTCACTCTCTCTCATCTCAAATATAGATCAACAAGGGAGCAAGGTCCTATTAGATACTCAACAGAGCTAGAAGGCCTCACCAGAAAAATACTCAGCAGATGAAGGATCCCTCATTGGACAATGATACTCGATAGAGAAATAAACCCTTGCTAGACAAAGATACTCGGTAGAGGAAGAAACCCTTGTCGGATAAAGATACCCAATAGAGGAAGAAACCCTCGCCGAACAAAGATACTCAGCAAAGGAAGAAACCTTCGTCAAACAAAGATAAGAAGAAGAAACCCTCACTGCACAAAGATACTCAAACAATTAATGCCTAGCAGAGCCGATGCCAAATAGAGGTGACAGCAGCAGCAGCCCCCTAGATAGAAGACACTAGACAAAGCCTGAAACCCTACCAGAATGACCCGCTCTGATACCATGTTGAAAATGGAGAAATGAGCTTTGTCACAAAGGAGAGAATGGCAGAAACTGCCTCAAGATTCATTCACCTCTAACCCCCATTATATAGGGAGGAACAATACATGATATTTGCAAAGCACCCTCAATCTTTTTCAAAAATTTTATACAGCTTATAGTTTCTAACACATAAAAATCATAAATAAAATTTGAATGACTTGATACATTGGGTACATTTCAACCTATAGAGTTTAGAAGTGTGTTGATACAAACATGTCAAAATCTTTTAAGGCAAAGATCAAAGTTTAAGTAAATCTCTTTCAAAAATAAACATACATCTCTTACATTAATTCCATCATGTTGATTGTATACATAAATTTCCAACTCTTCATGCAGTAACTTTTATTTCATCTAGTTGCTGGGTGAAAATGATGCATATAAAAGATACTTAAAAGGTTTTCATCACATAATTGGCTAATTATTGGGATAACCTATTTTAAACCTTTGACAAGTAAAATATCTTCAATAAGAATTATTTTTCCTACATTTCTATGCCCCCAAGGAACTTCCCCTTCTATGCTGAGAATGAATAACTTCACAGGTAATGGACTCAAATATGGACATTGCGCAAGAGACAATGCGATGGGGTTGATGTTCTAGAGAAGTGCATAGGGCATGGCATTTAAACGGAAGTGAGGTGAAAACTTCCCATCTCACGGACGTGAGGCCTCTCTATTTTGTCCTTCTCTCTAGAAGTTAACTATATCTAATACCGATTTCCAGCATCTCTCCTGTTCTACTACAGAATCCATAGGTGTTGACCTGGTCTGACTTTGTGTGACTTCTATGGATTATGATGGATTATGAACCGCATGATTTCAACCTGCATGACAGAATTGACCCATCTCATATGTGACCGGCTGCTTCACAAGTCAGAAGCAGCATGATACAGCTACTGATCTGAGGGGAAAAAGAACATTTTTCTAGTCGCATGGATGCCTTGCAAGTAAAATTTCTGAAGGCATTTCGGACACTTCCTTTCTGAAGCACCACTCAAAAATCAATTATCAGGGCTCTTTCAATCCTTGCCGAATCAACCAACACACAGCCTTGGAGATGGTTTAATTTTCAACCTGGTGATGATGAATGAGGAACAACGGAGTAGATTCCTTGGCTTGCTTGCATCTCTTGGGGCAAATATTGGAGTGGCATGGTTTCTTTTTCAAATTAAAACTATTCACTTAATATGTTAATTCTTATTGCTCTTCTAGATACTTCTTCGTTGATATATGAAATTGCAATGTTATACAAGGCTAACTAGTCTTTTCAACCGATTTTTACTATATGATTTGTATGAAAGCTATACAGAATTAGAAGGAAACTCCTAAGAAATCAAAAGAGGTTAAAGCTCCTTAAAGAAAGTGAGAATCTACCTTTAAACATGAGGACATGGCCTCAAAGGGTATCAACACCGTGCATGCATGACACCCGAATATCATCAGATCGGTGCCAAACCAGCATCGTTTGGCATATTTCCCACTCAGAATCCTAACCTAGTTCGGCCATCTAGATGTGCCAACTCCATTTATATGGTCTGGCTATTCCTTCTACAACACATTCACAGATTTCAAAGATAGGACAAAGGATCATGCACCTGCTCCATTTTAAGAAAGACTCCAACCCAAAAACATAATCACTTCGATTCAAAGAGAGCGAAGGCGACATATTTTTGCTTTTAAAGTATGGAGCCTACCATTCCATAATATGTGAGGTTCACAAGCTTTAAGAATTTTTATATCAAGAAGTTAGCAAAGATACCTGTGGACAATCTTTTCAGGTGCCGGGTCATGCTCCCAAATCCACCAAAAGAAACTGGCGACTGAATTCCACTAGCATCACCAATCTGCTAAGTGAAAGTTAGATAATTGCATGCCTTTCATAGGAATCATACAGAAGAGATTTGCAGAAGATGAACACCTGTATTACACGGTCAAAGGCTGCTGGCAGGGGGCTGAAAAGAAAGAGTTGAACAGTCCAGTTTAGGTGACAGATTTGGGATCACAAAAGAAATACAACCAATTTAAAGGAAATAAAATTCATGATTAAAGAAAACGAAATATGACAGATTTGTGTGCACGATAGGGATCTCACAGCGTTACCAGAGAATTTTATGGCCCAAACAGGGTACATCGTTAGTAAAGTTGCAACAGAATTATGATTTCTACAAGCAGTCAGGATGGTACCTAAAGACTTGGACCTCAGGAATCATAGTTCCCTGCAGGGTTGGCTGAGTCAGAAACACCAAATGACCGGACCAAGTTAAAAGGGGGAGTTCATGCACTGGTGGAAAAAAAAAAAGAGTATAATAATAACTATGAAAATCAGAGCAGTCAAAAATCAAACCATTGGGAGCGGCCTAAATAACAAAAGACCTATCTAAGTGTGCCTCTCCATTGGTTAGTGGCTAAAACAAGCCTTGGCATTGCAAAACGTTTCATCAACTATAGCCATCCGCACAGATTCTCAAACAAAGAACTGGCAAAGTGAATCAATTAATCCTTCACAGACATCAAAGTAAATCCTTCAAGAATTGAAGTGCTAAGTTGAAAGATGCCTTTGATCTTCCAGGTTATGAAAGTATTGGAAGACCGCTCATTTTGGGCCAACTATCAACGTTGCTCTCATCCTATTTGGGAGATCGTTCACGTGAAGCTGAGAAGTCTCAACTCCAAATAAAAGCATTGGAGAAAAGTATGATCCTTATCTTAAACAGAGGATGACCTGCTCTCCCCTCCTATTTCTATGTAATTATGCCAAAGAAAGAAAGGAAACCATGACAAAGGAGATGCAACCAGTGAACAGACTGTATCAAGAACTCAGCTGCCACCTGAGTTTGTACTACTGACTTTGTGGTGATGATACAACGAATTTTCTAGTAAAAAAAGTAAAGAGCATGCTGAGTCTCCGGTTCAATGTCCTAAGGTAAATTCCATCAGGAATAGCTAGAATAGATTTATCAGATAGTTATTCATTTCGCGCAGAAGAATTATAGGAGCTTGATGCATACAGAAGCAACATGTACCTCTCACGATATGTAGGGAAGATGCCAAAAATAACTCTTAAAACTTCCAACTCTTCAAGAACAACTCCCTACAAGCAAACAAAGCACATAAGACAAAAGTTTGAAACTAGAGCTAATCATGGTTGTCTCAATCTGCTGATATTGAGAATTTGACTGACAGATGAAAGGTGGGAAATGACTCTTCAGCAGTTCCTCCCAAGAAAAAAGATTGTCTGCTTCCCAGTCTGAATTACAACTCATGGCCAGAGAGTACTCCAAGTCAGCAGTAGCATGACGAGAATTCTCATCTAGAGGTTTATACTGTTTCATCCTAAAAGCATTCTCATCTAGAGGTTTATACTGTTTCATCCTAAAAGCATAATCCATAACAGAAGTGTCAATCAATTTGGTAAGAAACTGCAGTTAAAATTTTAAGTGATCCGCAAGTGAACAAATGATGGAACTAAATAAACAAATGCAGTTATGCAGCTGATTGTGGGCATCTTTGACTCAAAGCCTGCTTTCATTACATGTTGACAGATACGGTGGAACAATCTCTGCAGAGAACCAGCAGGGAGCCAGCCATTGGACATGCAATGTAACAAAGGACGACAAAATTTACCAAGTAGCATATACTTGTACACATCTCAAGATTGTGAATGATCTGGACAGAAGTTAAATAAAATAATGTACATATATCATTGAAGCTTTAGTAGATATTATGTTGGCATTCTGGACAGAATGCCCTTTGGAAGTGGTATAAGATTTTAGCACAAATTCATAATCATTGAAGCCTTAGTAGGTAATATGTTGCCATTTACTAGATTACTGACAATTGATATACTGACTTGAATGATGAATACTCGGGAAAATTTGGATAAGAAACACAATCATTATTTCATAAGAATGATTGCAACAGCATCAGTAAGTACACAAATTCTTCAATATTTATTCAGAAAAATAACTTTTTGGAAAAGTACATATCCCTTTCAACTGATACAATATTATTTGATCCAAAAGGAAAGAAAATCAAAATAATAATAATAATAGTTTGACAAGAATCCTGATAAAAGTTTTAATAATAACCTGATATTCTGGCATAAGGTTCCAGTAGTCTTCTAGCAAATCTTCAACTTTTGGGCATCCTGGTTGAGCATCAACATAGGTGAACATATAAGTTGTTCGATCTGTGGAACCAGAACCAGCCGGAAATGCCTGCCACATTATTTAGATGTGGGAAGCTGTGATGAATAATATAAAAAATAACTTAAGAAATAATCCTAAAAGGAAAGAAATAAAAAAGAAAAATAGCGACACTCTCATAGTCATCATTGCTGTAAACAATGAGAAATGACGGATAAAAGAGACTTTTTGAATAAACGAACAGGTAAATATCCAAGACCCCACAGATGGCCACCAACAAATTGTTGTACCGTTAGATAAAACAATTGAAAGCTGAAAACAATCGGCCCTAATACAAACAGGGTGTAATCAGCATACCTCCCAAAAGTACTGCAGTTTTGAGGCTCCAACTGTTCTCACCGATGCACTACTAAAGATAACATCACTTTTTGAATTCTCTTTGAAACCTCGGGAGCAAGAACCAACAACAAGGCATATACCATCTGGTTTTTTCCCTGATCTAATCTACAGAATGGGGAAATTAAAAGGTTAAGCACAACATTATGAACCTTGGTACTTAAGAATTATACAGGTCATGGTTCTGCATTGAGGAATAAAAAGTGTTGTCCATAGTCCAGAAATCAAAATGTAAAGACACGAATGACCACATGGAACTATTAAGCATGCATATATGCTAACCTTGACATTTTAAATATTTCAAGCTCACCTTTCGTGAAGTCATTTTCTACAGATTGAAAACACATTTTTTAATTGAAGCATTTCAATCATAAGACAGTCTTAGGGACGCAGCCTCTAATGCCTACTCTCAAAGAGGAATGTACACCAAAAAGTTAAACGTATGTGAATTGCCTTTGTGTAAGCGGTTACATCCATAGCAGGATTTTAACAAGAGTAAGTATAAAAAAGACTGCCATACATACCTTGCCTATCAATTTTATTCCTGAATAAATAAAAGTTAGAGCCTTTGGCAATTGCCAAGGTTCATCCATTGATAAAAGCATTTCTCTCCTGAAAATTGTTGTTGCCCCCCCTTGATGGTTGATTCAGCAATAGGGATCACTTGTATGCACATATGTTCTCCTTTCAGTTCTTATGTCATCGTCCACCCTTCCTCACTTCCGTTCCCCTTCTTCTCTTTGTTACCATGGAATCAGAGCAGGAAAATGAAACTTATGCTCTTAGAGGGTCGTCTCAGACTATTGAATATCGCATTATAGCCTTGTCCACACTTGCTTAAAGCCTCCTGGATTCTTTGATGCGAGAATGAGCATCAAATGCTTCAGGTTTAGCTCAAATGGGGAACATTGACTCTCTGTGCCTTTCTTATAACCAAATGATACCATTTATCAAACTTTAGACTCACTTCAGCGAAATAGTGAGGCTAAACGGAGTCAAAGACACAGTGAATGAAGAGTGACCAATGTCTTTCTTTTACTGGATCCGTATCTTGTTCCTTCTAAAGGGCAGTAATTATTCCAGCGGTCTACATAATCAATCACAGCAGGCAGCATTTCCTGGAGCCTAACAGCAAAAGAAACTATTTGTTATGAAACCTGATTGTCCATCTATGACTGGAAGTATTCTACAAGTTTTGCATCATAATATGCTGCAACAAAGTTATCAACTAAAGATACCGTGTAATTTTTGGGGATGTAATTACGGAGAGAAAGGTTACGTATATCATAATCTAGAAGATATGAAAATGGGTAGACCTACGGATGCAATGTTCGTAATAATTAATCATAGCCTGATTTATATTACTGTAACTATATTCAGTGGATATATATAGCTGACATTTGATACGATCCTCCTTAGAAGGATCGGATCTGAGTGAATCCAGAGAGTAACAATTGTACGAAATTGGGACAATGTTTGTAGGGTAGAACGTCAGGATGACAGTTCTACCGGAATACAAGAAAAGGAAGAGAGAAGGAAGAGTAAAAGGGGTGGGGAGTGAATTCGAGAAGATTCCCCTGCCTCTCCTGGTTCCGACTGTTCTCCCCCTGGTATGACCTTCCCCCCCCCCCCCCTCCCCGAGCGGTATTTATAGTCCTCACACGTGCTGTGCACAAGTCCCCTTCTTATGCCTTCTATATGTCAGTAATGGGGTCGTATCAACATTGTTCCTGTAAGCCACAAGACGTTTGTCATTGTACTCAACAGAATGAAACCACAGTTTTTCCGACTCAAAGTTTGTCATATACAACTATGCCTCAAGTTGTATTAAAAGGTGGCATTCTTTATACTGCTAGTCATTGATTTCTGTATCAATATCATCATCTTCCTTTTAGATCTACATCTACAATAATTTTCTGTTCTCTAGCATTCTGTGCCTTTCATACAATAATTGAACTAGAAACTCTAGAACACATTCACTTGGGTTTCAAACTGAGGGATAAGACTTCTCGCCAATCACATGAGGGCCTTCCTGCTCATCATCCTAGAGTCTGCTCATTTTCTTAATGAAATGCTCCATGTGGCCCATTGAAGTTAGCACTTTAATCAGAGGCACCCCATGGTCTTCATAGAAAAACATAAGAAACTGAGCTAGCTATTCTTGAACCCAATAAATAATATCTCTAATTCTATGTGAATCTATAAATAATATTTCTAATTCTCTGTGAATCTATAAATAATATCTCTAATTCTCTTGAACTCCAATTCCTGGCATTGAAAGAGGGGTAATAAATAGAACTAATTTCCCGTGCAAAAGTCTCTTTTTTTCCCCTCTTGTTCTAATCTCCTCTTTTTCTCTTCATCACATAAATTTTTTGGAGAAATATGAGAGATTCTCAAAATTTAAGGGCACTATATGCTCTATCATCATACAGGTCCGGACTAGTTTTTAACTCCTGCTTTGTAAGCACAAACTTAATGCTCATAAGCATGTTCATCATAAAGACTTAAATAAAAATGCTCATAAATCAAACCATTCTCAGTTTTATACATAGGTATAGTGTCCATGATATCCATGAAAAATCAAACCATCTCTTACAGGTCGGCAAAGTGAGATGGTTTGACATGACAAGAATATAGATGAGATATCAAAAAGGCTGACCTGTTTTACAATTGGAGAAAAGTTACCCATCGCATCAATGACAAGTCGTGAGGACAAAACCTTGCCATTAGACAGGTGCAAAATCTAGAAGGCATAACAACAATTAGGATCTATGTGTTGAATCCAGAGAAATGAGACATGGATATCTATTTAAAAAAAAAAATCAAACTAACACTTCAACATTTGTTGTTCAATACAAATGCTCAGGAGATGAAAAAACTTCGATGACAAAAAGAAGCATAGAAAGGTTATCAATATTTGGCCATAGAGTGTTATATGAAACTAAATGTAGAAACGAAACTTGGAAAGATAATTTTCTCTAACATTGTTTCCCTCCAGCCAAGATGTATGATTTGTTCTTCCAAGAGCATTACATGAGAGAGAAAACATGCAAAACATTAAATCACAAAGAGACCTTCCTGTAGAAACAAAAATCTTGTCAGGCAGTGCCTGATTATTTCATAGCATCCTAGAATGTCACTAAAGCAATGGGCCTCCCTTAGAAACTGTGGGAGGAAGAAAGTCGAATTCAACTGGGCCGATTAGAGGTAGAAAAAAAGAAAACAAGGCAGTTTGCGAAATATAGGAGGTGAAAATAAGAAAATAGAACTACATTGAATTGTGATCTGATTCCATTTCTAAATTCCACCACTCAACCAATGCTTGGGCACTGGTAACAGCCAAGATTGTGGCAGTAAGAAATAAGGGTTTTCTCTAGAAAGAAGAAGACCATACAGCTGCGTCGTTGTAGATGCATATTTTGGATATGCCACTGCCCTCAAATATGACTCCACCAAGAGAAAGAAAGCGTCTTTTTACAATCTCCAAAAGTTTTGCTGGCCTGCACTAGGAGAATATTGAGATAATTTTCAGAGGCATTTAGACCTCACTTTCAAAATAACAAAGTTCAGAAATTAAGCATGTATTACATAAAGAAATCCCAGTATTCCATCCTTGCGGTGATTCTAGATGATAATATTATAGCAGGATTACCATTAATAACATGACAACATTACAGTATTCATTAGCCTAATGGATGTCAGGCAATGGAATACTCTCCTTACACCTTTCTGAGCATGCATATGCAATCATCTGCAAAAACTATATTACAAGTTCGCGCATGCATACATTAAGATCTAATTAGTAACAGTACATCATATAAGCTTCCCGATCACAGTCTGGGAAACTGTAATAGAATTTAAAACCTACCTTTAATGGAATTAACCTCTGTCAGAGATTCTCTGTTTGAAATTAAATGTCGAATGAGGTTAAGCTTAGAACTAGCCTAATCATTATATGGTAAACTGATGAGCCTCCCATCAAGACATATTCAAGAAGGAAGAAGCTCCCAGCTTCTATGGGTCCAACTACCTCACATGGAAGTTAGTAAGCATCCACATGTGAAAGAGAGAGCGGAGGGTTATAAATAAGGGGACTCAGTTATATGGGGGGAGGAGGGGGTAGAGAAGATAGTTTGTCCTAGAAGTTCCCAGGGACTCTGCGCCTGTTTGTGGTAGAGCCAATTCGGTCTCCATGACTTAAACCTTCTCCCCCAAATCCCTATTCCCATTCCCCTTGAAAGGAATCATATTCTTTTCTGAAACAAGGTTCTTACCATTTGGTACTAGAGCCGCGTCTCGGCAACATTTGCATGGTCAAATGGCTCACCCAAGCTTGTATGGCGTCAGTTGAGAATGATGTCGAAGCATTCAGACAGGAGCTAAGGCGACAAGGTGAGATAATGGAGCAAATCTTGAAACAGATGCCAACAATCGCACTGAGCTCTCATTTACAAACTCAAGGAGAAACGACACATGTCCAGAACCCACAACAACCACCATAGAATCAAGATTTTTGTATGGATTTTCATCAAGTCGAAAGAAGAGACAAATTCCCTATTTTCAATGGAGAAAATCCAGAAGGTTGGATTCGAAACGTAGAAAGGTACTTCCGCTTGAATCCATGTACTGGACAGGTACTTATGCATGGAAGACAGGTTTCCCTTCTGTGATCGGCGAGATTTCAAGATCCAGTTGGAACGTCGTTTTGGATCTTCAGGCACCAGCAACATAGATCATTGTCTCCTTAACCTCAAGCAAGAGGAATTGATCCCTAAATTTAGAGCTGAATTCAAACAATTGGCAGCATATCTCCCATGCATACCTATTGAAGTCCTTGAGGACACATACCTAAAAGGGTTGAAACTTGAAATCAAATCAGAACTCACAGTGTACAAGCCAAATGGCCTTGGGGAGATCATGGACACATTGGTCCAATTTGAGATCCACCTCCAAATAGTCTAACAGGCTTGGAATCAAATGGCATACCTATAAGCCTAACCAAATGCCATATCTACCTCACTGCCAAACTACTCCAATCCCTTCAAAAGGAGGTGCAAACCCTATGCATCGGGTGAGAGAACCCAAATACCAAACTCCTCACTTGGATTGAGAAGGTATATCCAAATCCCCTTCATTACTTCTAGTTTTAACTAGGAAAACTACAAACACTTGAAGCTAACAAAAGAGGAATTCCAAGCAAAAAAGGGTAAAAAGGACTATGTTTCCACTATGATGAGAGATTTGCTCCAAGTCATAGATGCAAGAGTGAGCTTAACATCATTATTGTGCAACACGGCACCATAAAGTTGAGGGGGACTTAACACGATGAGATTATTATCATTTTCATAGATAGGAGAGTCACTCACAATTTCTTGTGCAATAAGTTGTTATAAAGATTATTAGTGAAGATTAGTGAATTACATAGCTATGGAATCGTTATGGGCAGTAGGGACCAGAATTTGTCATAACATAGCAATAAAGATTCAATACCTTACAATCCTCTAAAATTTTTTACCCCTTGACTTGAGTAACACTGATATAATTTTTCGTATTTGATGGTTGAAGACATTGGATTGGATTTACTAGCACTATGATGCACAAAGACAACATGTATACTTTGAAGGGAGACCTAGTCTCAACAAGGCATGCATGCCCTTAAAAGCAATACAGCAAGAGATATAGCCTCTCAACAAGTTTTGATCCACGGATCATATACAGCGAGAGTCAAACCTATATGATTGAATTACAACAAGTTTTGATCCACGGATCATAGCCTCTCAAATTTGGCCCAATCAAACCTAGAAGACAAGCTAAGGCAAAAATTCCTTGAGATGTTCATACAGAGTTACGAGTTACCACCCAATGCATGATCTAATCACTCGATCAACCTCCTTCTTGGTATTCAACCAATCAACCTCAAGCCCTACAAGTACTCTCACTTCTAAGAACATGAGATTGAACAACTTGTCCAAAAATTATTTTCTGTAGGAATAATTCATCACTCCAGCAGCCCATACTTAAGCCCAACCTTATTAGTCAAGAAAAAGGATGCAAGCTAGCAATTATGTATTGATTACACAGCCCTAAACAAAGGGATGGTGCCCAATCGATTTTCAATCCCAATGGTTGATGAAATATTAGACGAGCTTCATGGTATGTGCATATTCTCAAAACTTGATTTAAAATCAAGATACTGTTAGATATAGATGAAGGAGGATAAAAAGATAGTATTTAAAACTCATCATAACCATTATGAATTTGCATACATCAATTCCCTAACCACTAAGTCAACTCTTGAAAAGAGATGCTTTTAATTGATCGACCCAAACACAGCAAGCATTCAAGGAGCTCAAGAAGGCTATGTCCTCAGTGCCTATGTTGGTTTTACTAGATTTCTATCAACTCTTCATCGTTGAGAAAGATGCCCCCATGTTAGGAGTTTGGCTGGTGCTCATGAAGCATAGTAGACCCATTGCTTACTTCCAATCAGGCAATACCAGTGAAATTGAGATCAAAATTGGCATATGAGAGGGAACTAATTGCCATAGTAATAGCAATGCATAAGTGGAAACACTACTTGATATTTCAGCATTTTATTACTTAGACTGATCAGTATACCCTGAAATTTTTATTTGATCAAAGAAAAGTTCACACAAGTGGCTGACGAAGTTAATAGGCTTCAACTTCAAAATTAAATACAAGGAAACAGAAATAAGGCTGCATATGCTCTCTTTACTGACTTAGATTCGAATTCTTATTTCTTTGACGTCACCACCATCAATCAAGAAGTGGAAAAGGATATTTGATTCAATGCTATCAAACAGGTCATACTCGAGAGCTCATGAACACTATTGAATTATTTGATATGCCAAAGATCCCCCCTTTACAAGTACAAACTAGTATCGCCCCCAACCACATACACTTATTCTGATCTTTCTGAAGGAATTCCACGACAATGCATTAGGAGGACACTTGGGTTACCCTAAAACTTACAAAAGAATAGCTCAACACCTTTGCTAACTAGGAATGAAGAAGAAGATAACCAGCATGTAGATAGTTACTCAATCTGCCAATAGTATAAATCATCCTTACTAGTCTCAACAAGATTATTAGCCACTACTAATTCCAAATCAAATTTCGGAAGATTAGTCGATGGACTTCATTGAAGGTTTGCCCAAGTTGGTAGGGTATGACTTTATTCTCGTGATTATTGATTGACTCAATATGTATAGTCATTTTCTTGCTCCAAAGATCCCTTCTCGACAAAAGATGTTGCAATTTTTTTTGTCAAAGAGATTATCAGATTACATGGTTTTTCAAAGTCTATAATCTCTTACTTAAATACTGTTTTTACTAGCACATTCTAGTGAGAGTATACACTATCTATGGGACTAAGTTGAAGATGAGTTCATCGTACCATCCCTAAATTGACGATCAGACTGAAGTCATTACTAGGTGAATGGAGAATTACATAAAAGTGTTTTGCAATTAACAAACCTAAATAGTGGTCGACATGATTACATTGGGCTAAGCTCAGTTACAACAAGCTTGGAATTTCTCATCAAGTGGCGACACTTACTAGACTTTGAAGCTTTGAAGAACATATATCTACCCTATTGCAATAATTTCCAATGTTTCACCTTCAGAACAAGGTGAAAGCCATGGGGGGAGAGTATCGATAAGCCTTCCATCAAGACATACTCAAGAAGGAAGAAGCTTCCTGCTTTTATGGGTCCAGCTGCCACTTGGGGAAGTTAGTTAGCATCCACATCCAAAGGAGAGGGCTGAGGGTTATAAACAAGGGGACTTAGTTGTATAGTGAGGGGGGTAGAGAAGATAGTTGGTCCCAGAAGTTCCCAGAGATTCTCTGCCTATTTGTGGTAGAGCCGATTCGATCTCCATGACTCAAACCTTCTTCCCATAATCCTTGTTTCTCATTCCCGTTGAAAAGAATCCTATTCTTTTATGGATCAAGGTTCCTACCATAAATGTAAATCAATTATTAACCAATTTCATGGAATTTTTCAATCTAGTTTACGAGTCGTGATGAAGAAAGATGAAATATTTTGGATCATTAAAAAGATTATACTTTATTGTTGAATTTTATGTATGATAGACCCCACTAGAGTTCTATGAGATTCACCTCAAACATGTATTGAGTGCGGACTAACATAATGATCTACCATCAGTGTTACCACTAAAAATAAGTCACGAATCTTCTCAGCCTCTAATCAGTGTCAGAACATAAATAGTTTCTAATTAATGAGGGATGCATCTCATCTCTCCACTTGATTTCAGAATTTCCACCTAGCAAATCGTATAGATCATCATGCAACATGAGCGTGCACTGGAATAGGAGGCATGAGGCATTACTACAGCACACACTTTTACTCACATTACTTTGAATTCAAATAAGCCACCATCTCTGATGAAGTAACCTCTTTTATAGATAACAGTTGCAACAATATTTATAGTTTTCTCTATTATCCCTTTGGTTACTATCGCTACTTTTAAACAGTTTACTTGCCGATATTTCTATCATCATCCTATGTAACCAAAATGCACTTAAAGAAACAAGAATGTACATTCTTATAAGTTTCTTCTTTACGACCTTTCACATTGACTGAGAAAAGTTGAACAGTGGATTCAAGAGAAATAAAAAGCAAATACTTCATTATTCCCTCGTATACTATGTACCTTCTATGTCATTTACTTGAAATGCTCTCGAAATGCAAAAAATTTAATGACTGCAATATACACCATATTCTTCTCAAGGCTAGTATTTATTAGATATGGGTTATTGCATTATTATCATCATTGACCACCATTGTGTCCCTGTGATGAAGAGAGAAGAAAAATAGCTAACACACAAGACTTGAACTCAACAATGGGACATCAATAAAAGCGAGGATTAAATTCAATATTGCAATATAATGCCGATTTACCTTTTCCATTACAGTTCATTTATGAAAAGCGCTCCCCCTATGATGAATGTCACCATCCAAATTTATATTTTGCAGTTACAAACATTTAAGACCATGTGTTTTCAAGTGTTTTATGATTATAAAACTTATCCAAAGTGGTAATCCATCAAAGAACCTTACATTTTAAGTGCATTCACTGAATTCCAGGTGGGAAACGAGAAAGCTCACATTAATATGGTGCATTCATAATTTCGTCTCTTCTACAAAGAGCTTAAACCCCATCATTGTAATGTAAAGCGATAATCAATTAAATTGGTACCACATCACAGAATTATTAATTTACTAAAACAACAAACAAAATTTCCGAAAAAGCATCATTAAAGGGGTGAAACTTACAAAACGCCAAGATTAAGAACGTCTTCAACCCAAATTTCACCTTTCCCTTCAAATCCACATCTGTTCTGAAACGTTTACCAACGTGAAATTCGTTATTTATGACTTTTTTAGTGAATAGAGTGAAAAATTCCAAGTCCAACAATCGTACTGGATTGAACTTCGCAGATGTAACATGATCAATGTCCTCTTCAGAAAGAACACCGGCATGGACCAATTCCATGAGCTCTTTTTTTGAGATATTCCACTCCTGTTCCCTCTGATAAAATGCACGTAATTCAACTTACGAATTTCAAACGGCAGGGGAAGACTGACTAGTACACATGAGAAGCAATACCCCCTTTAAAAGGTTCTTTTCCACAACTCCAACTTTAAGGCCCTTGGAAGCCAATGCCAAAGCAAAAAAGATTCCCAAAGTGCCACCACAAACCAATATATCAAAAGTAGGAAAAAAAAATTCGTCAGAATAGGAACGCCCGGAGGAATTAGGAAAGGAGAAAACCACTTGAAACTTGTCCTTCGCATCTGCATATGTAAAGTTAAGCCTCAGCAATGTGCTCACATGAGAAGTTATGATTCCAAAATAGTAGATTGCTCTTATGCCCAGTCAGTTGATATTTTTAAGGCCAGAGAGGTGTCCAATATAACGGAGTAAGGAAATCAAACTATGATCGGCAACACTCGAACAATTACACAACAAGATTTTCTAAGATATTTTTCATGAACAGTGGCGCAAACCCTACAAGGATATGCAGCAAAAAAACATACTCATATTCACATCATTGATGCCTGCTATGTACAAGTATCAGGGCCACAAAACAAGGAGACCACTTAACAACTAGGAAACGAACCAACAAACTAGGAAATGCCTAACTAAGAACCGAACTCCTACTTATAGGTTCTTTCCTGCAATATTCATATGGATAGAAAGAATAATCCCACGGCCCTCAGATAATAATAGCACCAATGACGTAAAGGGACACAATAAATAGAGAAATAACTAACTTGCTGTCGTATGGCAAATGTTATAAAGCAAATTGTCCAGCCTCTTCAATGCATCATAAGAGTAACCTCCTCCAGCACCTCCTACTTCAGCACTGGTTGAAATGTTTTCCATAATCCTCTTCAGGGTAGAAAATGCCACAGCTTAAGTCAAGATGTGCATTTAGTAGCAAAAAGAAAATATTTAAGCTCTCTCAAGACACATAAGTATATGCGTAAGAAGGCCTTGAACCTTTCATTTTTAGAAAGTAGAAAGTTCCGCATATTTGTGAAATAATAAATGAAAGGAAGGTATCTACATGTATACAACACCTCCAACATAACAAGTTACATCAATAATTGAAAATTCAACGTAAAATGAAAAGCCATTATGTAAACTATACCATAAATCTAAACTTTTTTTGTTGGCGGGTGTCATCCATTTCCATTGTGTTCATTATCAATAATGAGTGTCAACAGTCCCCAGATGACCTTGAACTTTATACAGCAATGAGATTATGATTTTTAGGAGCTCAGAAAGCCATAAAAATGAAACTAAAATGAGGATTTGAATAGGTAGGCCAAAATAGATCAGCAAATGCACAGTTTACACGCTGATTATGATGATGATGGAACAATAAGAAACCCTTGTCCACAATGTATTGAACAGAATTGCATCTGGAACTTCATACAAAATTGGATTTTAAGAATGCATAAACGTCAGAAGAACAGCAAGCGGGCACAGTTAAAGCTGAATGATAACTTTCAACAGCAAACTGCAGAGATTGAGCTACGTTGGGTGGTCATGTTTGGACAAACTCTAGATTTAACGCATGTTCCCGGATTGGATTAAATATGACGATGTTATTTTTACATGAGCTGTCAGCTTTAAATGATTTAGTATTTCCATGAAAGAGTAGACATTTCAGAGTAATAGGTCAAACAGCAGAGGAATACAGAACATTTCTAGCATAAATGCTCGCCGTATGCAGTCCGTTAATTACATGTCGCGTCTTATGCTCATTACGAGCTGAAAATCTCATATGCACTAGTTCTTGGTCTTATAAAGTCTGCCTTGCACTCAAAACTCTTTCAGACAACAGGGAATCAGCCTTTTTAACTGTCTACGAGTTTCATCACTGAATCCCCTAATAGCACCTGACCATTTACAATAGATTCATTAGTTGTTCATTTTACTATTAGAATGTGTTATCTTCCCAACTCAGCAATCGTCCAGCCTTTCCCCGACATTCTTAGTCGCATTCTTAGACTGGATTTAATGCGAGGAACCTCGACCAAAATAGTAGAGTAAAAGCTACCAAACAGGCATCCCAATTGGCAGAGGTTAAGCGGACGTCGAGGCCGAGAAAGGAAAGCACATACTTGTGTACGAGATATAAGGGCGGCATCACCGTAATTAGAACCAGTAGCACGGGTTTGGAAAAGCAGAGAGGACCGCCCTCCTCTTCTCCCCACATTAACCAACGTAGTGGAAGAGGAAGATGACCGCGGGCGAGGATGGCGGCCATGAAGAGAGGAGTCGCAGCTCAGATGGAAGTGAAGGTACCCATGTGCCCGTAGCATTGCGACGGTGGGGGAGGATGAGGTGAGAGTGTTGGTCCCGCTGGGGTGCCCGACGGCAGTTTCTCCTCTTCCCCCACTGGGGGGATCTCCCGCTGGGCACCGTCCATTGAGGGCCTCTCGTTCACCTCCCTCACGTGTGCCTCACGCTACGACACGGAAGCAGGGTTTTGGATTTCAAATCTCCCCATCTTTTTTCCTTCCTCATGGTAATTAGTCATCTTAAAATCTGATTTTTTTGTAGGCGGATGTTCCTCGTCAGTTAAAACTCTCGATTGAAGAAGAATGTGGGTCAATAGAGACCCATCGAAAATTGAATGGTTTCCTGGGCCTCGATCCAACTGGGGCTCAAAGCTGGCCGCCGCCCAAGGTTTGGGTCTATCCATTTTCCTTGACTATCCAAGCTTGGGGCCAAGCTTCGACAAATTCCCATCTACATGTCAGAACTCAGCAGAGCCATACATAGATATAATGTCTGAAGATTTATATATTTTCATTCAACTAAATTTCCATGCACTAAAATAATGAGAGCATATTTATTTTACATTGATACTCTTCGGTTTGATGCTTTTGTTACACAACGCAATTTTTTCTTTAGATTGAGATGTTAAGCTCCATGCATTACTTTGTTAGCATTAGTACACATCATAATCTCTCATATATTAATTAACACACTAATCTCGATGCATTTCACCAGTTTGGAACATAAATAATCATACAATGAATTATTGGCATCTCCAAACTTTCAATGACCCCCTCGTTTCATGAAACTGTTGAGAGGTCTTAAGCATGTCCTAACACATTAAAAAAACATGGCCATTAGTGGCATGCATCGTCATCACTCAGCTTTCTAACGGTTATCAAAAAGATGGCCATTGTTCGTTATGCACTCTTGGATAGTTGCCTTTCCATGTTAGGCGAGGGAAGTGGATTCTGGAGACGGGTCAGGCTTTTATTGAAGTATCAGAAATGGAAAGACGAGCACATCAATGACAGTCTCTAACTTGACACTGACTTTCATACAAGCTTCTTCACAAGAACACCCAGATAGGATTTACAACTCTAAAGGCTAATAGATGTAAACACCTTGGAACAGTGAATAATGAAGGAAATCCACATGTTTCTTACCATACATACGATGAGATTTTATAATCTCTGAAACCGTCAGAAGCATACACAGGAAGGAAAATGGAGCGAAAACACCTGCTCAAAGACGGCGGAGCCAAGAGATCCAAATCAACATAGTCAGTCATAAACCCTGCCCTTGACAATTAGATTCTGTTATGTGAAACTTATGTCAACCGAGAGAATCTAAATCGCTGATCGGGGCGGTCAAACCCCGTCCATCATCAATACAGATTTGATTACAGAAGAGCTGCTTGTTCGCTTCATATTTTCAGGCAATTTAAAGAGCGCGAGGGAAAAAGAAAACAGGGGAGTGGGAGAGACTCGACTCCTTTCAGGCACAACAATTGAGTGAATGAGAGAGAATTAAAGAAAGATGAGTTAAGAAACAAAAGGTTCATGACGAATTCTCCTTTCAGAAAATGCAAGAAAATGATCTTCAATTTTGGCATTGAGTCTGCACAGTGCTACGGCTTGTGCAGCTGACAGAGCCTTCAAAGATGTCAAAGCCAAGTAAACGCCCGTCATGGATTTTGGTCCTGTGGAATTTCCTTGTCGAATTTCTGAGAGAAAAAGAAAAAGTCATAAATTAAAAACTAATACGAGAGAACTCGCGGACAATCATGAAACGTCCATTTCAAGTGGGCTACCTTGCAGGATTGAAATATTGAGTTTGAGCACAGCGAGGAATAATCAAACTATTGCCTAGGTATGGCAAAATCTTGACCTAACTTCAGCGAAAAACAACTAGAAAAGGTTGACTCTAGAAACCACATACAACCAAGGAGTTTGCAGATCCAATCCAACGAAGTAGATTCATTGTCTATTTCAAGATCCTCTTTAGATCAAACAATTATGGCACTGTATCCCACGTCTGCCGTTCTGCGCATATTGCCGACACCAACTGTTGCCATTGGAGCTTGCATCACCATAAGAATCGTTCCAGCAGCCAGAGACAAAACCCAGACCTTGTGACCGACAGTGGCGCAAGAAGACCCACTTTCTTACCAACTTGGGTTTACTGCGACGGTTTTTGTGATCTTGTTTTATTTGTAATGAAGGGATCCAACGATAGCCGCAACTTCTCATGGACACCTCTGATCCGTCTTTGACCAAATCAAGAATATTTTATCTACTCTAAATTTTAAAGCATTTGTATCCTGCCTCCAGAATAAAGAATATACAATGACATCATTGAAATTTTTTGAACCGTTGCTGTATACAAAGCATAAGGTATTGCGCAGTGAGCAAGAAAACAAGAGAATGTCATTGATGCTGCTGACTATCAGAATCCAGATCCAAGATTGGCAATTATAAAACGAAACGATACAGGGTCTATTGTCACTCAATGATTCCATGGCAATATCTCTAAATCCCACTGTTAAGTATCAAAGACTCCCCATGCCACCACGCCACAGACTACTAGACTTATAGGAACAAGGGAACCAGGCAAGATTCAACACCTTCCCTAAGTGAACGAAAAAAAATTCATCAGTGCACACATACGGCGGATAGCTTAACCCCAAACTAGATAAGACGAATCTAGGCGTACGAACATCAACACCTTCAAGTGGCCAGCTTCATCAGCTTTATACCAAGTCTCAAGTCCGTCAATATCTGTAGGGCCATTATTACCAAACATGGCTATATAATTATTCAGGAGGCATATATAGATTCGTGATATTTTTTAAAGGCTATTGATGTGGAGTTGGAGAGCAGACTTGGGAGGAAAATCGCAAGAATGACAATGATAGATAGCAAAAGAGCTAAGCAATTCTAACCAAAAGGTAGAGGGGCAGAGAGTCTCTACGGTTTTTGAACCCAAAAAGAAAACAATCATGAAGCTCTCTAATAATCAGCTCTTGAAAAGGCTCTACTTTTCAAAATCAATTGCCTATGGCAAAAAACCAGTTGATCGGTCAAAGTATCAAACTCTATCATTTGCAAACTCATCACAGACAACATGAATTAAACATGTTAATGAGACTTTAATTACAAAGTGCTTGGTAATGAGAATAAGCGCTCTCAATTCTTAGCAGCCCTGAATAAAGCAAATTTTTTTAGCAAGAGATGAATCTAACTCTGACCATTTTTTTAGCAAATTCTATTTGTTCTTCGCCGCTTTGGGGTTGTGGGTCTTACTTCCTAGCCCCAGCGGGAATCGTCACTTCTTCCTATTTCTTCATTTTAACTTGTGAAGAAAAAGGCATCCTATAAGCTTGCATATTAAGTAAGGACGAGCCATCCCCTAAATCATTAGCATCCTGAATATTCTTCACCAATCAGCTCTCAGAATTGCTTTAATGACTGATGGATTTCATTTATTTGATTGCGCATGCTTCTCCTCCTGATTCTTCACTTTCAACCTCAAATTTCAGGACAGAGAAAACCATTACTATGTTGGTTTGTAGAATTGATTAATTCGTCTTGCATGCTAGAGTGTCCACTTCTGACTCTTTTTGGATAAATGTTGGATTTAGCATAGTGAGCCATGCTTTTATCAAATAACAATGACTACCCCTAACGTACGAAATTTCTAAGCACTCCATTATAATTAATCCTCTTTGTTGCTATTATCACCCTTACTAAACTGCAGTAACCAATGACAGGTAACTGTTTTCATTGGCAAAATTATTACTCCAGAAGCTTGTGCATCATTATCTATTGAACTTTAGTGACTCTCCTCTACCCCCCCAACAAAGAGTTGCACACTTGACTTACATGCATATGAATCAAATAAAAAATGGGGAACAATTCCTTATTTTCAACCTAAAATTTCAGGCAACTAGATAATTTAATTCTAGAGACAAGCTAATTTTACTAAATCTAAATGATAATATGTAATTATCAAAACTACTAAATTAACTCTCTACTGAGTACACATATGAGTATGTCCTTTCTCTCTACAAATAATCATTGTGATGCAGTGGAAGTATTGACTTGATGATGATTTGAGCAAGTTGGCACAGCTTAAATCTAATCTTTGAATCCACAAAAGGTTTGATTTCTATGAAGATCCTTCATCTCGAGTCCACAAGATGAAGAAACGTCAACCTTTGAGTTCACAATGACTTGATCTTGAGTCCACAAGATCAAAATAATTTCCCTAAATCCACAGAGAATGCTGGAATCCACCAGTAGGAAAAAGAACCTCAAAATAGGTAAATTTTGTGGGATTGATGGAAATAAACTGGAAAACCTCTAGGGCTTTTAAATAGGGCCAAGTCTAGTTATAATAAACCAAGAAAAGAAAAGGTTTGATTAGAATGCGCCTAAGGAAAAGGGAGATTTTGTTAGAACCCTTTTAAAGAAAACAGAGATTCTGTTAGAACGCCCCGAATGAATAAGAATGTCTTAACAAAATAGAAGGATTATTTGCAGAACATGGGAAATAACAAATGTAGGAACTGAGATTTTGACACATTTAACATGTGTCCAAATCTTACTAGGTCATCTGGAAATGAAATTGGGCTGAATTGTGTCCTCAGACCGTTGGCCTCTGATTCACCTAAATTTAACTGAAATTAAGCTTGTTCTCCATTTCAGTATAAATTAATAACCATTTCAGCTCCCTAGATGCATATCCTAATAGTTTTCTCCACCTGGGTCAAAACGTTTTCGTCCTTCTTTCGCTAGATTTTGATGGGTTACATCACATTCTCTCTCTATATATCACAATACATCCTTTCCTCTAGAGCTATTGTTGGCATCCCAATTGAATTTGCCACCTCTCCTAAAACTACAACGAATTAAGCAGCTGGTTTTTTTTCAGCTCGAACATCCAGGTGTGTTTTGCTGTCTTTGAAGCTTGAGAAATCTAGTAAACAATCTTCAAGCTCTATGATGCCACATTTTTCCGCCATAAATGAGTACGCTTGGGCATTATCTATGGTTTCTAACTTTTAATCAAACATCTAATGAATGCAATGGTTTCTTCAATAAAAATAGCCAAGCACGTTCATTAATTGACATCACTTGGCAGAAACTGGGGACGAAATTGTACCTTAAATTTCCAGGGAACGAAATCTAGAATCCTTGGAGCCACAAGGATTGATAACAATGATCCTTAATCTACAGGGATCAAAAAATGGGGTACCTGGAGTTCCACAAAGGATTCTTCGAATCCCCAAGGAGAGTGAAGGGTAAAAATCAATATTTCTCAATTGAAAAAACTTAGTGTGGTCTACAGTGTGTACCTCCTTCAAAAGGTGAAAAGCAGTTATGAACCTCATAAGCAACAGGATCCGAAAAAAATTATGTAATAGATAAGATTCCCTAATACCAAGCAGTAAGAACTAACCTACGACAATAAAATGTATTTCGGACTTGTGAGCCACCTAGATAACTTCACTAGGGCTCATAATGAAATGAGTACATAACTTGATTCTCTAAATGTGCTTCCCAGTTCAAGTAGCCCTTTGCTCGCATCTTCCTGAAAAATTCGAGAACGAAAATTACAACTTCGTTTAAATCAAGTGCTTGAATCAATCCCTCTTCTAATCTGCCTCTATATGTAGTAACTCCCCATTTAGGGTTACGATGGCTATTTTCATCACCACTTTTAAAACCCTCAACACCAAGACTGCCTTCGAGCATGTCTAAGGATTGTTAGTCATCTCCTGAAGTCTACATGCAATCTTCCACATGTTTGCTGCATAACCGTGCTTGCAACACACATGACATACATTTTCTGCCATCATTGATTATACTTGATGAATTAGGAGCTTACGCTCTGATATCACTTGATTCAGATCGGGGGGGAGACTTGAACAGAAAATCATGAAAACAGAGCCAATAAAAGATTAAAAGAAAAGGAAAATTTTGATTTAATCAAGAAGAAATGGGAGTAGAGAGTCTATGAGGTTAGGTTTAGGAATCCAAAGGAAAACTCATATTCATGAGACGTGGAGCAGAAATCAGAAACTACTTCCAAGAGTCCCCAAGGGAGTGTTTACTCGACTGCTGAAACCCTAACAATCCCAACTCATAATCCTTACTAGGAGTATTCAATCTCAACACTCAAAATTCACATGATGATCGCATAACTACTTACAGACTATATGACACAAGTAATTATGCTCAATCTCAACCCAATATAATACCTGTCAATTCAACATGCTCCTGCGTGATTGTGTCTATGCTTGTACTCTTTGGTGCCAGATGGGCATATTTTCTCCAGAATTTGCAGTTGATTTTAGCTACCGACGATGGAAGCGCCAATTACATCATGCAGAGGTTTTTTTTAGTATTTATTGCACGTAATTATCCATGCATATGAACTCCGAAGACTAATGAACACAAAACAACAATGTCAAAGAATGAGAGCTTCCCCAAGCCACGAACTATTTTACCAGTAGGAGAATCTAACATCTGTACATCTTTTTATGACAGTCTAGATGCATGCCTTGAGTCTCTTGCAGGGAAAAGAGTTTCTGGATGAACTTTTAAGAAGGATAAATTCGCACTTAAAATACTTTTCAGGCATGTTGAAAGCATACTTCCCCTGAGCCTCTCGAGGGGGAAAGAGTTTCATGATGAGCAGAATCTTCTTCATTGTCTACCCAAAGTATTTTCTCGAAGGCAGACAAAGAATGATACAATGGCGAAGAGCATACATCCTGCCAGCCTCTAAACGGAGTAGATCAATCATTAAAAGAATCCGGCAATCACACAAACAGACAGTCTGGTTGCATCAAAGTGTCCACATATCAACTCCTCTCTCCCATGAGGGTAAAAGCACTAGGAATACCAAAATGTCGCGCGGAAAAAAATAGGCACCAGAACACAACAAAAAATAGCGACGTGGCCTGACGAGAGACTGAGAAGAAGAGTACCCACCGATTGAGCGTTATGCCAGGAGAGGCCCCTGTAAACGTTGACGCCGAAAGTGAATGTGAGGTAGAGCGTGGCAACACCAAGCCCGGCAGTGAAGGCCTTGTAGGCCAGGTTGCCGACGGATCCCATCCTTTCCGTCGACCTTCCCCGCTGAGAAGACCTACAGAAGAAGGCCACCCATTCATTCGTAATACCCTCGAAAGAGGCAGAGTTCTGCTATAAATTAAATTCTTCGCCGCCCCGGGTTAAGCCGGCCACGGGATTTGGTTCAGTTGGTTTCCGAAATGTGAACCGGGGAAAAACCGAACCGGGCCGGCTCATCTACGAGAATCTCATTAACGACCGCTCTCCCAGCTCTCCTTCCCTCCCTCTTTCCGCCCACCCGTCCTGCTTTGTGGCCGCCGCCAATGGAGGAAGCCGAAGAGGTAAGAAAGGAAGCCGGCCGCCCGCCGCCCGCCGCCCCAGAGCTTACCCTTCTCTCCACCCTTTCCCCGGAAAGGGTGAGGACCCAAGAATGCGATGCCGATTCTTCCTTCGTCTTCCGGAGGAGGGGATGCGTAGCGGATTCTTCATTCCTCGAAGATTTTTTATTCTGGGGTTGATTTCTCTCTGTAATCGAGATCAGTGGTCAGCGTGGGCTTTTGTTTGTCTGGGCAGAAAATGGCGGCTCTGAAGAGGGCGTATGCGGACGTTATACTGAACATGGCTAAGGAGTCGGCAGCCCGTGTTATGGCCTCGGAGCAGAAGGCTCTCCGCTTCCAGCAGGACCTATACCGGACCAAGGAGGAGGCTGTCAGCACTCTTCTTCGCGTCAAGGGCATAATGGATTCCAAGGTCTGTACAGCGGCGATGACCCTACTCTTCTTCTCATATCGCTCTGGGATTCCTCTAAAGAACAGAATGAAAGTGATCAATAGTTTCATTCAGGTCTGCACATCAAGATTTTTTCCTCCTTTGAGCTTGGTGGTGTCGCGGTTTGTGCTTTGTTCCGTAATCACCGTGTGCCCGCATGAATTGTGTTCTTAAGTATATCTTGCCATCTTTAAATTAGCATCGGTACTGGATATTATGCCTGGAGAAACTCAGCTGATAATTACAATCAACCCCTTAGATTGGGGCAAAGGGCAACCGATACCAATGCCATGTGGAAGAGATTTTCTGGTGTTCTTGACCCATTAGAACTCGCATTTACAGTGCCTGCGTTCTTTGACTGGGTATTTCGCATTTTGTCATATTAGTGAATGCATATTTTGTAATCGTGTTGTGCTGATTTAGGTTATGAACCTCGACAGTTCTTTCATGGCTTCCGACCAAGCAGCGAACCTTACACAAACAAGCTTTTTTTATCAAATTTCCTTTAATCCATTAACACTGTTTAGATTCGTCAGTAGTACTCCTTGGTGGAACGGTAATTTTTACTTTCATCTGTTTATATATGTTTATTGTGCATATTTTTGCGATTTTGTGCTATTTCCTTTCTTCATGATATATTTTTTCCCGAAGCATTTTGTATAATTTTTTCGGATCAATTTACTAAAATATGTCCGCATCTGAATTTTCTTCACCTCATCCAAATGCCTTATGCGTAGCATTGTTCCTCTCTCTCAAGGAGAAAGCTAAAATATTTTTGTCTGAGAAATCGCCGTCCCAACTGAACGTGGGCAGTATTCAGTTCATTGGGTTAAGAACTCTCATCAGGATTCGTTCAGTTTCATTTTCTTATCCATGAAATGGCTCATGAGAGATCATCGTTGTCCACAATTCTACTCTTTTCTGATGGGCCTCAATCAGCTGCTAGTGCATAGACCCATGGATTCTATCCAAATCCTGCCAGAGAAAGACCATAGTTTCAGCATAAGGTTTCTTTATGCGGGTTGGATATTACGGAATGAGTCTATGGTTATCAAGATGAGCCCTATTGCGCACATCACTGATTGATTGGTCTTGAGTTAGATGACCTGATTTTGCGTAGTGCCATAAGAGCCAATAGTTGCCCTCAGATTGAGCACATCTATTTTGTTCATCTGCCGAGGCTCTGAAGTTGGCTTGCACATGAGGGCCATGTTAAGAATAGTCCCATATTGATTATTATATAAAGAAACTTGGATTATGAAGAGTCAATGCCTAAAGATCTGCTTCCACGTGAGTGGGGGTGCGAAGAATAGTCCCATTCTGCTGTTACTATGGGGTTATATAGGTTGTCCCCAACTCTACCTTCTTTGAAAGCACTGCATTCTGCAGAAGAGCCTGCGAAAGGCTTTCTCTTTTCTTGCATACCATGTATAACTAATGTTTATCAGCCTTCATGAAATATAGACATTTTTTGTATCTCATTTAAGTAATGTTTTTATGTGTGGCTCTCCATATTTCTTCCTTGGATTCTTAAACCTCAGAAGCTCCAACAGGGGACTTCGTCATGGCATTTCCTTTTGATGACTGCATTTCTCTTTCTATCTTCTTTTCCAATTCAGATGTCAGCTTATCTTCTTGTCACCATTATTCATGCTCCTTAATGACTGAGGTCAATCCCCCCTCCAAGCCCCCCAAAGGCTTACGAGTTGTAGTTGGCTTCCTCTTCATGAAAGAAGGTTCTGCATAGATTTACATTTCTCTGTAGTTAACTGATGTAATCAGGATAGTCTATCTGCCTGAGGTTGACTTGAGAAATTCTTCTCTTCTCGAGAAGAGAAGATAAAGTCAAGAGGCTTTGACCACAAGAGGGAACAGAAAATAGCCAGGACATTATCTCTATTTTGATGCGAGAAATAGAGATCTGAATCACAACGAGCTGGGGGCTGGCATTGCAACCCTTGAGAGCAATCATTCTATAACCATTGAGACACCAAAGTTTAAAAGATTTCTAGTTTGGCATATCCATGTACTTTCAACTTGCTGTCATCTCCTCTATTCAATCAAGCCGGATTAATGGCTTTCCCTTCTCCATTAGCAGCTCTGTCAAAGAACCAGTAGATGTAATTTGATGTGACACATCAATTCATAAAAAGAGAAAGGCGAAAAAAACTTGACCCAGGTGACCTGAAAACGAAAAACTGTGGACTACAAATATTTGAAGCCCAAAATGAGATCAAGCTCAAGTAAATTGTGTGAATCATGTGTTAGTTTTTAGTTTTAGGTAATATTTTGTTGTTAGGTCGTTTAAAATTTATTTTTGTAACTGAACCAATTTTCTTGGAGAATTACACGTGATTTTGGGTCTATTTAATGGCTAGAATGCTGTAATGGGAGATGATTATTACGATTTTTCGTTCTATTTTTTATTCGTAAAATATGAATTTTTTTCTTGTAAGAAATTAAATTAAATGGTTATTGTTTTCTTCATAATTAATACTAGGTTCAATGAGTTAAACTGAGTGCCCTGTGGATTCTAGGTTCGATTTTCTATTTCCTGGGACTTCCCTGACATGAAGTAGTCTCAAAGCAACCCTTGTGGATTCAAGGGCATAATTTGATCCTTATGGATTCGAGGGATCATCCAAAATCAGTCCTTGTGAAATCAAGTATAAAAGAAATTTGTGCCTTATGGATTAAAGGGCAACCTTTGTGGATTCAAGGGCATTACTTGATCCTTGTGGATTCAAGGATGATCCAAAACCAGTCCTCGTGAAATCAAAGATAAAGGAAATTCGTACCTTGTGGATTCAAGGTTGCATCATAGTTATACAGTACGACTTCTATTGAAGAAAGGCTTAAGAGAAAATCATTTTCCCTCCTGATGCCAAAAAGGCCTCAATCTCGACCCATTCCACTTTTGGTCAAACTTTTTTTATGATGCCAGCTCCCCCTTTGGATTCTAGTGGTACCATCCAAGGCATTCGGAGCCATGCGTCTTAGTCCTTGAAGAAAGCACTAAAATTAATTTTTTTTGTTATTGCCCCCAGCCTTGTTATATTGATGACCAGGACCTGCATTCAATATTTCATACATCTAGTATAGTATCTAATTTTTCAATCAACCAATGGTGCTGATCCTATGTATATTATAATGGAAAACGGTCTGTGCCCTCTTTGTGCCTACCCCGTAAGACCTGCAAGGTGATCCGTCCCTGAGGCATGCTCTCTCTCCGTCTGGCTACAGCGAGGTTGAAAGCCTTTTTAATTTAAGCATTTGTCTAAACTATTCTCTTGTTTTAGCTTCTGGCGTACATTTCGTTGGATAATAGAAGGATCCAGATGTAGAGTTTCAGACATGGGGAAGGGGTAGTCCACGTGAGACCTGATATGGGCCTTAATTTAGTGTGTAAACCTCTCACTAGACGTCCGGGCATCTTTTCTGATCATCCTGTCGTGGCTTTCTAAGGGCGTGTTGGGTATTTATTGTCTTTACTATTTCTACAGGGCATTTAAAATGATTTTAACAAGGAAATGATTCCACGAATTTTTATTTTTTGTTTGGTTTTATGTTTCGGAATCATTCCCCTCATTCATCCTCGAGGAGGTAGATCCTAAGTCTTCTCGACTGTCCGATTAAAAAATATCATTTTCTTGGGAGAAACAGTACGTCTGCATGAATGTGGAGCTCAGGCTCTTGCTGTCTCTGCAGATGAAGGACGTAGAGAGCACGGCCTCTGGCCAGCTGAGGAGGATCCAGGAGCTCGAAGCTCAGCTTGCCAAAGCAGAGAACACGATAGCGTACCTCAGAATGGAGCTGAAGAGGGCGGATGACGGCGGCGCGACCGTAGCGCAGGAGAAGTACGGGTCGGAGGATCGATGCTGCTCGCCGTTGAAGAAGATGGGGCCGGTGGGGCTGATGGGAGACACCATGCCGCAGAACCCCAGCATTGTGGGCGGTGCCGAAATAGCGTCCATGATACTGGGGAGCAAGAAGGCCGAGTCCTACAGGAACGGGTGCACCCAGAGGATAAGGGCGCTTGAGCAGAAGCTCAGCGTCGGCGGCTCAATGCCTCGTCTGGAGCAGGAGGAAGATAATGGGGCGGCCGAGGAAGAGATTCCTCCTATTTATGGTTCGCCAGAGGCGGGCGACGGGAGCTTGTCGCGGGCGGAGGGCGAGGACCCCCCGGTCTCCCCCGTCGGCTCCGGATCGGATGGTGGGTCCAGACGGCCAGAGCGAGGGGACGGCGGCTCCGCCCGCAGCCTGAAACGAGATGCCTCGTCGGCCCTTACAAGATGCCGCCATAGTAAGAGAGTCCCCCCGAACATGGAGCCTGAGAGCAAGCTGTCACCGGAAAGCTTTGCCGAAGCCGAGACCGTCTCCGGCGCGCGGCCTTTCTGGGAGAAGTCGTCTGAATTGGTGGCGGGAGCTACTTTCGAGGAGGAGGGATCGAGACCTAGCCTGGCGGAAGCAGAGAACCCTGAGGCCTCCGACGACCGGTGTGACGAGGACGGGCCACCTGCGGACAAGGACGGGGCTCCTCCCCCGCAGCTCCTCCAAGGCGCGGGGGACAGGATTCTGAAATACACCTTCAGGAGGAAGCGCAAGAGGGGATCCCCGACCGGCGCTGAACCAGACACCCCGCCGGAGAGGGACGGCGTCTCGCCGGAGCCGCCGCAGAAGACCGCCTCCTCCTCCTCGAGGGGCTTCTCCCGAGACAACCGGAGGATCGTCCAGGTTGCCCGTCAGGTTAGTCCGCCCCCGCCCTACTTACCAAGTAGAGAGGAGATGATGCCGCCACCAACCCTTGCTGCTTCCGCCAGCCGCCCATGAAGGCGTGTCGTCTGACCAACTGAGTTGCTCTCTCTGCAGCTCATCTCCCTGTCGGAGAAGAGGTGGTAGCGGCGCCTGGATGTTCTGAGAGAACCTGCCGTAAAGGGTAGCTGCGGAGAAGGTAGAGTGGTCTAAATGTAGGGTCCAAGGATTTTCCGATTCTTTCTCTTTCCTGTTGTATAAATGTTATTGTGAAGTTAGCTGTCTCTACAGTCAGCGGCTGCACGTTCCGGCTGGAGGACGACACTCGCTGTTCTAAACTGGTATCGTCTGATCCACTGGCGCCTTTCCGGATATGGCCCCGTCTGTTCTAAACTGGGATTGGGGTATCTTTTCGAGCGAGCGAGACGTCGTACTCGCCTTCTGAATCGCAGTGCCCCTCTCTCTCTCTCTCTCTTATGGCGAGTAGCATAGCCGATATCACATTTAATTTTCAGTAGCTCGTTTTTCAGCTCCCGGGTAAATCTCCCCCCCCCCCCCACCCCTCCCCTCCCGGGAACTGCAAAACTCTGCGAAGATAGGGGAGAAGGCGAGCGGCGCAAGAAGAGTACGGAAGCCGGAAAAGTCTGTTATGCTTCTGGATACAGAATGATTTATAATACCGAGGTCTTCTTGAGCCCTGGTACAGTCTCCGAAAGGCTGAGCAGACGAGCGTACCGACGCGCGCCGGGATACCGTTCGTAACTTGCGCTCACATATCCGAAAGAAGAAAATGAGGCAATGGCAGAAAGGGGGTGAATGGGATACAGTCAGAGACTGTCGTCGAAGTCAACTGGGGAAGTCGGTGCAGAACAACCCCGGAGACCAACCGCTGCGTCGCAGAAAACCGTGCTGGCCACCCCTGCGGGCGTCTGCGCTGGCGGCTCAAAGATGGAGTCTGCTGCAATGACACCACCAAGCAAGGGCATATCCGAGGGCAAGAGATGAGGGAACGGCAAGAAGATGCTGTGGACAACTACCTTGAGGTTGCAAACCACGTCAGGCCTACTGATGGGCACATAGTTGATGCGTAGCCCGGATTCGATCGTATCCCCTGTGTGAGCATGAGTGATGACGAGGCTCTGGCCGTGGACAAGCGTCGAAAGGATGGTTCCCGCCCTCAATTTCATCAGATCGGCATACATAAGGAGCCGATTCGGGACGACGTGGAATCGCACGTTGGTGACGTACGAGTGTCCTCCGGCGAAGATAGCCGCGTCGTCCAGGGCGAAGATCGTCATATTCTGAAGAGTAGATAACTCGGGGTACTTGACCCGCATCGCCAGGGCGAGAATGCTGTATCCGCTCTCCTTCAATTGCACAATTGCGTCGCGCAGCATCAACCGCACGATGGTGGACCCGGCGTGCACCGACGCGGAGGCGATCTCGTCCTGGGAGGGGGGAGACTGCCCAGGGCTTTGGTTGCATGAGAGCGGCGAGAGAGGCCCAACGAAGCCCTGGATGCCGTGGACAATAACACGGCCGTCGTTGAACAGGTCCGGGCGGGTGATCTGCACGCCGTCGACGAAGATCTTGACGCCGGAGGCGTCGCCAGCAGTGCTGGTGACGGTTAGGCATCGGCCAGGGCTGGACGTCTCCAGCTTCGTGCCGAATGCTAGTGTGGAGAGTTGGACGTGGGAGAATAGGCCAGGCACGAGGTGCTCCCGGAGGATGCGAGTCGGCGAGCACGAAATGCAAGATCGAACGGAGTCGTCGGAAGGGGCAAAGATGGTGATAGGACCGGACCAGACGGAAAGCAAGGGGGACGAGAGACCGGGAACAGCCATGGCCAGCTCCTGGAATCCCAGGTTGGAGAGCACCGGCACCAAGATGGCCGCAGCCTGCTGCGCCGGCTCCCGGGGCGGCTGAGGCGAGAATCCTGCGGGCGACGGCGAGGAAGCCACCGCGGGCTGCAGATGGCCGCCCGCGCCTGCTGCCGTGCCTGGGAAAGAGACGAGAGCAAGCAGGAGTGCGGCTAGGAGATGCAGCAGAGAAGGAGACGCCATGACCGAGGGACTGGAAACTGGAGTGACAGTGGGAGTGTGGAATGTGCGGGACGGACGGGGAGGGGGAGCATTTAGAGTAGCGATGGGGACGCTGGCAGGTTGTTGGGATGGTTGGTGGACGCCCCCCCGCCCCGCCCCCACGATCTCCCACTCTTGATTTTGGCGGGAGATCGGGAGAGTTTGATTTACCAAAACACCTCGTCTTTCTCGTTTCGTAAGAACAAAGTTCTCAACGAAGAGTATTGACAACACAAGGACAAGTCTCTGAAGAGTCGGACGACTTTCCGCATCATCCTGCGGCGGCCCAGACGGCCAGGCTGGGCCTGCCCCGCCCATGTCAACACCCCCGAAGGCTGGGCTAGTTTTCTGGCCTCCTCCACAAGGCCCTGATCCATCCAGCCCGGCCTCACCAAAAACACCCATGAAAAACTGGAAATAGAGCATTAACGAAATAAAAAGTCGAGCAATACATACATACATACATCAACACAGCAAAACTACCGAAATCTGGCAAGTTCTGATCCGACGACAAGAGTCGACTGATGAAGACGCCAATGATCCGACGACGATGGATCGGAGGGCATCAAATCTACGCGACAAAAATGGAGAGAGAGAGAGAGAGGATTCAACTGACCGTGGCGGGGAGACAGCCGGCAAAAAGTCTAGAATCTAAATCCCGAGCTATTGCTCTGCGGCGGCGGCGGTGGCGGCAGGCGGTTGGGCGTCCGGCGGCTCCCAGAACCCGGGCCCGCAGTTGAGTCCCCGTTCTGCACTGGGTCGCTGTACCTCCGGCTGTGCCCGCCGGAGGACCGGGGATCACCGGCGGAGCCCGAGCGGCCGTGGCCATTGGCGGCGGCGTCAAACGCGGACCGCCAGTCGTCACCACCCGAGGGTCCGCTAGACGTCGGGCTGCTCTCTGGAGGGCGAGCCGGTGGGTCAGAAAAAGTAGAGTGGGAGAAGAAGACTGACGGCAGTTCTTCCGCAATACATATCCTGATAATAGCATCGATAAATAAACAATTCACCTGCGCTGGGGCTGATGCCGGACCAGCCGCCCCCGCGATCGTCGTGGATGCTGAGCTGGCGAGTCAACTTAGAGAGCACGGATGACTGTTTCTGGAAACGCTCCCGTCTGTGCTTCACGTTCTGGTCCTCCAAAAGCAGCTCTTCGATCCTCGCAGTACTTTGGGCACTGAAAGACGACAGAGACGACCGAGGATGACCGACATTTCGTCCGAAAATAGTCAATGCCTTGATTCTAACCGTCCGAAAATAGTCAGGGTAAGGATCACGGGGAGATCGAGGGGCATGCACGTGCTCGTGGCAGCATGAAGGGGGGGCGGGCCGGGGGGCGCTATTGGAGGGGTAAACTTCGGATCATCCTGACTAGAATTAATAATGGATAAAATTAAGAATCAACTGACCTTATGGAGCTGTACAACTGATTCAGCATATCCTCCTTGGCTTTCACAACCTGGCAAAGAACAACAGCCTGCACCGCCAGGACAGATCACGGAACCTCCCGGTCCATCAAGGGCTGCAGAAGAACAGGACTCGAGGAGAAGAAGAAGGCGACTTACCTTGGGAACATTGGCCGCGAGACTGTTCAGGACAGCCTCCACGTATCCTCTCACTTCTTGAGACATCCATCTTAGCTCCTCTTCCGGGTCAGCAGGTCTCCGAGCCATCGTATCCTACAGGAATGATTATTTGCCAGGAAAAGAAGAAAGCATAAGAAAAGTAAACCAGACATGAAAAGTAAATCGGTTCAGGTTATATTTGTGGGAAAAATTGACGTAAAGTCAACTGGAAAAAGTCCACTTCATCTTCCTGGATCAGACATACCAGGGACCCGTCCGAGTGGCTCTGCCTCATGGAATGACCAACGTCAGGGGTGGGGTTTCCTTTAGAGGGTTGGATCACATTACGGATCTTGTTCACCCACTCGATCTTGTCGGCCATGTTCTCAGCTTTCAGCACAACGGCGCTGTGAGCTGCATGAGACGACAGCTTTAGGTTGACAGGAAAGAAGATGATGGATCCCTCTGCAGAATCAAAAGCAACAAGTCTTCTTTTTTTTTTCTTTTTTTCTCTATGGGATTGTTAGAAGGTACCTTTCAGGACAGTCTTATAGGCGACCTTGGAAGTAATTTTGAACACCAGGCTGGGAGCCTTCCCAGAGTCCGGTCCATTGGATTTCTTCGAGTCCTTTGAGGTCTTCGGTGGCTCCTCTTCGTCTGAAGCCTCTTCAATGTTGCATTCCTGAAGAAAGATTTCCATAAAGGGAAAGAGAAGCACCCAACTGATGAATCCAAGAGAACAAAAGTGGGTTCCTACCTCCAAGTTGATGACACCGCGGAAATGTCTTTCCTCTTGCTTCTTTGTATATCCAAGCTGAAAATGGCGGCCACAGACCAAAAATAAATGCCATTTCCTTAGTGCGATAGACGCTTAGGAGTGTAACAGTGATGTTATTTTATCCGGTCATCAAAGACAAGGGTGGCTGGCTCTTATAGTAGACCATTATTTTTCAAAGAGAAACGTTCGGTATTCTACCCGACCATCCTGGTCAGCGGATGAATTCGAGAATAGCAATCAGGGCAGCACTGTGGCAAATAAGTTTTTATTGAAGTTCACCGATTTGCAGTATATACACCAAGGCCTTTAAGGCCGCCAGGAATTGGTTGGCTGCCTTGCACGTAAAAGGCAAGGCGAGGAGACTAGATGGTGCCCGCTTGTGATCTCCTTGGAAAAAATTTGAAAAAAAATTTGAAAAAAAATTTGAAAAAAAATTTGAAAAAAAATTTGAAAGAAAATGTTGATTGCAACATCCGTGACAAATATAGTACATAACACTCAAGAAAATATCCACACAAACTAGGAAAATTTGGCATGAAAATCCACAGAAATCTCTCCCATTTCTGGTCACTTCAAAAATTCCACGTCAAGTTCAAAAATTCAGAAATATTTTGGAGTTAACTTTTACACGTTAAGTTCCAAGAACATCAAAATAAATAGAGTCACACACACCATGAGAACATTAAGCACACAAAAAAATAAATAGTTATCATACGATTAAATAAAAAATTATTGCAACAAGTATCCACATAAACCCCCTTCCTGTCTGAAAGTTTGTAAAGACTATTATAGTCATCAGCATGAACTATAAAATATGAAACAGCTAATTTCCCTCAAACGCCTGATATACCTTGAGGTCTAACTAAAGGCGGAACATGACACAGACCTTTCCATTCTTCTCATTTAAGACGAACCACCTTCTGCTCCAACCATTTGTTTTCGCACTTTTTTTCAATATCCAACCTAAGGATTAATTAGAAGATTAAAACCTCAGTAAAAAAAAGGTACTGAAGAAATTGAAAAATAATAAGCAGTAAATGGAAAAGTTAGTAAGAATAATATCATGTCGTCCATATTTTTTGTGGAGGGTTGGTCATTAATCTTGTGGAAAGCTATGGCTAACCACAAACGAGTAAACATCAACGGTTCCAGCATATTTAAGGGGAATGTACACGATGCAGAATGCTGTGAAACCAACAAATAAATCAAATTATGTAATTTAATTAAATAAACATGACTCGAGTCTTGAAGGATCACAGCTACAGATGTTTGTATTTTGCTGATGCTGGAACAAGTCCTGTTGTCAGGACTCGAGAAGTCTTGCAATGGAATCTAGATGCTGGAGTTGTTGGTCCCCCTCATAAACATGAAGACAGGCAGCCCCAATAGAGGATAGAACCTACCTTGATAAATACCTCAGTAATCTTGTCCAGGGCCAGACCAGTTATTACACGGCCCATTAACATGACTATTAGCGCCAGCCCAGATCCAGCTCGGCCTCTTACGTAGAACTAATGACCCAAGATACCTTATTTGAAATCGATGTCACTAGGTTCTAAAGAAAACACAAATAAACCCATAAAAAATATGGATAATTAGGGATGAAAAACACCTCAGGTAACAGATAAACAAAAGAAATGAGATGAGTATCAATGGAACTGACGATTTTTCTCTTTACCTATGATTTTAGTTAACGACTTGCCCCTCTATACCTAAACAAACAGAAGTTACTTTCTTTTGTTTCTTATTAGTTCCGATAACAAGATTCACATAAAGTAAAAGAATGACCTAGAGATGAAAGATATGAAAGAATGACCTAGGGCAAACGAAACAGATATGAAAGCGTGAATGATAACACAAGAACATGAATATGCTTTTGTCAAAAGGACTGTGCTAAGAGTTTTGGCATACATGACACATGCCATGATAAAGATAAGCTGTGAACGGAAGAATTGAGAACATACCTGCAGTGATTTCACCGGTGGGACCAGCAGTCTGCAAAACTGATCCCTCCTTTACATCTTTATCTAGTTGATTGGCCTTATCTTTTAACGATTTCATGCTAACTCCGGATTGATGTGAGCCTGTCTGTGGGCTACTTGCCTAAAAAGTAAAATGAAACTTTTCACCAACAAATTTAAACATAAACTCAAACAAACAGAGCATATAACCACATGTAGAAATATTTAGCGAAAATAAAAGCTTACTCTGTTCAATATTGCTTGTTCTGCCTCATGACCTTTTTTGGATGACCGGTTCTTCAGCTCCTCTTCACGACGTTGTCTTTCCATCCTGATATAGAGCATAGAAGTTACAAAGGCTGGGTAACAACATGACTGCAGAGGAGAATCTATGGAAACTAATTAAAAATAATCACCAAAACTGACATGGAAAATTTAGAATCAGTAAAACACTTTGAGATTAGACAAATTCCAAAAGTTGTTACAACACAAAAATTAGCAACCTTTACGTTCATGAATGATGAAGTTAAAGGTTCCAAGAATCCAGGTGGATGACAATAAGCACCACAGAAACCCATAATTTAAAAAACACTGCCTTTTTGAAATAAACTTCAATAATCAAGTAAAGTGCTACCTCCTCTGCACCAAGCGGATGAAATGTTGGGGAGGAACAAATGCCCGTTCCATGTCAACCAATGCAACTACCATTTTTTTGGCTTCATTTCTGAATCCATCTAAAGCAGTAGAAGCAATTGCAACCACCTTTCATGCATCACAAGCATTGAATCAAGAAGAATATCAATGAAACTAAGACAAACAAAAAGCAGGCCAAGTAGATGGATATCTTATACAAAATGAATATTAGAAAAAAACAAATATAAATAGAAATACTTCACGCTTGAATGGAGGATATCTTCCAAGTCCAGGGGTAGAATTTGCAGCAGCAGACACTATGTCCATCAGCACTCGATGTACCTGCAGCGGAATCCATGCGAATCAGCCCCAAAAAGGCATAAAAGACAGACGTGGGAATGCAATGACCTTGGAAAACAAAACACAAACAAGTCAGCATTCTATTAATGCAACATTTCTAACAGAGCAAATACCAGGCTATAGATCAACTAGTGTTCCCAGTAGAGAGAAATTAGCATTAAGAATTCATTTTTTGAACCTAACTTTGAGAAGCAAATGAACTGAACACGAACAAAATTGTCACATGAACTACACAAGGTGATGATCGTAATCCTCAGTTTGATTTCCTCCTAGAAGGATGAGAAAAAATGTGTGTAGTCACATAGATAAGGATAGGTTTTTCTAGAACGCCGAGATAATTTTATCCTAGAATATTGCAGGGAGTGTTACAAATTTTGCAAATAAATGGCAAGGAATGGGAACATAAGCACAGAACTATTAGAAAACGTATAAGAATATGCCTATGATACCATGCTAGTCGGCTAGTGAGTATTTTTGAACATGTGCTCATTGGGCCTTTGTTAAATCCGATGTGCACTGCCCCTTTCTTCTCACAAAATGTAAATAGGTGAGGTGGGTGCCCACGTTTGCACATCTAGCTTTTATTCTTCTAGTTTAAAAAAGCACATGCCATTGGCAGACTTCTACCTCTCTTAAAGATAACAGGAGTCATAACATGCCACAGATCAGAAATAAACGGTTTCGATACCAAAACGAAATGACGAGATAAGAGAGCTTGAAATTCTTTCAATTCTGAGTGTCAATGAAACTACAGATGCCAGGAGATAGAATTCAAATAGACGGCAAAATACAAACTGAGAATGAATCCCTAGCTCCTTTGAGGCTTCAGTGGCTTGCAAAGAGGCATATGATTCCCATAAAATGCTGTTAAGGCAAAATGCTAATTTTAAGGAAAGAAACAGGACGGCAATGCAACATGAACCAGTAAACATGATGAAATGATTAGGAAGAAAAAGACCACAGTGGAAGATTCATTCCAACTTGATAATTCAGAATTATAACAGTAAGATAAGCACACAGGTGCAAAGATTACTATAGTGCAATATGCAGAAATTACCTCATCCACACAAAGCCGAGAGGGCTCTTTTGCAAGCTCTAAAACACCTTTTATGAGAGATCTCAATCCTTTCTCAGGAGATATTAAATAGGGTTGGTAACCATCAGCCTCCAGGACAACCTGAGAAAATCATTTAAATAATAGAATACAAGAGAAGAAACAGGATAGATACAAAAGAATAATGAGGAATATCACGTACCCTTTTCACATTGTTGATATCAAAATGTTTGTCCAGAGGAAGCTGCTTGATCCTGTTAGGAAAATTCCCCTCAAAACTTGCAACAACTTTCCAACCACTACCCTGCAGAAAAACCCTAAATTATCAGCATTGTACACAGAAAAACCCTTAATCAACCATACTGACTAGCTTTCCTATTACTCCCCCCTTTCCTCAGTTCATTTACCTGAATGTTTTCCAGGTAAGAAAAGAAAAAAACTCAGGAATAACTCGAATCAATCAGAGAAAGGGATAACTCTTCATAATTTAGTTGCCTTCCGTATATCTCATTCAATGTAAATGGGAAACAAGAATGCGAGATTCAAATTTTGCATTTATTTAATGGCTTGCATGCAGCCTACTCAGGGTCCTAGTAAGAGAAAGAGCAAAGAAACGAGAGGGAAGAAGAAGAAAGGAAGAAAAAGAAATGGAGAGAATGAAAGAAGTTATACATGTGGAATGAAAATGTAAGGTCAACAACAAGTCAAATAACTAACCTCTCCGGTCGCAATATGCTGGAGAAATTTGTCTTCAAATTCTCGGCAAAGTTCCAAAGCTATCGCTCTAGTTCCCTCAGAACTATGTACCATCTGCTCGCCAAGTCTGAACAACTCTTCTTGGACGATTTGAGACTTCCCCTGCAACCTGGAAGGTATAAATTGTTAATGACAATCCTCATCTTGCAATCTGAATGTTAAAAATTATTAGCAGGAAACATCACTACCATGAAGATATATCTGCACATATCCAACTATCTTTAGCCTAACACCAACTTCCATCTTATTATAATTTGACAGCCAAGATCAAAGGTCCTATGGACATGAATGTGTGTCAGGTATTAACACGGAAAATTGAGCCAAACATAGCATCCATTTAAATAGAACAGAAGAGCAAGTGTATATTTAGCTATGACTCTACTCATGTACGTCCAACAATAAAGACCCATTGTGCTATATCTGAGACTGGTGGTAAGTCAGATATTGTATCTTGCATTGCTATTTAAAGATACGTGTTGCTGGAGACCTAATGATGAAGAATGTTGTATTCAAAATCCTAAACAATGACTCAACACATGACATGCCTGACAAAACATCACACCAACAAGGTTAGTTTGAAGTCTTAAAGTATTCACTGAACCAAGGGTCGAGATTACGCAAGAAAATAGAGTCTTGTATTTTATTAAATGCTTCCGAATTTCTACAAAGTACTGATATCGGTACTGATATTGAAAAGAAAAAACGATCGATAATTAAAAAATGAGCATAATTCAGTAAAAAAATTACGTTACTATCTCAGTTATTTGGAGAAAGAATACAAGAGAACAAAGGAAAGGAATAAATCCAACCTAGACAAAGGATGTGAACTTAAGATAACTTAAAATTGCGTTCAGCTTATACTCACCCAGAAAGAAGATTGGGGACCCTAACTTTCATTCGTTTCCGAATCTGCCGGGCAATAGTGTCCACCATGGCTATCCTTCCAAGCTTACCCTGTGGTGCCCCAGTAAGCATGGATCTGAGACTCTCGCTTTCAGCCCGCCAAGCAGTTTCTAAAGAATTATCTGGCCCAACAGATCCAGAATGCGCTGAGGCAATTGCAACAGATTGCCCAATTAAAGCAATCCAAGAAATATCAGATGCTTTTGAAGGCCCTTGGTTTGATATAAGAGCTTGAACGGCAGAAAGGATCTTTGGGTCACCAGCTGCTTGATCTATTTTGCTAATAACACCAATTGTTCGAGTACCTGCAACAAATGCCCATGGCCATTAATTTTATGGTACAAGAGTTCTAATTGGAGATTTCTGAAAAATGTTGATACAAGGAGAAAAAGATTACTGGTGTTAAGAATATTGGAGATTATCTATGTAATTATCTAAGACAAGGTAAAAGGACGAACCATCTGAATCAAATTCCTTGGCAAGTCTAAGAGCACGTGATGAAGAGATTTCAGGCGCTTGAGCTGCAGGAACTATGACTAACAATATGGCATCATTATGGGCAGCATAATCACTGACCTGAAAAGCAAAAACATTCGATGAAATCACAGCATTTAATGTGATCAAGGAATTACAATAATCAGTATGAAGAGAAAATAATTAAGAAGGTGAAATATCAACAGAATCACCAAAATTCAGTAAAGGTACATATGAAGCCAGTGCAAATCGATCAACAGATACCTACCACTGAGTCATCCATTGCCCGCTGATCCAGTCCAGGGAGATCAATCAATTTCAGTGGAGGAGCTGGTCCAGGATGCGAAATAATCAATAATTGCGTTAAAATACAACCTGATCTATGAATAAATAGTGGCACAGCATCAGGTCACTTTGTGGAATGCCATGAATTTAAAAATTTCTCAGAATCTTTGACCTCATCAACCATGGCAAGTTCAAGCAACATGACTTTTAGTTTCAAACAGAAGAGTTAGATTAAAAATACTCTTAAGACTGCCAATAGGACACAGTTTGCAACAAGACCGTGCTCTAAAGCATCTCAAACATATCTATACAAATTAAAGAGGGGGGGAGTAATACATGTTCCTTGCATACAAAAAATGTTTAACCATGTTGAACTATTGATCAATAACACCAATTCAACCTCGGGCATGCTTAAAACTGTGAAAGAGGAAGAGGGATTTATAATTAGAGAGATAATTTTTTTATTAGTTTATATTACTTTTTTAGCACCCATATTTTATCAAAAAGTCTATTGTGACAAAGTATGCGTAATACACAGATTGTTGGGCTCCAACTCTAGAGAAATGTACCAATAGTAAAAATACCGACATGCTATTTACAATAACTGAATCAAATTTTACTTGAAGAAGTCTCATATTTTAGTCCCAAACAAGTATCAGTAAATTGATAAACACGTGATGATCATGAACAAGAGGGGAAAGTCACCATGATAACGCTGCTGTTATTTTGCAGCTTAAGCTCATAAAGGGAAAAAAACGAAAAAGTTCCATGAAATTAGACCATCCACAGAAGGCATGATGACTCCTCATCAATGTTTAAAGTTGATAAAACAGAGTAAATCTCAAAAAGAAGGGAAGAAAAACGTAATAAAAAACAAATTCAAAAATTTACCAGTACTAGTCCGCAGTTTCAAATATATCTCCTCTGAATGGCCCTTTCCAGCTGATGTACCCTTACTTAGCCTGTCTTGAAGAGAATGCCTAAGAGCACCTGGATGGATAACAGAAAAAGGTAAGACATTTAAGAGCCTACGCATGAACTGCAAGGCTTTACGCCATTGGCTCATGACTTACATTCTCGTATGAAACAGGGAGGTCGAAAGGGTGAGTATTCAAACATTTTAAGACCGAAAGAGAAACATGTGCTGACAGAATTGATAAGCGAAAAAATGGGCAATAAACAGAGTACTCACTTGCAGAAACCTGCTGCGTTTTATTGTCTATCTGTAATACAATAGATTTCGTGCTCAATGACCCATCCCTATGTAAATCAATCACAATAGGTGCTCGTGTAGCACCATTTTCTCCGGTTGGCTGTATTAGGATTAGGAAAAATCAAATGAACGAGTAGCTAGACGGCGCAAGCAGGTTACACAAGAAAAATGATAAAATTTTTGCCCATGATAACTTACCAAAACAGGATGCCCAATCAAGCTGTTCAGAACTGCAGACTTGCCAGCCCCCTACGGTAGCACAAGAGAAGCAACATTTGTTCAAAGATATCTATATCGTCGATAACAATATTTGTCAACAGTAAACATATATCATAGCCAGCCCCAATAACATCTATGAAGGAGAAACACCAAAAAGGATCGTCGGAATCTGAAAAGGAAAACTTAATAATGCCAATCCGGCCAGTGTGAAAATTTCAGAACACATTAAAAGAATGAAAGCGACGAAATGAAGACGTCTCGACAACGTCCTCGTCGAGAAATTAGACTTACAACGTTGCCAAGAGCCACAACATTGAGAAAAGTGGAGGTCCGCCGGGAAGACGCCTCGTCAGCGTCCTCGTCAGCCAGGAGGGCGGCAGCCTGCAACATGGCATCCGAAAGCTGAGATAGCTCCTCCATCGCCTCCATATCGATCCCCTCAATAACAGTCTCACTAACGGTCCTCCAGAACCCGAAGGAAATCCTAGGCTAGGGATCACCCCTCAGTCTCATCCGCGCTGCAAGCCTGGCGCACCCCCCGCCCCCCCCCCTCCCCCGCGGCTACAGAAGAGCTCTCGACCGAGGCAGCCCCCTGGACACGGAATTCAGTGGACGCCAAAGGAGCGGACGGAGGATCGCTACTGCCGTCGGGGAGGCGATCGCTCCGTCCGAGGTTGGCGTCTGCGGTTACTGCTTCCACGGAGGGTTACGAGGGTGGAACGGTGACCGTGGGCTCGACAATTTCGAAAATTCGTCCTCCCACCTCGTTCAACCCATTTTCCCTCTTTTAAATAAAAAACTCCTTGGGACACAACAGGAAAACGGCCCGACCCATTACCGAACCGGTCCAAACTCTCTCTCTCTCTCTCTCTCTCTCTCTCTCTCGGGTCAAGCACAAAGCTTACTACTACTTGTGGACCTCTGGAGATATTTGATCTTGTCCTTGAACCAACTCAACTAATCAGCCCTCATTAAAAAAAACTATTGGTTTTTTTGCCCTCTTATTTTAAATAGAATAATATTTCGGTTCTCAAAAACTAATCAAGAATTCATGGGGACACTCTTGACTCCCCCTTCAGTACAAAAACTATAAAAACACGTGAGAATTATACACATGTTAATTTAAAGTGATTAGGGATATTTTTTGAATATTTCAATAAAATAATTTTTTTCATCAATTTATAGCCTCCATTTGAAATCAACAAGAAGTTCCAATACAGAAGTATAGTGTAGGTGTTTGTCAATTTAGTTTTGAAAGTTTTAGGTTGCCTATAATTAAAATATGGAGGCAGAGTTATTACAATCATGAATCCAATTTGTAGGATTTTCTAGAACCATAGATTTTATTACTTTTTATGTTTCAAGTAATTTATAAATTATGTGATTAAAAAAGCGTTGGGATAAAGCTAGTGGATCTCAGAATTGAGGCAGTTGGAATTGAAGATGTTATGTATGAAGTTGACTCCCTAACCTAAAAAAAAAGTTTCAAAGTATAGTTTCATTTAAATCCGGAAGTATTAGTTAACCCCTCTATAAGCTAGGGCAATATACTGCCATAGACCCCCACTTTCAAGTCCTTTTGTAATTCACTCGTCTCCAAAACTATGATAAAATATATTAGCATATGAGTTTTGTAATCAAATTTTGTTACCAATTTTGGTTTTTTCTTCTTCTAATGGAATATCACCACTACGTGTTTGTTTTCATAGAAGTAAACTTCAGCTAGAGCTCCTCACTGATATTGTGAAGGATGAGAATCAATCATATACAATTATCTGATTTTAACTTTTTAAGCAGTTCGATAATTTATAGAAAAATCTCAACCATGACACTCTCTGTTTCAGCCACAAATTGCAGATGTGTAGAATCTTAGATCCCTTGATGACGCCTCTGTCTATTGTCCTCTTCCATACAGAACCATGAAGTGCGTGAAATGGCCAAATGGTTCTCTCTTCACTGTGATGGAAATGGCTCGTAATTTTTTTGGCCAATCCCACGACGACTAGAAAAAATGCTCTAATCTTGATGTATCAAGAGCCTTGCCGAAATCAAGCTTCATGACCAGGCATTAATTTTCCCTGCAAATAGTTGACTGGTATTTATTTATCAAATTAGTTCATCGTTGATTGTTCAGCCATCATTTCCAGCGGTAATTTGACACCAACCATTCATAGGCCTGCTGGTCTCAGAAACCGTCAACCTCAACAGCTCCATTCTTCCTAAAGACAGCGAGACTTGGAGCTAACTTGTCTAATTATGAGAGACCTCTTCCCAACATCTGTGACAAAAGGGTTCAGATCTAGTGGCGCATCCATAAACACAATTTTTCAAATAACGATATAGTGGATATTAGTATGTAGAGTGAAAGATAAAGCGTTCCAGACGTATCGAGATTTGGTGTGCCAATAGTTGGCTCCATACAAGCCTCATCTCCCCATGGCTAGTAATGATGTCTGCTTAAGATTGAATAATTTGAACAAAGTTCAGGCTACGATCATTAGGGTTTCCACAGCTAGGTATATAGACTACTTTGGAAGCTGTTGGAGGGGGTTTTTCGTTGTTTCTTTCACTAACATAAACAAAGCTAAGGAGATCAAACAGTGTATAGTAAATGGTATAGTGCTAATCGCGAAATGCTGCATATAAGGAGAAGCAATCACACTCAATGGAAAGTGAATATGGATGAAGCTCAAACCTCCTCGCATGATGTCTCCCAATTTTTCTAAGGTAAGTGTAATACTCCTTTTTATAGTGTAGGGCATCCTACTAGCTACTCCTCTCATATGCATCACATGAACAGTTAGAAATATCATGACATAAAACAACGGCAACACAATCCAAAAAATTATATTAATTCTTTTCCTAAACATTCGTAAATGCCTGTTAATGCGGATGTGAGATCGTTTAGTCCATATCCGGTGTACAAATGCATGGGCAGAGTCATCCATGGGCAGCCAAACACAAGCTTTCCTGTAAAAATGCAAGATCTACTAGCAAAAGCTAATCATTCAATAATTTTTCTTTCCAATTAGAAGATGCCTTGTACATTTCAGGCATAAGATAAAAATTAGCATCCTTAGCAATTGATCATAAGATTCAATACGAAAAATAGAGAGTAGATGCGCCACAAAAAAGGTATTCGCAGAAAGGTGAAAAGGGATAGAGTTTAACAGTTTTCAATTTTCTTTACAATATGAAGATTAAATCCTCGTATCTATTCATATACAAAGTGTCCACAATAGAAGGATCTGAACATCATATAACCATAGCCAGCATACTCAGTCTTCGCCAAATCCTAGAACTGTTCTAAGAGAAAACATATTGTGCCCATATTCACATTCTTCCTTCTCTACCGTCAACATAACATGCAAATCAGACATATAATGGCTTGACATCCACAGAACACAAAAGCATCAAAGAGAGAACAAGACAACGAAGGGAATATATCCTCTTTCCCATCTAAGATCTTGAACTCATGCTACAAGTGCGAGATAAAGATAAAGACAACAGTGGTACACCACCACTCACACCCATATCTCCATTGCCAACAGGATCATACTGCTTCCTGCAACCAGGGCAGCGACCATCAGCCTCAAGAATCCTCTTGTGACAGAAAAGGCAGAGACGGAAACCACAGCAACATGGAAGAAAGCTAGAATCTGTGGGATCCAGCTCCTCGTAACAGATGGGACAAGACGATGGCTGAGAATTGATTCCATGATGTGCCCACCCAACTGTCCTCTGACTGCGGTACCAAGTGGTGTTCAATGAAAAGCTGTGCTGCTTTCGGAGGTTTGGCAGACTTTGGGGGCGGAAAACATCATCAGACCTCCATGCCGTAAGGACTCTCCTTTCAGGCTCTGGTTTTCTCAGGATGCCATCACCGTTTTGAGACACCCGAGAAGCAGTTGACTCAGGAATAGCAATAGAATCTGCAGACTTCAGAGGAGATTGGCCCCCATCACTGGCAGTCAGGATATCCGCAACAGCCTCCCAATCATCCAGACTCCCTTCTCCAACTCCTTCACCTTGGATGATGTCCTCCTCATCCTCCTCATCGTCCTCAGGGTCACAAGAAGCTCCCGAATACTCTTTGTCATCAATTCTGCTGGATAAGCATTCCTTACGTGAGGAGTTTTTCCCAGAGGCGCAAGCAGTAGAACTATTTTCCATGGAATCCAGATCACTAACATTACATCTCATCGTTTGATCATTCTCTTCCATTCTAGACCTCCCAACAGGTGCATTTTGTTTGCCCAGCTGGGGCAAAGTCAGGGGCAAAGGAGATGCAGGAGAAGGGGACGCATGCACATTCACCACCTTGCAACTCTTGTTCTTGACTGCCAGAATAAAAGGAAAAAAAACATGAGAAAAGACCATCGAACCTCGGCGTCAATTTATTCGTGAAAAAAATAAATTTAAAAGACAGTATGGATTAACGAAAAACAAATTGGTGATAGAATTCCAACCTCAAAAAAAGCCTATAAACCGAAAGGAAGAATTTTGTTCCCAACTCATCCACGATACAGATTCCTCTCGATCTAGACCAATAAAGAGGAAAACCAAGGAAAAGAAAGCACGAAAACAATAACGACCGGAGACAAAAAAAATAGAAGAGGGAAACTGGGAGGAAGACGCACTAGGAATCACAAACCTTGAGAAAGCCACTGCTCCCTCCTGGCGTCGAGTTTGCACTGCTTTAGTTTCGCCGACCTGTTGGCCTGGAGAACAAATGTTAAAGAATAAAGAGACATCACCATCAAGACGAACCCCAACGAAAACCAAAACAAAAAAGACATGCACAGAATAGCAAAAATACAATTAATCCAATAAATAAAAAGCGCTGATTAGCGTTCCATCCACCCCCTTACCTTCTTTTTCTTGCCGCCGAGGTCCTTGGAGACCGCGGGACCAGTTGCGTTCGCCGCTGCCGCATCGGAGCCCATTGTACCTCTCCCTCGTGCAACCTTCAAGGACGCAGGCGGCAGAAATACACCTCGAGAGAGGGAGAGAGAGAGAAGATTTTGGAGCAAGAGATCAAGAAAGAGGGGAGGAAGGGATTGCGAAACTCCGAATCAAATCCCTACTCTGTGCTGATGTAGGGTGCCAGAAGGGGAGAAGAGGTATTTATAGTGGAAGTGGGATAGAGGCGTTACGAAAACTCCAGATAAACAAACCGAAGGGCGGACGGCGGAGAAGGGAGGCCCGTAGGGAGTCCGCCTGGCGGGGACGTCGAGCCCAGTTGTCAAACGACGCCATCGCCCTCTTCCGGATCCTTAACGGGTTGGATCCAATCTCACCATTTACTTTATCTCATCTTAAAAGCACTACCCCCGGGGAACAACTCCCCATGATTTCCTCTAAATTCCAATCACCTGCCTACTAGCGGTGCAATTGATCTAATTATCCACAGGTTTTAAATACGACAGAAAACCCTCCTATATCACCATTTACTTTATCCAAACATAATTGCAGCACTACTTGAGAACAATTCCCACAGATTTTCTCTTCTAGTATATAATATTATAAATTTCAATCACCTGCCTATTAGTTGTGGAATTGATCAAATTATCCATATTTTCTAAATACCACTGAAAACCCTATCCATTAGAACCATTAAATATTCAACTATATCATTCGATCTCAAATATGTATTTCCATGTAGAACTATATTAGGAACCTTACTCTTAAAGGTATTAATTTAGTTGATGTTAAACCTAGGCCAAGCAATTCAAGCTTCATCCAAATGATTTAATCTTGCTTATGAGGACAACATGTGTAGCATATTTTCTAAATACCACTGAAAACCCTATCCATTAGAACCATTAAATATTCAACTATATCATTCGATCTCAAATATGTATTTCCATGTAGAACTATATTAGGAACCTTACTCTTAAAGGTATTAATTTAGTTGATGTTAAACCTAGGCCAAGCAATTCAAGCTTCATCCAAATGATTTAATCTTGCTTATGAGGACAACATGTGTAGCATATTTTCTAAATACCACTGAAAACCCTATCCATTAGAACCATTAAATATTCAACTATATCATTCGATCTCAAATATGTATTTCCATGTAGAACTATATTAGGAACCTTACTCTTAAAGGTATTAATTTAGTTGATGTTAAACCTAGGCCAAGCAATTCAAGCTTCATCCAAATGATTTAATCTTGCTTATGAGGACAACATGTGTAGATTGATGATGCTTTTCAAGATCCCAAAATTGCTAATTTTGATGGGAGAATGTGGCACTCAATAGTCCAAAGATAGAATCCATTATTGTTCCAAATAGAGAAAAAAATCAGTCACACTTCATTGAAATTGAGATGTGTCCTAAGCTACTTACCATTTAGGTATCAAGTTTCAAATATATCAAATAGATGACTAGTGTCTAATGTCAAGCAATGTGGTTGTGAATGGTTGCCATGAGTTGCATTTGATTGTAACAAAAGTTTTAATGGGAACATGCAATCTATCTTAAGTGTCTTATTTTCTAATTTAGTTGTTGATTGATAAGTTTTCATTATCATGAGTTATTAATTAATTAATAATATATTTCAAGTCTTAACTCATGATAAATAGACTTATATTGATATTAAAGTGAGAAAATATATTTTTAGTTGGTTAATATAATTTTTTGACTAATTATATGATTTAATATGTATTTATATACTTTTATAATTATATTTTTGAGATAAAATAAAGATAACTAAAATAAAAATAAAAATATATTTAAAAAAGGGGCACATGTGTGTGTCACTCTCCTTCCACGTCACTAGTGGGGTAAAGAGTTGTCGTATGCACATGAGAGGACAATATTAATAAAAGAAAAATATATTACTATATATGTGTCTCAAAAATCAAAAAATAGCTAATGTGGGATTAAACTCACGCTAGTATACCTTAGCATGTTTCTATTATTTTTATATCTAAAATACCTTTGGTAATACCTCATGTAAGTGAGCAATCGACAAGAGTTTAAATTCTACTAGAGTCAAAACTCATATTTTTATCTAACTAAATTATTATTTTTATGTAAAACACCAAACAACGATTAAGTCGTCATAATTAGTCAATCATTAGGGAAAATGTGATCTATACGATTTACAAAACATTGTTATCAACTACTGAACGATTTTAGATAAAAACATCGCTAATCTATCAAGAAAATCATCTCTAATTGATTAATGAATAAATCATCATCAAAAGGAGGACGATTTATCGGAAGACAAGTCACCACCTCTTGAAAACATATTAGATGCGATGAAGAGCCTCATTTTGCTGTATGGATTAGAAGATGAAGCTCCTTAATACATGTCTCACCTTCATCCTACTTATCTATGTTGACTGAGAACCATCAAAGATTTAAAAGTCATTGTGTTTCTGCTATTTTATTAATTTTTAAATTTTACAAGAAAATTTAGAAATTAATTACATCATCTATATATAATGAGAGCTTTTGAGGTCATGGATATCACATGATAATTCTCTTAGACGCAATAATCTAGTAATCACTACTCAATGTCGGAACTTTACCTTTCTTTATTTAAACTTAAATTTTACTTAAATTAGTGAGATTTTATTGATTTCAAAGTTCAAAAATTTTCTTCATTCAATTAAGATTCTTTTACTTTTTACAAATCTTAATTCGATCAATTAAATCATTTATAATTATTTATTTAAGATATATGAATTATATTGATCAAGTTAATGATGTCATTTTGAAGTTCTCACTTAAATTTTTATTTTTTTGCAAATATTTAAATATATTTTAGCTTCATCATTTAGTCTAAAAATCACAAAAAGTCATATTATTTGAGGAAAATTCTAAAATATTGCAAAATATTATCTTACATTCTATGATCAACATGAAATTTCTCACTATTTTTGAGACCTTTTAGAAAATTATAATTAATTTATTTGTGTTAAAATATTTTTTAAAAATAAAAAGAAAATATTTTCAAAATTTATAAATTTAAAATTTATGTGATTTATTATACAATAATTAAGTCACATCATTAGTGTTAAGAAAAAGATAAGATGAACCTCACAAAAAATATCTTTTGATTACTAGGACAATGTTCAAGTTAATTAGGTTGTTAATAGCTGTACAACTTCAAAAAGCTTAATGTGTCACTAAAAGAGGATAGTTGTTCATCTCTATGAACCCTTTAAACTTTGTGTCCTTCCATACCTTTGGTTGGCATAATAGTCATAGGTTTTAATAATTTACACAACTATTACCTACAACTTTCTTATGACATGACATTTTGGATTCAAACATAAGCAAGAGATGATATTAGCATGACGCAAAAAAAACATGAAAATTCTTCTTGGAACATGCTAAATCAGCCCACCCAAAATTCTTTAGCAAAAGATTATAGATAATCAGTAGTATGTTATTTCTAATTAGTGTAATTGCAATGATATCTGGAACAATGTATAAAGAAAAAAACCTACTAGACAATCTTTAAAATGTAAAGAGGAATTCTTTAGAGGTCATGATCTTCCAAACTTTCTCATATGAGGGAATAAATTAATAAATATCCTTAAAAAGACAGTTAAGCTCAACATGAAATAGCATAAAAATATTTTTTTGTGATAATGTAGGTTTTTTCAATAAAATAAAATATACTTTTAGAGTAAGGATGCTTAAACAAAGTTATAACAATGCAACAAGAAGTGAATGCATGAATGCATGTGAAGTGCAGTATTTTTATAACAATGCAACAATTTATTAAGACTTTTAAACTTGTATTTTTACTTCAAATGGTTGCTTTATCTCCTAAGTGTATGTCTTATTTTGTTAAGTTAAGGTTTTATCATTTTGCATAAAGTGGCACTACATGATGAATGTCAAATAGAAGAATGTGAATGTACTAATCAATGATTATACTCTTGCGACACCAACATGCATATTAATTTTATTATTAAGCTTTTATCATTCTTTTAATGCCTTGATTTGTGACATAATAATAAGCACATAAGAAGCATAGTTAGTTGTGCAGATGAAGGATCATGATTCACATGCAAGATCTCCAAAGGAGATGGATGCCATGAATTAGAAAATGAACATTAAAAAAATAAGTCACATTCATGGAGTGGACAAAGCTTGTGAAGATAAACCAGGGGCCATTTGTTGCATAGGTTTTCCACTTGTTTGCCTTGTTTAATTCGGTTGGAATACACTTGATTGCAAAAATATATTATAGAAATTGGGAATCAAAATGAAGCACACATATGTGATGAATTAGTAAATTATGATGACAAAAATATTCATTAACAACTTTACTACCCCATTTATTCTTTTTAAACATGTGCAAAGGTGAAACTACTGTGTACAACAAAACTTTCACCTTCTTCTCCTTCTTGGAACCGATGAAGTTGAGTTGCTAGGTGGTGTTAGCTACCTTATCTTGGTGTCCCAAAATTGAACTGAACTGGTGGGAAATTTGGGTTGAGTTAGGTGTCATCTCTATCAACGCTAGAGTAGTCAAAATCTTCAATTCTCAAAGGAGCCATCATACTACTACAGAAAAGCAAAGCAGGTCAAAATTGGGGACTAGTGTGGACCGTAGGCATCTCCTTTTAATATCATACACAGAACTGACGGTTTCCCAAGAGTCTCTGGTGGGCCCGTCTGATCCGGGGGTCCCACAGAATCGTACGTGTCGCGAGCCGAGGGCCGCTCACTCGCCGACGACAGTAGTGGATCGGGGGAGGCGCCCAATTTTGCGTTGTCTCTTATGGGGCAGGGAAGTGGCCGAGCAGAGCATAGCGCCCACCACGGGTGGCATTTTAGTAATTGTGGAGATTCTCTCGTCCTGGTTTTTGGATGTTGCGTCGTCTCGGATTTGGTCTGAAGGATCGTCGACCAGGAAGGCCTAGGGGAGAGACGAAGAGAGGAGCGGCGGCGTGGGAGGCCTCTGGTTGAAGGCGAGGAACAGGGCCTTCTCCTGCTCGGGCATGTCGTCGGCGGCGGCGGCCGCCTCCGCCAGGGCAGCCTTCCTCCTCTCCCGTTTCCGCGACCTCTCTCTCAAGTGCTACCCTTCTGCCCCCTCGCCATCTTCCTCTAGACAGCTCTTCGGGATCTCCCGCAGAGATTCGGGGGGTCTCCAAGAGCGACGCCAGTCCTCTCCCTCTGTGTCCCGCTGCCTCGCTTCCGGTGTCGACGGCGGCGGTGGTTTAGCTGACGATCTCGTGTCTACGGCTAGAGAGCAGCGGCGCCGTCGCAGAGAGTACTCGGCACTGGCCAACGTCCTCTGCCGTGTTGAGCCTCTCGATGTGTCCGTGATAGGGGAGGGCATCTCAGCGGCCGCCAAGGAGGCCATGAAGAGGACCATCTCTAGCATGCTCGGCCTCCTCCCATCTGATCAGTTCCACGTCGCAATCAGGGTCTCCAATCAGCCTCTGGACCGCCTCCTGGTTTCTTCTGTTATAACTGGGTGAGTGAATTTTTACGGATCTTCATCTCTTATTAATTCCTGTTCTTTAATCGCACCAGCCCAAATGTATGGTCTGATTTGTTACTCGGTTGAAATATTTGTCTAGGTACACCCTCTGGAATGCGGAGTATCGGCTTTCGCTAGGGAGGAATTTCAAGAAGTATCCAGTTATTCCAGAACCATCCTTGGAACAGGAAGGCAGTTGTCAGCCTAATGTCGAAGAGGGGCTTTATGGGGATCGGTTCGAGGAGAAACTGATAACTCCTGAGACCTTGGAGGTTCCTTCCCCAGCTGCTTTGAGTTATATACAGAAGCTGGAAGCAGAATTGGCTGCTAGTGAGAAGGTACTTTATAGACAAATACTGGTTAATTTTTTATGGGTTCTTTTCGTCGCACTAGTCACTACCACTTTTATAGGGAACATGAAGATGTAAAAATGAAAAATATTCGAACATTTACTTGCGATTGAGGCTTATCCTAGAAATTGAATTCCATTCGACTGTAGCTATGCCATTCTCTTTTGTGCAAAGTTGATGTCTTCTGTCAGCCTGTTCAAAGGCCACGATGGTATTTTCTGGTTATTCTTTGGTGAAAGTTGTATTCAGATACCACTCTCATTGTAATATTTGAATTTGCTTAAATTTATGTGAATAAAAATGTAGCTATAGATAGATTTTGCAAGTATTCAGCTGGCAAAACCTGTGGGCTTGATCCCAACAGTCTCATGTTTAAAGGCACCTGGTTATATAACTTACTACATCCTAAAGAGCTTTTGGACATTACTATCTGCTGTGGACTTCACCCATGTGATGTTTTAGCCTAAATGGGGTTGACAGTTGAATGGTTGTCTTTAAGGAACTGTGTCTATTGACATGCCTTTATTTCGTAGGGATAGCCAATACCTCCTGGGAAGCTGTGAGGAGTTTTTCTTGGATTCCTGATAGGAAGGAAATGGGCGATACTTTATTGGTTTCCTAATGCTGGGAAGCTTGGAGAGGCATTTGAATTCATTATTTGGATTCATCCTGTTGGCGGCAGTCAATCGCTGCATGAGAGAAGCTCACCTAATGGATTAATCACGTACTAATAATACTCTAGGAAGCACGCTAATTTCGCCTTTTTATGTGAGGTTTAGTTACTGTTTGGAATGCTCATAAGGTTGTTTGTTTTGATGATTTTCTGTAAACAATTTGAGATTTCCTTAAATTTTCATTAAATCATGATTTTTTATAATTTTCATATGATTAAAAGTTCCTTTGTTTACTTTCGTTTACTTGCCTCTCTGTGTAAGCTCTGTAATTTTTTGTGCGACCACCATTGTAGTTCAGTATCAAGATCAGTTTCTTTTGGTAGGTTATTTTATTCCTTGCTCATTTTTAGTTAGAGATCACTGCCTGCATTTGTTCTTTTACTGCGGAATCTTGTCACTGGCTGTTTTAGAGCTAAATTTCATCTTATGTGGTATTTCTATTGGCCGGATGTTTCAGTCATAGATGATTTTATGTGTGAAGCTATTATCCATATTTGGGCAATCTTCCAGATTTCTTTCTTGTGGAACTATTTTATTGATGCTGCTTTGGGCTAACATTAAAGAAGTGATGCAAATGGATAAACAAGGATCAGATAAATCTTGGTTCATTTTTTGATGGATAAACAGTGATCTTCCTCTTCTAGAAACCTCTCAAAACAACATCCCTCTCCTAGTTGCAGACATTCCTTGGAGTTCTGCACTTCCCTCTCCCTTATCTGGAGCGTAGGCCATCTTTAATGAGAGCTGTTGTTGGTGGATCATTGACCATTGATCCGTTGTTTCTTTTTGGGTCCAGTGGTTGCATCAATCTGATGGGAGCCACAATTGGACAGCTGGGTTATTAGTTCTGCTTGAATATGCCTTCCAACATACTTATCATCAGTCAATGAACCCTAAAAATCACATGTGTCGCTTGAGAGGCCACTAGTAAATAGGGCCTTAAGGTCCTTGATAGATGAACCCTTCCCTGAAGGACACTTGGGGGCCCTTATTGGTCTTGGGGTTACTATGTCTTCTAATGTTTTCAGTAGCTGATCTCTTAAAGTTGCTGCCAGAGGTTTGTCGCACTGCCACACAGTGGTTCCTTCAGAAGGGTCATCATTGCCTCTCTGGCCAATGTAGGGTCCAGCAACCCTCTATCCTTTCAGACTCATGTGGAGGGAAAGGAGATGGACTGTTCCAGAAGAAGTTCAACCATGCGCTGGATATCATTAATAATAAATAGTAATTGGAGATGGTCTTCAATTAAGCCTGCTGGTGGAAATTAAGGATAGAAGTGACATTCCCTTTTAAACTATTTATCCTGCTTTTATGACGTTTTCTTATATTTTTCCTTTCCATATTTTCCTACTTCGGATTTTACGTTTTGGTTGCTGTTTTTAAATTGACAGATCGAGATTTCCTCTGATGGCTCCTCATATCACTGTGGTGGCATCAATGACCTCCTTAAGGACCTATCAATGGCCTCCAAGTATTGTTAGTGGATGGCCTCTTTTAGTTGGCAGTCATTCTTTGGGCTGCTAATAGCCATAGAATGGGCTACGATTTGGTACAAATTTAGATGTGGAGAGCTAGTTGAAGAGCGCCATGCTAAATTTAAGCTTTCAAAGCCTACCATTTGTTCTAAATGAAATGAACATTGTGATAATTGAGGAGGATCCTTATTACAACAAAATTGAGAACAATTTCAATGAGATAATTGAAATTTCAACAATGAGGACGATGAATTTCATTTTTTTTTTCTCCCATTTGGACCCTTTGAAAATACGAAAAATTAGGACCTACAGTCTGCTGCCCTTTGCTACGTCCAAGCCAGAGCTCTGCCAAACATGAACTTAACATTCAGGAGAAAAAAATCATCTAGTTGAAAATAAGCAAATGAAGATTAAGATGGGGAAAAAAATTCTCTGCCAGTACAGTAAAGAGATGAGAAACATAATTCGATTCCCAGTCTGTATAATTATGTGTCAACCTTTTGTGGGGAAGAAGAGTCATTAAGATAGCAGTTTTCAAATAACGACTGGCTAGATGTATTTTATTGAATTTCACCAAATGGTAGAAGTTGACATGATCTATTAAGTTGTGTCCTAATCAGTTGTGTATTTGCTGAGAAACTGTTTATCTGATAGACTACTTTTTGTAGCTTCGGAATTTACCTTGCTGGTCTACCATCAAACACCCCAGTCCTCTTATCAGTGACCATTTTCTCTCTTCTTTAACTTTTCCTAAAAGTCTGAGGACTCTTCCACTCCTAGTAACCTTCCATTACTCAACTCTGTCACCTGATTTTCATTCCCTCCTCAATCTGGTCTCTTTGGCCACTGAACAGTTTGTCTATGATTTATTCTTTCTTCTTAATGTCTTTATGAGTGAATTGATTAGCATTTTTTGCATCTATGATACATCTCTGGGTAGAGCTACATCAGAATACCAACCTTGGTATTGTCTTTATCTGGAACTCTTGGATTTTCCTCTTTCCTTATTTTTCTGTGTACATCACCAGGAACTAGATGCCCAGCTTCTGGAGAAAAAATGCATGGAGTACAATAGAAAGGACGACAGTGATTTATTGGAGTACTTGAGATCACTGGAACCTGCGATGGTAATCTTTGTGGATCATTGGCCATTTTTTCCATTATTTTATTCTTATATATTGAGCATTTTATTTGTTGTGCCATCTGACCTCGTTTTAAACGATGTTACCCTTGACAGGTGACGGAATTGTCTCAACCATCTTCTCCAGAGGTGGAAGAAATCATCCAGCAACTCGTTCAGAGTATACATCTGAAATGTTTTGGGGATATTGCAGACTTATCAAGGAATTCAGATAAAGGAAAAGCTAGCATTCTCAAAAAATTTCCCCAAAGTAGCAGTGATGAACAGTGTGTAACATTGGATACCACACGGGATTTCCTAGCTAAATTACTTTTCTGGTGAGTCAGCATGTTCTTTGTGTCTTTTTACTGTCATATCCATGTCACTTGTTGAAATTTGAGCAGCTTTTGCTGTGTTTTCGCTGCAATATTATGGTTACTTATTGAAGTTCGAGCATTTTATGCTGTGTTTTCACTGTAATATTATTATACTTGCTGAAACCTGCCAGTCATGTGATATTGCTGTTATTCGATTTAATGAAGTGAACATAAATTCTTATCCATGGGAACGAAGGAATATGTTTGATAATAGAAAATTGTAAGTCTAAGATTGTTTAGTTGGGTTCCTGATTCTAGTTTTGTAGATATGACGCATGGGATGGAACCTAATTCAATGTCTGGCGTGTGTTTCTCAATACATTATTAAGGTCCATTACATGAATAGACAGAATCCTTGATCCTGTTCTGTGTCAGTTCTTCAAGGTCGCTTTCTCTTATGCCAACAATAAATCTCAATTTTAATTCTATAATAAAAAATCCTTTTCTAGTTTTCAACATGAAAGAGCTGTGCACTGCCAAAAGTTTATACTTTCTAAGAAGGGAACGCTGTTCCTGATGTCAATTGAATAGTTTTTTAGTCTGTTTAAAAGGTAGAGGATACATAAAATTCCTGTGTTGAACCATGGGCATGTATCATGGTAACCTGATAGGTCGTGAAGATATTATCCTTCATAGATGTGGCTGTTAGAGAGCATAGAAGAGACATCTTGTTGTTCTTTTGCCTTTTGGTCAAGTTTTTCATTCCTTCTGACAGGCTTGGAAATAGCTTTTGTTGCTTCCTTAATAAATAATATACTTTGTTTACTTCACTATTTTGTTGGGGTATGCACCTTTAAAACTGTTTTTGTTTTTATTTTTCAGTGCAATTATTTGCAATGTACCACGCATTTATCAGTTATCAAAGTCTATTTTTTTATACACTCGCAGTTTCCCGAATTTTATTGTATTATTTAGTTATCTGAAACAGAAGGAGCAAGAAGGCTGAATGGATTCATAGATTACAATATAAATCCTATGTGAAAAAATGGATACCTGTTCTGAGTTTCTAGACGTTTGCCTCGGTTCTATATTAAAACACTGAAACATAGTTGAACAATAACGAGTGGGCATTTGGTTTATTTGTCATGTAGAGTTTGCCACAAGAAGCTGGTTCGCATATTTGTCTTTTTCACTGCACATTATGACCCGGGGCTTGAGGACAACATTCATAGGCTGGTTTGATGCATGCAGTTTGACAGGTTCCTCTGGGGTGCCATGTGGTTGGCACGGTTCTTTGTTCTGTTGTCGAAAAGAGAAAACCCTAAAGAATCTTAGGTGATTGGTTTTTTATAAGATTCTCATTCAAAAAAGGGTGGGATAAAATCCCTCCATTTGATAAAGACAATCAAAATTTATAGGCTTTTCGTGCTCTAAAATGTATCCCCCTCTCACTCAGCCTACTCTGTCTGTGGGCGATGATGGCAGACATAATATTCTACCAACTTCCGCCCCCCTCTTTTTTATTTGGCCAGGAAAGCATGAGATGGTTGACAATGCCTTCTGGATCCTTCCGTGCCATTTTCTCTCTTTTGAAATCTTATTTCTCCTCCTAGGGTTCTGCCCTTTCTCCCCCCTTTCTTGTGACCCTTTTGAAGGGCTACTTTGTTCTGGCGATCTTAAAGCCATAACCGCCCATCACGATGACCCTGGTGAGCAGGAGTGCCATGATGACGTGATGATCCTAGAGATTGTTGACCAGACTTTTCCTGCATATATGTTGGCTAAGTAGCAAAACTCCATCTTGAGTGACTGCAAACATAGTCTAATGTGTCAATTTCTCTGTTGTCCCCCACCCCCATTCAATCTCTCATAGATCCAATCTTTCTTATAACTTTTTAGGTTCTTGTGGGCTCACTGGATTGTTTGGATCCACAATGACTATCTGGATAGTATCTGTCTATCTGTCCTTCCCGGTTGGGCATGCCAGCGGGCCCAATTCACATTTCTCGCCCCAAGCATATGCCTCTATTCAAGTTCTGCATCCTCTTTGACAGCAGTGGGGTCATCATCCATTCGACTCACAGGGGCTTTCGTCTGTCAATAGGCGGATGTGTTTCTACGTACATAAACACAGCTTTAATTTCGCGACTAATGGTGCCGTAATTAAAACCTTCCTTTTCGATTTTGATTTATTATTAAAACACGACCCAGTACGTGCACGGAGACAAGGCAATAAGCAAGGCTGTTTCACGCGAGAGGAGATTGTCATATGTTGATCAAGTAGGGAGAAATTCGACAGAAAAGATGAAGTCTGAGAGAGAATAGGAGTGACTGGTGTAGGAGAACTTCGGGATGTAAAACTGAATGAATTGAGCTATTCCATATATACTTTTTCCTTAGACTTTCGTTGCATCTCTACATAATGTCAGTGGAGGACGAAAATGCGCAATCAGATATAGTATAACGACTACTTTCAGAAATTCTTAGGCTTTAGTCCTCTTCCATAAATGTCATTCTTGGTTTCGTTATACAGTCAGAGGGAGTACATGCAACTCCAACAACAAAGTCACTCAAAGGGCGTCTGGCCTGCCTGTGGAAATGTTCTCTGATGTTTTCTTAAACACTCTGGAAAACAACTGACCATTACTAAAACGTCAATTTGAGGTGTCAAGAAAGTGACTCCTGTGATCAAATTCACAGCAAGAACAACTAAACGGCAGTTGCAAACTAAGTGGATGCTTAAGAAGACAGTATAGAATCCTTCCAAGTTTCCAACAGTTAAGAACACCGCATTGCCACAGAAGGACCTTTTCTTCAAATAACCTTCCTCCTTTTGCACCATTGGCTCGGTAAAATTTGGGCATATTTTTAATACAAAGATGACCATGAGATGTCCTATGATCAATTGGTGCATAAAAGCATGGTGTCCGAGTTTTCCTTTTTCATATCCCCTACATACTAGGCTTCTCAGTTTGATTACAACTGTAAAGGATGATCTAATTGACCCTCAAAATATATTGCTTGTTTGAAGTTTGTTTTACGTAAATGCAATAGTCAATGGTTGGAACAATCGCTTAAGTTGTTGCGTTTTTGTTCTTCCTGTTCCCTCTGATTGGCAGGTGCATGCTGCTGGGTCATCACATGAGAGGGTTGGAGTACAGGCTGCTTCTGAGTTTTGCTGTCGGACTGCTGTGACTTAGAACAGAGTGTGTAGTTTACAGAATGCTGTATATTCTTCATACACCAGTGACGCATATTCGCCGTCATTCTGCTTTCCTTTTAATTGATTCAGATTCATAGAAAGCATGCATTTCCTTCTCGTTAAATATAGAGACTTTTCCTTGATCTTCAATTAGTTGGGACCCCTGTGGCGGTTCATAATGGTCCATGCGGCTTCGTTAATGAAGCTGACCGGATCATGTAGCCATCTGACTTCATACACCGGAGCTCTTCAAGACTCATATTAGGTTTATGTGCCTCAGTTGATTAAGTCAGGCATGATCAGAAGTTTGTAATTTTTAGACCGGATCCCTAATGAGATGTTTCATGGTTTTAATTTGAGCTGCAGATCTCAATCTAGAAACGGAGATACAAAAATTAATATCAGGTCGTTTTCCAGCAATGAACAGATCAAAGGATAATAGGAAAACAAGTTGAAGCTTTTCCCGATTGAGTATCAACTATCTGTAAAGCAGTCATACTTTCTTCCCCCAACTGATTTCTTGATTTAGTGGCTCTTTCTAAAATGCACGAATGCAGATAAAAAACATTGCCTTGTCTGTAGAAAAAAGGTGGCCTATAATTCAACTTGAATGTACAATCCTGAAGTTTTATAATTATTTATAAGTTTTTGAAGTCAGTTTGAAATTTCTTGAAATTTTTACTTGATTTATGTTTTGGATCTGACATTGCTTGATCAGTAATGATTTATAAACCTCCAAAGAGGAAGGGAACTCCAAAATGGATTGATGAAAAATATAAATTGCCTCTGGGGTTATAAGGGGAGCCCTATTTATAGGTAAAAAAATTAGTTATAATGGTCCTAAAAAATAAAGGTAGTTATAATTATCGTAGAATGCCCCTAATAGTTTAGAGGTAATATTTGAAATTCAATTTTAAAAACAAAAGGTGGAAAGAAAGAGGAATGTGAGGATTGAGATTTTGGCCCATTTTAACATGTATCTAAATCTATTACTAGGCTCTCTCATATTAATTGGGCTGAATTGTGTCTTCACGCATCTAGAAATTGGCCGTTTTTAGATTTTTCTTAGCATTTCCGTAGTTTTCTGGGTGTTTTGCCATCTTCTGTATGTAAATTCGTCAAATTATGCTGTGGAAGACGCATGATTCAAACTTGGGTCAGTTGCTTGGCAAGTGGGTCAATAGTCAATTAGCACTTTGCTGAACCAGCACTCGCTGAACCCACACTTGCCAAACTAGTGGTCTAGACCATTGCTCATTGGACTCACACCTACTGAATTAGTGGTCCGCCAAACTAAGGCTCGTTGAAGTTTAGCCCCCATCATAAACTTTTGCGAAAAAAAGGCTATATTTACCTTAAATTGAGAAAAATAATTTTTATGTGACTAATGTGAATTTATGATTAATTATGTGATTTTATATTCATGTTCTCAAGTGAAAATAAAGTAAAATAAATAAATAAATAAAAATATTAAAAGGAGGGAACCCACTAACTAACTAGCACTTAGTAGTTGACCTAGAGGGAACTACACTCAAGTGGGTGGACTTGGATTAGGTGGAACTGTGAGTTGGGCTTTAGAAGTTGAGGACCCATGGACACATGTGCATCACTCTTCTTCCACCTTATTGGGAGGGAACCCATACATGGCCAAAGAATGATCTTGTTTTACATGTGTTATGTGGGGGCAAACCACTAGTATCTCTTCTCCCCAAGTGGTCTTGGCCATTTTGTTTTCAAAAGAAGGTATCAAATACATTAGATGGCCCAGATTTATACCTATCTAAACTCCCCAAAATAATCAATGTGGGACTAAATTGTCAACTACTCTCATTGGCTGAAGTAATATCAAAAATGTCCCTATGTAAAGAGAAGGTTAAACTCTCATGTTTTCACTATTTCAAGTGTATAAGTGAAACTTATTTTCACTATTCTAGAGATAGTCAATCATTGATAGAACCTTCATTAACAATAATCAAGGATCATCATTAATAATTGACGAAGGTTTCTAGATTGAAAAATGAGAATGTTAGAAGGGAATAGTATCTCTCATTGGTTGACAAATGAGTCGTTATTGATAATAGAGAGATACATCAAGAGATTTGTTGTGGTCTCTTTAAAGTGTTCTAATTGCTATATAAACCTCCTTTTACTATGTGGACATGAGGAATAAACTTCTTGAGATGTGCTCTATCTCTATTGATCTCAACTTTTTACCAAGTGGTAGCTATCGGAGATCCATTCTTGTCAACTTTCATTTTGCTAGGTGAATTCGTAGAGTACCCACGTTGTGCTCATCTAAGGAGAAACTTTGAGGTTGTAGACACTCCTTAGAAACTTTCCAAATACACAGAATTTTGGTGATCGTCATCTCAACGTTGAAATTTTATTTTTATTCTTTTAAAATCATTCAATCTTTAAATCAATGTTTGTTTACTTGAATAGATGAAACAGTTGTCAATCAAGTTTCTACTTGAATTTGATCAATTTGTGTAGATGTGGTGCATCAAATAGATTCATATACAATCTCTAGTCAATGAATTATAATCCTAACAACTATTACTTGTTGGAATGAATCAACATTGGTAGTACTACTCCAAGAATGCCATGACGTCTAAAGAAGGATCATCAGAAGAAATTTCACACTGTTTGTATTAGGTGAAGAATGAGATGAGTTCGTGAATGAGCTTTTGTAGTTATAGAATCAGACAAAAAATGAGAAGGATCATCAGATGGATGATTTGGTGAATTTGACATTTGTGGCCATTGAAGGAAAGAGAATGTGGTTGCGAAGAACAATAGATTGATCAAAGATGCTTGATTCTTTCTCCCCTAATATTTTATCTTTTAGTGTGTTAATTGTGTTGTCTTCATTGATTCATCTGTCATATTTCTTGTTGTATTTGTTAATCCATTGTTGATGTGGAAAAGCTAAAAACAGAAATTAGTCCCATATTTTATTTTATTATTATTCATCATAATAAGCTCATAAAAATTCAAGAAAATTGAGGAAAAATTCAGAAAAATGCAATTAATACATAAGTATTTTGATAATAATAATAATAATTATTATTATTATTAAAACCTCTCAAAATATTTTATGGTCAATTTGAACATGTAATTTTTAGAAATTAACAACAAGATCATATAAATCAGTTTAATCTTTTTTTAAAATAATATAATTTATAAACATTTTTAAAAAATTAACTAAAAAATAGAAAATATTAATCATTTTATCATGTAATTAATGATAATTATCATAATGTAATTAAGGTCGGTACCAAGTGATGTATAATTGTATAGGTTCAACTTCATAGTATCTCTACTTTAGTTCAACTTGATATAACCTTTAATTGGGCAACATCAAAAAGATTAATGAAATCAATTGATTCAAATTAGATTGTCTCTTGGGATTAATTAAATACCTTTAAATAAGGTGAAGTACCTTAATTTGGTGCCTAAGTTTGAATTCCAAATAAGATTTGACATTGAAATGAAATTCGATGATGCATCAAAAATTTTAACCTTATGAAGATTTGATTGAGTTGGCATAGCTTGATGTAGTAGAAATTTGAAGAATTGATGATTTTATCACGTTTCAATTTTTCTTAGATATTTTAGAAGTAAATCATGACCTTGAATGTGCAAGAACCTCCCATAGGGCTGTTGGAATCCACCAATAGAGATGGAGAACTTCTAGAGAAAAAGTGAACTCGAAAATGAATTGATGAAAAAGTGAATTGCCTCTAAGGGGCTGCATGAGGGTGCTTTATATAAGCTGAAATTTAGTTACAATCAACATAAGAAAATGAGAAATATGTTATGATCGTAGAAAGTAAGAAAGAAATAGTTGAAGCTTTCCTAGGGAAAATGGGGCTTTTGTCCTTAGGATATGTTTTGGATTATAGTTTGTTAATCTATTTCAGGTCATTTTAGAGTCAACCAGAACTTTTCCTTAAGATTTTTTCAAGATCTGTTACTATTAGTAAGTTGTAGGTCATTTAGAGTTAGTCAAATCCTATCTCTAAGATCTAGTCTAGATCTCTATCCGTCAAAGTTTATTTCAAGTCATTTTGAAGCCAACTAAAGCATGTCTATAAAATCTGCTCAAGATCCTCTTTTTGGGAGCACCTCAGATCCTTTTAGGCATAAATAAAGGTTCATTTTTACTTGAATATGACACTTTTTGAAGTATTATGACTTTTCTCTACTCTGAGGTTTCCCTCTTTCTACTTGTGAATTTAAGTTCCCTCTTGTGGATTCAAGGGTCCCTTATTGATCTTGTTAATTTAAGGTCACCTATACTTGTGGATTCAAGGATTGAAGGCTCTAGTTCTATGGATTTAAAAGTTAGGTTCTTCTTCAAGGTTCATGCTTAGTGGATTCAAGCCCGAATCTTACTATCTTCCATGTCATTGTTGTGTCAAAAAGGAACATAAAGTAAGGAACAAAAATTTACTTTCGGACCTTCATGCCACTAGTGACTCATTTGGGCCCTTTTTCAACAGTCTTCACTTTATGACTCAAATTCAGAGTAATTGGATCCAAATTCAAAGTTCGGGATCTAATTTTTATGTCTTAGTTACATCCGTTTCTCACTTTTTTGAAAACAATTCAAATAATATCTCAAAACTGTTAAAGTCATTCTACCATAACCCTCCTTTTTGTAAAGGGTGTTTTAATAGATTTTCTTTTTTCTAGGTTCATTGTAACTATATTTTGGCCAAAAAAATGTCACCCTTAATTGCCCCAAAGGTATTCATGTTTTCACCAATCTGTTTTCGAGTTCCCTTCTTCTCTAGAGGTTCTGTATCTATGTTGGTGGATTCTAGCATATCTAGGGAGTCAAAAAGTCATTTTTTAACATGTGGACTCAAGACCAACCCCTTGTGAAGTCAAGGGATTGAACCTCCATGTTCTGTCGACTTAGGGTGAAGGGTTTTCTACAATATCATGTTCCTTTTGCACTTGATTATGATTTTACTTCCAAAATACTTAAGCAAAGCTCAATCTGATCAAATCATTAATTCTTCCTATTTATGCTACATCACTCTCTCATTTTTTATGAACTCTTTGGAGCACATTTGATTTATGCTTAAAACTCAACTCAATTATACTGATCCACAAACTGATGATCAAACATAGGTGGTCAACATCACTTAGAAATTTAATTTGTAATATTTTAGGAGAAAAATCAAAATAATGGGATTATGTTGTTGCTCAAACTGAATTTACCTATAACTTTATGGTAAATTGCTCCACAAATTAATGTCTATTTTATATTATTTATTGTATTCCTCTAAAATTTCCTTTAGATTTGACATATTTACCAAAATTACCTAGAACAAACACTATAACAATGATGCAACAAAACTTGTAAGGTGGCTGACTTGGGTGAGCTCTGTATAGCTCAAGTGTTGTGGAGACTGATATCACATCTTGAGTCCTCAAAAGACATATTTTTGTTATAATTCTCTTTTCTGAAATCATAAGCTGGAGAGGACTGGTCCTTTGAATCTACAAGGGTATTATTTTGAGTCCAAAAAAATCAAAGAGGCAGGTTTCTTGAGTCCACATGGGCGTTGGAGTCCAGCTGCAAATGAAGAGTACCTTAGAGAGGAAGAAACTCACAAAATTAATTCATTGAAGCTTGAATGACTCTTGAGCTACATGGGTGCCTTTAAATAGGGTGGGGTATGTTGATTGGTTGTCTAAATCTGAATTTCAAATGAAATAAAAAATAAAAAGAGATAATAGATATGAATGAAAATAGTAAGGTGAATGAAAATGACAAAGAGATAAAAATAGAAAGAGATAATAAGATAGAAAGAACAAAAAATAACAAGGGGATAAAAATTGAAAGAACTAAAACAAGAGAATAAAAATAGGAGAACTAAAAATTTAAGAAGGGGATAAAAATAGAAAAGGTAACTCCAACTTAAATAAATCTTTAGGTTGTCTAGGCTTTTGTGCCACTTGATACAAACCTTAAATGGGCTGCATCAAGAGAACAATATAGTTGAACATATTAAGATAATACATAATAATGTTAGAAAATATCTTTTAACTAATCATGTAAATTATAAGTAGTGAGTTCATAAAAAAAGAACAAAATAATTTTTGAAGTGGGGATCTTGCTATGATCTATTAATGAAAGAAATTTAGCTATTAGAAAATTATAGTAAGCTTAGTCTGAAAAACATGAATCATTCAAAGTCCTTTAGAAATTAATGACAATGTTTATATCATCCACTTATTATACACAATGGAAATATCTTCTACGTTCAATGTTACGAATTTATATGACTATTACCCAAATGTAAGTAAAGACTTGAGGGCAAGTTCTTTTGAAGTAGGGAGACTGATGCAATTAAGGTTTAGTTTAATTCAATTGAATTAGAGGCCTAAGATGTATGAAGACTTAATTCAACCCAAATTCAATTCTAAATTTGGACATATGCTAAATATATATCAAAAATCTCAATTTCCATGTGTATCTTTATTTTCCATATTTTTTGATTTCAAAAATCCCCCTAATCTATTAAGGGCATTCAAACATAATCCTCTTTTTCTAAGGGGCATTTTAAAGAGAAACTTCCTTTTTCCTTAAAAGATGTATTGAACAAATTTCCCTCTTTCTAAGTTAATTGTAACTAGATTTTGGCCTATAAAAAGGCCCTCCCCTTGCAGCCCTTGAGACATTCATATTTTCATCAGTCTATTTTCAAGTTCACTTACTCTCTAAGGTTCTCTATCATGCTAGTGGATTCCAACATCTTTGTGGATTCAAAAACCTTTTCTGATTTTGTGGACTTATTATCAATCCTTTGTGGACATGAGAATAAATATCCCCATTTTGTGGGTGCAAGGCAAGAAATTTTCAACAAAATCACATTTCTGATGAACTCAAGGTCATGTGATTTTACTTTTAGAATACTATGCCAAAACTAAATGTGATAAAATCATCAATGATTTTAGTTTCTACTTCATCACGTCACCACATCACAATCTTTGTAAACTTTTATCAAAAGATAATTTTGTCTTCTGAGATAATTTAGTTTGAGGATGATTTTATGATTTTGTACAATTAAACAAATTTGATTAGAAGTCTCTCTTTCTCTCTCTCTCTCTCTATCTATCTATTTATATCAGTATGTATATATATATATATATATATATATATATATATAGTTATATATCGCAGCATTCTAAGGGATAATCAGAAGTCCATGCATTTACTCACGTTGGGAGAGGTTGAGCACATCACTATTGTACACTGTAGAGGAGACAAACCATGCCAAGTGTGACTCACCTCTTCTCGCTGCACCAATAAGCCAAGTGTTCATCCTTACGCAGATTGCTGACAAGGCCCCCACACTGCAAGCACACGAAGCTGCTCCCATCCATGAAGGCATCAACCACAATGTCCTTTCGCCCACTCTCTGCAAGTATCGAGGCCCCCTCCAAATTGGGCACCATAGTGGTGCCACTGCTGTTGAAGAACAGCAGCAGCTCAGGTCTCGAAGGCTCAACCTCGTCTATCACACACCTTGCAAACAGGGAAGCCAGCTCATCTGTGGCAACGCTGGCCTGCAATTTGTTCTGGTAGAGCTCACGAGCACGGTGGAGAGTTTCGAAAACGGCCATTTCTCCGCCCTTGGCTTTCATAGCTGCCACAACCTGCATCCCAACGCGGGCAGTGAGCACTCATAGAGAATGGCAATAAGAGAATGACAACAAAGATATAGAAAGGCTTGATGCAGTTGACAGAATAAAGGTGAGAGAACAAACATTTAAGGCATTCAAGAAAGGAAATAAATGCAGTCGTATCCCTCTTTAAGGCCTATTTACAAAATACCATGCAAAAAAATCAAAGGAATCATGTCAAAAGCCACAAACAAAGGGATAGCAGTAGAAACGGCATCTTTGTTTCAGATTCATGATGAAATAGATTAATATATTCTGAAGAAATATGAAAGAATAATCTAGAAATTCATATTGAAATACCAACTGTTTCCTTGTTTCTGATTCATTTATAAAAACGTTTCGCATATATAGAAAATAAATATTAGCTTCACAGAATAGAACATTAGCCTGAGAATTATATGAGAAACTAAGTAGACTATAAGTATCTCCAAAATTGATGTTAAGATAATGTATAACCACAATAATAATCAAAACCAAAGCAGAACATAACAAACAATCTAGAACAAAAAACAGGAAAGGGAAGACGAAAAGGAAAACCCATGCAGGTTCCTTTTCTCATCTAAGATAATGCTAAATGATCCACAGAAGCAGATTAAACTGAATAACTTGCAAGATAATTATTTGCGCCCCCTATTCCCTTTCTTTTTGATCTGCTGTCTAGGAAAACAGCGAACTGCCCACTGCTCAAGTCTTAGAAACCTTCAGACTTTTTATTGTTCATTTTGCCTCAACATGGCTCACAGGACGGCTGGTAGAAGAATCCTTCACCAATCACTACTGAAATATCATTCCAATTTCTCAACATAATACTGATGCCTGTATTGTTGGACATCTAAATTAACAGTGTTACGCACACTCTTTCACATCATAATAAGGATCCCACAATCTACACTCTCGTAATGAGATACTCAGAAAACACACTTGTTACTGATGCCCACTTAGAAGGTCTAAACACTTTATCTGTTCTGTCTAACGAATCAATTGTGTAGCCATCATATGGTTATCAAAAACTGTCACCTAGCCTGATCGATCTGACCTCCTTGAAATAGGTTCGCTCTCTGGAAAAGAAATAAAAAGCCACCATTTTTTGACCGTTTGGGCCACTGATAGGCATCTGAAGGCTGGCATACAAATAGTGGCTACACATTTAAGGTTTTTGTAAAATTCAGCAAAGCCTCTGACAGGTATATCCAAGAAGAAAAAGGATGATTTTTGACCCGCACGCAAATTCCGAAAATAAGGCATTCGTTACATTCCCAAAGAAAAAAGATGCGGCACAAATTCAATAGGAAGTGTTGATGTACCTCAGGCCTATTGAATACTGTATGAATTATTTTTTCTTTTAATCTTGTGAGCATCTGGGGAAATTGCACTTAGTTTACTGGGATAAGAATACTTCAAGTTCTGTTTAAGGGATTTCAAACACGTTAGGGTCAGAACCATAAGTCTAACATTGTGAGATGATCAAGCAACATTGTGTACGTCAGTTTAATTCCATTCGAGCAAAGTCTTAGAAGAGTGATTTAAGTATTGTATGTCATCGCTTATACTAACTTTTCAACTCCCAACATGTCTCCAAAAATAAGCATATAACACGATTCTCCTATACCATCTTTGCTTGTTCACCTAGGCCTAAGAGACCAACATTTAGTAACCGCTGTTAAGAATATTTTCTCTATGATGAAGGCTTATTGTTCCACACCAACATACCAAAGCCTTTCAACATTCTCAAAACAATCATCACAACTTGGTCCATCAAGAGAGCTACGTTTGAGACTCCCTTTTCTACCCGGCCTCACTCTTTTATTCTCTACGTCCTCTTTCATAAAAGCATTAGTTACAGCTTAACATACGCATCAATTTTACCAAATCTAAGATTCTTCCTTAATTGGAGTTCCCATGTACCATCTCTTTGTCCAAGATCTAAGGCATACACTACTTTTACAGAGACATTATAGAGTAGAAGAAATTTTAGAGTTGGAACTTCTGCTTGACACAATCTATCTGCACAAAATCTCCGTTCTCTACCATCATCCAACTGGAATTCTACATAAATTAAAAATTTCTTGTGTCTTCTAAAAGGAGTCCATCAAGGTTTCAATGGTATCATTTCTCCTAGTATGAAGCTTCTATTATATTGTTAGTTTTGCTATCTTTGGTACAAGTGTTTTTGTATTGATCTATTACTAGAAAGTTCTTATGGAAGTGTTGATGCTCGAAACTTTGACACATGCTCTTAAGCAGAATATGAATCATGACACCTTTGCAGAAGTGTCAATACCTACTATTTTGATTGCTGAAAAATGTCACAGATTCAAGGGAAAAAACAATAAATAGAATGACTAAAGGGTATATGTTTGTGACAAGGTTCTAATGACCCCTCCAAGTCTTGTAACTCTCTTCTCATGCTAGGTTATTTGTGCACTATTTTTAAGATTTATTTACTATTATCTAAATAGCCCTGTTACCGAGATAGGGTTATCTAAAAAGTCTAGATCATTCCCAACCATTTGAAGAGCACGATTGTGATTGCCATACAAGTTGGTAATATTTTCCAAAAAGGAGTTCAGTTCTGATAGAATAACATTTCTAGGATTTTCTGGGCTCTTAAGTAAGTTTCTACCAAGCTATGAAGTATAGGTAAATGAATGCAAAATAAACAAGACTTATTAGACAGAAATAGTCGCCCCCGTCTGTACATAACAAGTAGACAGTGGCTTCTTTGAGATAACGAAAATGCCATGAGATCTCTTTGTTTATATTTCCAAGCCTCAAAAATGCAGCTGAAAGCAGTAGATAATGCCTTCTTTAAGATAACCTTGTTTATGTTCCCAAACCCTAAAAAAACAGCTGAAAGCAGCTAATGGTTCTCTCTAAAGCAGAAGCAGTAAAAAATACCAATTAAATTGCTTGGATGCATTTCCACCTCCCAAGCTAATATGTCAACGAAAAATATGTCAACGAAACGACTAGAAGTCATGGATAAAGGTGACTTGGTGGAGGGTAAACATCACGACTGAAACACGGCCAGTCATTCCAAGCAGCAACAAGGAGGTAGCATGGGTAGGATGAATGAAAGGAGGAAGGACAAGTGAAACCAAGAGAGGCAGAGGGCTCGACAGCACAGAAGGGGGTCTTGGAGATGTCGTTCATAGAGAAATCTTTCACTTCAGACCTTTCTCCTCCTTACCATCCTAACACCAGAGTCCACCTTCATTGCATAGGCGTGCACAATAATTGAAAACTACACCACCTCTGTAGTTTGATCCTGATTCACTCCTTTCCCTTATCATCAAGAGCTGACATTCAATCAGAACTGTCCTGGATCAAACAGGAGGGAAGGAGAGGGAAAAAGGAGATGGGTAGGAATGTTTGACCCGAGAGTATGCTTCTGTGGGTATACCAGAGCTAAGGTGCGGCGGGGAAGAAAAAGAAAGACCTGTAACTTGGCACTGGATTGGATGACAGAGAGACTGAACGGAAAAACTATAGTCTTTCCTCATTTATCATGTTTCAAGTCCATTTTGGTCCGACAGTTGTTAACCTTTAAGCATGATGAAATGCATGATGCTTATAAAAGACATGATGATCTATCTCTTAAAAGAACAGTATGGCATTTCAATTTGAACAGGATGATCCTGCAAGAATATGTACGTTCTTAAATCTCAAAACAATTAATATTGAACCTACGAAATGTAAGCTAACTCATTTTTCATGCTTTCCCAGTAGGACTCTGGGTCTTGTGTAGATAGAATAAATCCAATATTTGAAATTAGATTAAACGACCTTTTCATGTAGATAGGCTTGGCTAAGGCAAGGTCTAGGTTCACTGAACAATAGGCCCATCTTTATCCTCGACATCAAGCTGTGAGCAGATGACACACAAGTACCAGGAATCTGCCTTCAAATTGGATTTATATCTACCTTTTCAAATCCATGAAATAACTGTTTCCTTCACTGAACTTAAATGATCCCACAAAGTGATAGGGAAAAAGCTAATTAAGGTTGACACCCTTTTTTGCCAATTGCTTCAGCACTCTCTGTCACTTTATGATACTGCTTTCATTGTGTCTACCTTTAATGGTTAGCCTTCCATGTGGTCACACGGTTAATCCACTCAGAATAATTCTTTTTCCCAACATCTATCACTCTTCTTTTGCCCTTTCTTTTCTTATGCCCAGGGTTGTAAAAGAGAATGAACTATTCTTTTAAGTTGGCTGACTCTATGTAAATATGTTTAACTGTGGAACAGCTGATCAGACTCTCACAACAGAAACAATGACATTTCAGACAAAATTTAACAATACATGTGCACATATTGAAGACAAGGATAACATTACAGACTCAACAGCGCTGTTTTAGGCTTCATAACTTTACAGCAAAAATAATTCTAAAACAATGAGAGTAGACATCTATACTCAAGTCATTTGCTTCTGTAACTTGCTTTACATTTTAATGAACTTTTTAACATTACTGCTCCCCTTTGTACAGTATTCATATGCTACCAAACAAATATTGGCGAGAGCTTCAAGCATGGTATGCTGCGGCCTAACAACTCATAAATCACATGTTGACAGAGCTAGGTGTCACATCAGGTTGTCATCCTACAGCTTTTCCAATAAAATCTCCTGAGAATTTTGGTTCTCGTGCAACCTCACAAGTGGGATGATTTTGACAGCAATCCAATTAAATGAGCAATCAACCAAGGGACCAGCCACACAGGTTCCCACGGAACAGGTCTTACTAATAATCTTCCATCACCGTACCACTACTGGAATTTTTTTATGCATTGCATTAATACTCTAGGAGATTAAAGGAGAGGACGAGAGGGGGAGGGTGGAGACAACTCAATTAAATCGAACAATAATACCAACTCAGAACTAGTAAAAGAGATGCTTCCATCCCGTTATTAAAGGTAGTATGAGACCAATACATCATTGTCATGGAGTTTATGATTAAACTGGAAAGCACGTGTGTGACCATTTTCTTGAAAGTATAAATACAGAATAATTTCGGCAAATGTCCGACAAGAACAAATCAGCAAGAAACACTCCTCATCGTTCCCTTTGCAGCCTTAGAAATGCATAATTATAGCAAGCTATGCATTCTAGGTTATTGAATGAACACAAATGGATACTAACATACGCCAGCAGATACAAGCATGACGTCCATTTTTCATTACTATTACCGGCCTATAACTAGCATTTACATTCTTGCTGACCATATCCATGACTTTGCAAGGTGTCTATCTAAGAACAATAGGCTTTTAAATCTTTAAACCACTCTTACTAAAAAAACCAGCTGATAATGCGGAGACAGTGGTTTGCACCACAGGAATCATTTTTATAAGAAAAAAAACAAAAAAAGAGTTTATGAAATTTCAGTAGTCCCTACCTCTTTAAGACAAACTAGGTCAAATAAATATTTCTCGCAAGAACCATTAATTGTCATCAAATCTCTTCATTTATAGATGAATTCAGGTAAAATCATGAAATTTGAAAGTCAAAATGTGCTAAACAGAACCAAGACAGAGAAAGGTAAAAATTGTAGTCCCTGGAAAACCGGGAAGAAGACAGAAAACGAAGACTATTGGAGTAAAGACGTAAATTACATAATATGTTGTGAAAAAGTACCCCTAAAACAATCAGATACTAAACCTTGCCCAACTGTGTCATAAATTCTGTAGCTTGGAAAATATGTCCGTTGTACCAAGGATTGCTCAAAAACTGACTGCTGAAGAGAAGGTCAGTGCTTGATTGGAAATCATTTTCTTTAGTTTGACAGTCAAATAACAAATGGTCCAATCAAATAAATCCACCAAAACGCTCAGATTTGGGAACACCCAAGAAAAGACAGATTAGAAACGCTTTAAGGACCAATACCATGAAGAGTGACCACATATTTGACACTACAATCAGTTAATCTTTTCAAGATTTATGGTTATATGGCTCATTAAGGCCTGAAAATATTCACTAGACCCCAGTAATATCATTTTAACAAAGAAAAATGCATCTTCAATACTCAAAATAATTTTCCTAAACAGGTTTTGAAAACATAAAAATCATCCCTTGCAGATAATGAACTGTAACAATATTTTTTCTGAAAGAACTGTCCCATTTATGACTTATGAATAAAAAATAAATGAAAGAAAATCAATTCTCAAAGCAGGATAAGCAGCAATACGATCTGCAACACGCCCAACACCAGAAGCATACAAAAAAACTTACACAAATCCATCCGCTGAGAAATTACATATTGTCCCCGAGGAACCAAACAAAGTCAGAAGGGAAAACAAAAACAACAGCAGGTTCCACCCAGCGGCTGTAAAACAGTGCGGACGTCTTCAAAACCTAACACTACATTGAGATTCTAACCCGTAGTTACTTGAATTTCATTCTTCAGCCAGACTCTAGAATACGGTGTCACAGTCATCCATGTTTTTTACGCTACACAGCAATCCAACTAAAGGAATAGGAAAGCAGCACAATTTCAGCACGATCACACTAGAACAAGAATAACACACGCCGATGCGATGAATTAGGTGAAACCCTTCATCCCCATCCAACCAAGGCCCACAGCTCCATTCAACCATTCTTCTCTCCAAACAGACTATGTAAAGAAATCCAAAGCGATTTCTGGATTCTAATCATCTAGGTTAAGGTACGTCGTTACCGCTTGCAGAGCGAGGGAAGGCTTCCCTTCGTTCAGTAGCTGCCGGGCCAACGCGAGCAGCCCTCTCACGTTCAATCCGTGACCCTCCACATGTCCCTGCTGATGGTGGTGGTGGTGGTGGTGATGATGATGGTAGTGGTGGGGGAGCGCGGCCGGAGGCCCTGGCGGCGCCTCGCCGCTGCCGCTGCTCTCCGCTTTCATATCCATGTCCACGTCCATTTCTTGCCGACGCTAGCACCCCTCGCCAGCCCGCCCTCAACTTTATACGCCAGTCCTAATTATGCATTAAATTATCATATTTTTATCGTACATTCAAATCTTAAATTACTGACAAGCCTTATATTTCCTTGTTCGTGTGTAAAAACTTGGAAAAATTCTTACTTTTTTTAATGAATATTGACTCATTTTAATTAGTTTTAATTTTAGGGGTGAAACCTGACATGAGGCAACTCTTTTTGTAATCTAATTTTTTACATTGACCCATAGATTTTGACTTTTTTTGTTGACGTACAGAGTTATGTAGTCTTCAACTTATTGGTGCCTTAAATTCAGAGAAGATATGAATTCCAGTAAGACTTACATCCTGAGGAAAGAGGAGGTGCAACTAAGCCTAAAGAGGGAGTAGGGTTGTAGTGAGAGGATAGGACTACCTATTCAAACTCCAAGATTTGCACATCCTATCTAAATTGACACTCAAGCAACCTTGTTCTTCCTTTCAGCCAAGATTTCCATTCTCATAGTTTGAAATAAGTGGATTGGATGAACCTTGTTCAATTACTACACATTGTAATCCAATGTCATTAAAGCTTACAACAATAATAATGATCCTAGTCATGACAGCCTCTCATTTTCAGCTGATAGTAATAGCAAAAGCTAATGCTTAACCAATTAAAAAGCTTTAGAAATGCTAAATTTGATAAATTCAAGGGAATCATTCAGCATTCAATTGCTTTCTTTGGCCTGTTTATGTGACCCATTAGCCCAGAAATACATGTTTTCTTTTAATATGAGGTTAAACCAATGTTTCTAGTAATGGGAGAGAATATGTTTCATAAGTATTTATCTATATAGGTGGCTAAGTATAATTGTAGATTGTTATATTTTGGTGCCATATAGTTTTATTTGACTTACTTGAAGATGTTGACATTGTACGTGAGGACACATTTTTCTTCATAACAAAAAATTTCCACTTATCTCCCTCCACCAAGGCTGCAGGGAGGTGTTTCTTGTTCCTTATATATTTGAGGACAACATATCTTATTCCCCATAGATTCATGATACTAGTCTTGTTTTTCCTATGCTTGTGAAATATTTAAATATATAGCAAAAGTTACTCCTAACTAGGCCTCATGGGGGGTTACTACCTATCTCGAATTGAGGGCATCCTCTCTCCCCCATTTTTTATTCCAAGACTTTTCTCTATTACTTATAGTAGGTAATTTAGTTGAAGCATAACTTATCAACACATGACTTTTCCTATCAGGTTATGTTGGTCCAATAAGTAGAGTCACAACAACTTTATGACGTGAAAACATTCAATGAAGTTATCACAATATGATTAAGTTATAGATTTACTATTTCTCCCTATTGGAACCTTATTTTTGCTTATTTGGAATATTTTCACTTCTTGAATATATATATATTGGGTAGTGTTCATAATTACTTCTTCTTGCAAAATATTTATCATGATAAAGCAGGGTATGTGACCACCTTCCTAAGAATAGTAGTGTCTAGTGGATAAGTGAGCAATCATGTACCGGCCTGGGGGATGTGCCAACACTCTACCATTGCAATTGTTTACATAATGCCTTGTTAACCAAGCTTTCATGAGTTCTCTGCCATTTTTAGAACCCAAAAAAAATAAATTTTGAACTGTTTTAGTAATGCAGTTAAATTTTGTAAGCAGACAAATAAATTTCGAAATCCAAAAATAATGTGAGAAAACAACCAAATACCACATACAACATCCAAGTGAGCTGATGGCAAATCAAACAAAAAATAAGTTATCCATTGAGAAGTATTATCCTAAACAAAAGCATCAACAATATGTTCTACTTTTGAAATGCTGACATGTTTTTAACATGCTACAAACAGATGAGATATCCACCAGCAGGTGTTAGGTGTCATCGAGTCTGAACTTAATAGAGGCAAAGTGGCCTAAAACAGTTATTGAGGGGAGAAAAAGTAGTCACTTTAATAATTTCAGAGGGGGACCCCATTTTTGCAAGAAATATGTTCCACCACATACATTCAAGATCTAGGAACTTATTCACTAAAAGGCTCAGTAATTGCTCTCAAGTGGCCTTCAAATTTACAAGGGCTACTATGGGAAATCGTTCTTCTACTCTCTAACGTTCTTTGAGTCTTTGTTGAGTTATTTTCATCCTACTTGGCTAAACCAGCCAACTGGTCAGTACAAATCCTTCCAGTCCTAGTATGATTGACGCCTCATTTCATGCAATCTGAGATCCCCACCATTTATGTGCCTTGAAATAATCTCTCTTCCTTTATGCTCTGTCATTGGCTTTGGCTCCTATGATGTCCCAGAAAAAATGAAAAAAAAGAGCCATAGCAAGAAGATGAGAGCGATGGAGGAATAAGAGCAAGCACGTAAACTAAAAGAAATAGGGCTGTGAAGTCAGACGTCACTTACAATGCATGCATGGGGCATAGCTCCTCGAGCTAGCTTCCACCGGGTAGTTGACAGTAGCAGCTCGTAGTCACGTGGAAACAAAGGTTGACTAAAGCAAAGATTGTTGTTCTATATTTCTCATCGAGGAGCTCCACCGGATTAGGTTATTCAGTGAGGTGGTATGCTAGCGCGAAGGGAATGCTATTTTTATCTCTAGAGAGGGAGAGAGAGAGAGAGAGAGAGAGAGAGGAGACTAAAGGAGTGGGCAATCTTTTCTAGAGAAATGGAGGCGCAATTAACGTAGTTTATCGAGAGGAGGAAAAGTTCGGCTCCTTTTTTCTAAAGACACCAACGGAGATGACCGGAGGCAAGTAATAGTGGCGAGGGGACGGCGGAGAGGCGTACGGACGTGAGAAGGCCGATTGGATTCCGAGACGAGGAAAGAGACGTTTCCAAACGATGGCCCCTCTTGGTACCTCTCTCTTCCCCTGTCGCTCCTCTCTCTCTCTCTCTCTCTGTTGATTAGGCTCCCCCCCCTCTCTCTCTCTCTATATATATATACATATTATTTTCCTCCCGATCTTGTTCCTGTCCCCGAATGTGCCTGGTGCTCTCTCTCTCTCCCTCTCTCTCCAATCTGGTCTGTCCAATGTTATTCTGTACCTTTCACATTCTACTTGCTCTCTCTCTCTCTCTCCATTCGGGTCTCTCCTAGATTATTCCCTATCTCTCTCTCTCTCTCTCTCTCTCTCTCACCTAGCCTAGTCTCTATGTTATTTATGTTTACCTCGTTCTCTCGCATCTCACTCTGACCTCTGACTACGTAATTCTCTCTCTCTCTCCTCCTTTTTCTTATCACGTGTCGGTTGTCATGATGCCGAGGGTAGAAGGCTGGAGTGGGGTTGGTGAAGCAAGTTGAGTACGAAAGCCGCCGCGCGCAGGCAACTTAGCGCACCTGACAGGAAAGTAACGTGATAAAAAAGCTTCAGATGGAAAATGCCGATTAAGTCCCCGACAACTGTAGGAAATATTTTTTGGTGACGTAGCAACACATCGGTACCTCGGTTTTACAGGTAGCCAGAATCTTGGGGGGAATGCGCGTCTCCCTTACAGCTGGCGGAATCCATTTACCCGTCGAGGAAAGATCCGAAACCGAATAACGAAAAGCCGAGTGAGGAAGTGGGGCCACACGACTGAGCACTTTTCTCGTCCCCCCTTAATAAAATCCATAATTAACATCCGTGAAGTTTTTTCCCGACCTCACAAAACTGTAGACCCTCTCCAGATTATTGGATTGGTTGACCATCCGAGCTCTGTCTGTCTTCTGAGTTATTTTGAAAAAGCCCATGAAAAATTGACGTTTATGCAAAACATGAGCTCCCGTATCATCAGCTCTATATCTCGGTACGATTTACGGACTAATAATAGAAATTAGAGTAAAGAATATTCTGCTCCTAATTATTCGTTGTCAATCACTGATTGTTAGGTAGACACGTAACGGTTCTACCTTTTGAACCTCTCTTCATCTTCACTCACTCTCTCCTCCTCCCAGTGACATGCCTCGATAACTGCACTATCTCTCTCTCTCTCTCTCATCATTGCTACTGGCTTTTCCCACCTGTTGGAAGATTCCAAGTCACGTGCTATCTGTCGTCTTTTGGGCAAAAGCCTACCCCCACGGTATAGCAGACGTTTTTTACCTTTTAGGAAACGCCAAAACAAAAACCATTAAATTTCCATCCTGGAAATTAAAAAAATCAACCTCGACGAGAATATTGGGGGAGGGGGGCGGGCTTGTGGATCGAGGATTTTCAGCCATTATAATTTATGAAAAATAAAATATTATGAATTTTTCTCTAAAAATAGTTTATTTTTACTAAATAAATTATATGGATTTATGCTGTCTTATGTACTCATATTCCAATTGAAGAAGACACCGGCGGTGACTTCCAATGCCGACCATCTGAACCTTGGAAACAGAATACTTTCCTTAAACGGTACGACATCCTAACCGTCTAGAGAGGCTAGGAAGGTCGGAAGAGAGTTGTGCAGCAAGGGTGGGGATAAGATGCAAAATAGAATTCGAGAGAGGAGTCTTTCATAAATAACTACAATCATAAGGAGTTACAGCCGGAAATAATCGTAACGATACCGTCGATTACTGCTGGAGTCGTATTTCATAAATACTCTCCAGCAGTGGCCACCACTGCTGCTCTCTTTCTCTCTCTAAGCGATGGACGATGACCAATAAAGAACAAAGGAGACCCCAACTGAGCACATGTTATTTGGGGTGGGCTACGCATGGGGAGAGGCAGAGGGACCGATAGAGGAGGGGATTTGGTGGGAGAGTTGCCCTGAAACTTCTTTTACCATCACCATCGTCCCTCTGCCCTCCGCCGGAAACTCTGAGCTCCCCGGGGGTCGAGCGACTCCTGGGCTGGAAGTGGCGGGGTTTGTTGCCGTTGGAGCGGCGGGCGGTGGGGAACGGTAGATTTCAGCCCACGGAAAATGAAGGCGGGTGTTACTGTTGTCTCGACTGTCGCTGCTGCTGCTGCTACTGATGCTCTTGTTCCTTTCCCCGCGGCTGCCACCGCCGCCTCAGTCTTCTGGCCCTTGTTCTGTTAAACGGATTATACGCTCCAAGCTCTCTCTCTCCCTCTTGTCTTCTACTTCTTGCTACATCCTGCATTTGTGATGATGGGAAGGCGTTCACAAACGATCTAGGCAGCCATTCCCAATTTCTCTTGTGTGCGTTACTCTAGTTTTCCTTAAAATTCACTTAATTAGCTTATCTGTATGTTATTCTGGATCGGTCGTCTGAGGGAATGACTATTTCAGCACCATTGAGCGACTCTCCACCAATTGGCGCATGGAGAACGGGTCGTCGGAAAATTGCTGCGTGAAGGTGGCGGTCCACATCAGGCCACTCATCGCGGACGAGCGCCTGCACAGTTGCAAAGACTGCGTCATCGTGGTGCCCGGCAAGCCACAGGTACACTTTAGTCTTTCTTTGCCAATTAATCGTCTATGTTCAACTTTAGATCTCTCTCTCTCTCTCTCTCTCTCTCTCTCTCTCTCTCTGGGTTTCTCGTGTCTCTAAGTTCTGATCTGATCGGAGAATGTTTTGGATGGTCTTTGAAAGATGTAAACTCTGAATTAGGAAGAATGACGAATATGGAGAAGTGAAGAACAGGGAACTTGGAGACATTCACGGTCTCTTGTCGATGATTTCATTGCCTGCGAAACTGATACTGTGAAAATCGCTCGTAATTCAGGAAACAGGATTAGATGTGAAAAGGGTTTCAAGACGACGCGAGCTGAGCGCATCATCTACAGGCTATTTTAGAAAGCATAACCAAGACCCTATCCTGTTGTTGCAGCAAAAATCAACGTGGTCACCAGTGGAACTCCTAAAAATCAACTCATGAGCACCTGAATCAATTGTCCTTGAGAAGAATTTCTAAATAATTAGGATAAAACCTGAACTTCGGTCTTTTAGTAGGAACTGTAACAGGAGAAGCGAGTTATTTTTTATCTGCATTGACAAGTTTAACCTCATTGGCAGGAGGATAAAAAACCTGAACTGTCAAATAATTTTCATTCCAGTTAAGTCTACTACCCATTTCTTAAGGAGAAGAAACCTGGATAAATTTCAAAGAATATTGGTAATTGACCAATATATTGGTTCCAATGATTTTACAATAATGTAGAATGAAAACTTGTCTCTGTTATTTTGATTATTAGTTTCCAAGTAGTACTATCGACGAAAAGAAATTCATTAATTTAACACCACCTGCCTCTGCTTTGTCTGTTCTCCTTCAGAAAAGAAAACTAATTTTACAACCTTCAAAGTTTCCCCAGTTTCAACTCAATCTCCTCAAAATCGGTAGGAAAGTGTCCTGTGTAGGGAATTGTCCTCCTACTTCCACAGTAGCTCTCCAAGAACTTTAAGCGCAGGCTAGCTTAGCTAAAGATCCTACTTAGAGCTAGGCGAATTCTTTTCGTTGGTGCTCTTCTTCTCTTCTCCCCTTCTTCTGGCTCTCACCCTCGTACTTCCTTCCCCCAAGTTGGTCTTAGCCATGCGGCAAGGTCCTGCTATTGAGGCTAAGTCAACGGTGGTCATTTTAGAGCAAAGTAGAGGTTCCGAAGGAATTCAAAAGTGGCTGAAAAGCCAATTATGAGTAGGCTTGAGATGAAGATGATGAGTCTGGAGATTCATCACGTTCTTTGTCAGAAAGATGTTCGGTAATGGCAATATTGATCCTACTGCTTTAATCTAACTGAATATAAACTTAGTATCCCCCTCCCTCCAAAAGTCGTGACCGTGCTTATTTTTTTGTTGACCAAGACCAAACTCCAAGGCCCCGAGGGAATTGGCCTTCCTTTCAAGTAAGGGCGGATTCCGGAACTTAGTACTGCTTTGATTCCATGGTCCTGTCCAAATCATTTGGAAACTTTGATGTTTCCCCGTTGAGTCTATGGTTGCTAATCTAATACACAGATATTGGAATTCAGAAAACACTCATTTTCTTGGGCCCTAGAAAAGACCATTTTGTCCATCAGAAATTCCTTAGATGTGTATCATTTGCTTATCTTGTATCAATGAAATCTATCTACTTCTTCGACTATGCAGCAAGAATTATCTTCCTTGCATAATTTTTTTTTGCATGTTTATATACCTACTATATTTTCTTGACATTATTTACTTATACTGTTGGGAATTATGTTGGAGATAATGAAGAAAAAAAATATGCGTGCCAAGAAATGAAACTGCCATAGAAGCACTGGAAAATAACGATCTGGTAGGGTCATGCCAAATTTATGTGCCTTAGAAACTTCAAGAAAAATATCAAGGGCTGAAAGTCTGCAGAGGTAGCTACGAATTACGAAACACCCCAAGTAGAAGTTTCTGTTACTCGAGCACAGAAGTAATTTATGATTTCCCATAGACTAAGGATATTATTTCAGGTTACTCTTGTTGACTAAAAATGTTGAGATATTTCATCCACGTTCATCTTGTTATTCTTTATGCCGAGTAGCAATTGTTACTTCTTTTAGGACACTGAATATTTTCATACTCGAGAATTATGACGGAATTATCATTCCAGCAGTTAATATATTTTGAAGTTTCCGGTGAATATTATCATCACAGCCATTCCTCAACATATGGAAATTAGGATCAGATACGCTAACAGCCATTCCTCTGATCAAATGTTATACAAAGTACGAAAAATAAAAAAAACTAATACGGAAAATTTATCAAATTTCCGCTATCTCAGGCTTACATTGGAGAACAATAAAACCCATCCATAAGAGTATTTTTAATATCGAAATCCCAGTATTTATTGATATTTCCATCTCCAGTGCACGTTTAAATTGATAGTTATGACCCCTGTATCTACGAATACATTCTATAATAAGTTTTTTAGACGTTTGATTTCTTCAAAATTTCATTTTGCCGTAGTACATCCTCCGGAATTTATTAAGAGGCCTCATATTAGTAGTTGCTGCTCATACAGGTGCAACTAGGTTCCCACTCTTTCACATTTGATTATGTATATGGAAGTACTGGTTCGCCATCATCTGCTATGTTTGAAGAATGTGTGGCTCCTCTCGTTGATGGACTGTTCCAAGGTTACAATGCTACTGTTCTTGCATATGGTCAGGTATAGAATATTTTTCTACGGTGTATTTTTTTATGGAAAAACCTTTTAAGTTTAGAAAATGATGCACTTGGAACGGAAATGATAAAATCAATTTTCTCATTGATGTCCTTTGTAACCGGTTGCAGACAGGTTCCGGGAAAACTTACACAATGGGTACTGGATTCAGAGAAGGATATCAATCTGGAATCATCCCTCAAGTCATGAATATATTGTTTGACAAAATTGAAAATAGGAGGCATCAAACTGAATTCCAGATACGTGTTTCATTCATTGAGGTATGGACATTTGACCATTTTTTTCCGCTTTTGTGGTTCTCTCGATTCGTTTTTTCCTCAATAATATATATAAATGTATGTGTATTCCATTTTTCTGGATATTTACCTGTTTTAACTTTTATCATGAATTTCAGTTTAACATATTTATATGCTTTTGAATTTTTTATTATTATCATTTCGATTAGATTATTTTTTTTGAGAAATTCTCACGGTCAGCATTCTGCTGTCTACAAATCAATAAGTTCCGATGCCTTACCTTCAAATGTATGTTCAACTTATCCTTTTGTGACCTGTGGAAACCATTATCATTGGGGGGGGGGGGCAAAAATAGCATATATGAAAAAAATGTGATAAGCGCAAAGTATGTTTATGGGGTTGAGAATACTAGCTTTCCTTTATCAGTGGTCACTACGACAAAAAAATCTCAGTCTTATTAACGTTAATTATTCATTAAGACAATCAGCTAATTTAGATTGAGAGTCTTCTACTTTTTCTTACTCTGGACAACGGTACTTTCTCTTATAAATTCCTGATTTTGAAGATTCTAAAAGAAGAAGTGAGGGATTTGCTAGATCAATCATCTGTTGGAAAAGCCGATGCCTTCAATATTCCTGCTGGGAAGACTATCCCTGGTAAACCACCTGTGCAAATCCGGGAGACATCTAATGGAGTTATTACACTTGCTGGGTCTACTGAAGTTGATGTTCGAACACAGAATGAAATGGCCTCATGCCTTGAACAAGGATCATTGAATCGCGCAACTGGAAGCACAAATATGAATAATCAGTCAAGGTTAGTGCTAATCATTTTGTGTCTTATAAAAAATATCTGTCAATATTCATCTTTCATTGCCATCGCACTAATATCGTGTCACTTCAAAGGCAGGATGATTATATGGTTAATAATTAAAAAAAATGTTGACGTGTAGAATTTGGTCGGCATCAATAATCTTACTTGCTGCAGCTGCTTTTCATACTTAAAACACAATCTTTGAGTAAATCTCTTCTGTGGCTTTTTCTTTCTTTTCACCATTTCACCAGATTTTTTTAATTTGTGGCAGCGACAGGAGTTGGTAGTTCTATTTTATTGCCAATTTTTCCGCAGCGTATTTGGTGGTAAACTATCTTATGTCATCAGCTGGTTCTTCCAATAAAGTTTTAACAAGTGTTTTGTGTGTTTTCTATGCTTCAAAATCTCCTCTTGCAATCTAGTTAAATCCGTCTTTGATTTCTTGGTTCAACTGAGTCATGGTAAAAGTATGTCTCTAATTCTGTGGTGCGGTCTCCATAGTTTGCCTATTTGAATATATAGTTGCTAGAAAAATGACAGTCATAAATGTGAGTCAGAATAACTAGTTCTATCACTCCCAAGAAAGTGCATCATATAATTTAATAGTTTCTCAATGTTCAATTGAGTATTACTTTTATTCATTTTATGTTGACTCGCTTGTTTCCTAGTTATTTTGTTCAAAATGACAACTTTGTTACTTTACACTAGGCTTGTCCATCAAAGAAGTAGCTCCTTTTATTCACGAGGAATAAAATTTTATGTTGTTAATCCCATTTTAAAAAAAAAAATACTAAAAGCAAATTTTGAATTTCTGATTGTAACTCTTTTCGGTTTATTTTATGGGAAAACTCGTTTACTTGCCTCTCAATTGCGCCATATTACTGATCCAGTGCCACCCATTGGTTGAAGTTTTTGAACTTTATCATTATTTCAAGAGAGTGAGAAAAATTTTAGGATCAGTTTATCATCTGTTTTAATACACATATCTTTAAATTACTATGCTCAGCATATTTTGTTTATTTTTTCCGATAAAAGATGTTCTAACATTAACAGATGAATAATTTTTATTTTGAAGATATTTAAAGGTCTCTGAAAATACTAAAGCTACATACCTGACGTTACGCATTCTTCGTATTTTTTCCTTAAACTACAATGTTGAAGATGTTTGGTGTAGTTGTCCCAAAATATGTGCTAGGATAGCTGTTGTTTAAGTTTTACTGCGACAACATTTTAAGGTTTCTCAGATTTCTAAATGTACAGAGAATTTCTAAATCCTTCATATTCTTTGATTCCCTTCTGGTACAGTCGTTCCCATGCCATCTTCACAATCACCTTGGAACAAATTCGCAAGCTTGCTCCAGTTTTTAATGCAGATGGGGAAACAATTGATGAAATGAATGAAGATTACTTATGTGCTAAGCTCCATCTAGTAGACCTTGCTGGATCAGAAAGAGCTAAGCGTACAGGTTCAGATGGCCTTCGTTTCAAGGAAGGTATGACCGAAAGATTGCAAATTAAAAAACATAGGAATTCAACTTAAATTCTCGTCCATCATCTTCTGTTATTTAGGGGTTCACATTAATAAAGGCCTTCTTGCCCTTGGGAATGTCATAAGTGCTCTGGGGGATGAGAAGAAAAGGAAAGAAGGCATTCATGTTCCGTACCGTGACAGCAAGCTTACTAGGCTATTGCAGGTTTGAAATTTATCTCATGTACTACGGGTTCTACATATTTTGTTCTAGAATTTATGAAAAAGTTGATGTAATTTTTCTAAAAGAAAGGATCTAAATGAGAAAATCATTTCTGTCATAAATATTATATTTTTTAAATCAAGAGAATTATGATATTCTTTCACGGAACAGAATAATTCTATCCATTCACGAAGCCCTTTAAACGTCTACACGATCCTCTAAGGATGGTACACCTTAATTTACAATTTTGACAACGACTGGAAAAAAATTCAATTGCATTATCATATTCTTATATTTTAAATATAAACGCTTTTTAATCTTTATTGCAAGCGACGTTTTATTTCTTATTTTCCTTGTATTTTCAAGGGGCAAAATTATCAATATCATCAAAATAATTTACGCATCATTAGGCCTAATCTACTGCTTATAAATATCTGTCATTGCATGCTACTTGTACATTTTTGAGGAACTATTATAATTAACTAAGTTGATCCGCACTTACATTACACAATTTTTTGAAATTTGACAATTACCATTTGGCCTAATTATTCATTATAATTTTTTCTCAAGAAATTTCGTTGATTTTCAATTTCTTATCGTTACATTTATTTTCTGTCTGCGATAAATCTAATGTCATTCGCTTTATCTTTGACCGTTTGTGCCAGGATTCACTTGGTGGAAACAGTAGAACAGTTATGATAGGTAACGTATTCTCTTTCTTTGGGAAGAATACAATAGCTTCTGCGAAATTCTCTGTTCATTGAGTTTCAGACTTCTTTTTCTGCTTTCTTTAAATCTGCTCGTGCACGATTTTTTTGCTATCCTGTAAATGTGAACTATGGGAACAAATAACATCTTTGATAGATGAAATACATTGGTAGATGTCATGAGTAGATCTGGATCGCAGACTACCATTTCGGACGTGATGGATTATTTTTGTGGAACTCAATTAAGCGTTGATATTACATCAAAATGATGTATCTTTGGCTTTTATTTTCTTTCAGCTTGCATCAGTCCAGCAGACATTAATGAAGAGGAAACTCTTAATACATTGAAGTATGCTAATCGTGCTCGCAACATTCAGAATAAACCTATGGTGGGTACCTCTGAATGCTGTGTAGAAAGTAATAGTCTTTGAATTGTTTGATTATTTTACTTTGTTTATGAATTTTTGTTTTACAAAATCATCGTAGCGATCATCATCCCCACTATCATCACAACTTCTAACAATCTGGGATCAACTAGGATATGATGTTTTGAGTAAGTAATAGCTGCAATTTGCTTAACACTGTGAGGGCCTTCCTTGAAGAAGAATTCCCAACTTGTAGCAATATTCCAAGTTTTCAAGTTGAGGGAGAGTGCATTAAAATTTGGGAAACATGAAGAGAATAAGTTATAACTAATGTTGAAGAATGACTGTAAAACTGTAAACTGAGGTAAATGAAGTATTTATAATATTAAACATGGATAAAAACCAAAAAAACAACATTACTGATCGAAATAAGTTTTATGAATTCTAAAAATTAGAGTCAGTGAGCTGTTAGGTCTACTTTTATTAGAGTTTTGTAAATTTTTTATAATAAAATTTTGGCCCCATTTATGTAAAGATTTCTATTTACCATTTTCCTTTATTATTTTGCTGATCATAATTTCAGTAAATATGAATTATAATTTTTTAAAATTACAGGTTAACAGAGATCCATTATCTAGTGAGATGCAAAGGATGCGCCAACAGCTCGAATATTTGCAGGCAGAGTTGATTTGTGCTCGTGGGATGGGCTCTTCACGTGATGAGATCCAGGTAATCCCAATATGTATTATTTAGGGACGTTTATGTCATTTTTTGAGGAATTTTCTTGTATTAATACACCTATGACTAGTCATCATATCTCTGTTTTTTTGTTTTCTTTAAAGTAGTTTGCTATGATTTTTTGTTTCCAGGCTCTCAAGGAAAAAATATTATGTCTTGAAGTGACAAACGAACATCTTTCTACTGAACTGCAACTGTATCGCAGAAGATGTGCTCTTCTAGAGAAATCTGGAAGAGCTACTCTCGTATGTAACTATTTTTCATTCTTACTTTGTGACTGTGTTCTATCTATCTTTATTTCCTTATAAAGTTGAATTAAAAAAAATAGCTTCTCATTGATCCAAAGAATGTAGATTGCCCATTTTTCCATTGGAATATCGATGAAACATTTAATGAACCATAAATTAGGAGTACTATGCAACCTTTTTTAATTATAGCTGCACTCATAGTCAATGACTTATCATTCTATTATAGCGCCAGTTCTAGTTTTCAGCATGTGATGGATTATATTGAATCATTTGGTGCATTCAGTTTTTCGTTTATTTTAACGGTAAACAATAAGTTGATATTATACAATATAGAATATTATTAATGAGATCCTTTGTGCCATAATATTCTGGGACTTTATTCTGCAATTAAATGGTTCTTGTTTATTCAGGAAGATGGGACCTGTGTTGAGAAAGCAGAAGGGACTAAAAGAAGCTTACGTAACATTGATTCATTTGATTATCATGTGGATGCAATCACCAAAGGTATCTCCTTGACACTCTACTCGTCAACAGAATTTTGTATCATATAATAAAGCTTGTCACAAGGCATGTGATCTAGGACATGTTTTTCATATGAATGTTTTCTATTTCAGTAGGCAACAGTGAGAAGGAAATTCCTGAAGTAGTAGAAAAAGAGTGGGAGCATACACTTCTCCAAGACACGATGGGAAAGGAACTAAACGAATTAAATAGACTCCTAGAGCAAAAGGAGGTACAGCTTAAAAACTTCATGCGATCATTTTTTATGATATATTTTAAAACCAGATTTACCTAGAAAAGGAGTCCGTGGAGAGATATATGTTTCTATGGCTCGTGGAGAGAATGGGTCGTTATTCAGCATGATAAATGCTGTCCAAAATGGTTTATTATTATGTTAGCTCTGAATTATATCTTCATGACATGAACTGGTGCCTCTGTTGATTCTTTTGAAAAATTTCCTAATAAACGAAGGAATCCAGTGGTGTTTCCAATCCATGCCAAAGAAATGGTCTACGAAAGTCATCCTTACCATTGCCAAACTCAAGATTTAATGTGCATATTATTTTATTCGTATGGATCACCGTCTTTTTGAGAGAAAAAAATAAATAAGTATTTTATTCATCATGGTCTAGGTACTTTTGTCGAATATCTATTTTAGAAAATTCCGATATCTTGTGAAAAATGGATCGATTTTAAGTCTCACTCATAAGTATGGTTTACAAAAGAATGTGAAGATCAATTACGTACTAAAACTAATAGTAAAAGCATGGAAGCTTGCATTATATCAAAGTTAACATAGAGTAAATATTATCTTATGATAAAGTTCAATGAAAGTGAAATCATTGTGTGCAGAAGATGACAATGACTAATCCTCGCAATTTTATTTAGTTTTCTATGAATTTGTGCCTAATGAAATTTTCTCATCACAGCTTACTTAAATGGTCTGATTTTCGTTTATTTGACTAGAAGTATTATCATAAGATACTATGACGAAGTGATTTTGTGAATTTTGGAAATTTTTAACCTTAAAAACATTGAATATTATGAATTTACGGAACGAAAGCCAAACATACCTCCTTTTCTTCTTTTTTATTCTCAACCTCTCATCAGCTGCATTGTGGCCCCAAGTATGCATCATGATGTGGATAAAGTCTTAAACACCAGATGGAGGATTCCTAGATAGAATGCTGAATCTCCTACTTTCATTCCTTTATGTAGCAAGAGATTAAATCATTTGAAGGGGTCAGCACGTTTGCTCTAAAGCAGCATTTTGGAAAGAAGCTTTTGGAGCTTGAGGAAGAGAAAAAGATTCTTCAGGTTTTCTTTCATTTAGTGTTATCCTCGTATGTATTACTTTATTGTCATTATCTCATTCCTTGTATTATGTAAAACTCTCAGAAAGAGAGAGATAGGTTATCTGCTGAAGTTGAGAACCTTGCTACTATGTCTGGAGCGCAAGCACAGAGAGACATCCACTCGCAGAAACTGAAATATCTGGAAGCACAGGTTGAAATCTGGAGTTCAAAATCTTCTGAGTTTTATGCATGCATATTTCAAAACTGGATGACAACTCCTTATTTCTTTCACCAGATTTTGGATCTTAAAAGGAAACAAGAAAGCCAGGTTCAGCTTTTGAAGCAAAAGCAGAAGAGTGATGATGCTGCAAGAAAGCTTCAGGAGGAAATTCTGTCTATAAAAGTGCAGAAGGTTGGTTTCCGCAATTCAACTGTTCCTCATTTGTTCATCTCTTCGTTAGTATTATCATTACCCATTTTCCCTGCTGTTCATGACACAGGTGCAATTACAACAGAAGATAAAACATGAAGCGGAGCAATTCAGGCTATGGAAGGCTTCTCAAGAAAAAGAAATCATGCAGGTAACTCTGTTCCGGGCATTTAGCATGAGTGCATAACGAGGCACATCACATTAGATCTCTGTTTCTCAGTCAGAAAAAAATACAGTAGCCATATAACTACTCGTAGAAAGAATGTGGTTATGCCAATCTATCAACTACTGTTCCCGATTGAATTACTTCCTGGTATAAGCACTGCATGAGGTCTCATCTAGTTCTAAATAATAGTGGATATCTTGAATACGAAGTTGGCATACGTTTTGTCCAAGGCCCCGTAATTGTGACTTGATTATTTTCACGTTCACTTCTAGCTGTCCTGTGAAAGTTTATACCTCACCGAATTTGTTGCATTTATTGGAGACGTTGTGTCAGCCAAGAATGTACCATTTTTTTTCCACTCATTTTTACTATGCAATGAGTACAAAGCAGACCATGCTATCATGAAATTTAAATATATTCTAATAATATCCCCTGAAAATAATGTAGGCGTATAATTTTCTTGTATTATCCTTTTTCAAATACATAGAAATATTTACCTTGATTTTGAACTTACTTTTTTGAACAGTTACGAAAAGAGGGAAGGAGAAATGAGTATGAGCGTCATAAATTGCTAGCATTAAATCAGCGTCAACAACTGGTATTCTTCCTGCATTCAATTTAGCCTTCTCTACCTGTGGGTTGGTCTTTATTCTTTTGCGCATATACATTCGAATCGGATGTATCATAAATATGTTCTTCCAATTCGACTTTCCTTCTGATAGGAAATTCTGTGTCCCCTACTTCTGTACTTTCATCAATGTTAGAAAGTTTTTCTTTTTTTCTCCGTAAATGAGATACCAGTAGTTCTGTACTGTCCCGTAGTTTTTCTTTTTTTCTCCGTAAATCCTTTATGTATTATTGTTGAATTTCTCTGAATACCACTACTCATGCATTGTATGATATCATTGGTTTCATAGTTGATTTTTTCTCCCAGTTGGAGTAAGGTTTAGAGTCTTTTCTCGGTTAGGTTCTTCAGAGGAAGACGGAAGAGGCTGCAATAGCTACCAGGAGGTTGAAGGAGCTATTAGAAACTCGTAAGACCTCACGTGAAATTGCTGGTAAGTTTTTGTTTCATCATTGTTCTTACAAGGCGAAATATCGAGATCTGAAATTTGTCTTATCCTCCTCAGGGATTCCAAATGGGCATTCTCACGGCAGTCAGGTAGCAAGCTCGTTTCTGGCTACATCTATGAATTAAGAGTATCAACACCGCTTACTAAAACTCCGAAATAAACTTCTCAAGCTTTTTATCGAATAACAGGCCAACGAAAATTCCTTGCAACAGTGGGTAGATCACGACCTTGAGGTCGTGGTGAATGTTCATGAAGTTAGGAATGAATATGTGAAACAAAAGCTTGTGTAAGTGTATAGGTGGTTCCTCGTATTAGCAACTTCTGTCTTGTTTTAAATGCTCATCGTTCTTTTCCTTCCAGACAAGTTGGACTGGCCGAAGAACTAGCCTTACTTAAGGAAGGGATGGAAATGATTTCCAAGGGTCTTAGTCCTCCAAGGGGAAAGAACGGATACTCTAGGTAAAATTCAAAAATAGATATTCATTTAATCCTCCTCGAAAATTTTATAAGAATTTCATCAATCATTGCGATATGCCATCTTACTTTACAAACCTGCCCGTTGCCGTGTTATTAAAATTTGTATTGTCAGGGTATCCTCCATGTCACCGGATCCAAGACTGTCTAGAATAGCATCGCTAGAGAACATGATGACCATTTCATCGAATACCCTTTTGGCAATGTCATCACAACTTTCTGAGGCGGAAGAACGCGAACGTGCTTTTGCTGGTCGTGGACGATGGAGCCAGTTGCGATCAATGGCTGATGCCAAGAACTTGCTTCAATACTTGTTTAAGATTGCCACAGAAGCAAGGTCAACTTTTGGGGCAAATATTACTCCCTTTCTGTGTTATTTTCGGTTTTTGTGGTATCTGATTTCTTCATTGAACTTATAAATTCGAAAGATTAAAAAGCTTGATATTACCTTCATTTTCTTTCTTTCTTCCCTGATTTCCTATCCAACTGCTTATAAAAGGGCGATGCTGAAGAAAAATAAACGTTTGTTATGTGGTTCTCATTAGGATTCTGATATCGATTCAGAGCAACTAGTGTGTAACTGTTTATAAAACCTACACCTTGAATCATGTGTTACATACTATCAGTAAATGGAATGAAAGGACCAGTGCTCATACTTTTCTTCAGTAGAGAAGATCTGTAAGATTACATGAAGTCTTTTTTAGTTTACAGAGTTTTTGGTCCAGTTTCTAGTTGGAAATCAACGTAATGTACTTATTTTCCTTTATCCACCTGTATTTCTATAGATGCCATCTGAAGGAGAAAGAAGCAGAGATCGAGGAGTACAAAGAGCAACTGAAAGAACTTGTTAGCCTTCTCCAACTTAGTGAAGCTCGAAGAAAAGAAATCCTGAAACAACAAAAATTGAGAGAGCAAACTGTTTCCGTTGCTCTGGGCACGCCAGCAGCTATGGTATGTAGTCTAACTGGTGCAGAGTGTCATATCTGCAGATATCTTCCATAACAGCGTGAAATCAGTGTTTTTTTTTTGTTGACCTCACTTTAAATCATCCTAACAGCAACATCTCACTTTGGAGCCGAGGACATAAAATTGGGGCATTCTTATACTAATCAAACCTTTGTATAATGCCTGAAATTTCTTGAAATGTACATGACATTCTTTGCATACAAAAAATGAGTTCGTCCGTTAGAAACAAAGTTTCCATTCAGGAGTGGTTCAAAAAATTGGCCTGATGGAAAACTTTCGTAAAATGTTCCTTGCAACAATGTTTGACCTCCACAGGGCAACTCGCAAAATGCACACAAACATGGAGTGGACGATACCAGTGCACCAATTTCTCCAGTGGCACTTCCGGCACATAAGCAACTTAAATACACCCCCGGAATCGTTAATGGCCCATGCAGAGAAGCCATGGGATCCACCAACACCCTTCAGAAGGTTTTTTTTTATCCCGGATCTCTCACCCACCGATCCTCCGGCTTCATTGATATCTCATGCTACAAGATTGCCTTCTGTGGACGCCAGATGCAGCCAGGTGGGCAGCTATCATTGGGAAAGAAGGTGGCGATGGTGGGGAGAGCTGGAAAACTCTGGAGATGGAGGAGAAGCCACCATCGGTGGCTGCTAGAGTTTAAGTGGAAGTGGCAAAAGCCCTGGAGGTTTTCTGAACTGATTAGGCACAGTGATCAGATGATCACCAGGGCAAGGCCCCATCCTTCACGTTGCCTCCCTCAGATGAGTTGATGCCGCCCACATTTTTCCTTTCTCTGGATCAGGCCCCCACCCCCTCACCACCTCTTTTCATTGCTGTCACCAAGGGGAGCATCTACTGGTAAGTGGAAATATCCTCGGGCAATTTAAATATTTTTTTAATAATGTCATATTTTTTGCATTAATCTCTTCCTACTTTTGACTTAAACAATATATCGATGAAAAATATTTATATGATCATCCTCCCTTGATCATAGGCGCAGGTCTGCAGAGAAGCTGACTTCTATCATGTACAGACCGAGTGTGAAGCGGAATAGATTTCTGCAGAGCTTGGAGATTCATACTCATTGGGCATCCAATATCTTGTGACCCCTCACTGTGTATTATTGGAGTATAACAGGTAACCTCACGTTGGCAGTGACATGTGCAGGTACTAGATTTTATTTATTCGTTTGGATTCTTCCACAGGCTAAAAGGAAAAGAGGATGAAGGTCTTGATAGTTCTGATGAAGTCCTCCACAGTGCTTTTGTAACTTCCCATATACTTGTCCTTCGTTGGCTGTAAGCTCTGATTATTCTCAGTTGCATTAGGCTTACTCTTTTGTGGTCAATCAAGGGGATGAAATCATAGGCCCTTTTGATTCTCTTTTACTTTTGATGTTGATGGTGAATGAACAGTAGCTGATATCACATCAAAGCAAAGTTCTTTTCTCCAATATAAATAACTAAGATCTTGTGTATTATAGCTAAAATGGGCTTACTCTGGCAGTAGGTGATGGTTGTTGAGTCTAATAGATCATAACTTATGCCTTGCAATTTTATATCCTTGATTTGTGAACCACTTAACACTCGACTAGAAGGTTGGCACAATATGTGTCTTAGTACTCGACTAGGATCCCCTACTTTAGAGTTTAAAGTAGAGGATCCTCCAGGAATCGCTCGTTCTCCCGCAGCGCATCCACTGCGTCGACATCCAGATCGATCACACGCCACTCCGAGCACCGTTGATCTAGGGCATCAAGAGGTCTTCGCCTCTCCAACTAGGTTCTACTTCCCTCACCTTCTCCTCCCGCTCTTGGGCTCTCATAATCCCTCCCAATGGTTACCCTTTGGCCCCTGTAGCTATGTCTATCTTAGCCATTGGTTGGTCTTTTTGGGCCATGGGCTGGCCCATTGGGGGTGGCCTCCTAACATTCATCATGACTGGGGTCGTATCAGATAATTCTACATATGGTCCAAGTCATGTCCAAGCGAATCAATCACAGCTATATCAAGGAGCAAGGTTTCAACTAGGGAACCTCACCACTAACATGATGTCACATGAGCCTACATACATGTCAATGTCCATTGTTATAATACACAACTTTACTGCATGTGCTAGCACTATGATATGGTATGCCTAAGGCTCGTACAAGCAGCTTGTACATTGCATTGGCGAGCAGTACTAATAGATTACACCATGGACACATGAGACTAATTGCAAGCTTCAGTAGCAAAAGGCCCGGCTCAATACTACTGTGTCACAATAGACACAAGAGATGTCTACACAAAGGCCCACAATACAAGCATGGCACATGCTGATATTATAGGGGCAAGGTTCTCAAGCAATCTTATGAAGCCAAAAGCAAGGTTCTTCTGGCATTACTAAAAACCTTGCTGCAGGGCCATTCTAAATGAAAATAAAGCAACCAATGGCACACAAACATGCGATTTGCCAAATAAATGCATGCGATATGCAGAGCTGGGTGTGTGCGTTTTGCAATGAATCCACAAGGGTGAGAATTTTCAGATAAAAGAGAACTACAACCTTGAGCGGATTAACTTCATTGGCTGTATAAATATTTCCTTGACAATAACACAATGAGAAGAAGACGGGCACAATCTAAGCACCTTGCCACCAAGCCTTCAAAGTCCTGGCTAAAGTTTAACTTTTTAGTTTAAAGAATACCCTTTGGATAAACACTTTCATTGGAATTGTTCAACACACAATAAGATTCAAAGAGAGGTGAAATCTTTCAAATGACCCCCACAACGAATCATGTGAAACTTAGATATAATAGCTTCAGTGCACTTATCACAGAGAGGAGAGAGAGAGAGAGAGAGAGAGAGAGAGAGAGATTGTTTTGCAGTCAATCATACAAAGTTTAGTCGTTTTGCAATAAGCATAGAAAGCAACCTTTATGGAAGACCTTATGAAACACAAGTACACTACTTTCAATTTACCCTAAGCGAGAGAGAGAGAGAGAAGATCTACAACATGCATAACCACGTATTTCCCATGTGGTTGTAAAAAAATGACTCCAGGATCCTGAACACGACCCCACCAAAGCATATTTTGCTTTACAAATTGATCTTTAGGCTCAAACCGAATTTTTTTTGAGGAAGACTAGGTAAGCCTACCATTCTTAGCTAGAAGCTCATCTCTCACTCCACATGGTCTTCTTTCTCCCCCCACATAACCCAGCCCTCTTCATCTTAGTGTCCTGTCTCCATCCCCACCACCAGGGAGTTATCCTATGCTAATCAAGACTAAGAATGATAGCTCTAGAACAACCCTTACCCACAATTTAAGATTACACCTGGCACCTCCAAGGACTCAATTCCATTCATTAAAAACACCCATTTCAAAGAAAGGCAACAAAGAAACAAATTTTTTTCTGCTGGAACCAATACAAAAGTACAGTTTCCTTTCCATTCGGCTACAATGTTCTCTCGCTTTTTCTCAGCCCCATACGCGACTTGGCATACCTATTTGACATGATTAAGGAGACCACCAAAATGTTCCATACTGCTTGTTACAGAAAAAAAATCTGTGCCTATCAGTTTTTTCCGTTATATGGAAATAAACCTGAGTTTATAAACACGGCCTCGCTCCACTCATTTCTGATAGGCTTTGAGCTGGATGGCCCAAGAACATGGATATCCTCTTTTTGTCTGAAAGTCAGTACAGAAAATACTTGTTCAAAGGATACTCTAACCGCAAGCCTTCACCATCTGATGAATAAAGAAAGGCACCCTGGAGATGATTCAGTGCTTCTGTTGAGCATGCAATATCCTCCCACCAGCAAAAAAAGAAAAGGAAAGCGGATTATTTTGAGGGAGATGACACAGCAAACGCCATTTAAAATAAATGACTACAGATTCCTTCAAATGGTAAACGGTCACATTGAATGAAATTAGGATTTGGGTCCTAAGGCAACATTACAGTAAAATATTCCAGAATTCTAGGAGCATAATGATAATTCATTTGCACATAGAATGGTGCCTTGGAATAATGAAGAACAGACCGAGAAATTCATACGGCAAAATGATTTCACTCATTGATTAACTAGAAAGATTAATATGTACCTGAAAGTCAACAAAAGCAACATGAACACCATTTTTAGTTTGGATCTTCAACTTTGAGAATCCTCGGCATCTGTAACAAACCCAGTATGATGTAATGCTAGTGAATATGAAAAGAAAAACCTTAACCTTCACCAGCCAGAACAGTGTCATTGAGAGTTCTCAGACCTTGAGAATACTTGGGTGAGCTCTTGCTCAGAGCAAGTGGCACCCAGACTCGCCACAAAAAGTGTTGGGCATGGGCCAGTACTCTGAGGAACATAAGTTGTCAAAGAGTTATTCGTGGAAAAAGACACCAAAGTAAAAAGAAAGGCGTTCAGCAAATGAGACAAAGAGAGACTAATTTTACAAGATGGCCAACTCCATGAACAATAGTTTTATTTTTATTATTTCTTTTATAAGCAGGGTTTGAACATTCTGGAGAATCAAGGTAGCACAGTGAATGAAGCACCAACTAACGAGGAATGGTTCTCATGGGAGCTTAAATCCTTCTTCACCTATTTTTCTCATTGGTACCATGATTAGAATCTGGGATGGTATCAAACTCTGAAGTCCACATCGTTGACAAACTAGTCTCTGTTACCTTCCTCTCTTCCTTCCATGGTATTCCGGCAAAGGGATACCAGTCTAAATCAGTATTACTAAAGATAGAAAGCAACGGGTGCGGTAGAGACTATCCCAAAACCATGGACAACAGAAGAGGACAACCAACAGCAGCACTGGAAGGCAAGAAAGCACAGGTGAGGTGCGTTCATACATACATCAACAGCTGTGGAACCATCGTTAGAAAAATTATCTAATCTAAAAAAAAAAATGGAAGATTAGAATACAGGAGTGAGGGAACAAGATCCAGATTTGCCACCAACTCTCCTCTGAAAAATTGTAAACCGAAAAGAAAATAGAATTGGGGAATTTGAGTATATACTACCCATGCGAACGATCAGAATCTTTGAAAAGGCTAAGTTGCACTTTTCTTTAACAGCTAGAGGAAAAACCCCCTCTGCAAATGAAGGAAGAAAAAGAAGAATGGATAGGTCATATGTCGCAACAGGAAAAGCATAATCGAAGGAACAAGAAAGGAAAGGCAAGATTGGCATTTAAGAAAAGAGAGGAAAGCCCCAGCCTACCCAAGTTCCTCCCCGAAATGGTGTGCAAGGATGAAGGACACTGTTAGAATGTGCTGAATTGTCTCCTTTTTTTCTGCATTACTGTATTTTTATCTTTAGACCGGTTTGGCCCAGTCTGGTTCAATGTCGAACCGAGGACCAGTCTAATCTGGTCCATCTCTAAAATGTGCATCTGGTATAGATACCAAACCTGAGCATCAATTAAGCGGGTGATTTCATTTTCTCTCCACCTTCATCCACATCCTCCTAGTGTTTTTTCACCCACAACATGGTATCAGAGCCGAAGGTCTGACCAGGAGGATCTCATCGTTCAGGGTGTTCCATCACAGTGGAGAACAATATCTGATTCCTGTCTCCTTTATTTAGGAGGTGAGAGAACAGCTTGGAGCTGTTTTTGAGGGCTGCCTTTTGAGTGTGAATTGAGCTCTATTGTCAATTCATTCGGCCTGGATTATGGACACCAAGTAGCTGGAAGTTTTTCTGTCTACATATGTCAAAAATTGTAGAACGACCTCACAATGAAATCTGAGGGGTTTGTACAGACCCAACAGTCTGGGGAATTGCCGAGCATCCCAGCAGCATATTGACTAGATGGGAAAAAAATTCTCAAGTGGTCCTAATTTGTTTGTACAGTGCTGAAGGGGAGGGAAGATACACCATCTCCTTGGTATAGGAGCAAAAGCAGAGGATCCTCATTTTGATGTATGGGATGAAGAAGACTCCGTGATTATAGCGTAATTATGGAGTATTATGAATCCCGAAATCAGTGATACATGTATGTTCTTGGCTACCGCCCAAGATATTTGGACAATTTCAAGGACACGATTCAATAGGCATACTCTAAAGCCAGAGATGTAGCCACAGTTTATAAAGTAATGGTGAAAACAATGGCTTCAAAACATGGAAGTAAGATGGTCACAGAATAAACGAACTGTTGAAGATGTTGTAGCAAGAACTTGACCATTATAGGTCATTAAAGTTAGATGCCCCAAAGATGGAGATATTCTAAGAGACTACAAAGAACAAATTCTTGTTGGACTTAATCCAGAATTTGATCAGGCAAGAGTCCAAATTCTTGGCCAAGAGAAGGTCCCATGCTTTAATGAGGTGGTGGGACTGATTAGAGGTGAGGGAAGCATAGTCTAATCCATGAATCACAAAACTTGAAGAACTCAGCATTAGTAGCTAGAAGTGGCAATAATCCAGTCACAAATATGGAGAGAATCAAGGTTCCTCGACCTCCATCTAGACAAGTGAAGACTCAGAGCCATGATAATAGGGATAACCTATGGTGCACCTACTGCAAGAAGGCATGTCGCACTCGTGAACATTGTTGGAAGCTCCAGGGGAAATCTCAAGGCCAAGAAGGGGGGAAGAAGAGAGAGCACCCTCAAAACAATGGTCAAGCCCATTTCATGACAGTATAGTCAAAGAAAAAAGCACCACACGATCCAGGTAACCTCAAAATAGATGAGGTTGAGAGGCTGAGATCTATTACAGCCTCTTGCTCTTTGGCTCATCCAGGATAATTTCCATCATTTTTTGGATTAAATGACTCAATTACCCCTTTTTCTGATTCCTGGATCATGAATTCAGGAACTACCGAACATATGACCAATTCATTACAAACTTTTTCCACATGCTCTCTTATCCAACCAATAGAAAGACAATCATAGCTGAAGGGTCTCTGATTGCTGTAGCAGGTGTAGGAGATGTTAGAATTAACTCTTTTTTTATCTTGAAAAACGTCTTTCATGTACCTAAATTTTTTGCCAATAAAAAAGTTTGCTGAAGATTTACAGCAGCTTTCTATCATTATCATTCCATATTTATGACAAGGAATTGAGGAGGAAGATTAGACATGCTAGAAAATGGGATGGACTCTACTATCTTGAAGCATTGAGCTAATGATACATTGGAAAGGGCAATCTATCTTTCAGACTCTAATCATCCAATTTAGAGAAAATTTGTCTTCACCATTGTTGGTTTGGACATTCATCCTTCAAAACTATTAAAACTATATTTTCTTCCTTGTTTCAGAGTGTAAGTGTTGAAGATTTTCATTGTGATGTATATGAATTTGCTAAACATAAGTGTGTCATTTCTGATTAGTAATGAGAAAAGTGTTACTCATTTTTTTCATATTTATAGTGATATATAGGTTCCTTCAACCACTCCAAGTATTTCAGTTGTTAGATGGTTTGTGACATTGATCGATGATTGTAAACAAGTTACTTGAATATCTTTATCCAAATATAAGCCCTAATGTTAGTATTGTCCTTTAGAATTTTTTAACCCAAATTAAGAATCAATTTGAGGTTAATGTCAAAAGATTTAGATCAGATGATGCTAGAGACTATTTTACAAATGCTAACTTCATAATTCTAAAAGGAAGAAATAATACATGAATCCTTGTGTGTCAATACATCACAAAAAAAATGGCAGAACAGAAAAGAAAAACGGACATCTTCTTGAGGTAACTAGAGATCTTTTTCCTCGACAATACAATTCATTTTTTTGGGGGAGAGGCAGTTTTAAGAGACACTTATCTTGTAAATCGTCCTCTTGAGTCCTAGGATTCAAAATTCCAATGAAAACAATGTCGTCCTTTCAGCTAAAGGTCCAAGTTACAAATAATCCTGTCCCTAGAGTATTTTGGTGTTTCATTTGCTCATGCACAAGATCAACATAAGTTGATACTAGATATCAGGACATTAAAATATCAATCTGTTGGATAATCTCAATCTCAAAAGCCATATAAATGCTATCATCTTCCCATCTTTATCTTCATTGATTGACCTCTCCCCCTGAAGATAAGATATGATAAAGTAAGATTTTTGTTAGTTGTTTTTTACTCCCCATTTCATTTCCTATGCTAACATCAGTGTCTTCCCCCATTATTAACTCTGACCTTGAAAATGTGAGATTTGGCGAAATGTATTCACAGAAGAAGACAGATGTCCAAGAATCTCACTGAAATACTGGAAACAAGATGCTAACTTCTCTTTTTTCACTTATACCAAAAAATAAATTTCATTGCCATTACCAACCAACTATGGTTCAGATCTATAGAAAATTGACGTTAACAATGTACTTTTGCACCGAAAACTAGAAGAAGAAATTTATATAGAAGTCCCACTAGGATATGAAAAGAATTTGCCCACTAATGCGGTGTACAAGTTAAAACCTAGTATCTAGTCAAACAATAATCTAAGGCCTGATTTGGTAGGTTCACAAGAGCCATAAATACCGTGGGATGTAGACAAACCCAAGAGGACCATACATTATTTGTTAAACACTTATCCACAGGGGCAGTCACAACAATATTAGTATATGTTAACGACATAACTGTGACAGAAAATAAAGATAAAGAAAAAAATATATAGGCCAATGTCTGGATAAGGAATTTGAGATTAAAACATTGAAAAGGTTGAAATACTTCCTTGAAATCAAAGTAACCCACTCAAAGTAAGGTATGTTTATCTCCCAACAAGAGTTATTTTGGATGTTCTTAAAGAAATAGGCAAGCCTTGATACAAGCCAATAAATAACCTGATAAATCCAAATCTCAAATTTCACAGACTAGAGGAGGATGCTATTATAAACAAGGAGATATATCAATGTTCGGTTAGAAGATTAATTGATATGTCTCATACACAACCAGATATAGTATATATATTTAGTGTAATTAATCAATTTATGCACAATCCAAAGGAAGGACATCTGATTTAGCTCACTGAGTGCTACATTATCTAAAAGAGATACCAGAGAAAGGAATGAACGATTGGTATTTGAGGTGTATATAGATACCAATTATGCAGGGTTAATCGTTAACAGGAGATCTTCCTCCAGATATGATATCTTTCTTGATGTTAACCTAGTGACATGGTGAAGTACGAAACAAAATGTAATAGCATAGTCAAGTGTAGAAGTTGAATTCCAAGCAATGGCATAAGGTATGTGTAAATTGCTTAGATAAGGATTATTCTAAAAGACTCGAAAATTAAGTGGGATGGTTCAATGAGACTTCATTGTGACATCAAGTCAGTAATTAGCACACAACTCAGTGCAACATCATCAACCAAAGCATATCAAGATTGATTGATATTTCATCAAGGAGAAACTAGGGAGTGGATTGATTTGCATTTTTATGTGTCTACATGTTATCAGCTTGAGTACCTACTAAGGGTTTGGGTATCCTAAGGTTTCACCAATTTGAGGGTAGAGCGTTGGAATGGGCTAAATTATTGTGTTTCTGCATTATTTTTTATTGTATTTATATCTTTTATCTTTAGACTGGTTCGGCTGAATCTGGTTCACTATTAAATTGGTCTGGCCCAGTCTGGTCCATCTCTGTAATGTTGGTCAAGTATAAATACCAGGCAGGCACAAACATCAATTAAGTGATCGATTTCATTTTCTCTCCTCCTTCGTATGTCCTCAAAGGTTTTTTTCCCCCCCAACATATATAGTTTATAAAAGGCATTCTAACTTTAAAGGTACCTTTGAGTTATTCCCTTTGATGTAAAATTGTTTATATTTTTGAACAAGGAGTAGGGTTTCAACTGAAATCAGCTGTTTAGCCCATTCAATCCTAATTCAGATGGTTTTGGTCAAGCCCAATATCCATGATTACAAGACACGTCCAGTGGAGAAGAGAATCGCCGAGAGCAACTGGAGAATGGCTGAGAGCAACTTGAGAGCAACTGCATTTCACAATTTCCTTGAGGAGCTTGGCTGATGGAAGCTGGGAAGATTTCTTGGCACAGCTGTCTTTGGGCTTGAACAAAGGTGACAGAAATTCCACCATGCTTACATTTGCATCATCTGAAGAGAAGCAACAAACTCTGATGCACACTCTTTAAGTGCATCAAAATAATCATACTACATTAACCTCTTTACTATTTATAACAATGAAAGTAATGGCTTTCTGACAGAATCTCACTCAGACACTATTTTCAGCCAGTCACTACTGTCATATGGTCTTTGATCATTGATCATTATCAAGCAGATTGGTGGCAAAAGAGTTGATAGGCCACTGTCTGAAAGATAACATGTTCAGCATAAAGTACTAATTATATCAAAAAATGAACAGTTACAAAATTCATGGTAACATGGAGAGAGCTTCCCGTTACAGAAGATTACTTCACCTGTGGTCGACTAGGATCTACAGCACTCTGATGATCAAAGTCACAGTTTACATGGCTGTGAACATAGGGGAAGCAATTAGATGATCTGATACACATGAAAGCCCAGTACTGGACGAATTCTAAGAAAACCAGGCACCATAAATGCCACCAAATGCTTTTCAATTTTCCTTGGAAAGTTGAAGATGAAATAGATTATGATAACATTAGGTGAAAGCTCAAGCAAAGAAAGAAAATATGTGCTCAAGTATTGTGTGTTGACCTTTGTGCAGAAGGATAACAATTGTAGGCAGAATTGCCCACTCCAGGCGTGTGAATATTGCTTCCAAGACCTGATAGTATGCAAAGTGTGCCAAAAATGTGCAACATAAGCATTTAGCAGACAGATTTCTTCATGTCAGTAACTTGCATAACATTATTATATGGAAACATGAGTAGGAAAATTTAGTTCTGTTGGGCAGTAAACATAACAGGCCCCATAAATATGAATCAAGAATCAGCTAAAACTGGAGGCAAACCAATATATGATCTGTCTAAATAATCAATTATTGAAACAAAAAAATCATTATGTTCTCATACATTACCAGATCCTGGAAAGCCTCTAGAATGCCCAGCAGCTCTCAAAACTTTCTTATCGAAATATGAAACACCGTCATCTGATTTTCGTGAGACAAGAACAAATGCAATAAAAATGTAACTATGAAATGGAGATAGATTAATATATATAGGCACTGAAGAAAGTTTAATACGTCACTCTATACCTATTCTTGAACGCTTGGACCTCGAATTGGACTTGGCAAGATCAATAAATAAAGTTGATTCCTTATCAAGGTCAAACACCATTCCCTATTAGAACATTTCATAACAATAATCAAACGAAAATATCCCGTCCATCTACACGAATAACTAAGTAGTAATTGGAATAACTCTACAGTGTTTGTGCTGCATGCAAACAATGACCCAAAATTGTTATAATTTTCCCACCATGGTCCATCGGTTAAAAGACGATTTGAAAATAGCCCTTGAATTGAAAAATTACCACAATTTGTTAGGTCCTTGCACACAAGCAAATGAAAGTAGCACCTAACACTCCTCAAGACATGCTATCACAGTCCATGCATGCCACAACCATGTTAGACAAGGCTAGAATTGTAGACTAAAAAAATGTTGACACAGCCACAGAGTAAAACGCATTGCTCTCTGTAAGATAGGATCTTCAAGAAAATATTATAATTCATGTATCATGAACGATCTTGTTTATCCGATTGTTGCTAAAAACCAACTATGGTATGCAATACTTCTAGCGTGTCAATTCATTTCTGCTCTTTGCTCCACTTACTGCGAGCAGTGATGAAGACTTTTTTGATAATGATTTGACACATTCTAGCAAAGACTCTTCATTTCACTGCGCTTAGAGTTTCAAATCGCCACCAATGTCAATTGAGTTGGAAACCCTACCAACAGGAGATCCATATACTCCTAGGTGATCCTCTCGTATCCAGGAAGAACACATAACAACCCAGTTCTGTGGCAGGGTGATCCAACTGATCATTATCCCCCTCTGCTTATCCACAAAATTTTAGATGAAATGGATAACAGTACATAGGAGATCCCATGATCAGGTTGAGAGTAGGTCACATTCAATACAAAACTAGACACTGGAAGGATAGGAAGGTTATTGCTTTTTGACCCTAGGGGTTCCTATTATTTTCAAAGATCTAGAACAGCCACTTAATACCCAGTTAGAAAACGCTATGTCACGACCTACACAGCCCAAAGAGCATCTGCTCCAGGTCTCCACTCTCTTTACGCCAAAAACCAAATTCTCAATGTCTCAGAGCTTCCGAATGTCAATGCAAAGGGAAAAGGGCCATCAGTAGGGATTATGTCATTTAAAAAAGAGGAGAAGATTTCTAAATATATTCAGGGAGAGATGGATCAAAATGCTAAGAAACCTACTTCCAAAGGCTGGCCTCAGGTTTAAGAACTGACTCAGTAAGAAGACATGAACCAGATTAAGGAGTTTTATCCTAGTCTATTCACAGAGCAGGAAGACTGGAAACATCAGCTCACAGAAAGCTTTATTCCAAGGCTTGAAAGGGGTGAGGCCTGGGAGCACACTAGAGGACGACACGAAGAAAGTTTTTTTTTCTTGAGTAGCTAGCAAGGTTCAATGTTCTATAACTGGATAGGTTTTCCTTTTTTTTATTCCCTTAAAACAGCTTTGGATGGCAATGCAGGAGTTCCACTCAGGGAAAAGCTCATTTGAGAGGCCCAACATGCCGCTTCTGGTTATTCTCTAAAATGAGAGGGGGAGCATGTAGACTAGAACTCTGGCCCCAATAGTCTTACTCCAGGGTGTGAAGACATCTTCCGAGACTGCTAGCTCCAAACCTTGAGGGCAGATAGAAAATTCCTCATAGCCATTTTCAACAGCAGATAAATTCAGGATTTTTTCTTGATAATATAAAATCTAGCCTGTGCCGTGAAGACTCAACAGCAAAGGTGTCAGTATAACAAGTTAAGAGTTTGGAGGAAAACGTACGATTACAACTGGGCCAGATAGGATTCCTACTCTGGTGCTTTGGAGATGGGCTTTGACAAGAAAACATTGTTTGGATCCAATTTTATGTTATCTTGGCTACGGCGAATCTTCTCCCTGGTTCAATGATGGAAATAAACATCAATGAACCCCACTTCTCATTTACCGGTCCAAGTTATGATTGAGCAGGATGAGGCAAAGTCCAAAGGGCAAGATTTCAAGCCTACCACTGGAGACTTCATTTTTCTCGCCCGCAATATGCTGATGATGCTATCCTTTTCTCATCCATCAAGGACGAAAGCTTGGCTTGGCACCACCAAATTGATGTTGAAGCTTAAAGAAGAAGTCACAGATGTAGAATAGGGTCAACAGGGCCTGGGAAATGGAAATAGAGGGTATGGAAAGTTGCTTCATGGCACAGTAAGTCTGCTTATTGGGGTTACCTCTCATGAAAAGTACCATTCACTAGAAGGGAAACTGGCAGGATAATAGGCAGACTGCCTTGCATGAAAGGAAATCACGGCCATGTAGGGTTCTACCTTATAACTTGGTGATTCATTTCTGGCCAGAAGTGCAATTTAAGTGGCAAGATATCAACTGAGTCTTACATTACTTAGCAAATGATTGTTGACACCAAGAATGGACGAAAGAGGTTTTATGACCCAGAGATTGTTAAAAAAAATACAAAAGAAGAGAAACACTCTAGGAATAACGGTTTCATATTCACCAAGATTTTGGAGATGAGTGATGAAAGTGGGTCTTAGTGTCTAGTAACAAGGAGAGGCACTAGCCAATGTGTAGGTTAATGATATTTGATTTAAAAAACATAAACGAATTATCAAACAACTAACAAAGGATTTGTACACAGCAACATTTACGAAAATCGATCGTATTAAATAATCTCCATAAATTAAATTTATTATCACCAACTTAAACAAAAATAAGTAAAATGCAATTTTAAAATTCTAAATCTCAATTCCGATGCTGGCACAGACATTCTCTCAAAAAACATTAAAAACACAATAAAATTTGACTTCTTCTAGTATGATAACAGTTAAATAGATAACAAAAGAACAAACATAAAAAACATAAATTTATTGAATAAAAAAAATGTTACAAACACCATTTATATCTTCACAAAAAATGAGAAAAAATACACGATAATTTCAGCTTGATTTATTATAATAACATTCTAGTCTAAACACATATGTAATTGTAAATGCGGAAAATAAATTGAGAAAAATTTAATGAAGACGTTCAAGGGAGGATGAGGATCTGAAATGGCTGCTGTCTTTTTTTTCTTACGGAGATTACTCCTTAAGGGAATGATGCACAGTGCACTTGCCAAATAAGATTGGTAGATGCTGCTTAATCTCATTAGGCAGCAGCATAGCAATATCATGTGGAACACAAGATATCAATGTTCTCATAGACAGACATCTAAATAGCTTTGCACTCCAAAACTGGAAGATGAGGAAAACCTAGGAAGGAGCTCAGGTGGATAGATACGAGGTTCTGATATCTGTCAAAGCTCCATAGGAAGCCTGCCAGAGGCTCTATATCTCATGGGAGAAATGAAAGCTCAGAAGCTAGGGAGCCTTAATAGGTCATGGTGATATTAACTAGTTTTCATGATTTACCCATTTTCATCAAGCTCGCTGCCATCATATTTAAATAACAAAAAGAGAATCCGTACGTCCTACACATAAATCGAAATAGCCTCCATTGTTGCTTTCAACTGCCTGTTTCGGAGACAATCATCTTTCTTCTCTAAGTGGCCAAGGGAGGAGGACAAAGGAGATAGAAAGAGGTATCAGAAGCATCAGCTGTAGTACAAGATAGAAAGATGATAAAGATGGCTGCGGGAAACTGCTGCACACTGCTATAGCTCATAGGTAATGCGTCTGTGATAAAGAACAGGAGTGGATAAAAGGGGAAATGATGAATCATACTTCACCAACTACAGTTTCAGAACCCTTCTATATTTGAAATCATCCATCAAAATAGTCAGCAGTGTAATGCAAAAGAATTTAGCCTTGCATGTGTCAGAGGCAACGATAATCAATGAGGATAATCGTGAAAATAGGTTCCAAGAAAGAGTGTTTCCTTCCATACTTATTTAAAAGAAATGAATAATCAGGAAATGAAATAAAAAAATAATTTAAATCCATGCATTTCAGATAGGCTTCATAAAAAAAATAGATTACTGCATCACTAGCAACGCATTTTGAAGGTATAAAATTTATTTTCAGAAAAACACTGACTACCCATACATAGCACACGTCTTATATGGAGAAAAATCTAAACATTCAATATGCAAAATCTCAAAAATGAAAATATCTAAAATATATATAGATGCAACAGAACTTCTTAGAAAACCATAACGCATGAAGCGTTTTCCTTTTTTTGTTTACATTGAGAGTGTTCATTGCAACAAGCGCAGATTGTTGATCTCTGAATACAGCAAACGCAAATGCCTGTTCCAAAGTACCATGAAGTTAAATCAGGAGCAAGGAACCAAAAACGCGATTTTAATTCACAAAAATATACTTCTGACAGTTATTCTTACAACCGAATCCAACACCATGTTCACTATGATTTCTGAGAAAATATTGACCATCTCATGTTGCAAACAAGTACTGCAGAGAAACTTAACAAGATTTTCTACGCCCGCTGCTATTAGCCAAATACAAGCCACTACATTAAAGAAAGAACCATGGTAAATTGCATTGAAGGTGATATGGGATATAATTTGGGACAGTTTTTTAAGGTATTTTTCTGTAACAACAGCATAACATGCAGAAAATAATTCATCCGAAAATAGAAAAAACTTAAGGATGCATAAATACTCTGCCTACATAAGGAGCTTCAACACAAAGGTGGATAGATGTAATGCAGAAGATAGGGTCAGCAGCAAGTCACTCTTTGTGGGCAAATGGTCGTGGATGTATATATTTATGAGAAAGCTTAAACCGAAAAATCAGCTTCCTTCAGTAGTTAAAAACCTATTGTGGAATATACATAAAAGAGGCCCAACATGCAATGGACTTCGGAGCTTTAAAGCCTGATATTGAAGTTTTCACTGGTAGGAGACAATTGATAGCCTCTTTGGGAAAGGTGAGACTTTGTACGGGACACAAAAGATTATTCGTAACCCAGTCCAGTCCCGAATTGAGGGTTATTCAGACACAACAGACTCAATGCCCACTGATGTTGATTGCATGAAGGAGATCCTAATAGCTGTTTTGTGAGATTTATGGAAGGAAGGAAAAGAATAACGTAAGAATTTAAATTAAAACCATTGACGAACCAGGAGGCTGTTTAATTCCCGAACTCCTAACACTAGATACCCACTGTTTTCAGACTACAAATTCATCCCCATTGAACTGACGACTCACATTAATAGATTTCCTTCATGGAAAAATAATTTTCGTCCACTTTAAAAGACAATCACATTAGTAAATCTCCACTTTAAAAGATAATCACACAGGTATATGAACTTATGATGCATTGAAGTCAAAAAATAACATCTAAACTCCAAAAATGCTAGCTCCAGACCTCGTAAATTCATTCCAACGATCGTGAACAGCTTAAGTTCTACTTAGTCATCGAATGTTGAAGGAAGGGGATCGTTCGTGGGCTGACAGAGGGTCCCTGGGCTAGCAGCTGACCTGGGTGGATTGGCCGGTGCACCGGACTTGGCATGACATGTAGCCGGGGAACTCCCTGAAGAGGTTGTAGATCTCCCGGGGCTTGACGTCGTCAGGGAGCCCTGCTATAAAGAGGGTTCGTACCTCGTCCGGGCCAGAACTCTGGAGAGGAGCGTAACTGTACGTTGTGCCGTGCGGCGGAGGCGTGGGCGGTGGGAGCTGCTGCCGGCCCGGGTAGTACTGTGAGTGCATCCCCGGCGGGGGTGGCTGCTGCAATGCTCCGGGCTGCGTCGCCGGTGGCTCATAGAAAGGGTAATGGAGGAGAGAAGGTGGGTGGTGGTGGTAGGCGCCCGCAGGGTCTGCCATGGTTGAGTGGAGCTGGCGGATTTCCCGACAGTGGAGCCCAAACAGAGCGACGAGCAACTGGTGTGGGCTAATCAGTCCCCCCCCGTGGGATTCACCAGTTTCCAATGCCCTACGGATTCCAACCTCCACGGAGACTGGATGACTGCCATCTCTCGTACCCCGCTAGGCCATCAGAACCGTAGACAAAGAAGGAAGGAAATTCAGCAACGAAAATAAAAGATATTCATCCATGCATTTTTATGATCTCCCAGATTTAATAAAATATTAATCCACACCAGAAAAGCAAAAATGATTTCACTAACACAAGGAAGTAAAAAAAATTCTACTTATGTTTCATTCCTTGCTAACTCAAAAAATTATCTGCGAAGTATTTTAATTAAATTTATCATAAGTTAAATGAGTATTTTAGTCCGATTTTTTTACGCAAATTCTTTCTCATACTCCCCTTCCCTTTAACCCTTTGAGAAGATCTAGCAAGATCATAGTTTCATATAAATTTATGGCGTGGGGGATGTTCCAAGAACTACTTAAACTTGACCGAGTCTGCTCAAGCTCTGTGTTTTAGTCAACTTTTCTTATATCCATCGATATAAAAGTTTATTTCAATACTTACCCAGAGGTAGGTGTTGGGTTTTTAAACTATGCTAAAATCTGACCTATTATTATATTGGAGAAGTTATAGAGTTTGTAATTAGGCCAAAATAATATAGAACTTCACATCATGAGCGGAATTTATGATATTTTATGTTGTAAAAACAATAGCCTCAAATTAAAAGAAATAAAGTTTATACCTAGAAAAAAATGTTTATCTTGTTGTAGATAAATATAAATAACGAGAAAAATTGTTTGTCAATATTCTAGTATCACACTCATAGCTGGATGAATACCTACATTATTAGATCTATTCTATCCACTATTTCAGTGTTGTTTTTAAATATTAAAATGAAGACTAGGGGATTCTGCTAAGAAAGAGCTCAAAATGAAGAAAAGTAAAATAGAGGTAAGTGAAAGAGTCTTAGGGGGAGTATAAAAAGACTAGGTGCATCTAGTGAACTCACAAGTCAAACTCAAGAGAGAGAGAGAGATTTATATCTAAATTTAGATTCAGCTCATGATCTAAAGTTACTAACTACTACTAAACATCTCTTAGCATTTTCAAATACACCTAGCAACTCTAGTGAATTAGAGTGTTAGGAATCTTTGACTTAGAGTCTATCACTCATTTAAGTTACAATGTTATTGGGATCTATAAATAATTCATCTTGTGAGCATTAAACAAGAAATCAAGGTTACATCAACTCAATTAATCTATGCTTAGAACACATATCTTTTTCTACTCAATCCTCATAATAAGTGCTGTAACAACAAAGCTTTCACTAGCTTCAAAACACTCGCTTTATCAAAAAATCACTTCTTTCCAGATTATCTTTAAGTATTTCATAACTTTCTATGAGAAGACACTAAGAGAAAAACCTTGGTCTTTATTAAGGGGAAGTATACTAGTGAAAATGTGTAGCATAAAATATTTTATTTATCTTATAATTTCAGCCTATGTTATTTGAAAGTAAATAGTGGAAACAAATGGTAGAGACCCATAATAAGTTGACATAAACCACAGCAAGCTAAACCACTATGAAAGAGTGTTTTTAATTGTCATTATCAAGTGAGCTGACACAACAACTTGTACTTCTTTAAACATAATTCAAAGATAATCATTAAAATGAAAAGTTTAAAATTTAGGAAAACCCAATTCAACACCTTTCTTGGGACACCTTATAACTATTTTGGAACATCAATATATACACACCCACATTAGGAAGCATTAAGAAAATACTCTTCATTGCAAGCAAATATACTGAGCATTTAAAAGATTGACTCCTAAAATACAAATGTTGATACCTAAATAAAAAATGCAACCTGATTTAAATAATAGTTAACGATTAAATAGTAATGTATTGACCTTAGCTAAAAGAGAGTAAGAGGTTAACACTATGAATGACATATGGGGACTCTGGTGAAATCCATGGAATATGTTGACACCAAGGAAGCATAAGAGTCGACACCTTAAATGTGAAGCCACAAGGTCTTGGTCCTAATGTGGAAGGAAAGCACAAGCATCTAAATTGAGCTAACACATTTTCAGATATCAAGAAAAGTCAAAAATTGGCAATATGTGCCCCAATCCAATGGTCACCTAAGAGCTGCAAAACATTTGATTTGCAATTCTCATACTTTCATTTACCGTCCCATGAACAACTATGAATACTCTCCAAGTTATGCTTTTATCAAAACCATGAGAAGAGCAAAACTACGTGCATTTACTCATTAATGTCTGTGTTTTGTGAATTATTAAAATAGGGCCATGCCATAATTAAAATATAAAACATTAAGATTATGATACTAAGATTATGTTAACCTCAAAGATATTATTGACCCAAAAGCATGGTCTCCAAAATTAGGTCAACGGGCTGATTATACCCTTAACAAATTCTAACATTCTAAAAGTGACTTTCCCAACATAAGATAGTCAACAAAAATCAATCTTTCGCGTCCGGAGGCATCTCTACTTATCATGGACGTTTAATTACGTAAATATTTTGTTAAAGTCAACTCATTTATATCTATATTAATAAAATCACCTCATACTAATAAGCCGCCCACGCATGGCTTCAAAAGCATCATACTTCAATCTAATCATAGACCCATGAATAAGGAGACACAGCAATTCACCCCAAAGTCAAGCTATCGTTAAATTACCACCATCACCAAGTTATTGATCAACAAATCCAATGCAACAAGGTCCACAACTCTAAAATCGGAAAGATAAAAAACGTGCACACACACACAAAAGGCAGCGTCAGTGCTCAGAAAAGATTCTTAAGGGACGAGACTGTCGTTCAGGCTGAGGGCGGCCAACTGGTCAGCAGGGCCACTGGGGGACTGCTGTTGCTGCTGAGCGACGCTCCTGAGAACCTCCATTGCCTCGCCAACCTTTGACTTGAGCGCATCGGGGGACTCCAGCAGATGGAGGACCTCGGTTTGGTCCATCTCCAGGAGCATGCCAGTCACCTTTGCCGCAGAATCGTGTTCCAGCTGCTCCACCAATGGGTAGAGGGATTCACCCAGCATCTGCGCCCCCACCCCCAACCCACAACAAGAACAAGAAATAAGCAACAAATTATGAATAGGCAAATTACTTTCCCAATGAGGAAATATAATGTGCAGGCCATGTTGCTGCACATCCACCGCCAGATAGATTGGGAAGGAGAGATTTTGGTAATAAAGAGGACTCACCGTCCTCTGTTGTTCTGGGGTTGCATTGGCAAGGGCTGAAGCCAAGGCCCCAATTGGAAGGGAGTGTGGGATCCCAGCATCCCTCATGGGGAAGGTGCCCATGTCATAGGGCACTGACAGCATGCCCCCAGCAACCCCTGGCATTGGAACCTCTGGCATGTTGCGCCCTGGCGAGTAGCGGTAGAGTCGACCTCGGGGAAGCATCTGCCACATACAGCACAACAGCAATTATAATAGCAGTACAAATAATAATAACAGAAATAAAAATAACAATCCTTGGGTGAGAAGATGATAAGGCGGGTCAACTTGGAGTCGACCTAGATATTTGATCGAGAGGGGAGGTTACCTGCTGTTGCATCATGGGCACAGGCTGTTGCACCTGTGGCACAGGGCCGGCCCCAGCACGTCGGCCCCCAGGGCGTTGAGGCTGCTGACCTTGTTGTACGAGGGGAACAAAGAAATTGGGCATTGGACCCCCCCCAGGCCTCATACCGGGAACAAGTTGCTGTTGGTAGCCAAAGCCAGGCTACACAAGAGAAATGAAAAGGCATATCAATAACTAATTCACTGAGGGAAGAGGCACAGGGATTTTACAAACTCAAATGTGTTTTTCTTCCTTTTCTTCTTCTGGAATAATAATGAATGGGACTTACCCATTTTAATCAACATTAGGTGTAAGGTCTTTCAGTCAACCAATCGTGAAAATATTACGAAAAATATTGCCATCTGATGGATGACCCAATCCCAGCCAAGTGCAGTGAAGTAAATGAGAATTGAAACGTGGCCAAAGTGAGTATCTATTCATTAATGCTTGTCGACACTATATATTAATTAAATCTGAGATTTACATCAAATTAGTTAACATTAAAGAACCACGAACTATCGCCATGCATAGTACCTGAGGAATAAGTGCCGGGGGGCCTTGGCCATAAAAGATCTGCTGCCCTAAGCCTGGACCACCCGGGGGATACATTGGCATTCGAGGAGCAACAGACGGTGCCATGGCAACGGGCCTCATTTGGGAAAATTGTGCCTGGAGATAGGAAATAATGACTCAGACAGAAGCACACCATAAATCTGTTAGCGAAATCTATGAAGGAAAACTTAGTTGGGTGGCACCTGCCATCCAAAAGGCACAAATAGTAAATGTCGTATGTTTCCTGTTCTGGCTACTTAAGCATCTTATCTAACATCCCTCCACATCCTCTAGAGGGATGATGATGATTTGTGGAGCAGAATATTGTAGCTTTGGTAGAAAAGGAGTATCTTGTACTTCTCATAGTGAATCCCTGTTTGAAACGTCATTAGACCCTCCGATACAATCTATAGATCGACCATGCAGATCAATAAATGAAACCGCAAGACTTTTATTTATCCTCGGGCACGCCTGCTTTTTCGGGACTTCCTCACAAAGACAACATAAATTTGGTGCGTACAGTCCCCAAGCAATCATTAACCCCCATACCAACTCAAATGCTTTTGGACCATTCTAATCCAAGACAACTGGCTGATAGTGAAGTGGGCTCATCAATATAACCACACGATTTTTATTTATACTCTCCCACGGGAAACTGTTGTAAAACTGTTAAAAATGGTTATTTTCATCAATAGGATTCAAAGTAGAAAAAAATAGAATTTAAAGAAGGCATTCATGGTGAGCTATACCAACCATTACGCCTCCACCTGTGGTATCCTCAAGTCTACTCGCATTCTATATTTTCACCAGCTCACCATCAAACATTACAAGTGTCAAATGGCTACCTAATTAGACAGGATATAGGTAACTTATTTCCCAAGGTGACAGAATTTACAGGTCATTAGGTGAACCAAAATGCAGAAGGAAAACAAGGGACTGGAAATACATGAGAGGAGAGGATCAGTTGGCAGTGTCCATGGTATGATGCCAGAATCTTGGTAGATCAGAAAACCCAAACTCAAAAAGCAAGACATAATGAAGAGCAATTAGAGCATACACCTTTAATACACAAATATCTAGCATCAGCAGTTACATGCATCTAAGAGCAGAATAAAAAAGGCCACCTGAAGTCTTGCCCTTCTGTCTTCTTTGCGCTGTGCCAATGCTACGTAAAGGGGCTTGTTTGAAACCATTTTCCCATTCATTTCCGATATCTGAGTTAGAAATAAAGTTCTCAGTAAGATATTCAATTTCAAAAATAAATACAATCAACCGAATACTTACAGCTCGGTTGGCTTCTTCTGGAGTTGAGAAGGTAACAAAACCAGAGCCTCTGCTTATCCCAGTTGGGTCTCGCATTATCTGTTACAATAATAAAGGTAGCAGATTTTAAAACGTCTTCTGTGATGAGGAAGTATCGACTGCATATGCAACAACATCAACCTTGGATGATGTAATCGTGCCATAGGCAGAAAAAAGTTCCTGCAGCTTTTCATCATCAATGGTGTCATCCAAGTTTTTCAAGTATAAGTTAACCCCTTGATACTTGTCTACTGCTTCCTTCATGTTCTGCTCAAACCTGGTTTTCAGCTCTACCTCTCTCTCAGACTTCTTCTGTGCCTTTCCAACATACCATTCTTTATCATCAAACTTCTGCCCATTAAGCTCTTCAACAGCTCGAGCAGCATCATCCGCATCTTCAAAATTCACAAAACCAAAGCACTTTGATTTTCCATCCCCTTCCCTCATAACTACAACGCTTGTGATATTTCCATACTCTCCAAAAGTCTTTTTAAGGTCCTCTTCTGTGGTAGACTCCGAGAGATTTTTAACATACACATTATTAAACTTGGTCTTGTTCGCAGAATTATCTCTTTCTTGCTTGCGGAGAAAAGGACCAACAAAAACTTGCTTGTCATTCAGAAGCATTCCATTGAGCTTGCTTATGGCATTTTGTGCTGCCTCATCCTGCTCAAATTGTACAAATCCATAGCCCTTGGACTGGCCAGATGGATCTGTTGCAATCTTGCAAGACAGAATATTACCAAATACAGAAAAGGTATCATAAAGTGCTTTGTTGTCAATAGCCTTGTCCAGATTCTGCCCAAGAAAAGGAACACCAACACAATATGTAACCAAGATCAAGTCGAAATTTAAGGGCACAGGATAACAAAGAAATTCAGAAAATAGCAAACAGACCCGAAGATATGTAAAATGGCTATCGTACCTTAATAAAGATATTACCAGAGCCACTTTTACGTGCACTGGGGTCCCGGTTCGAGTACATAATCCGGATTGGCTTGTTGTTGAGAGGGGTAAAATTCAGCGCATCCATAGCACGCGCAGCTGTTGGCATAGAACCAACTATTAAAGTGGAATAATAAAAGAAATATAGATATGAATAACGAAGACCATTTCAGGAGAGCGGTAAATCTAATTCACTCTCTGATATACGAATAGATAGATGAACTCCAACCAAAAGTTGTATCTTCCATATCAAGTAGCAGGGGAAACAAAATAGGGAAAAACTAAAACAATTAGAAAGGCACTAGCTGTACAAGGAATGACTTGCACTTTTAATTTTATTTTTTTTAATGCACATCATGCAGCAAATATTGATGAAATTTTTTCAGAATTGTCTACACAATCCATCAAGAAAAATGATTTATTATTTTGATGTCTCAAATAAATAATAGGATGAAAAAATTCCAGCTAAAAGATGCAAAGAACTCTAGTAGCACTTTTTTTCCCTTGAAAGGTCATCGATCAATAGCTAACATAAAGCATAATACCATACTTAGAAAGGGAGACTTATTGGTCATGCTGAGTGACCCAGCCATTCATACCATCTTCTGTTTCTGTCCCAATTGCATAGCTTAACAATCACTCCATTCGAACTTCTTGACCCATTCAGCCTATCCAAGTTGTTCATAAAAAAATCTATACAAAATAACTTATCAAAGAACACTGGTCCCGTAAGAACTCCCTTTTGATCTGTTTGCTCTCTTTTGGATCCGTTTACCACTGCGAATGGACAGTTCAACCCACTGTGATAGGTCCACTAGTGCCCTCATACAAAAAGTGAATCTATCTTATGGATTCATTTGGCTCTGTGATTGGCCCACTTCTAAACACAATAAGTGAGCCCGCCTTATGGGTTCTGGCAATGTGATTGGCCCCCTTATACAATAAGTGCACCAATTCTCTGGATTCATTTAGACTGACTGGATGTAAGCAATGATTCGTTTACCTACTGTGACCCAAATAAGATGGGTTAGATCTTATGAAGATGGATGGTGGAAATGAAACTTCAAAGAAAAAAACAATGGTCCTTGGACTTCAAGAAAATTTATTCTGTAAAATTTTAGGTCAAGCAAACCAGCGGCCTATTGATCATGTCATAGCTTAGGCAATAAGCCACTTTTCTATGAAGACTAAATTCAATATGTACTAAGACCTGCGATTTATAATATTGCGTTGTACCAGAAAAAACATAACCTCAACATATTTCAATTGAATGGGATTCATGAATAGATGTCTACAAATCATTCCTGTATCACTGTTCTGTGCTACGTTATCTCACATCCTCTGGGACAACTTCGCGTCGATTAACTGCTCACTTTACTAAACCACACTAGGTTCTCAACTCAAGGATGGTTCGTACCTTCCTGCCATTCTAGTAGCACTCCATTCTAAATTTAAATAAAATTAAAAATTTTTAGGCATTTGACATCTAAAATTTTCCCATGTAATGCTACAGACTCATTCATAGGTATTTCCTCGAATGAATCAATGCTAAGGACAGTTCATCCATTTAAGCCATGTAAAGTTTCTCATTACACCACTCTAACACTGACCGCCAGATAGTGACATAATACCCACGTCCATAAAAAGAACAATGCCTTCGGGAACCAAACAGTGTTCACTACGAAAAAAAATATAATCAATGAAAAATGACAAGATGTATCTCCTAGAAAACTGAAGAAGGCAGCCGGTATGGAGCTAGCATATTAAACGCCAATCAGAAAGATCGATTTTTTGAAGTGATCCAGCAGAAATTTTTTGGCAAGCATTGTGCACACCATCTTGATTCTTCATATCCGTTGCACAACTGATGTATATTTATGAAATGCTGAAAAGAAGAATTGAATAAAGATGCTTTGAAGTCAAAATGAACAAAGCATCAAACAATTTAGCACGAAACTTTGAAACGAAAGAACGTCACAGACGTGTTAAAGTGATAAAGAAGCGGAGCAAACTGGAGTCATCAGATCAAAATGACTGCGATTGGCATGAGGAATACATCCAATGATGTGCCAACAGATGCCACTTTGAAATGGAAACTCACTGAAAGCATACCAAATTTTAACCATTATATGCAACGGGAAATGGAAAAACATTATTATCATCCATTCTCTGTCCAGGGAAATCACTGTATCAAAAAATTACGGCATAAAACCAGAGGAGCATAAGCAAACATGACAACATAGAAGAAGAGGAGAAATGAAATAAGGAAGCGGCGAATAGTTCACCATCCACTGGGTCACTATAGTTGACATAAGCGTATCCAAGAGACCGTCGGGTTGTGATGTCCCGGCAAACTCGAACCGACAAGACCTGCCCCAGCTGGCTGAACAGGTCATACAGCTGCGAGTCGGTGACGTTCATCTCGAGATCTCCAACATAAAGAGACGTCGACTGGAACTGGCTGACAGCAGCACCAGCAGGAGGGGCACTGTTGGCCGCCGCGTTGGGGCTCGAAAGAGCAACCTGTGGCTGCACCTGAACCTGAGACATATCTCCGTCTCCTCTCTTCCACTCAACCAGCAAACTAGGTCAAATTTGAGAAGAACCTACGGCAACACCTCAGGGAATTCTAGGGCGAGACTCCTACACTCTTTTTTTTAAAGGTTTTCGGCGGCTCCCCGGCTTCTTGCTCTGCTACTGGGAACAAAAACAGAAACCCTAGAATTCATCGGCAAGAACAGTCTCACGCAGTGATGAAAATGATAAATCAGGACGAAGAATCCGACTCTGGAGGTAGAAGGATCGGATTTTTCAGCACGGACAGGGTTTTTTTGAGTTTTGAGGTAGAATTGGGCAAATTTTTTCTGCTATTTTTCTGATAGATGGGATAGAGGGAGATGCCGTCGAATGATGAAAAATATGGGAGGGGCAGCCCAGAACTGCACCGCGCCGGATACCCACCCAGCCTACTTTGTTATATCGTCCAGCGCGGACGGAAACCCTAGGAGGATGCTCTGAACCACTGACCGTCCGATCAGTGTACCAAATCCTTTCAGCCGCGTGATCCGTAGACTTGCTTCGAGAAACGCGGCCGCGCGTCACCGACGACGAACCATGAACGAGTCATAGACAGGAGGAGAGAGGAAGCTCCTCTCTCTATCTCTCGATGTTCCCGGAGGCCCGTTCCAGCACGTCTCTCATATGGTCTCAGTAGCCCGAATCAGATCGGGTTCCATTAGAGTCGGGCGAGTCAGCCCATCGGTCCGAACTTTCAAATACCAAACAAAGCTGGCCAGACCGAGACGCTCTCCGGGTCGACCGATTGCATTAAAACCAGCAAAGGTCCGATACAAGGTGCTGAAGAACCCTGCTCGAGCCTCGAGTCTCAAAACCGAGACTATCTCCGCCTTTCGCTTCATGTTAAGAGCCACGATGACGTTCCCCCGCGTGATTATCCTAACCTACGCAGCCAACACGAGCCGTCAGAGCAGAGCGGCGGACAGAACCAGCGGCGGAGTGAGTGGGGGGGACGCACCAGGTAGCCAGTCCCGTCCACCACGGGGGTCTCGAGCAGCAGCCTACGCAGGGACGAGAGAGAGAAATCGCGCGAAATTAGGGCCTCCTGCGCTCGGAAGCAGCATCGACCTACCTGGAGCCCCCGCCCCAAGGGGAGGAGCGCGGCAAGGGAGTAGACGACCTCGCGGCGTCTTTGAGATTCGTGGTCTCGCGGACGACGAGAGGTGCGGGCGTCATCAGATCCCCGACGACCTAGCCGTTGGTCTTGGTCAGCAACCTCTGAATCTTACTAAACGTCTGAAAGAGGGAAAAGCAAGGGGATCTCGGGGGGATCACTAACCAGATCGATTGCAGCGACTAGCAGAGACGGGGAAAGGATTGGATAAATGATTTCAAAATGGAACCAAACCACTATAGAGAAGGCGCCAGTCATGAGTACCGATTTGGATAACAGCACTGATTATATTTTTCCTATGCAAAATATAGCAAATTGAACTTTATGTTTTTATCTTCATGAAATATATATATAGAAATATGTTTTATCTTCATGCTATCTCAGTTTCAAGGATCAAAACTGCTGATTTCATTAACTGCAATGAATATTATTACCAATTAATCTAATCCAATGCATTCACCAACTTGCTTAATAAAGTTTACTTACGATGCTTCCCAAGTGGTAACCCAAATCCGCTCATTAATCTCATCTCCGTTTCTCGCTTATTCGGCTTTCTCCAGAGGGCGAAACTAGGGGTCACCTTCTGTGGCTTAATAGTCGAAACAGAAGAAAGAGAAGCTGTAATTCCCCACATCAACTCGACGAAGAGTCAGTTCTTGCAGCGATGTTAGACGGTCATCTGCTTGCTGTTTCAAATACCCAAAGATTCTAAGATTACAATGGTTTAATAGAACCCTGCTTCTCTTTTCTGATCTCAGAATAAAGTATGCATGCCACACGTGACACTGAACTATTACCATGCCCATTCTGCAAAAGTTAATATTTTTATCGTACTAGCAGCAACGAGAGACTGATCTAGGCAAATATATATACCAATAGGAGCCACTAGAATGTTAATTATGGATGAATGAATGAACTAGCCCTAAAAGGAAAATATTAATCATATGTGAAGATGCCACAGTAGTAATAAAATTGGTAGGAAGTATGAACGAAGATAATCAACTTAGAAATACGAATGGGCATACATACTTTCCAAGTGCTATCAACCTCGGGAAACAAAAATTTGTATCCTTCCCTCGACTACCTTCTCAGAAATAATAATAATAATAATAATAATAATAATAATAATAATAATAATAATAAAAATCAAAATTATATAGCAGATTGCAAGACCTTCAAAAAAGTATGTCCTTTTTCCATGAAGATCGTGTTCTTTCATGCAGATCCATTGCATAAAGAAAAATAAAGCGAAATGGCAGATGTATGAATAATCACCAACATGTACTTCTCACTAATGACCATACCAGCTGAAGTTCTTGGTCACAATGCGACTAAAGCATATAGCTTGTCATTTAGATGAATTCAAAAAATAAATCCCAAACAGTAAAAATCCAATGGCACACAACTGTTCAAAAGAAATAATCAACAGGCATTCATGTTCTATGAGAGAAATTTGACGTTCTAATTGTCTATGAACTTAATTCTAGGTTAACAAGGTCAAGGCAATTCCCTAATGTGGAAGAAGAATGAAGCTGACAGCAGAAAAACCTCATGGCACTTGGAATGGGGCACTGGGGAGGCAAAACTGTCAACTGCCGCATGATTTGTAGAGATTCTCAGAGATTGTAGAGAGCACTGCGACTAAAGTCTGTTATCAAAGATCTTCCTAATAGCCAAAGGTAAAAAAAATTCTTTCCAGGAAAAGGATCAAGACACAAGGGACAATATTTTTTTTCGCACCATGAATGCAAACGTCTAGCACAGCAGAATCTGAATGGATAGCGCCAAGAATTTAAAACTACAAGAAAAAACAATTGCTCAGATAGTGATCTCCCATGAGGTACCTGATATGGAGTCCAGAGCTAGTAAATCATAGTCTTAGACTAACACCAACCTGAGGACAGAAAGGGATTCAAGTGACTGATGAGTTTGTTCGTCATCAGAGAAAAATATCTAGCTAACATAAAACTCCATAAGAGGCATCAGTTGACTAACCAAAAGAAGAAATGATCTCTGGTAGCGCCAGAAGGAAGAACAAGAATTTCAGTAACTAAGACATTACACAGGGATCCTGTGGAAATAATAGCTTGCCAAATGAGAGTCACAAACCCAGATCTTAAACTCAATATTTTATCTAAAGTACGAGAGAAAATCAGGACATATTTCGATCGAACTATATCTCACAGAAAAAGTGCAGTACCAAAGAGCCAGCTTTAAGATCTTGACCTATTTCTAAGAAAAAATATCGAACTATTGGAAATTAAGCGTTTTTTTTAAACGCTTATTTATGATGATGTCATTCTACCCCTTCAAGCAGTGTATACCATTATACACCCATTCATCGTCACATATCTGCATAAGATCTTGCATAATGTCGAGGGCATTTTAAATATCAAGGATTCGATACTTTCCTAGTCTATACTTTACGTCAAGAGGGCTCAACAAAGTATTAAGAGATTGGTGGAATTATAGTAGCACAGAAGAGAGTTTAACTTTGGAGACCTGGATAATCACGAATTCCAATCATATAGGCTATCCTTTTCCCCCCCAAACTAAATTAACACTCATGGTAGCAGCAATTGCCACCTCCTATAGTTGCTAGTTTGTTTCAAATGTCCAACATTTATCTTTCATTGACAATAATGACTGAACACATTGCCTCAACATTTAGGGCATCTGATTGTTCTAGGTTTGACCCGTGAATTGGGTTGCTAACGCCACTCACTGATCACTATGCAGACCAGGGAGTTAGAAACCCAGACCCACCCACTCATATGAGAGAGACTGAGTAGAGAAAAATGATTCAACTGAAGTTACCATAGAAGTAGACTTGTATTATGATCCTTGGAGTCTTCTACAGTTTTGAACCAGACTATGTATGGCATCACAGATAACAAGGCAATACTTGGGGTACTTTCTCTCCAAAAAGATCCCAGTAACAACGCCAGAAGGTCTACAAAGGATCATGGATATGTTAAGTTGTCAATAACGAACAACAATTAAAAATCAGTGAGAAAGGAAAGGAGGAGTTTAAAAATAGATAAGAAACAACAGTACACACCAGTTTCCAGCAATCATCAATAACAGGGAATCCAGTCACTCTGTTGTCTACAAGCCTCTCCAAAGCTGTTGTGCATACATAATCATTAGCTGAAGAAGATAACTAGATTTAAAATTTTAAATGCATGACAACGTTTGGTCAACATCGTATATGGTTGCGTAAGGCTTTACAACATGTAATTGTTCCTTTTTCGTCAGAAAATCACCTACTATATGCTGCAGCAAAAAGGACAATAGTATATTCCCAGTAAGTACGGACAACACCCCTCCGTGAATTTCTCTTTGCTGCCTGAGAGGCCGCCGGCGCGACGAAGAGGGCGCGTGGAGGGTGAGAGAGTAAGAGAGAGAGAGAGAGAACGAGAGCGAAAGTGAGAGCGAGAGCGAGCGAGCGAGAGAGAGAGAGAGAGAGAGAGAGTGCGAGAGCGAGAGAGAGACGGCTGAAGGTGAGAGGTGAGATTATGCTTAAATACTAATTGTTATAGAAGACATTATTTTATTGGATACTAATTTTTATTAGTAACCGTAGAAAGGCTAATTTATTTTCGTTTTACTTAAAAAAATGGTAGAATTACCCCGCATCATCATCCGTGCACAACACGCGAATAAAGCAAGGAATAATTTTCACGTTTATATCATCTCTCTCTCTCTCTCTCTCACTCGCTATCTATTCGGCCAGTCGCTGATCTTCGCTGCTTCAGCTGTCGCCGCGGGGACTCTCCCTTGCTCTCCCTTGAGGTGGCGGCACCCCACATCTCTTCCTGCGTTACCCATCAGCCATCTGTATCCAATATCCCGGAGCATCGGCGCATCGCATCCAGAAGACTTCAGCGTGTTCTCACACAGCGGAGGCAGTAGAGGTTTCTGATTTAAGCTTTTTGGTGTCTTTCTTACAATTTATAGCCGTGGAGAGTGGCGCCCTGAAATGGCTGGTCAGGCAACGGAGAAGAGAGTCTCCGTCTATCTATACATTCCCAATATCATCGGTAAGTTCCTGGGAACGTTTCGTAGGAATCGTGCATCGCTCAGAATTAGAAATTATCTTTCCCTATCTTCTGTGGGTCGTAGTTGACGCTTTCGTCTTTTCCTAGATGGTATAATAGACATCTAGATCACGAGTTTTGTCATGGGATCATGATTTTGGAAAGTTCGTAGTTCCTCTGATTGTGGTTTTTCTTGTTTGACTCCATAATTTCCTGATTAAGTTTGCATTATTTGACTGACGAGATCTCTCTTGGTTGATATTTTCGACATAACTCAAGGCTTTAGATCTTCTGTGGGTAGAATTGGTAGATAAATGCAATGGATGGCATCTTCTTAGGTGTTACAATGAAAGTGATCAGGAAGCGTAATAGGAATGTAGATCTACAGCATTACGGTATAATGGAAATCGTGCAGATCTGAAAGTTGTTGTTGGAGATAGTTAAATAAAATTTATTCTCTCGTCACATTCTACAATTGAAGCTGGGCCTTTAAAAGTCGATTTCGTAAGGAATATGTGCTTACAGTAAATATTGTTAAATTTAACAATATTTACTGAAGTATTACGTTTTTTAAGGAATGAATATAACCAGCTAATCTGGGAATTTATTGCCAAGATTCAATATCCGACTTGAATCTTTGCTGTGGGTCTTGTCTTTGGTCATGGGTCACTTATGTAAATGCGTATTAAGTAACTAACAAAGCTGTTTGAATATAACCAGTTTGAAAAAAAATTTGTGATTGAACTCACCTTGTAAAAGTAGTTCAATCCATTAGAGAAGTTCCTGTCTACTTTTGTTTTTTCATTCTTTATCAACAGTATCAATAAGTTAATACACATTTTTGTGCAACGGGCACCAAAGAGGAGCACAAAGAAGCAGCTGAGATGCATGAAAACAGGAAGGGCAGGAAATTCCACCCTTATGAATATTGATCACCATCCTCATTTCACGTGCCAAGACTGTATTGCCCGTGTTTCTGCACGGTGGTGTTCATAATAATTCTATAATAACTAATTTATATGGCTTTTAACATTAGACTCTGCCTCATGTTGATATAAGATGTTATTAGTAGTGCTTGAAATTTTACTTATATCTTTTATTGTAAGTCAATATTTTTAGATTTTCAAGATCATTGTGTATCTGGTTTGTTTTCCTTTATGATACTTTGAAACGGTGTAAAGTTGGATCTTCTGTACTTTCCTCCCTATCTTAACATCACCTTTAGGGGACTTGATCTAGTGGGCTTGTGAATTAGGTTGAATTGTGACGTGGGAAAATGATCAGTCTCTTCGGTTCAGGGTTATACTATGGGCTGAGAAATTTTTCCTAGGATGGATCTTTCACCATTACGGGCTTTCCTATGAGATGGGAAAACAATGAGAAGTCTATTGTGTGCTATTTTTGCTCTATGCTGCTGCATTGAAGCAGGAAAGGATAAATAGATTTTGGATGGGGATTTGTACTTTCTTTTCTTTCTTTGTATTGTGTACCCTATGGGAGTTGTATATAACGTTGTATTGAATGTTGATATTTGAGCAGATTTCAAGTGGCAGTTAGTAGTTCATTTCGTTCCTTCCTTTACGTGTTGCTTTGATTATGTTTGGTGATTCCTCAATTTCAGCCATATTTATGGGGAAATATTTTAAAACTCTTTTTCCTTTATATTTTTTATCATTATATTCTTCTTATCTCTTTATTTGTGGGAATTGCAGGTTATATAAGAGTGTTGATGAACTTCGTTGCATTTGCTCTTTGCTTTTCACATAAAAAGCTCTTTGCTATCCTTTATTTTTTCAGGTGATTTGCAGTTGTAGGGGTTTTTACTTTAGCCTATTAAATATTCCTTTATCATACTTGCCCTTATTACAAGTTGTTGATCACAGTTTCATTTGTGATGGTCTGGACGGTTGGTTTGCTCGCAAATTCAACCAAGGTACATCATAACCCGATATATGTAGTGGTCAGAAATTTTTTTGGATTTCTCCCTTCATTTTCTTGTTCTTTGATTAATTTTCGGTTTTAATCTGGTGGTCTGGTCTGGGTGCGAGGTATAGTTACCGAAGTACCTTTGTATTTTCTTCTGTTTGTAGTATTTGAAAATATTGAAATACCTCCTTGAACATGCTTACGAACTATAACAATGTTGCTCTATAGTGGATTAGCCTTGCCTTGTAACAATGTTGTCAACAACATGCCCAAATACTGAAGCAGCTGATGATAAACGCTCAACCTAAATTTATATTTTTCTTCGATACAAAACACCCAGATATCCTTTTTTTTCTCACTAGTGTCTTTCTCCCTTAGGTTTTCAGAAAAAAATGTTTTAGTGGTATATGTTTATTTAGAGTAATAAATCCTGAAATCCTGACAAAGTAGTGTGCTATCCATTATAAGAAATTCTGCACTGTCACTAACCTAGTCCCACATAATCATTATGATATAATGCCCATGTGTTTGGGGATGTGGAAGTAGACCACGGTTGAGTGCCAAAATTATTATATAAATTTTCAGAAGCTATAAATCTTTTATTTATTCACAATGAACTATGATGGGGAGACACTTTGATACCTAGAATCAAGTTATTGCATTGGCATCCTATATAGAACTTGAATAGAACATTGAAATGGCCAATCATCATGGAAATAAACAAAGGTAGCAGATCACATACATACGAACAAAGATGACTTTGGTCCATCTAGATACCAATAGATAGCATTTGATCGCAGCATTAACATACCAAATGTATAGGATTGGAAAAATCTAATTGTCTTATAAACATAATATGCCTTTCTCTTATTCAACACAATATCCTTCTTCTTTTATGGCAGAAGAGGGAAGAAATAATTTGCATGCACGGGAAATCATGGGATAAATCCACATACTGTGAATCTCCAAAATAATAACAGTGTTTTTTTCACAATAGTAGTCATAGTGATCATTGTTAATAATTTCTTGATTGTCATCATTTCAACTCGCAGCCATACGTTTCAGTGAGGGGGTTTATCCCTGTTGTTATCAAAGTGCGTTAGCCACTGTATAGACTATTTTTACAGGGGATTTCAAAATGATAACTTCTTTGTTGTCTAATCTCTGTCCAATTATGAAGTCAATTATGCGAAGGCATACCAGGCATCTCACTAAATCCGGCTTCAAGAAACTCTTGACAAGGAAATCAATGTTTCTTCCTGTGTTTATTTAAATCCCAAATTGTGAATAAGAGTCCTTAGGTCTTCTTTGATGTCCTGGAGTTTCGATCTAAGCTGTCGACTTTCCATTGGAGTTTACCCTCTCATTCTACTCTTTGATGGTTTTGGTGCAATTATTAGGTGTTGTACGGTTTCACATATTCTTGATTACCTTATAAATGCTTGGGCCACCAGGAATTTGCCCATTGGGGAATGTCTTAGGGTTGGGTCATGATTCTGCAGTGTGATGAACTTCTTTTCTATTCCAGATGAGTAGTAGTGCTGGGAGATTCTTCACTGGGTAAATTCTGGTTGCGCTTGTATGGAGAGTAATTTAAAACGGCTTAGACATCAGTCAGTGTGTGTTTACACATCAGTACTCTGGTTTTCAAGGGAACAAATAATTTCTAGTGTATCACGTTTTTTTTTCGGGTATATATTGCTGTCTTCCTTTGTTATTTTGGTGTTTTCTCTAGTCCCTGACTATCCTACGCTAAATAAATTCCAAGTTTTCATCTGATGCTTTACCCTTTCTTGAGTTCAGACAGTGTTATTCTGACTTAATTGAAGACTTTGTTCTTTCGCCCTTGTGTTATTTAAACTGATTCCATATCTGAAGAACTTTGGACTGTGGGTGTAAAGCCCTGAAATCCTCAGGTTTAGGTAGTTCAACTGTCATGTTCTGGTTGTGATTAGCTACACAGAATGTAATAAAACAACTTAAATACAAGGAAATGGTCTAGAGAAACCCGCCTTGCTTTCAGACTTAACTATTGGATTTCATTTTCTTACTGATGTCAAGGAAATGTTGCCTGTTCCTGACACCTTAAAATGTCATGCAGTTTCCACTTTTGGAGCCGTGTTGGACATGGTAACAGACAGGTGGCAGACCTTCCTGTACTATCCTGTGTTATACAAAACTGTGGATGTTAACATAGCATGCTACGAATGCCATTTATCACTTTTGTGTCATGGGGGAGGATTCCTAACCTGTGTTTGGCTTTCAGGGTCAGCACAACTTGTCTTTTGGTAATTCTATCCCAGATCTATAGGTGAATATTTTTATCATCTTTAAGATTTGTCTACTGTTATTTTTATTCAGTTGCATTTGTGATCTGATTCCATGGTCTGTACTGCAGTCCTGGTTTGAGTTTCCTATCACTGCTTGCCTTAGATATTGCCAGCCACTGGTTCCAAATGTACAGGTAACTTTCCTCTTGTTGTTGCTGTTTTACCTTCAAGATGCATAAACATTGAGGTTCCTGTATGATACGAATGCTTACTTCATAAATGTAAATCCCAACAGTCAGCTGTGTACTGTTACTGTGACAGAATAATTTTATGCTAGTGACTCCTAAATAGTCAAACAAGGAGGCTGCAAGAACTGCGGCAACCTGCATCTCAATGCACCATGTCTAGTCTATTACTATAGCTCACTTTTTTATTTATTTTACGTTTAATAGGCAAAGGCTGACAATATTCCACCTACCTTGTTAACCATAAGGTGGTTGGGTCAGATGTCAGTAACATTTTTAAACTGAATAATTTCATATCAGAAAATTTGAATTGTATTTACCTCACTGTCAAAATTATCCTCTGTAACATCTGATCATACAATTACATGATTTGTTCCCATGGTAGTCAGGCCTCTTGGTCTCAGTTGGGGCACAGCCAAAAACCTTGTCGTGTGAGGACGAGTCAGCATGGGTGCCATGAAAATGGTTTTTTCATTCCGTACAAACCACCTCTACGATAAAAGTGTAGTTTCACCTTAATTGACTTAGGTCTGAATATTTGGATCCGATGCCTATCTGGCAACAAGGTCAATTAATCTGACATTTTTAACAATTTCTTATTGGAATCTTTCCCAATTTTCGTTTGGGATCATTTATGTCAAAGAGCAAAATTTCTGAAGAAGTGTATGACAGTGTAAAGTCAGAAGACAGGTACATAAATTAATGAAGCATGATTTTAGGATTGAAACATTTTGGCATTGACAATCTTCGGATTTAAGAATTAACTAATCTTCTGCATAACTGTGGCCCTGGTTACCCTTCATCCAAAGAAATGGTATCATCCAGGACAGTAGATAGTGATGAATGGACATCTTCTGACTCTCCAACTAGATGATTTCAAACTGGCGCAATGGCTGGTTGAGTGAATGAGCGTTAGACCTAGACTTGGCCAGCCACCTTAGTTCAAGCTGAAAAAGATTTGCCGTTTGAATTGTTTATAAGCCACTTTAATGAGGTAGGTTCAATGGCCAATTCCATTGGATCGTACGATTCTTCTTCCCTCTTTGCTTGAAGGGAAGCCCATGATGCTCGCATTAGCATTGCTCGCCATTTGTTGTCTTTCCTATGAAGAAGCTCTCCGCTCTGTTCATCCATTATAGCGGTAGTTCCTCACCTGATGCCAAAGGGATGAATGCCATCTCATTTTATTAACACCTGAGCCTCACTCATCAAGTGCTTGGCAGTAGTCCCCTTACCCCCGAGCCTGTGGTGCATCAAGGAGAGGAATATCATCACGCATTTGATGAAAGGCAGGTTTTCGTATCAGGGAAGAGGGCATCAAAGACCCTCATAGCATATTTTTGATGACTGGAGCATCAGGAGACCTACAGACTAGGATATCTCGTTAGAAGGCTATAGATAATTCAGTGATCAGTGCTGCTGCTACATTGATTGGAGATGACGTGATGTCTAGATGATTGCCTATTCATCCTCATTCAAGATTTGTGAGACATTGTCGAATGTTTTTTTTGAGGTTGTGTTGGTGTCATTTAATTTAAAGGCTACTTACTAGGAATCAACCAAATATTCTTAGTGTTAATCTAGATAGAGTGGGGCTAGAGATGTGATAAGGGCATATGTTGAATCCTGATATGATGGTAATTTACAATTTGTTCCCTATCTGTGCCCTGTGCAGTATTGCTCTAAACTATGGTTTTTTTTTTCCAGGAACGCTACATTTTACACCACTTGAATCATAATTCGTTCTATATGCTATTTATGAAATAAACTGACTTTGTGGTCTGATTAACAAAAAGTTTGTTCAATAATTGGCATATCCTTATGTCTGCCTTATTCCCTTTCAGTACTTTCCTATCTGGCAAGGCCAGCCACAAAGATGTCAAAGATAGCACCAATTGGCTTTTCAAGGCATATTATGGGAATCGGTTGTTCATGGCCTACTGTTGTGTTGGATCTGAGGCATGCATTTTTCTTGAGATGCTTGTTGCAGTTCTTTTCGCCTGGCTTGTTGTGTTTTGCTGAATAAAAATTCAAAACTGTAGGTTCTTTACATCATCTTATTTCTTCTTGCTGAGAAACAGCCTGAAAGTGTGGTCGATGTGAGTGTTTCTCTCACTGGCTATGTTATTTTTGGCACAAAATTAGATATTTTCCTTTGGATCGTCTTCTCTTATAATCTCTGGCTCACTGCAGGTCTTTGTGAACACCATGAAGGAGAAGCCACTTCTCATTCTGCCGCTACTTTTTTCCTCATTGGGATGGGCCATCAAGCAAGCAATCAATGTCATACAGGTTGTATTCATTTTCTGCACGCGAGTATTTATAAAGGCTATCAAGAAAAAAATGGACTTTCCTAGCTGGGCTCTCCATACTAACTGAAATATTTACTAATGAATTTTGATCGATTATTTTGTGTTTCAATCGTTATATAACGTCTAATAGCTAGATCTCTTTGGTATTTACCTTCCAGTTTGAGGTTGACTTTTAGAGTACAATTGAGTCTTTTATCAGAGTTATTAGATTATGAGAGAGAAGGGGGTTTCATGGTGGGTAATCTGGTTTCTTCCTCTCTCTCTCTCTCTCTCCTAAGCAGTGAAGGTAAGATTACCGTCTATATTTTTGCCGAACCCACAATATCTAGTCAATAATTCGCAGAAACGTAAGAACCTTCATCGGGAATCATATGAGGATGATATTCCACGGGGTTTTGACTGTGACGATGATCCATAAATTAAAGCCTGATGAGCACCATAGTCAGCAGGGTAATCAGATGGACTGAATCATTTTCATTCACCTTGCAGAGCCTGCCTAAGGGGGGGGGGGGGTGTTGAAAGGCCAACAGAAGAACAGTCATAGGGCTACATCTTGAAGGATTCTGCAGGCATCATCCCCACACATTATGTGGAAGACGACATTACTGTTTTCTGTCTATCATTCGGGATCTCATGAGGATGCTTCTGTGCTCTATCAACAAGAGCTGCAAGAGCTACTTCTAATCATCATCGTCCATTATTAGCTATGGGGATTTTAGTTAAATGGGGTTCTGAGATGACAATGACGGCTCTTCTTTTCCTTCTACTTGGCCATATTCGCATGATTGGCCTTGACTTACATGTGGGCTTATTTCTTTCTTGTGGTTTTAATTAATTACTATGGGCAACTTATCTTTTTAGTCCAAGGTGGAAGATGAACTTATCGTATGCTAGTTCCACACAATTTCATCGTATGCTTTGCCATTGTTGTCTATTATTTTGCTGTGGGAAATATGAATGATAACGATTTCGTATTATACTCTGTTCATACATGATTCTCTCCTAGATCTTTTCTTGACACTTTAATCTAATATTTGTGGTTCACATATAAATAAACTGCACAGTTTGGTATTCTGTAAGCTTCATTCCTGTCGGGGTTGGTCCTCTGGCCCTCAAGATATAAGAGAATAATAATTTTGTGATTTCTAAAGTGTCTTTGTTTGGGTGTTCGGTGAATAAATTTGGTCCTTTTTTCAACGCCGCGTTTACTCTTTTTCCTTGAGGTTTCAGATGAAGACTGCCGCTGACGCGTGTGTCTACTACGACATGAATAGGACCAAGTGAGAGAGAGTGGGGACGTGGCGCCCCCCTCCGTGATTCCTTGCTAAATCTGTGTACATTCATTCAGCGCCACTTGGGCATGCTAATTTTCTTCGTTTCTGATGATTTTACGGGTGGGACCAAGGTGCCTCTTTTGGTCAACGAATGTTTCAAATCTTATCTCTAATGTGATTGTGAGAAATAACATCGCCAGAGAGCTCTTCTATGCACAGACCCCATGGCAAAAGTCAATGCAAAGAAGGGGAGACAAAGTTCTTTTCAGCCATGTAAATGGAATGAGCTGGGCCCGGAGAAAAACCCGAACGATGGTTTCCCGGACAGACATATATCCAATTAAGACAAAACGTAGAATCCTATTAATCGGGAATATGTGATATAACTCCTCGAAAATAGAGGGGGGGGGGGGCATTGCTGAAAAGCAGACGAATCCTTCATTATTCATTCATGATGCCCCGCCAGATGACTTATAATCTTTCAACCGGCGAAGACTCTTCAAAGAGCCAAAATAAGGGGGAGAGAGAGAGAGGGAGAGCTGAGAGAGTGATCTTCTTCTATTTCTTCCGCGTCGTCATCATCATCATCTTCAGATGATGCGGCGGCAGAGTGTGATGCCGTCGCCAACGGGGAGCTGGCAGATCTCGATGCGGGGGTCGGCGGCGAGGGCCTTGTTGAGCTCGAGCACGAAGTCACGGTAGTAGCGGACGTACTTGCGCATTGGGGCGTCCGGGGGGGCCACCACGGAGCCGTTCCACAGCGTGTTGTCGTAGCCGATTACCCCGCCCACCTTCACCAGCTCGATCAACCGCTTGTGGTAGTTGATGTAGTTGTCCTTGTCCGCGTCCACGAAGGCGAAATCGAATGACCCGAGGTTCTTCTCCTGTGCGTTGATTGGATCGGATCGGATCGGATCCTCAGTTCAGTTCGATCTCACGGTGAGAGAATGCTCAGAAAGAGGAGTTCCTCAGATCAGTTCTTACGTCTTCCAGGAGCTGATCAAGAAGCGGCAGGCCGGGGCCCTCGCGGAAGTCGACCTTGTGGGCGACGCCGGCCTTCTCCATCACCGGCAGCCCAATCTCGAAGTTCTCCCGGTTGATGTCCATCGCGAGGATCTGCAGGACGTGGGTGTGGCAGTTTAGCGGATGTCCCCACTGGAGAAGATCCACGGAAGAGGGGCAGCGGCGGCGAATTGGATCGGATGCGATCGGATAACGCGTACCTTGCCGTCGTCGGGGAGGGCAAGCGCGGTGGCGAGCAGGGAATACCCGGTGAATACCCCGATCTCGATGGTCTTCCGTGCGCCAATGAGCTTGAGGAGGAGGTTGAGGAACTGCCCCCCGTCGGCGGAGGTGGTCATGATGTTCCATGGGTGCCTCGCCGTGATCTCCCGCAGCTCCTTCATGCTCTCCGGCTCCCGCGGGTAAACGCTCGTCTCCAGGATGTACTGGTACAGCGCATCGCTCTGCAGCAGGCTCTTGTGCCCCACCTCCTGGTGCCGGCTCTGCCCCTCGTTCTTCTCCACGCTCTCGTTCTGTTGCTGCTCCGCTGTCGCCATGATATCCTCTCCTCTCTCCCTCTCTTCCTACCTCTCTGCCTTGATATCCTCCTTGTCCTCTCTCTTCTTCCTCTCTTCCTACCTCTCTGCCTGCTAGGAAGGCCCGTCTTTAATAGCCACGGCGCTGATCCGGTCGTCGGTAGGTGGTCTTCTCCGGCCCCACCACTTCTCAGTGCACTGGGGGAAGCCGAAGGGAACCATCCACCTCCCGTCGCCACCCACCCCGCTGCCTCCCCCCCCTCCATCTCTCTTTCTCTCTTTCTCTCTCTCTCTCTCTCTCTCTCTCTCCTCCCATTCCGACAGGCGCCTATCCTCCGATTGATATTTTTTGCGGTGCGCCGCCAGGCGTTCGCCGCTTGTGGACAAGGGATACGCCTCGCCACGCGTCCGTCGCAAGAAACGGGGATTTGACGTCATCGTAGCCTCCTTCATGGACGGCCGGATTCTTGGGGCGTACTAGGGGAGATATCGCCGGACGGCGAGAAATCGTCCACGTTAAGTCAACCTCCGCTGACGGGCAGGTTAACATTGGTGAGCTGGTCGCTGGAAGAGGCCAATCGTGTTGGGAGGAGGCGGGTGCTGCTGCAGACGTGACCTAGACATTATTCGCAACGGTCAGTGTAAGCCCGCCGTTGAACGATTCTTAATCGAATGAGAAAGATGATTATAGATGGGGAAAATATCGTAAGACTCTGTATTCCCAGAGACGGGGGTTGTTGACTGGGTCCCGCTCTGACAAAGAGAGAGTAGGTGAGGAAGTCGGTGGGTGGCGCCGACCAGCTGACCTACCAACCGGTTAACCGCGTTTGGTGCCGTCAAGGAGGGTAGCCGAAGTCGAGATAGAAGTGGAAAGGGGTAGATTTGGCGTTGATCATTCGCACGTGCGACCCCATGGGGAGGGTAGCGAGAGGAGAGAGAGAGAGAGAGAGAGAGAACAGGGGGTAGGTGAGCTAGTCCTGCTGCTTTAGTAATGGGCGGCTCTCCCCTATATATACGAGGGGACCATTGCCACAGTGAAAACTGTGTGAGTGGTGGATGGGTTGTTCGTTTCTCTCATACCATTTAATAGAAATCCCGCCCTTTCGAGTTTTAGAGCTTCCGGAACAATCTTGTGGAGGAGAAGGCTGCTTGGGTGATCGGCAGGTGCCCAAGGCCGCGCACAGGGGGAGCTTTGGAGGTATGCCTATTCTACCTACGTGACACGTCTGGTTAGGCTGCCTCTTTATGGGCCCTCTTTCGGTTGTCCCTCTGGATAGGCTCGAAGTCGCTGTTGGAGCCCGGCGGGCCTCCGTAGGGCTCAAACTGCCTCCATGAATCTGGCAGCATTGGGTCAGGCCACCTTTTTGTGGGCTCTCTTCCGGCCGTCTCCTTGTAGGGATGCGAAAAGCGCTACCGCACACGAAGCCCCCCAAGAGATGCTCCAAGAGGTGGGACTCTACCACCTCTCCCGAAAAGCCCTCCAAGAGATCCTCTACGGGGAAGGAAAAAACCCCCTCGTCACCTGTGACTCAAAGGCCTCGCTTATTAGGAAGGCTCGAGTGCACCGTCAGAGCCCAATGGGTTGACGATGCCTGGAAGGCCTTTGACCGCCCTACATGGATATACCTATATCGAGTCAGGCTGCCTATGTGCGGGCCCTTTTCCGACTATCACAGTTGAGGGATGTGGCGTGGCCATCACAACACGAAGCTTTGGCAGGTCTCTATCACCTCTCCCATAGCACCTCCCGATGATCCTCTATGGGGGAGGAAGAAACTCATGCCAATGACTCGTGACTCGAAGGCATTGCTAGACAAAGTCAAGCTGCCATTGGAGCCCAGGAGGTCGATGATGCTTGGGAGGCCTCTGTTGAAGTAATTGGGTTTGTCCCAATTACACATGTTAGGTTAATTGGGCTTAACCTGTTTAGAAGTTAGAGGGTATTTTTGTCCTTAGGGTTAAGGTATAAATCCATATGGATTAGGCTGTTGAACGTGTATCAGGCTTTTAGATATCTCTCTAGATTAATGCTCGTCATTTTTGGATCAAGGTTTTCATTAGGGTTCGCCATTTCTAGATCATCTCTAATGGTTTTGGATTAAGTTTCTGGTAATTTTTCTAGAGTATCTCACATCATAGAATTTGAACTCTGGTCTACCTAGTGAAACTGAAGACATTTCATAGCCAAAGTATTGAAGCACTGGTGTAAGACTTATCAGTTATATTTATAAAAGGAGCGTTGAATCAGGATCTCTTTCACTTCATCCAGACTTCTAGTTTCAATGTAGAGGCAAACTTTTCAAGAAAATGGAGGATAAATAAGATTCTAGAGACCATTGTGGAGACATCAAGACATCTACCACTAACTTTTCTTCTCCTACCATGTAGGGTACATATATTAAATTAGATGGTACTAATTTTTACTTGTGGAAAACCTCCTTTAAAAGATTTATTAATGCTCCCAAGAAAAAGTATATACTTTGTTAAGTTGAGCTTGAGTTTAAGAATAAGGACCGAGAAGGTGATGATGATTGGGTCACTACATGCTTATGGAATAGTATCTAACAATCTATTGTCAGACACGTATCAACATTTGATTCAGCTAAAAAGATATGGGAGACAATACATGAATTATACTCCCATAAGAAGAATATTTCTCATATTTGAAGACATCCAAATCTTTAAAAAAGATTATATTGATTTAAGTTATTGATAGGGAACCCTTATAGGTTCTTGAAACAAACATGGCACTTATATTTATATGGAACTCTTATATTGATTTAATCTATCACATCATATGTTGTTAAGATGACTAAGCAAAGAGATGCCATCTGATCAATGTAGTTTTTATCTATTTTAGGCCCAAATTATAAAATAGTGAGAGAACAATTGATGACCCTAAAGGAGATCCCGACTCCACCATAGATATATGCACACCTTGCACGACTTGAGCTTGCTAGCTCTATCTAATTGTCAAAGTCATTTGCTAACAACAAGAGGTCAAAGAAAAGAGGAATTTTTGAATAGAGAGAGAGGAAGATAACTCACTGATACTATTCACGATCATAGATGAGATAAATTTTTTTTTGTGAATATTGTCACATAACAAATCATATTGTGAATCAATGTTGGGCTAAGCAAGGATACCCTAGTGGACAACCAACACCACAAGCTAATTAGATATTTATTAATATGGATGAATCAATAGAAGTTACTATTTCGCCAAGAGAAGTGTATGACACATTTCATCAACATAATTAGGAAAAGCAATAGTCAGCCTTATCTACTACTACACCAATGATTGGCTAGACATGTACTCATACTTTGTCTACAAATCCTTGTGATTCTAATTGGACTTTAGATTTTAGCACCTCCTCTCATATTACAGGTAATGCTTATTTTTTAAAAACCTTACAATCTTTGTTAAAACCACTTATTGTGCATATTGCCGATGGTTCTTTATCTCTAGTGATTGATCTTGGTCATATTTTCCTTTCTCGTTCTTTAACCCTTTCATATGTCATGCATACACCCCACTTTGTCTTAAACCTTATGTCCATCAGTTAACTCATCAAATCCCTTAAATGTCATGTCCTCTTCTAGGATACCTTCTTTGTGTTATAGGATTTCCAAATGAAGTAGATTAGTAGAGGATTTGAGTGTGATGGACTTAATTTACAAAACATTCCATCCATGTACTTATAGTCTCATGTTGTTACAACAACTTAGTCTTCTCTTCTTCTTCAACTACATTACTGGTTGGGTCATCCTAACATAATAGGGCTTCAATGTCACACATACCCTTATGTTTCAGATGAATGTTCTTAGTTCATGTTGGTATGATATTATTCTTACAACATCTTATCTCATCATTTATTTATTTTAGTAAAATTTTCTATTATCCTCTATGTTTAGACAAATAATTAATTCTTTTACCTCCTCGAGTCTTCAGTTGTGTCTATTTTGTTTACCTCTTCTACTCTAATAAACTTGCTCTTTGTGTTGTCTATTTTGTTAATTCTTTTATGGATTACTCTAAAATTCAGAAAGTATATTAGTGCTTTGCCCCATCTTCATGATGATCATATATTAATGTAGATGTTACCTTCTTTGAAGATCATCTATATTTCACAAAATCTAATTCTCCTAATATTTGTTCTACTCCACCTCTTCCCTTAACCATACCCTCTGCACCTCCCTCTATACATCTACCACCCAATTAGAATTAGACTAACCCCTCTTGATTCTTTATCACTAAATGATATTGAACTACTTACCACTATTGAATTATCATTTCCCCCACTTATTCCTACTTCTTTTAATTGAGATCCTTCTTAAATCTTTACATCAAATTTACCTTCTAATCCTAATATATTTATTGCATTTCATAAAGGTCTTCGTTCTTGTGCTCATTATTGGTTGATTAATTTTATGACTTCTTATCACTTCTTAAGTAATAAATTTTCATTATCATGAGTTAATAATTAATTAATAATATATTTTAAATCTTAACTCATGATAAATAAATTTAGATTTATGTTAAATTAAGAAAATAAGTTTTTAGTTAATTATATTATTTTACGTAAATTTATATAATTTTTATAATCATATTATTTAGATAAAGTAAAAATAATTTAAAAAAGAAAGACTTATTAGCCAATTGAGCAGAAGCATAGTTGAGGGACATGTTTGCTAGTTAGACCTATGTGCACATTAGAAGTACAATTAAGGAAAGCCATGAGCCAAGGGCTCGAGTGGCTAAGGATTGATTGGGGCATGTGTTCATCACTCCTTTTTCATATCATTGATGGCCAGCCAAGCATGGGACAAATAGTGGTTGTACACATGTGAGAGAAAATATGTTGAAGATGAAAATATGTATTGATATATATATATATATATATATATATCTAAAAAAAAAAAAATTAATGTGAGGCTAAACCTATGTTAGTATTAGGCATGTTTTTAATATTTTTTTATACTAAAAATACCTTGACTTATAAAAAAGAAACATCTTCATG